CTGTCTTAATACATGACGGTAATAGGTCCATCAGGTGGAATCATGCCCAGACCACTTCGGCCAAGGCCCCGGCCTCGGCCTCCTCCTGGGTCACCAGGAAGACGCAAGCCCCAACCAGTTAAATTGCCTTTGCCGAGGCCAAGGAGACCAGGTTAGATCATATCGATAGTAAAATATCAATCGAACGTTATGACGAGCAATTGTGGTCTAAAATTAAACTAGTGATTTCCAATCAAACTTTCAACAAAATCATCTTACCCTTTGGTCAATAATTGTAAGATATCTGCCCTACCTAGAGTTCCCAGATTTTAAATACGTTTAGTTATAACTGACAGTATCCTATTCCTCCTTCTAGCTGGACGAATAAGACCGAGGAAAAAACTAAGGCCGACCCCAGGTATGGCATTTTTTTTTTATGGGGAAAAAGGTTACTTTGTCTTGAACAAACCATTTCCTTTGCAAGAGATTATAAAAACAGTTTATAATTATTCTCTTGTCCTTTGTTAATACCTGAATGCGCTAAGAAAGGATGTCTTAACAATGTCTATTTTTCCTTCTTTTAAGGCGGAAAATATAGATACTATGGAATATATCGTGCTCCACCCGGCAGAAAACTTGGTAAACCCACAGTAATTCTAAAAAGCTTGAAGAATGCGAGAAGGAATTGTCAACGTCTAGCGCGCATGCGCCGCGCGTGGGCATTTGCTTTGCGGTTTGGTCGTCAGTGCTTTATCGCAAAAAACCATCCTCGCAAATTTCTGAGGTTTGGTCTTCCTCGAACGAAAATGCCTGGTGCCTTGAAAGTTTACATAGCCAGAGGTAAATACAAGATTGGATGATTTGGAGAGTTATGTGGAAAGTTGTAGCAGTAAAGAATGTTGTGCTTGAGAAAGTAAAAAAGTAAAGTAAATTTCAAAAGTATCGTAAAAAAGGTTGCCATTTTTCATCATGGTGAATTCACTTGTAATAAATTATGCCCCGCTGCACGTTGTTGTCCATCAAGAAAGAATGTTGTCTTAATTTCAAACCGCGGATGTAACTTTTACCCCTAATTTCATCCTTCTTCCAGTCTTAAATGATGTCAGTTATGCTTTCAATCAAAAAATTAAAATTGACGTCTTCTTTTTTTTTTAGGAGCTACCAGCATACTAAAAATTAGACCCAGGCCGAGACCGAGACCTTTACCTCGTCCCAGGCCACGACCGAGACCAGGTAAGCAAGTAGGTTTATGTTAATTCCAAATACATAATAAGATTTTATTTTTCCTTCATTAACCCTTAAATCCCTAAGAGTGACAAGGTTCTAATTTCTCCTCACAATATCACCACTGAATCAAATGTTTTAGTAATGAGAATAAAGGAAATGATCATCTTCTAACGAAGCTCTTATTGGTTTTACAAATTCTCCTTATTAGAACCCAGGTTATGTATAGAGAGCGGTATGGAGAATATGCATACTGATGTTAGGGTGTAAAGGGTTAATTGTTTAAGAAGAAGCAAGCAAGCATCGGATGGACGGAGAATCTAAGCAGCTGAATGGGGAACTGATGGAGAGTGAGACCGTAAAGAAGTTTAGATGTATTATGTGTCCTTTTAACTGAAATGAGACTGTTTCAAAGTATCATTGTAGTCATTTGATATTGTGTTTCTTACAGGAGGACGACCTCAAATCAGACCTCGTCCCAGGCCTCGTCCGAGACCTCGAATTAGGCCTCGTCCAAGTAAGTTTTGTGTATTAAATTTGGTGCTGAGAAAATCCCGCACAATAAAATTTTGATTTTAAGGAAATTTTGAGAATTTTTTTTTGCAAATTAGATAAGAAACAGAAAGCAAAAAACAAAATGCAACAAAAAAAACGCTTCTAACTAAGGGCTAACGCTCCGAACGTCAGCTTTAGAATCTCTTTACGGTGGCCAATTTACATTATTATCAACCCAGTTGATAATAATGACGCAGCACCACAGAGTCGTTAGCAACTTGCTCCCTTTTTTCGTCAGGGCGTAAAAGATATATGTACGTCGGAATTTACCGTCCACCTCCAAGTCGTATACTCGGACGACCAATCATAACATTTAGAAGCAAAGTTAACATACGAAGGAGATGTGAAAAGATAGCAAGAACCGGAAATTACCGAGCATTTGCCCTACGGTACGGTCGACAATGTTACGTAGCTCGCATGAAAAGTACGAAGTTTACAAGGTATGGGCGCTGGCGGTTGATAAGACCTGGTGCACTCAAGGTCTATGTAAGCACGACTGGTGAGTAGCAGATGAACTTTAAATTATTAACTATGCCTTTGCTCCTTTAGCGTTTCCTGAATTCCAAGTTTTTGTTTATCTTTTGATCATCTCAGCAGGTAAACCTAAACGCCCTCGCCCCAGGCCACGCCCGAGGCCGAAGTTACCAGGTATGGTACATGATTGAGATTTATTCGTCTCCATGAGAGTTCAATGATTGTTATGCGTAGACAGCTCTCACTCTCGGATACAAAGATAATATTCCGTTTCCCATCCATTTTATGGATCAGGTCACTATCTTATTGCTATTTCTTTGAGTAAAAAATTAAGAATGATGGTAAATTTTGAGTTCCATCGTTGATTAAGGAGAGATGTTATCATTTCAAGAGAGATACAATTAAAGTCTGGGTCCCCGCGAGAATTAGAACCCAGAATTTTTTAGTTCATGCACGAATACTCTATGACTGTGTTGCATAAAACCCACTGGTGAGCTAACCAACTCAGTAAGTTCAAATGAAACACGCGCCCTACTTACTGCTGGGATCAGCCGTGAGGAAAACCTCGGGTGTCTACACCAGGTAGTACGTCAGTAGGACTATCGTTGAATACATACAGAAGTCAACATTGTTAAAAGCGTGGGACAAATACTTTTCTCTTTTGCCATCAAATACTGACACCTCTGAACTGCTTGCGTTGTTCTGCATCATCTTGAATCTGAACAGCAGAGGTTGAATGTCATTGATTCTAGGAAGAAGATTTGTGCCTAAATACATCGGAAGGTACCGCACCCCTCGTAGATTGGGAAGAGCTGTCCGCACTTTCAGACGACGTTCGTCCGCTCTACGGAACTGCTACCGCTTGGCTCGAGCACGAAGGGCGAGAGCATTTGCTGTCCGTGCCGGAGTAAGCTGCTACTTATCTAAAATGACGTCGGTCAAGTTTACAAGGCTCGGAAAGACTCGAGTAGGAGGCCTCAAAGTTTACGTGATAAGGAGAGGTGGGTGCTACTTCTTAAGATCAATAGTTTGTCATGTTAAACAGATGACCGACTAGCCTTAATTGTTGCAAACAACACGAATCATCGCGCATTCCTCCAGAACAAAAAAATTATTGGCCTAACGTTCCAGTTGTCGTGTAATTCAGCTGTCTCCAAGTAGTACAACGCAAACTATTCCCCGGGTTCTATGATAAAAAATGGATTTCTTTATTGTCTGTCATGATCGTGACAACATATTGTAGATATTTTTATTCCAGTAATTGCTGCGCTAAGTGAGGTGGCCAAAGATTGCTATTGTGAGACAACGTGGTTTAGCAAAAACCTGGAGATGGTTCTGATGATTTCTACCTTACATAAGTGACAATCTGTGCTGTTAAGGTTTGAAGCCGTGCCTGTCTACGTGTTATGTATAAATGCACAAAGAAATAAATGCCATCATTTACAACTTCAGGTACATCTAGGCCCCGGCCTCGACCCAGGCCGTCGCGACGCTTATGGAACTATCGTCGCCTCGGTACATACAAAGTACCACGGGGCCGTTCATCTCCAGGCCGCAGATACTTAGGCACGGTCAGACCCAGATTAAACCCCGCCAAGCAGTGCGCTATCATGGCGCGAAAGGCAAGATATCGCTATTTCGGAGTACGAAGCAGACGCTACTGCTATGGAGCAAGCTTACGTTCACCACTGACAAGATTTGGAAAAACGTTTGGTGTTGGAGGAATGGTTGTTTACAAGATTGGAAGAGGTGAGCTATGAAAACTCTGGATCTCCGGTTTCAACGGCAGAACTGACAAACGTTTGCGCATGTCACGAACTTCCAAAGCAATAGCATACCTGGCGACATTTTACCACATTTACCATACATGGCGACATTTTTAAACTAGTTATAGTTCTCACTAGAGCTGCCCCCGCCCTACAGTACCATTTTCTTTTTTTTTTTTTGAGTTGGGCTTGTTGTTTACAGTTGTGTAGTTATGACCATTTGCGGGAAAAACGTTGATACCTTGCGGCCGTGCAAGCGATCAAATCGAGATTTTTTTTGGTTGCGATCAACCGAAAACACCTACATTCTCTCTTCTTCAGTCTTCCTCTATACTAGGACAAATCTCGTGTCAAAGACGCCGATCCTAAAAGTCCTCGCGCGCGTGTCTTTTTACTGGCAGCCCATGACCATTTGCGGGAAAAACGTTGATACCTTGCGGCCGTGCAAGCGATCAAATCGAGATTTTTTCTGGTTATGATCTACCGAAAATACCCACATTCCCTCTTCTCCAGTCTTCCTCTATATTACGCGGGGAGTCCTAAGGTGCCTCCTCGGGTTTTTGGCCCTCTGGGGCCAAAAACCCTGCGGGGGCAAAAAGTGAAAAGCGTTGATACCCTCTATTCACAACAAGTGTTGTTGTGGAAGCTTAAACAAACTAATATCCCTGGGACTGCTTAAGCCAAATGTCGACGAACTTGCTGCTCAGCTATCACAAAATGTAATTTTTCGCTTGAAAGACAACAGTTTTTACCTAAATTTAGGCAATTGTTTCAGGATAAAAATGTGATTTTTCAATAGAAAGTCAAAGGAAGATTTACAACGAAAGAATTGAGCCCAACATCTCCACTAACTCAGTGAAGTGTTGCTGTTCTTTCTGCATAGCCTCGCAAAATCTCGTGACCCGCGCAAACATTCTATCGACTTGCTGTTTGAGTCGTAAACATTTTCCGACGTGAAACTGTAAGTGTAAGCTTTATGATAGAACTCACTGAAGAATAAATTATGTTTATGTGACCTGCAGGGCGTCTGAGACCTCGGCCAAAGACAACAGTGTGGCATTATCGATACGTCGGCCGCTACAAATCACCCACTTCAACGCGTTTGGGTCGATTTATTGGAAGGATGAGAGGGAAAACGAAAGTGTTTGAATGTGCACGACGTGCCAAAAGGATGGGATACCGTGTATTTGCTTTGCGCAACCGAGGAGATTGTTACGTGTCAAGATACTCGTCAACTTACTCCACTAAACCTAGGGTGTTTGGGCGCTTCATGGCGAGCACCGGTGGACCGCGTGCTATAGATGCTTATGTGATCAGGAAAGGTAAGATACAGAGTAAAAAAGCTTAGCTTTTGAGAATTGAATGCTGATTGGGGTGGATACAGTGCGGTTGAAGCTCCTGGATAATCCTTTGATGGTGAGCCATTCAAAAATTGATGGCACCGCAAAAAAGTTGTGACGTCTTTATCGTCGGTGCCTGCTAAGTAATTACTCAGACATCGGATAGGACCTTAAGCTACTTTTATTGACAGAAATACCGGACAGAAATGTAAAGAGATCTTATTGATTTATTCAGCATAACGTCGATAATGCCTTTTAACCCCATTCATCGATGAGCATCAAATCAAACATGTCAGTAAGCCCTATTTACGAGACTCTACCTTTTGATTGGTGTCACTCAATTTTCGTTTGCTTTATTAAGGTCGTTTCAAGCCTCGCCCCAGGCCTCGTAAAGGAGGTTTTTCCTGGCATTACCGTTGGTTGGGACGATTCAGATCGCTAAAAGGAAGAGGTTTGGGCACGAAAATAGGTAGAGTGACAGGGAGAAAGAAGGTGTTCAGCTGCGCTCTCTTAGCAAAACGCCGAGGTTTCAAAGCATTCGCTTTACGCCGGAATGGAATCTGCTACGGAACTCGATCATCTAGAACGTATGCAACCAAACCCATAATCAAGGGTCGCTTCAGAGCTGGCGCAGGAGGATCACGTTTCATTGATGCTTATATGATAGGGAAAGGTATGTGATACAGCCGCGGCCCTTGATCGTAGTGAAATACTTTCGTCAAGCTTCTTCTGAAAAATAAAAACTTCACCCTTGCATTAACCCCCAAGTACTGTAAGTATTGTAATTTTCACCCATATTGAGCGGTCGTGGTCATCCTTCACTGACTCCCAACGGCCAGTTTGTATTGTCTAACGCATATTGGGAACGATAGCTCAACGCCGAACTACTCAAATAAACTAAGGATAATCTCTCAAGTAGAATTTAAACCATGTTTATCTCCCGGAATCAGTGTCAGTACTTTAAGTTCAAATGTCCCCACGCATTGCGGATTGCCTTTCTTCTTTGGACATATACTACGCATTTACATCACGGTCAAACTGTATTAAGCGGTCAGTCTGTACCAAACAGTCGCCATTCCTCAAGGTTGACCGCTTGATAGAGGTTTGACTGCAATGGTTTTGTTACCTGTTCTGTAACTTCATCATGATAATTATTCTTTTGTAGGTCATTACAGACGGCCATTGAGAAAAGGCAAGTTGTACATTTGCTATGGTTCTCTTTGAATTAAATAACGGTTTGTTGATAATTTTTAAGCAACACACCTGTTAGGCCCGACAGGCTTTGGCAAAACTACAGCCATTGATATGTTTCAAGTCTTGCACACTTCATTTCTCTTCAGTGGCTTTCGTTTCGGGCGAGGAAACCTGGTTCAGCGCTTAAGGTCGAGAGCTCACAGATTAATCGTCAGGCGACAACTAAAAACTCCTCACGTAGAAACTTATCAGGATAAAGGAAACGAAAACAGGAAAAAAAACGACAAGAAAAAATGTTTACTCTTTTAATTTCGTCTCACCCAGAAACTTACCAACATGCCTCGACCTCATGTGCTCGACCCTGTTTTACGCGCGGCCAAACATAAGGCGCATGATCCTTTGATAATGTAAGCGACTGATCACTAGTCACTAGTACATTAATCTTTGATCAAATGCCATAAATAAGCTTGCCCATGTTTTTTTTTTTTGCAGGAGTTAAGGGTCGCTCTCGGAAAGCAAGACAACGAAAGCGAATGAAACAAATAAGAGCTGTAAGGAGAAGAGTGAGACGAACTAAGAGAAAGCAGCGGCGAGTGGCAAAAACTAGAAAACTGAAATTGAGAATAATAAAACGAATCCGACTGCTGAAGGTTTTGAAGAGGAAGGTGATCCGAGTTGTTGTACGGGTCCGTCGTTTGAAACGACTGGGGAACATAAAACGCCTCAGGTTGGCAAGAAAAGCAAAAATTGTCCTGGTTAAAAGAGTGCGAAAAATGAAGAGGAAAATACAGAGACGCAAGTTAAGACTTAAACTACGATTAGCGCGATTGAAGGCAGCAAAACACCGAGCTAGAATCCAGCAAGCCAGACGACGGGCCATGAGGTCGTTGCGATTCAGAATGAAGCAGCGCATGCGGAGATTGAAGTTACTTGCCCAGCAGAGGAGGGCTCGTGCCCTTCGAATAGCCAGGCTGAAACGTCTGAGGCGATATCGTCGGTTAGCAATGCTGCGCGCACGTCAAAGAGCGCAAGCAGCGCGCATGAGACTGTTGATAAGGCAAAGGATGCTTCAAATCAAGCGGAAACTAGCTCTGAGACAAAGAATACTCAGATCAAGATACCTGAGGAGACGACAAAGAGCGTCGAGACTACGTATCCAGGCGTTTAGGGTCAAAGCTCGTCAACGAAGAGCAAGACAGCAGCTTTCAGCTCTAAGGAAACAGTTGGTCAATGTGGCGAAGAGGATGGTGTACTACAGGAGATATCGGCAATACAGATATTTGATGATGATGCGAGCCCAGAGGCGACAGCTGATGAAACGAGCGAGTAATGCTCGAGTCCGTTGGTTCCGATATCAGAAACAGCTACAGGAGAACAGACGCAGACAGCGCATGCTCGTGCTCAAGCAACAGCGAGCGAACAAGAGCTTCAGGCAGTTCCAAAGGAAAAAGAGATTGTTATTTGCGCAACAACAGCAGAAACTGAGAAAGCTCATACAACGGATGAAGAGTACGCGTCGAGTACGAGGTGCGTATCTTATTTTTTCAATGGATTGTTTATTTATAAGGTCAGCTTTTGCCTAGTATTCCTGCGTCACCGACTGAAAGAAAAATCTTGCGTAACAGAGAAATAGAGGTTTTTCTGAGGTGCCTCTCTTTAGCGAGGTGCCACTGCTTATAACATACTAATATTACCTATCATAGTGCACGACTGAGCTTCACTTTGTTATGTTGCAGTTGGGAAGAAGAGAGGAGACATTCTCAAGAAAAAGCCCTCGATGACAAGTTTGAATAGCAAGAAAGATAAAGAAGCCAATACTGGTAAGATAATGTAAAGGGACTCCAATGATGAGTTCAGGTCGAAACGTCAGTCAGCACAATCGACAACAGTCCTACTCAAGACTACCCTCACCTGGATGAACAGACCACGCCATCAAAGACAATAATATTGTCACAAATTTAAAAATCACAGAATGGCTTCATTTCGAAACGAAATCTCGGTCCCTCGTATCCAGAACATTTGCCAGTAAATTAAACTGTACGCATGATAGCCCATAACCCACATCATACATTATGGCCTCTCTGTAAGTTGTAGCGAACTTATCCGAGATGAGATCAAACTGAAAGTTGTTGGGACGCGATAACGGACCGGAATTTAGAGAGACAACAGTAAATGAGGAAATAGAGTCAAGTTAAGTCATATTTATTTAGGCAGGGTGGCCATTTCAGCAATAGGCTGGTATCAAAAAGGGCCCTAATCAGATAATTCCCTAACTACTATTCCCATGATTTACCAGACCAAGGGGAAGTAGCTAAGCCACAGGTATTTAGAATTCGTTTATTCTTTCTCCCCTCAGCAGTTCCCAAAGAGTTTCGGTCAGCTGATTTTTTCTGGTCGTTCGAAGATGCATCGGGCGCGTACATATCCCATGATACTGTTCAAAAGCGTCCAGCGCGGCTCATGGGAGGATCACGAGTTGTCCCAGAGACCGGACGGGGTCTGGTGGCCAGCACTGGTAAAGCAAGAGGATGGATCTCTCTCGGAGACTTTACAGGTGATAAGGAGAGAGAAATAATTTATCAACCAAAGGAAAATTTTGGATTAAACGCAAAATTTTTATAGCTAAACTTTGAGAAAAATATGACAGATAGTACAGAAAATTGACATTTAGACTGTTTTTCACGTTAAGTGTTATCACTCCATCTCGCCAGGAAAATGCTTCAGCGATCCAGACCAATGTAGAGATCACGGAATGACAATGATGACTTCGCTTAAACTTGACAAGAAATACTTCCACAAGAAATCCAGCTCGTATTTCTTGTCCAGCGGAGGTCAGACCACCCAGGCCCGAGGCTTCGCTCTCCTTCATATTCTAAACCGCTACATCCTCATACTCAGCACAAAAAATAGCCAGTGGAAGTTGGAAACACGTGACCTTCCAGATGGATGGTTCAACATTGCCTTTTCCTGGGAGAAGAAGGGTTTACTTAAGCTGTATGTAAACGGAAAGGAAGTGTCTAAGGGAGAAGCTATGAGTGTTTCAAGACCGAAGGATTCTTTCTCCACGTTGCAAGTTGGACGACCAAACAATTCTCACTCTCCAAAGTTTAGAGTACCGCTGGAAATGGATAATATTGCTCTCTGGGAGAGAGCTCTCACAAGCAAGGAGATAGGCGCCTTGGCTGATAAGGGTAAGAATCGGGCGTCAAACGTGGAAAATCGTGCCAAAATTATCTTTTAAATTATCTTTATCTTTTTTTTTTATTATCGTTACTGCAATAAATTTTGTGCATTACAACACGTACATTTTTCGCAGAACTTTTCCATATGCAAGTCGCTAATTTATTTAATTCTTATCCTCATTACGAGTTATCGCCATAATCAGATAATTAATCAGTAATCAAGCCCACTTTATTTCCTTCCGATTAGATTTGAAGACAACTTCCAAAACAAAGGAAAAGAAAGATTGAAATATAGATCAAACAACGTTGAAGCAAGGTAAGATAATCATGACTCACAAATAACGAATTGATAACTGGAGCAGAGGATTGCTCCAGAATGAACCAGTAATGTAGAATACACATGATTATCTTTAGAAACTTTACAAAATACTGCTTCTTCAGTGCCATGTTCTTTTTAAAAGCCGCATAACTAGTCCAGTTTCTAAACCCTCCCTCTCGCTGAGTTTGAAATCTCTCTCTCTCTCTCTCTTCATCCTCTCGGGTTCAACCGCTGTGCACAATGCACAAGCAATAAAGAACTGGACTACCAAGGACGTATAATTCAACCAAGACAGCAGAGCATGCGCAGAGTAGAGTCTATGTACGACAATGTTTCTCTATACAGCCAATCTCATTTCAAATCATGCTTACATTTCAGATTCACCGTCACCAAGAGCAGTGAAAAGACGTTTTATTTCCAATACTTCTCAGTACGATTGGTAATATTTTTATTTACTTGCTCATCGTCGCGATGATTCAGTGGGAGGCTGTTAGCCAGATGATGACGAGTTTGTTGCTCCAGTGCCGTTCTATTTGCGGACAAATCACCTTGAATCAGGGAACTATAATAACAAATGAAGTGCTATGAAAAATTGAAATCACCCTTGAATCAAAGTAATCGCTATAGTGTATAGCGATTACTTTGCTATAAATCTGATTCTAGCAGTAACGTTATTATGTGAGACTTTGTAATCTGGCTACAACAGTTTTTTCATCGGATTCTAAACTTTATTGTACGACGCTTTGTAATCTTGTGACAAAATTTTTATATTTTAGTCTAGCACCACAGTTTTGCTATTCTAACCCTCTGCCTAAATTCTATCGCAATTTTTTTGCATTTGATAAGACTTTTATGGTCTTAATTATTTGAGAAAAATGATAGGCGATTGTTTGCCGGAAATTTGTAACTCTATTTGAGCTCAGATTTTAGGGGCGGTTTTACATAACACTGTATAATTTTTTAATAATTTTGTGCGGTCAGTTATTGGATGTAAGATTTAGACTGATATTTGACGGACGAAAGCATTAGTTTTCTTCTAGTCGCGAAAAAATCCAGTGGATGGTATTTTGAATCTGTGATTTTTTTGGAGTTATATGACCAAGATTATAGCCGTAGTTGGGTTAGAGTTTGTTTTTAGGCCTCGGATGAGTAGGACAGAGATTGTTGAATTATCTAGTTTAGTTCAGTATTACTTGTAGAGAGGTAATTTAAACTCAATAAACAAAACATAACCATCCAGACGAAATTCTTTTTATGAACTTGATCGTATCAACAGGAAACAAATCTGATCCAGGGACAGATTGTCGATCCAGAAATGTAGCTTGGCAGCCTAGACATATTTTATCCTCCTTGACTGATGCGCCAAAGGAAAGAGCCTTGCAGTTGACATGAGTGTAAGGTCTTAAAACGAACATGGTCTAAATCTGGTAATAACGAATAGACATCCTTATCCTCTCCCTTACCTCTCAGAGAGCGTTGGTCTCTTATATTATCAATATTGGCCGTAAGGGAAAAGCTGGTGGAAAGTTTGATGGAAAGAGAGATCTTCTGCTCCTCTTCTCTCTCTCTCTCCCTCATACTTTGTCCCATGTGTATGCATTCTGTTGGTTGCTTAGCACTGGTTACCATTGGCGACTTTACACTTTCTGCCATGCGTTGTTTTCGTTACTTTTTGAGTTGTCCTTTAGATAGCAGAGAGTGTCCTTAGTGTGCGTTTAATTGCCCGTCACACGTTCATGTTTAAAAACCATTATATTAAACCGCACTTTGAACTGCACACGCATTTCAACTTGAACTGAGTGGTGTCTAGTAGAAAACGGGTTTTCTACAGCACCCCCACTATCTTTCAGCCTCTGCGCTTAGCATGTACCTGCTAACGAGAACACTGAAAATACAATAAATGGCCGACAGCTTTTATCTCTAGTCATAAATTATTAGTGGTGCCTGCTCATACCTCCGAACGAACGTAATTTCCTCCAAATTTTATCCACAAAATATTGTTTTCTAATCAAGCCGCCGCTGTTTGTGGATGGAATAATAGTTTAATCGAAATACTGTATTGTTGGCGTTGAAAGTTATGCCGATCTTACTTGATCTTCTCCAAAGGAAAGGTTTGTTTAAAATATATTTTTGTCACTGCACTTTCAAAAGCGAGAGGCGAGAATTATGTTTGTATACTGACCCGGTTGTTTAAACTTTGTGACAATATATCCCTCAAACGTACGAATGATCCAAAACATCTTGTCTTAACATTTTGACCAGTCTAGGGAAGAGGAAGCGACCGCAGTAATGGAGGGAAAGCTTGTTTTTCACCTCATAGCCATCGTGATTATGACGGGTAAGTAGTTTGTGTCGTGAACAGCTTCGTGTTAATTCCAGTATCTACTCTCTTGCTCTGTAAACCTCAAACTAAAGCAAGTTATTTGACTACAAATTTTTTTTCTTCAATTTCATCTTGACGGAGAAAATGTTCTCGCTGAACCAACTACAATGAACACGTGACGTATTCATTTTTACGAAACAGGCCTTTCTACTCCAAAGGGGGTTAGATCCTTACACTTGTACAGCTGTTCGTGGAAATAGGAAATCATTGATAGTCTAAAACGTTTACATCTTTTAGTTGAAATGATAGCGGAGAAGTATCTAAATCTCTTAACGATAAAGCCGCAGTTGTATCGCAGGGAACTACATTGCACTCAACCAAACTGATTTCCATGTCGAAAGAGAAATGGACTAAAATCAAGACTGAACGCCGGCTAAACCTAATGGACAAACAGTATCAAATTGAAGGCTATTCAAATTAAATTAGCCCTTTTTTTTAATTTACTGTCGTTAGGGTATGTCTGCAGCATGCATCAAGGTCACAAGAGAACTTTGACTTCCTTGGCGGCAGGTGAGACATGGAGAATGAATTGAATGATCTTTATTTAATTGGTCATCCAATTTGACATCAAACATACCGCGCAGAGTTCTAAGTCTGCCCCCACACTATGATTAATAAGGGAGTGGACACTTAAAAAAGGCGTGGCCCATTAACTTCATTCGAGCACGGAACCACAAGTAGTTGAATTATACATAGTACACGAGTGCCAGAGGTTGATGATTCAAGCTAATAGCTCTCATCTTTACTCAATGGAATTAAGATGTATTTGGCAGAAAATCTTATTATAACTTGAGGAACGAAGGTTCTAAATTCCGAAATGGGTAACTTTATGAATGAGTAGTAGGAGAAATCTCCTTTCATTTCAAGAAAACGCAAGGATTATTTGAGTCCATCACTAAAAAGTCTAAAAGAAGAAGATTATGCCAGTTTCATGGAGCGGAACACGATGGGTGACTTTGTGAATGCAATTGAGCTAATAACGTTTATAGTAAAGACAATCACTACCCGGAGATTGATTATCAAATAGTGGTATTTTGACCGCACAAATAGCATGCATCATGCAGTATGAGACTGGTGTCATAAAATGTTAGAGAGAGTCAAGCACGTACGTACATTAGCCAGGCCAAGTAGTGCTGATAATAATCCGCCTTCTTCATTTTCCAGAGAAACGAGTAACGGTTTGTTCTAAACGAAAGAGCCCACTCACATGCGAGTCACCTGGATCAGCTATCGCTATAACAGGGGTCTTTTGGGGTCGGGAATCCCCTAATATTTGCCCCTCGGATGACGGCGATCCGGTGACAAACTGTCACACAGCCCCCGAGACGGAACACATCGTGAAGGAAATGTGCGAAGGAATGGGAAGTTGTGTATTGGAAGGAAAAGCCGACAAGCTACAGAAAACAAAGCATTGCTTCGGTGTCTCCAAATATCTCTCGGTGAACTATACTTGTGTGCCTCAGAATAAAGAAGCGATTTTGTGCGACTCGGAGCGATCAATGATTTCTTGCCCGTCTGACTGGCTTCTTAGGGTAAATACAGCTTTCTGGGGCCGTGACAGAACTGAAGTTTGTCCATCTGCGAAAGGGCAGGAACTCTGCCCTGGCGCATCAGAGACTGTCTCTAAACTAAGGAGTAGATGTAACAATATTCCTTTCTGCCCTTTACAAGCGTTTTACAGGGAACTGCAAAACGGCGGCGAAAACTGTCCTCATATCGAGAAGTACCTCATAGTGAACTACAGTTGTCGGCCCAGTCCTGAAATCGGACGGCGCGGTCAGCTCGGCCTTATTCCTCTTTCAGTTTACCGCGGACTTCGAAGCCGATCGCTAATTTGGAAACCATCCCCAATGATAAGGAGGAATAAATTTCGAAAGAAGAGTTTCCGAAAAAAGAAACTTAATTTGTAGGGTGCTAACGTATGTCAAAACGATCAAGTAAAAGTGATGCCAGCAACAGTATTTCCACATATAGTCCAAGCAGAGCGTACGGAGTATTCTTTGCGGTAGAAGTTTCGGGCTCATCTCGTTACAATACACATATACGTCAATGCAAAAATAAACAATGCCGTCAATTTTATACCACTTATAACAGAGTACAACTGCTTAACACTACCCATTGTAATATAAGAAATAATTTTGTATATAGTAAACACCGTGCACCATTTATATCGGTGGTTTGTTTGTTTGTTTGTTTGTTTTTTTTGAAGTTTGCTGTATGCCTTCACAAAATTATGTGTCATATCCCCTTGGCAACCCAAAGAAATAAATGATGGTCTTTCGACTGACCTTATCAGGAGTCCAAACTGTGATTATATTCCGTGATATTGCGCCAAAATAACAAACTGTTTGCGAAGCGAATCTTACCGAAGAGTTGGTTGTTGATCACAACTTTGGATACTCGAAAATTGCACTCGTTTAATTAATAAATAAAATCAGTAAATAAACAGCATATTAAAGGTTTTTATCTGAATCGAAACAAATTCTGGAGTTTGTGCATCCTCTCTTAGATTTTAGGTTACCACCTTACATCTATGCACGCACTAAACGATGTGTAACCCCACCCTCCCTACCATCAAGGTCTCTACATGAAAATAGACAGGGCGAAGACTGGTGAGAGAAGAAATATTGTACATGGGGCCGCAGGGGCATTATTCTCTTCGATTCTTAACAGGAGGAGTAAATTTTCATGCTATTTTATCCAGCGGAGACTTAGTAAAGCGCAAGGCATTACGAATAACTTGTCAAAGGTCCCAAACCACAGCAACACCAGGATAGGGGATCAAAGGTAACCCATAACCTAGTATTCTTGCGAGTGCTAAGTTCAGAATAATAAGATTTTAACAAGAAAGAACTACAATTAGCGAAATGTTTTGCTGTTGTCTGCTCTACATCTCTTAAAGATCCTCGAGAGGTTTCTCTCCTCCGACTTGGGTTGAAAACAGTCGCTAAAAGTCGCTAAGTGGAAATAATTCTCCTGCTTTTCAAGAATCTTCAGTTCGAAAAATATGACACCGAGTTTAAATAATGCACGAGCGGAAACCCACCCGCAAAAAGCAGAAATTATGAAGTGTATCAAACTGAAATACGAGGAGGTTCCGCTAAAATTTTTAGAATTTGACAAGGCTTTTGTTCATGAAAAAGATTTATTAGATCACTGCGGTCCTGTTTACGACTATGATCCGGATACATCGTGAGTGACGTCATACAATCCCTGCATAATTCACGTTTTCCGCCTGCAGTCACACAAGGATTAAAAAGAAACAAAAAAGGCAACGTGAAAAGGCCCCAACACAAGGTAACTTAGGTAGTTTGGACTTACTGCTATTTTCTATTCCTCCCCCTGAATAAGAGGTTGTCATTTTGGAAACAAGACTCGTTGTCATCTTCTCAAAGTAAACCAGGCAAACAAGAATCTTTTCGTGATAACCTGTCGTTTACAAGGCGTGAATGGTGACTAATGAAACACCGCCGGAACCCTATTTTTTTTTTCGCGAAAGGTTTCTGGAGGAATGCTTTTAATCAAATATTGTTACTATAATGTTTTTTTGATACACTTGTTGAACAATAATATTCAAAACTGTTTAGTCTAGTGTTGGTGTTATATAGCAGAGATTTGCCTTTGTTGTTAAATTTCAAGCACGTAATCTTTAACAATGAGTCCTCCTGAGGTTATCTTATTTTTGATTTGACGCAGAAGTCATAGGCTTTCAGTGAACTTCGCAATTATACTGATTTTCGATACAAACACGTTAAAACGTCCTTATCTGAACAAACTGGACTAAATTTCACTCTTGACTGATCCAGGTGAAAAAAACAAATTTTGACCTGTTCTCAATTTGTTACCACCCGTTAAGAAAGTTATTCTCCGGTTTGATCTTGTGGTAACATCGAATCACAGGTACAAACACTTTGGCGCCTATTTGACCAATTCTTCGTTAAATCATCAATATTAGTTCTCATATTTTTATTTGCTTTGCTTTTGCAAGGGCAGCGATGGCAAAAAGCCGTTTCATTCACCAAATATTTGCTCTTGTCGCCTTTCTGAACGTAGCATTGGCTTATGTACAAGGTAAGTCTGGTATACCCACATGCTTAGATGTGCGCAAACGCTAAATGTTAGTGGATAAGACACACAAACGCTTATACTTGCAGTGCACAAATCTGAAAAATGTTTGAAAAGTCGTCCAGTAGTTCAGCCTCTAAAAAGAAATTTTGTTCCTCGCCGTCTACATGCATGTGGAACCAATGCATCATTCCTTGAATTAGAGTAGGCTCCTACTTCGCCCGAGAAAAAACATTTTTTTCATACATCGGTGATACTGACTTCGCTGCGTTTTTTCCTCTGAGGTGGAGTTCACAATCAAGATGCAGGGGCTGGTTTGAGTCAGATTGACCTCGAAGCTTGTGAGTATCAAGGCTCTCATAAAAAGATTAGCAACGTGAACATTTGCTTGCAAGAGGACTTGTTCGCTTTTTACTACTTTTTAAGCAAACGGCACTTCAATGTATTAGCACTTAACTATGCTCTCGCGTTAATGGTGACTAATGTTCACGATAAATTAAAGAATAAGAGTCAAGAATAAACTTCCTTTTGGCCAGGCACTTTTGGCGATCCTCAGGAAAGTTTATGGAGCGCACATAAAAATTAATTGTTTGACTTTCTTTTATAAAGTGAACTGTTCGCGTTTTCATAAACTATTTTGGTGAATGGAACGCACTCCACACCAGGATTAATGCTTGTGACTGTTTGTTCGCCCATCTTAAAAAGTGCAGCTCTGTGATAAAATGATTCTTGCCCAGTTCTATAATTTATTTTGTTTCCAGCCAAGGAAATCACCGTTTGTACAACACAGAGGAAACCGCTGAGCTGCTCATACCCGGGCTCAAACATCGCAGTTACAGGTGTATTCTGGGGTCGCAAGTCTGCTGTGATATGTCCTTCAGATGATGGAGATACAATGCTTGACTGCTTCACTGCACCGGAGTCAGAGGGAATAGTGAAGGGGAGATGTGAAGGAAAAGAATCGTGTGAACTTGAAGCCAGGCATGCCTTGCTACAGAACACAGGATCACAACACTGCCCTGGCGTAAATAAATATTTAACTGTCAATTACACGTGTGTGCCTGATGCAAAAGAAGTCGTCATTTGTGATTCTGAAAACTCAAGCCTCACCTGCCCGGCTTCATGGAAGATTGGCGTCAATTCAGTATTCTGGGGACGCCAGTCAACCACTGTCTGTCCGGCGGAGAATGGACAGACCATGTGCACTGGGGCCCCTGAGAGTCTTGGGATTGTGAAGAAGTCATGTGATGGGTTGACCAGGTGTGACGTGCATTCTTCTTATGATCAAGTACAAAATGGCGCCGAAAACTGCCCCGGAGTTCAGAAATACTTGATAATCAACTACAGCTGTAAACCGCATCCAAACATAGGTAGGGTGTGTGAGAGTTGGTAATGCATCTCATGAAACCGTTTATTACTCATAAACAATCTGTGACTTTTCCAGCATGCTGGATCATGTGGTTCAAAGCATGTGGTTCAATTCAATGGATCATGTGGTTCAATTCGGATTAAAGCTGTGCGGTACCTCGAGGTTACTACATGCACAGTTTACGAGGAGCGGTTGTAATCGGATTTTGAACAACCCAACCCTGGTGCACGTTGTACCCTGTCCCAGTAACTGTTGATTTTGGATGGTTTGTCTTGCCTAGACTGTTAAATATCTGCGAAATGCTAAGGGAACGCAAAAAGGGGAGTAGTGATGCTCCTTGTCGCTTAATGCTTAGAAAACCGGGATAAGTCCCGGCTGGCTGGGCCACTTGGCTTGAGTACAGACTTAACATCTTTTTTTAATTTTAATCCACATCGTAGGTACGGAAGAGGATGCCATTCAGAATGACCAAGAGGCAGTTCCCATGAAGGTCCCTCCTGCCAAACCCAAATCAGGACTGGCACCAAACGTTGTGAACGATCTTAAACAGCTGGACGGCGGGGGCCAACAGATTGTGAAAATACCAGCTGAAGAGGGGAATAGTGTTGTTGGAGAGAACTTGAATATTGGACGACTGGGCATGGGAGGCCTCAAGGCTCTGGAGAAGATCAACAATCTTATCAAAGCGTCTGCTGAAACGCAAGATGGCGACGATCCTGGGTCGGACAATGGTTTGACAGATGAACAAGCGCAGGCTATTGAACGTATGATAATTGAAGGAATCCATCATATAAAGAAAAAGCCGTCATTGCCATTGCCTTCTGGTACAGAGAGAGCCTCTATTCCTCGTCAGAAGAACATGCAGAAAACAATTCCCAAGCTACCGCAGGCGGCGAGAAGAAAAGGCGACCCTGTACCACTTCCGACAAAGCTTGTATCTCAAAAGAAAGCAACCAGAGCTCTACCCACTGCAGTACAGGTGGGGGTACCCAGGCTACAGAAAGAAGGGCCTAACGGCAAGGGAACACCGCCAGGTAATCAGGATCAGATGAAAAAAACAGTACCTGGGACTAAAAGGACCTCGCTCAACGAAACAGTCCAAGTTCCAACCAAAAAGAGACCTGTTCCTGTTCTTAAAAACCAGTTCGCGGAACAAAGAAAAAACTCGCAGCCTCAGAAGCTTCGTGGCTTAGGACTTGGAAATGCAGGAGCTGGAAATTCACCTTAATGTATGAAAAATAAAGTCAGCGGCATCGAATCAAAAGGCATGGCGGAAATCCATCCGAGTTGATATTGCAACGGTTGCCTTAAATTGTTTGTTTGTTCGTTTGTTTGTTTTTTATATAGGAAACCGATCCACCTTTTTGATAGATGCTTAGCGCTAGGATAATTGGCTAAGAGATTTTAGCTGATATTGTAACCGAATACAAGACTCTAGTAAAATAAGCCGAGTTAAAGTAAGTAACACTATTTTTTCACCGACAAAAAAAATTATGCACCCTGGGGTCAAGGGTCGTGTGTATGATACTAGGTTAATAGATCATGGTTACACGCAGGAAGCATGAAAAAACCTTAGGTAAACTTTCACATGAACGACTCAATAACTGCAAACATACCCAAACGAACTGAATACAGCTTTTACGCTTTCCGAGTGAACTCTATTACCTAACTTAATGATGCTCAAATGTTTTCAATAAAGAACACAGTGAAACCATCAGTTTTGGTTTTTCCTCCTAAGGAAAACTTTCAACGGTCATTCTAATTCCTTTGTTCCTTCCTCTTGTATCAGCCCATTTCCTAGAATCTTATGTCTCCTTTCACAGGTTTTTCGCATCTCTGTTTTTTTGTCTTTTTGGTTAACGCAACATGAAGATTTAACGTGGTGCAAAATCTACCTAAAGCTGCAGAAATGCTGATTTGCTTTCCTAACAAAATGTAGCACGGAGTAAAATATAAAAAAAAACGTATTCAGGGTCAGCCAGCACAACTAGACGAGTTTAATGCAGCCCAAAGGGGTTGAAAAACTCCTCTTCGCAACACAGTGAGTGAAGAGAAATTGTTATCTCCGGCAAAAACTGAAACGTAGTAAGCGCGTGTATCTACAGAATTGTTTTCCATACTTTTCTCAATCGTCCTCATAGTGCGCGCAACACAGGGTTGCGTTGGGGTAGAAAGGGTTGACGTGTGATTTTCCTGACTTAATGGGAGGCACACTTATGAACTCAATGTCTCAACAAGTCTTTTACGTTAATTCTATCATAAATCGACTCAAACGTGGACATGCGTATAAAAAACAATAAGTATTCGACGCTTCCGAGTTCGCGGCCTACGTCTTCAGCGCTCTATTGTCTTTCTCAACAGTGCGCGCTCAATGGAAAATTAACTCGCGCACCTGCAAAGTTTTGCCGTTCGACTTTTAGTGCCCTTTCTAATAGGAGAAAAGCGTTAGCGAAACAGTGATCATGGCCCAGTTCCAAAGTGGTAATGGCAGTAAGGTGTCGATCATTCTACCAAGAATTCAAATGCAATTTTTTATACAACTGATTAGTTTTTTCACGAACAAAAAGGCCAGTTTAGAAATGCGACAAACCGATATTTATTTACATGCCCTGGAATTATGAATTGAATAAAGTTTTTTTTTTCCGGTAAAACTCCAGCTTCAGATAGTTTACCAGGTTATTGTTCCACAACTGTCTGAGTTAACTCCAGTCTCAGCAGTAATGGTGTATTTTGAGGTCTCTGAAGATTCTTTGGTATTATGACACACACCCATACACCTCCACTGTGACACTTAAAAACCACAAGCACGATGACTATCAACCCGCTTCCCTCGATTCTCAAACCTTCCTGCTCCACCCCCCTGGGGATAAACTGGGCCAAGACACTTCTAAATCCAGAGCCTAAGACACTAGGCACCAGGCCTTTGTGTTTCCCAAAGTATTGAAACGGTTCTCGTAGTTCCAAGAGAGATATCTCTTAGAGGTCTTAGTTGGCCTGACGTAAGACTTACAGATACAACCAACATGCATGAAATCAAACAAATTCCTTTTCTAGACAAATAAACACAGTGCTAACCAACAGTTTGGCAAGTGAAATAGAAACAAATTTCTGTTCCGTTTAAAACATTTAAAACGGAATACAAAATGTTCATAAATATTTAAAAGCAAACTGCGACATTCTGACTTTTTCAGTTTGTGAGCAAGGTGACCTCCAACTGGTGCCTGGGTCAGCAAAATGCATAGTCTACGGTTCACTTAATGGCTTTAAAATCGACTGAGGATATGATAAAATCGGTGTGGAAAACAAACCATATTTTGCGGAGAAAAATCCAACGGAAGATGTGATAGAATGTTGTCTAAGAATGAAGAAATACTTGGTAACTTTCGTGTGGCTTTTGTCTTCTTTGTTTATCGATAGGGTGGAATCGACTGGTACTTTGGACCAATTATCAGGTAGGGTAAAGACCTAATTCTGTCATAGTGTAGTTTAGGCTACCAAAATAACAATACCAATGTTTGTGCAAATATTAAAAATCTTTAATTACTTTCACATAAACGCTTCTTGTAGAAATGCTATAGTGAAATGAGAAAGCGTCAAATGGACCGAAAACATTGCGAATCGTGTTTTTTTTGTATAGTGTTGGATGGTTAGTCTGTTCAAGCGTTCCATCAAAGGCTTATATTCCCTGATATACGATTTTTAAGCGGTCATGTTACCGTTCGGTCGGACCAAACCGGGCTAACGGGCCAGACGTAACCATGTCACAGACCTTTCGGGTCTTCGTTTTTAGGTCTTCGTTTTCAAGTCTTCGTTTTCGGATCTTGGTTTGAGAGCTTATATGATAGAAGTACTTAAAGGTGTTACGAGACAATGAATGCAACTGTTTGTAAATATATGTAAGTGATAGAAATGGTCAAATTTCGAAATTTATTATTTTCGTACAGGAAATATGCCTTTCCATTACAGTATGTCAATTTAATTTGAGATCTCACAAGTATTAACCTGCAAAGAAAAGTACCCTCTTTGGCTTTTTTTAGTTTGAAATGAAGTTGACAGAAAATACAAGTTTAAGAAAAAACAGAAGTATTGGGAAGATTTTTTATGGGAATCATTCAGTAAGTTTCTTTTTGTTAATTATCGCTTACTGTATCAATCTGCAGTTCGAACAGCAACCCCAGGTTCATCAGGGAGCCCAAGAAGTGAAATTGATTTGGAAACAGGTGAGATGCTGGTTGAATAGATCGCTACATATCGATAAAGATGCATGCGAATACGAGTACAATTTTCATCTGGCAAGTGCAGTATGTTATATCACAGTTGTAGTTCAAGAATTACTCAAGCTGGCCTGGCCATTGGCAAAGACACTATACCCTTGCGCTGCCTCCCTCAGCGTAAAAATCGGATCCAGAAAATCGATGAGTATCAGAAAATTCTCGGTGGAACCACATAAATGTTTGCGTCTGACTTAATTTAAAACCTGCAGCAAGAAAGAAGGACAGAAGGACAGAAGGGGTGGGGGAGTGGAACATGCGTTGCCATCACTGAATAAGTTTAACGAACCAATCCATGGGTAAATTTGGAGCATGTCAGAACCAGAACATTTGCGAGCAGAAAGATTTTCTGCATGAAACATTAACTGTCCGGTTTAATTTGTTTCTGTCTTAGATAAGTCTGTCATTATTTGTGCTGGTCAGAACAAGTCATTGGAATGTTTCTCTCCTGGATCAACCATCGCTATAGAGGAAGCTTTCTGGGGACGCTTGTCAGCCGAAATATGCCCTTCGGAGGACGGAGATCCTGTCACGAACTGCCTCAGTGATCCCACCACCACACCTATCGTACGGAATCTGTGCGATGATAAGGAATACTGCGAGATACCCGCCCGGCACAACGTTCTACAGCCCCCAGGGGTTAAACACTGCCCTGGTGTAAATAAATATTTGGCTGTTAAGTATACATGTATGCCTGAAAAGCGAAAATTTGTGCTGTGCAACGGTGAGACAACTGAGCTTCAGTGCGGTCAGGGATGGAAGATACATATCATGTCAACCTACTGGGGTAGAGATTCGCCTTCCACTTGCCCTACTCCCTTGGGGAAGTTCTTCACTTGCGCAAACTCAGCAAGCAGTATTTTAGCGTTGAAGGAGAGATGTTCTGGAAGGGAGAGTTGCATTGTAACGGCAGATGATAAACATCTTACTAAAGATGGAAACCACTGTCCAGGGATTGACAAGTATGCTCTGATCAGCTACAGATGCCAGCCACCTAGCGATGTCGTGGGTTAGTGAGCTGAGACAAAAGTTGAAATTAAGGAATGAAAAATTTTTTTTATCTGGCGTCTTTCCTCCCTCGAGGACTGAGGTGTGAATCCTCGTGAGGTCTCTTATCTTTTCATAAAGAGAATGCTTTGTATTGACCCACGCCGGTGATTAGTAAAAACAGCTTATCTTTCCTAATTCGAAGACGGAGATACTTTTGTACCATCGCTCTTCAGCTAATTAGGCTTTCAACATTACTGATCCTAACAGTAGGCTGGACACTTGTCACATATGAGCCTAGTAGTTGAACCAGAGGTCCTACGCTCGATTTCTGACAAATGAATAAAATATCTTTCTTTACGATTTTTTATCTTAGCAGATATGCCCAACTCAGATGGCGAAAAGCAGCTGCTTGAAACATTACAACAGGACACAGTCAGACCACTACACTCCTTGCTTCATCTGACACCAAATGCAAAGACTCCATTCCCCGCTCAGAGAGTTGGTGAACTAAACTTAAGTATGTTGCTTCCAGTTCCTCAGTACAATCATTCTGATCAGCTAAAACCAATTTTCGATTTTCTCGGAGGACAAAGTGACGGAAAGAATAAATCATCGCTCGGAGAAAATCTGCCTGTTCCAAAAGATTCCTGGCCGCTTTGGTCAAATAAAAAGGACACCTCAACTTCAGCAGCTCAAGGTGGCATTGGAGCTTCTTCACTCGCGAAACACAAGGGTATATCACTATCAAGAAAGCTGCCTGTGGCTAACCTCGCTTTGAACTCTGAACCGGGCGTGGGTAATAGCCAGGAATCTCCCACAAAAAAACCTGAGTTTATCTCACGTGTAAATCCAACTTCCTCCATGAAGTCAGTATCATCTAATGACGCGAACGTTCACGATGTCTTAAATGCGATATCGCCTTTGTCTAAAAATTCCCCTTCACAAACACCTTTAGAGTCTTCAATGAATCAATCACCAAACCCGCAAGTCTCTACTACAATAGAGCCATTTGAGAGCCTTATAAAAACTTTTTTGACGAGCAAATTTGGACAAACGTTGTCGAAAAGTCTACTTGACTCGGGTAGAACCGAGGATTCTTCATACAAAAACATAATGGCGCAGCATTTTGGCTCTGCTGTTCAAGCAAGCCCACCTTCAGTCAGTAAGACATCAACAAACGAACACACGGTCGCAAATCTCCTATCCGGCCTGATACATCAACCGTCAGGCCATGGACCAGCAAGCATTTCGGCCGCAAACAAGGACAATGAACAGATAGCCACTAAGGGTAACAACAAAATGTCCTCTGCGACGATTTCTATAGGAAATAAAGAATTTTCATTGGCTGATTTATCCAAAGCTTTAAACAACGATCAGCAGGCTCCAAATGAATTACAAGGTACAAAAACAGAAGTTCAGTCATCAAAAGAGAGTCACAAGCAGCGAACCAAAGAGAAAATTAGGAAGCTAAATGAAAAGATTGCCACACTAGAAACTCTAAGCGATGCATTGGATGCTTTGACAACGCGACTATCGCCAGAGGAAAGCCAAGGAGAAAACAAGCAGGAAGAAATCTCGCCCAGCTCAGAGGAACCAGTCACTTTAGGGCGAGACAAACGTAAAAAGCATCATACACATCATAATCGTCATCATCAAAGTTATGAGTTCACGCAAGACATGAATATGATAGGATCCCTCTTAGGTTGGGATACACCCGATACAGAGATAGAGAAGGAAACTCCTCTCGTTCGAAAAAAGGATGAGGACTCGAACTCAATTGAGGGGATAAAAGGGAATAAAGGGTTAAGTTCAAAAGACTTACAAACTTTGCAAAGCAAGATAAATAAGGCGATAGAAGTGGCTGAAACTGCAGGAAGAAAGCACGATTCTAAGAGGCCAACTCCATCCGCGTTGTTACCGCTCCTTTTATCGGGAAAGTTAGGCGAAGATGTTGGGGCACAAACACGAGAAGAAGTAGCAACCATTCATTCCAGCCAAGGAGCATCAAAAGGATTTCTTCCAGCCACGGACAAGGAGCTGCAAGCGTTGCAAGATATTTTAACTAAGCTGATTGACAACGCCATGAGAAAGGGTACATTGAAGCAGTTAGTGAAACGATGGGATAAGAGTGGAGGTCCGTTTGCAGACATTGCAAGAAACATATCAGAATATTTAAAGGGAAACAGCAAAATGAAAAGACCAGTTACACTGCTGGGAGTTGCAAAAAACTTTGCCGGCAAAGGTGTAACAGTTCCAGGTAATTTGACTTCCCAGTTGTCAAAAGGCGCTGCGGGTCAAAAAAGTGGATTAAACAATATCAAAACGTCTGCTCTTTTTACTGAAGCTGTAAACGAACTGCTTGGGGCGCTTTCGAAGCGCCATGGACTACACAGAAGAAATTCCACGAACCGTTCGTCATTTGTGCCAACTAATACTCTAGTTAACTTTAAAGGAGTACTTCTTGGAGGGCGCATTAACAAGCTCCCGCCCCCAGAAGATCCGCTAGCTGTCATGGAAAGTAAGGTTCTTGCAGAAATCTTGAGCGGAAAAAAAAACAAAACGCTTGTCACAAATTCTTCTGGAGCTAACAAAGCACTGAATAAAGATAGCAGCAGAATTGACCTGACGCACAATAATCACACACAACTGGTTCAACATCCTTTAGGTGAACAGATTAAACAAAAACTCTCCTTCTCAAGCTATGAAAAAAAGAACGTATCTAAAAGCATTCGGAATAACACCTTGATGGATTTCATGAACAGTATGGAGATATCTGAGAGAGCTAAAAGCCTTCCAAAGAATGCTAAACCTGGTAATAAACATTCTAAAGTGAGTCCTCGTATCGATGATTTGATGACGGTGATTGCAGCAAGTCTATTAGATCTTAATGAGGTCAAAGAGGGGAACTCTTCAAAACACAAGCCATTAATAAAGTACGACGAGAGTGGTATTGATAAATTTCCAAATGACCATAAGATAAGCGACTTTTCTAGTGGAGACGCTATACTGCAAGCACCCACAGATCACTCAGCATATGTTACCAGCAATACCAGCAGCAGTAATCGATCCAGTGAGCTGAATAAGTCTACGAAATTGCCTATTAAAGTTACTTTGCGACAGAATAATACGAAAGACGTTTTACCAAATGAAAAAACCAAAGCTACAGCTGGAGAAACCCAGAAAATTGACTCCGGTGATCAGACAGTAACGTTAACTTTGGAAACGTTAGATGACGTTCCCACGCCCTCCCCGCCACACAATGAAACGACCACGATACAAAACGGATTACGTAATGATAAAGTGCCACATTATCTCAACGTTCAATCAGTGGTAACACTTGGTAAAATAAACGCCACTCATGCGAAAGATAAAGAGCATTCCTTTACACAAAGAATAATCAAAGAGGAACCAAAGGTGGAATCTGATTTTACCGTGGGCACAAGGAGGCCTGAAGTAGCTCTGCCATCAGATGATGACGGAAAATTAACGACCATCTCGGCTTCCCCTGAGTTAAATCCTGAAACTGAGGGAAATACCCAGAAGCCGTCAAACCAAGATCCTCCCCTTAATTTGCAAATGAATGCCATAGGTAGAATAGCAGGAAATACTGACCAGTCATCCGTCACACCCGCTGATCTGTTTGCTGCCTTGACGCCGATTCCAGAGCTCTCCCCTGGATCCTTGGCCTCTAACATTGGCGAGACAAAATCTTTCGAAGACAAAGTTTTACCAATAGCCTCAGATTTAACTCTGTCAACCGATTCTAAAAGCGGAGAAACCGAGAGCATTGCTTCAAAAGTGTCACCTTCTAATGATGACAATTCCAGCCTTAACAAACCAAGTTCCCCTGCTATCACACAAGGAGGCGACACCAGACCAACCGCGGCTGAAATACGAGAAATATCAACCTCAATCAAGGCTTTGTTGAAAGTTCTAAACACCTATTCAACGAAGTTAAGACTTGAGGACGATCAAGGCGAAGAAGCTTCACCGAAGGGCACACTCCCTACAAGGAGCAGCACAGTCAGTAAAATGAACACTAGTGGTACAAACGTAAAGGAAGAGGAGCTGAAAAAACCTTGGAAAACAGAGCTTCCAGCCACAAAGTATACCAACAACGTATATGCAAGCTTTCCTGTCTCATCACCAACACTACCCAAATATGCTGATAGTGGCGTGTTCGAAAACATCCAGGAACAGCCACGTACAGAAGCAAGTAACTTCAATTGGAATCCAGCACAAGAGCGCATGCGTGCCCAATTACCTTTCGACGTGAGCCCCACGAAGACAAGCTTGGAGCCTCAAATGGGTGCTGAACAGTGGAGGCCTGGGAACGAAATAAATACCATCGGTGAAGAGCTTAAAGAGTTGAATTTACCTTCCATTGAGGATGACCCCACGGTGCGAGCAGTTCAAAAAATGGTTGCAGACGAAAATGCGTTGATAAGCCAGAAACGAAAAGCGATTCAAAGGGTCAAGCCTCAGGTTTCTAGTACAGCTAAGAGTCAACTGCCAGGTAGACCAGGAGTGTTTAGTCGCAATAAAATACCGAAACACAGAGGTCATCCAAGAAATAGTTCGCTTGTGGAAAGTGAAAAGAACCACAAGAAATTTCCTTCTTTGGATCAAAGGAACAAGAAAAGGAAGAAGGATGCAAGAGACAGGAACATCATCGCAAAGCTGAGCAACAATACGAGTTCTCACCACAACACATCGATTGTTGGTAACATAACAACCCCCTTACCTACCCCACAAAGGAATGTAACCCACCAAAATGATAAAAAATTCTACATTAAAAAAGTGATACGGAAAAACACACACTATACCAAGACAATGAGGAACAGAGACGAAATACCCGGCGAACCCGTCAACACACATAGACTTAACGATTCTGCGCATGAAATGCAAGGCAAGTCGAATATTCAGAAAAGGCCGGTTCACACAAACATAACTTCTGCTGGAGTGGCTGCGGCTCTGAAAAGTACCAAGCACGGAAAACGAAAAGGGAAAGCTTCTGCTGAAGAAAAAAGTTATGACGGATCACACCGCACTAATGTCGTCAGTGATATGACAACCGTCAAGAAAGTCACAAAAGAAAAACTAAACGTTGCTGTCATTAAAGGAATCGCCCCAAATAAAAATGGAACTGTGTTAAAACAGAACCACGATAAACCATCAAACGTCACAAGCAAAATAAACTAGCGACTTAAACTTCAAATCCTTGCACGAGAGACCAGCCGGGTTACGTCATAAATGCACACTAGGTTAGCCCTTTAACCCCTAAGAGTGCTTGAATTCTAGTTTCTCCTTACAGTATCAGCCTTAAATCAAATGTAAAGTTAATGAGAATAAAGAAACTAATAACAAATTTAAGAAGGTCCCGATCGTTGAACAATTCGTGTTGTCAGTACCATGGGAAAAGTAAAGAGAACAGATTGGAGAATTTTGATACCAATGTTAAGGTGTAATTTTAAGGGTGAAACAAAATAGATTTCTTGGACTATGGTGATGTTACAGATGTAATGCGTTATCTGCATGAATGAGCTCCATGTTCAGCGATAAGTCTTTTATTTAAAAGCGTAGAGTTGATGCTTCAATCAAACGCGTTTTTTAAAAAGATGATTGGGAAAAAAAAAGCTGCGTCGAAGTCTAATGAATAATTTTAGTTGTAGAAATAAAAATTAATAGAAGTATCACCCATTCAACCGACGCAATTGACCTCAGAATAATTGAACGCGCACTTTGTCGAAAACTCAGCTGAATAAAATCTTATTCTTTTTCTCAATGAACCGATCACCAGAATTAAACATGAAGAAATAAATAAACCACCATAGTATTCACCATTTCGGTATACGATAAAATCTTACAAAATAAAAGATAGGTCTTCGACCTCTTTGGTTTCAGTTTGATAACGATGAAATCAATTGTACTGTATAGTGTGTCAATCACGCGACACTTTTCGGTAAGGTCAATTGGATGCCATGATGATAAATTGTCAAAGTTATGAAAGTAGGAGAGTTGTTCACTAATTGAGAAATTAAGGGCAAGGAAGTATGACAAAAGGAAGTCATGGGTAGTGCGATGGGTTTTAGTTTTTTTTTAAAGCAGAAATATGTACGCTTAAGTTCCTCTACTAAAATTATTAATTGATCTATTCATTTCATTCAAAAATTGTCACCAAACCAAGATGTTTTATATGTATTTATCATCACACCTGTAAAAGTTGGCGGCAATACTATGAAAATTATGTGCTACTGCGCGATTAAGAAGTGACGAAGCAACTGTATAAACAGAATATTGTGAAAACCGAACGGATAAAAAAATCAACATTCTCATTGAGTCTTGGGTGGGAGTCGAATGCGTTTAACATGAAATTGATATATAGCTGTTTTTGCTTTGAAAAAGACCCAAACTCTCTATATTCTCCGGTTCAAAATGTATTGAAATGTTTTAAAGAATGATATAATCATATATCAAACGACAACGGGTACAACAGCAAAAACTGTTTAATTTCTAGTCAATATTCTATGGTAATTACAGTCAATATTCTATGGTAATTACGGTCTGCGGTCTGGTTATAAGAATATTTGAGAAAGTAAAATGGAATTTACACGTATTTCACTCGCCATATTCGGTACACAAGAAGGAAGTTGAATCAGTTCGAATCTTCCTGATTTGCTGATGATAATTTAGCTTCCGTTTAAGTAATACTAGAGGTACATAAGTTTAATAAAAATCCAATCAGAGAAAAAATGTCATGGTTGGCTGCTATTTACAAAGCTTTATTTGCACATCAGAATTATTAATTTTTTGACACGGCAATGAAATAGCGATCGATGTATGTAAAGTAAACCTTCCATTGAAACATATTTAAGACTGATGATTTTGCATCGTTGAGAAGCTGAGGTAAATTAACGGCTGTGATCTAAACCGGAAGTTGTTATTTACTGATCTATTTAAAATCTTAAACGGGGTGAGCGACTTTTATTTTCCGACTGTCACGTGTCAATAAGGAAAGCGACCACCGTAGCACAAAAAAATGGCGGCCGTCAACTATGTTTTCATAGTAATAGTAATTGTAATTTCTTCCTACATTACTGGATCTAAATCTGGAGGATTTTGTGATGTTCGGAGGAAGAGAATTGTCTCGTCTTTAGTACACGAAGGCTACATTCATAACGAAGATCTGAAATGTTTGCTCCGATCTCTCGTGTATCAACATCGCAACATCGCCCGTCTACACAGAATTGGCAAATCAGTGTACAATCGTGAATTGCTCGCCATTCAAATAACTGAAAATCCACGGATAAGGAAGCCAGGAAAACCGATGTTCAAATATGTCGGAAACATGCACGGAAATGAAGCAGTGGGCAGACAAGTGCTGATTTATCTCATTGCTTACTTACTCGAAAATTATGGTCAAAACGATCGAGTCACTAAGTTGGTTAACAACACTGATATATTTATTATGCCTTCAATGAACCCGGATGGCTTTGAAAAAGCAATAGAAGGTATCTGCTCTGGTGAAATTGGACGTCCTAATCGTAACGGTGTCGATTTAAATCGTAATTTTCCCGATCAGTTCAATAATTGGAACGACTACAATGTCGGATCAGCACAACCAGAAACAAAAGCCATGTTGAAGTGGATTCTGGAAACTCCTTTCGTATTGTCGGCGAATTTACACGGTGGGTCCCTTGTAGCAAGCTATCCATATGATAGCAATAAAGAACACATAAGGTCTGGTGGATACAGTGCATCACCGGATGATAATTTCTTCAGACATTTAGCTAGCGTTTATGCCACGAAACACCCGACAATGGGTAAAATGGGGAAAAGAGACTGCACCCGTGGCCAATTTACAGGGGGTATTACTAACGGTGCCTACTGGTATGATGTCGCGGGTGGCATGCAAGACGTCAACTACCTGATTAGCAATTGCTTTGAAATCACACTTGAATTATCCTGTTGTAAATATCCATCCAAAAGCCATTTGCCAAGAGAGTGGAATAACAATCGCGAGGCGTTGTTGGCATACATAGAACAAGTGCATAGAGGAATCAAAGGGTTTGTCAAAGATCAACATGGGGTTGGTATCCAAAATGCAGTGGTTCATGTGCATGGAATAGATCATAACGTAACAACAGCGTTACATGGTGACTTCTGGCGTCTTTTGTTGCCAGGGGTGTATACAGTCAGTGTTTATGCTTCAGGACACAATTGCCAAACACTGAGTAATATTAGTGTGAGCTCTGAGGAAGCTACACCATTGGAATTTGTGTTAGAGAGAAATGAAAATCAGAGAGATACCCCTTTGCGTCACATACCATGGCTCACAGAACGGTTTTTTAGAACTAGGAGAGATCTGTCTGCCAGCTTTCAACTTGCTAACCATAAAGTTGAAGTTCCCTTCACAAGCATCAGCCTTACCAGTAAAGATTACACTCAAGTTGTTAATGACTGGGAGAAACCAAGGATATTCAAAAACCATAATTTTCATGACATGGCAACATTCCTACAGACAATAATAAAGTTGTATCCAAATATCACTAAGCTGTACTCAGTTGGAAAGTCAGTGCAAGAAAGGGAGTTGTGGGTGATTGAAATTACTGACAACCCAGGAATTCATGAACCAGGAGAACCAGAGTTTAAGTACGTTGGAAACATGCATGGTGATGAGGTTGTTGGAAGAGAAACCCTTTTGCTTTTAATTCAAGCTCTTTGTGAGAACTATGGCAAAGTACCTGCGATAACAGCACTTGTAGATTACACTCGCATCCATATTATGCCCTCAATGAACCCTGATGGATATGAGCGAGGTACTCGTCAAAATGCCAGAAATGTTGATCTAAACAGAAACTTTCCAGACCAGTTTTGGCCATATATGAATAGGATTCACCAGCCAGAAACTTCTGCTGTCATGAAATGGATAACTTCCATGCCATTTGTGCTGTCAGCAAATCTTCACGGGGGCTCCATTGTAGCAAACTATCCATATGACGATTCACCTGGCAAACAAAAAAGTTCATACAGCAGGAGCCCAGATGATGCTGTCTTCCGACAGTTAGCATTGTCCTACTCCAAGGCACACCCTACTATGGGAGGAGGACGGCCCTGTTCTGATTACCCTGATGAATATTTCAAAGATGGTATTACTAATGGGGCAGAATGGTACAGTGTTATAGGTGGAATGCAAGACTACAACTATGTACACTCAAACTGCTTTGAAATTACCATAGAGATGAGTTGTGTGAAGTTTCCTCCTGAGTCTAAACTCAAATCCTATTGGGATGCCCATAAGGTGTCTCTTTTGACATTTATGTCTCAGGTCCACACTGGTGTGAAAGGCTTCATAAAAAATGAGCAAGGGGTTGGAATTTCCCATGCCACCATTTCTCTTTCTGGAATAAGACATAACATCAGCTCTGCCAATGATGGTGACTACTGGAGACTCCTAGTTCCAGGGAGCTACATTATTACTGCCTCTGCTGCAGGTTACATTTCTTCTACCCAAAGTGTTGTTGTTCCTTCTGGTCTAGCTACAGAACTAAATTTTGTATTGAGACAGGTTGGACAGCCCTCAATTGCCACAGAGAAGATACCCCTCCAAAGTTTCACCACCCAAAAACTTTACCCTGTGGAAACAAATACAACCCCTCAAGAAACAGCTTTTTCCCAACAAACCTCTGTACATCAGCCAACTTCAAGTTCTGTTACCTCAAGTCCTGCAGAAATAAAATCAACTGTTAAAGTCCTGGTCCCTTCTCAATCAGTAGGTAGGTTGAATTTAATTTTATCTAGTATGTTTAAGTTTACACCTCTCAGAAACAAAAAAACTGGTTTATTTCTGTCTATATGCCAAAAAATGGTTGGAAAATAATTAAATTGTCAAGAGGTGGTTTATCTCTTTGGCTGCTTGGAGTTGAATAGCACTCGTAATCACTTCCAAACCACCAATCGGCATGCAATAAAAGCACTATTCACCTGTGTGGTATATACTAATTTTCAATATTCATGTAAAATAGACAAATTTCTCATAGTGGAAAGATAGCAAGTATGAGTAGTTTAAGGATACTTCACTCAGAAATCTGGGACTCTTTTTTTTTTCCAAACAAACTTTAGGGTATGATTGAAACCACTATAGTAACCCTGGGGCCCTGAGAGTGACTAGCATCTCGTTTCTCTTACAATGTAACCCTCAAGCACTCATTAAGGCCAGGAGAAAAAAGGGAATTATCACCACCTAAAGAAGCTCTTGATTGTTAAACAAATTCTCCTTGTCAGCACCTTAGGAAATGCATAGGTTACAGTATGGAGAATATGCGTACTGATGTTAGGATGGAAAGGGTTTAAGATACATCATATTGAACATGAGATACACAAAAGAACAAAAAATAAGAGAGCACAAGAACAATGTAAGAAGTCCCACTAGTATGGATTAACCCTTTAACTCCCAGGAAGTGATTAACATAAAACTTCTCCCTACAATATCCATACATTCTTCAGCAAACAGGTAATGAGAATATTCAAACTTATCAGGTAGAAGCTGCTGTATTGATCTAGCACCAAGTTCTCATAAATAATTTACAAGGAAATGTGTAGCAGCTACAGGGGAGAATTAACAATCAGATCTTGGGAGTTAATGAGTTAAGAGTCCTCATGGTAGCTTTTCTATCCAGGAATGTTAGAAATTAAAGAATATTTATTTTATGGAAAGCCTGTGAAATACAAGAGGACAAATAGAAAGTTTTACCATCCTGTTTAGGATTAAAAAAAGTACCAAAATGCTCTTATATCATTAACCCACATACTCTAATGTCATTTTGGATAAGATACAAACCAGTTTTTTTTTTCATATTTCCTTCACCAGTCTTGTCAGTGAATTACTCTCAACACAATTACCAACAGCTGACATCTTTTCTTAAAGAGCAAGCTAACAAGTGTTCTAGCATAACCAAGCTGACAACTATTGGAACTAGCCGTGAAGGAAGGGAAATCTATTCATTGGTAATGACAGTGATGTCTGCACACGAAGAGGGTAAAGCTCATGTTGGACTTGTTGGTAGTTTAGAAGGAACTGACATAACTGGGAAAGAGCTTCTTCTTAAAATGATTGAGTACCTTTGCAACAAATATCAAGGAAAGGACGATAGTGTCACCAGACTTCTTCAGAGCACAGTTCTTCACATTGTTCCAGCAGTAGATCTTGATGGAAATGAAAAGGCAAGAGAGGGTGATTGTAATGGAATAATGGAACCTAAAGATGACTTATCAAGAAGTTTTTATTTCAACCTAACTCAGAACGAGCAGAGTACACTGCTAAAGAATATTGAAGAGGTGAGATGTGGTGATTTTTACTTAGATGTTTTATTCTTAATGTTGACAGTAGTGAGTGGCATCAAAGGGGAAAGGAAAATTAGTTGCAACCAGAGCATGGTGGAATACGAGTAAACCTTGCTCTTGGGATCTTTCTCTTCCTCCAGCCACCAGGAGGTTGAAAGAGGAGGAACCATTCGATTTAGGCTGGTGATAAAGGGGCTTGTAAGAGCTTCAGCTGTGAAAAAACTGTTCCCTTCTCACTGCTACCATCTATATTGGACTGGAAGCAACATAGGGTAGTGTTTGTTTGCCTATTAGTTTCTTGAATGTCAGGTTAAGATCTCAAGATTAGCCAACAAACTTTTCCTGTTGCTTAGATCTGTGGTTAAAAGTGGAAGGATTTTTAAGACAAAAATTTAAAGTGATACCTAGAATGTTCCTTTTATTCTAGTTTCTTCAGTCAGCCGCTGATGAACCTCAGGAAGTTAAACATTTGAAAGAGTGGATGAACAAGCATAACTTTGTACTTCTGGCTGACTTTAGTGGGGGTGAATTGGTGGCAAGGTGAGGAGTGCAAAATTGTTTCTTTTGTTTTGCAGGAGGGGGAAGTTGTTGTTGTTGTTATAAATCTTATTTCATAATTATCTTATTTCTTATATTCTTATATAAGAATAACACTTTTTTATCGTACAACAACTTGAAGTGTCATTCTGCCATTTCTTTCGTCCAATCAGTTCAGACAAACGAGACAAGCGCGAAGCGAGCGCAACGGGTGACTCAAGCGCAAGTGGAGAAGACTGGAAACAAATACGTCCACAGGGAAACCAGGCTTTTTTTGTCACGCTTCCCGCCTAGCGCGTTCTCACCCCCGTGCTTGTCTGGCACTTACTGCCGCTTGTCTGAAAAACGTAATTGATGACGCCTGTCCCGTGGGCAACTTGAAATCGAGTTCCACCCTGTGTCTAAATATAATCTTCCACTTCATTTCACAGGTATCCCATGAGCGTCCATACCTCCCACAGTGAATATGTGAAAGGTTCAGTGACAACAGATGACAAGTTGTTTAAAGAGCTTGCTCTTAGCTATTCCACGAATCATCTCAGAATGCAACATGGAAGTAGTTGTAATGAATCTGCCGCTGGGTTTCCAAATGGAATAGTGAATGGGGCACAGTGGAAAGAGTCTTATTACACCATGCAGGACTATGCCTATTTGAGTCTGGGCATTCCACAACTCTCGTTCTTCATTTCCTGTTGCAAGTACCCACCGCTCAAAGAACTAGATAGTATTTGGGAGGCAAATCGTCAGGCGCTGTTAGGCTTTTTAGAAAAAGCTCATCAAGGAGTACAAGGTGTTATTCACAACCTAGATCACCGTCCGGTAAATGACACTACAGTCACAATAAGGAGCCCAAACGCAGACATTGTCCTCAAACAAAATGGAGCAAAATTCTATCGAGCTCTTGCCAAGGGGAAGTATAAGATCACTGTGAATGCACCGGGTTATTCAAGTACTACCAAAGAGGTGACGATCAGTGAAGGTTTAAGAGCAAACATCATGTTTAATTTGCATAAAATACCACGATTTTTCCATCATAAATATGCCGCCATGGAGAAGTTTCTTCGAAACATATCGTCCACATGTCCAGGCATCACAAGGCTGTACAGCATTGGACAAACTGTTCAGTTCCGCAACATCTGGGTCATGGAGATCTCGGATAACCCCGGGGTACATGAACCAGGGGAGCCGGAGTTTAGCTATGTGGGTGGCGTCCATGGTAATGAAGTAGTTGGTAAAGAGATGCTGCTGATGATGATTCAGCATCTGTGTTTGAGTTACGGTAAAGATGACTTGGTCACGCGGTTGGTAAACAGCACTAGAATACATATCTTGCCTGCCCTGAACTCAGATGGATACGAGCTGGCCTCCGAAGGAGACTGTTCATCTGACAAGGGAAGGAATAATGCTAGAGACGTGGATATCAACGCTGATTTTCCGGGTATGTTCTCGTCTTTGAATTCAAAATAATCTCATTAAGGAGCATTTGATGAATCGTTTCGTGTCCAAGGTGATGTTTTTGTATCGGACTCATTGAGCACTAATTCAAAACTGTCAAATTTCCATAGATACCACGTAGTATAAGCTTCGTAACAACCATTCCATCCTTTTAACTCTCAAGGTTAATTTTTAACTTTCGTGGATGGTTACATAACATTTCCTCTCAAATAAGTTCTGAGTTGGGCGCTAAATCAAAATGACACCATCTAACTGACCAGTTCCTTCACTCTCATAACCTGTTTGCTGGATAAGATGTCGATGTTGTAAGGAGAAGTGAAATGTTAATCAGTCGAGGGGTTGATGTCTATCTGTACGTTTACCGGATCAATATCAGTATCTGGGCAACTGCCCACCTACCCCTCCCCTAACCCAACATTAACCCTAACTTGTTATCAATAGACTGTTGTTGGGTTTGGGGAGGGGTAGGTGGGCAGTTGCCCAGATACTGATATTGATCCCGTTTACCTATGTACTGATACGTTTCGCTATTCCCATCACCGGTCTGCTGGATGATGCACTAGTGTTGCAAGAAGAGATCGAGGTTAAAACATTTCTGGAAGTAGTAGGGTTGGTTCTTCTATACGTTTGTCCTTCACAGTATGCTGCTAATTTATGGAAGATGTCGCACACTAGAAACTCTCTTCTGCCTTTGGGCGTCCAGTTCATCTTTTGGCGACTCCTGCCACATATAGCACATTCAATTATCTTGCTGTTGTTGTGTTTTACAGAGTCTCCTGAGTCATCGCAAAAGGTTTTGGAGGCTGAAACAAACGCCATAGTAAAGTGGAGTAAGAAATATCCGTTTGTATTGGCAGCCAGTTTATATGGAGGTTCACTTGTTGCAAGCTATCCCTTTGATGCCCACCCTAAGGGTCGCTCACTTCCCCACCCTACCAATGACGACGACGTCTTCCGTTACTTAGCAAGTACTTATGCTAACTCACATCCATCGATGCATTATGGGAAGCCGTTATGTCCAGGCCCTTCGGTCGGGGAGGAGTTTCCTAAAGGTATCACAAATGGAGCAGCTTGGAAGAGCAAGGAAGGTGGCATGAAAGATTACATATACCAAAATTCCAACTGTTTTGAGATCGGAATACACATGGGCTGTTGTAAATTTCCCTACGCACAGGAGTTGGAGCATCATTGGAAAGAACACAAGGACCCTCTGTTCTTTTTTGTGTTTCAGGTAAGGAACATAACTCTACGAAAATTAAACTTTGCTTTTCGCACCGTCTACTTCATGCAGATGGGAGAACATGAGAACTTTAGTTCCTGAACTCCAATGAATACATCGCGACGCGACGCGAGCCACCCGCGCACACACGATGCGAGCCACTTAACCGTACCTAGTACTGTACCGTACCGTATCGTACCTCATTACAGACATGGCGAAGGTTCACCTTCACCGCGTCTCTCTTCCAGTATACTCGAAGTATGGCTAGTCACCAATTAATTGGGGAACTTGAAAAAAGTTATGGAATGAGTGTCTGGTTTAAAACGAGGATGCCTTCAGTCTTTTCTTCGTAAAGATCTGACCAGAGTTAAATCTCTCTCTCTCTCTCTATTTTGTGATACCTCTGACCCATGAACTTAATTTAATATAAATCAGCTGTATTCTTGTGTGTTATCTTTTTATATTCTATGTGTGATGAGATGCTGTTTTCTTTTTGGGCAGGTTCATCGAGGTGTAAAAGGCTTCGTTTATGATGATGCAGGCTCCCCTATCTCTAACGCAGTAATCTCAGTAGAAGGCCGTGATCATGACGTCACAACTACCAAAGACGGCGATTTTTGGCGAATTCTTACTCCAGGGAAGTATAAAGTTTCCGCTTCGGCGCCAGAGCGGCAAAAAGTGACGTTGGACGTCCAAGTTCATCCAAATGAGCCTGCGTTACAAGTTAAGTTTACCCTGCCTCGACAACATTTAGTGTTTGGCCTACCAGCGGCTGTTATGGTGGGAATATGCGTCCTGGTGGCAGCAGTGTTCCTCCTATTTGTCATAGGACTGTGGCGTTTGGCGCGTTACAGAAAACAACTCACCGTGCGGAGAAATGGATATTTGATGGATTTTGAACACGAACGATCGATAAATTCGTTTAATTCTAAGGCGTTACTGAACAATGAGTATTCAGATGATACTGACGATGACGAAGAGGATATAGTTTTAGAGAATGTCAGACGATGATAATGCAATTTAGATTAGTTATCAAAAAGAATTGAAAGCCATCATTTTGCAAGTGGCTTTTGTTATAACTTTTAGTGTCTCTGGGCTTCAGACACTTTTGAAAATTCAAATTTATCTATTTTTGGACACTGTACAATCCGAATAATTCTAAGTAGACAAATTTATGTTGAAATAATTTTAAATTGAAAAATGAAATCGATGAAAATGATACTTGTTAATCACTTTTGGGAGTTAAGGTTTAAGAGTACAATTGTTGATAGGGCTAGAATATGGCCGCTGGGGGGTTTCATCATAATTTCGTTTCCTATTTTTGTACCGAATGGAAAACCGAGCATTAGCTCTGCTGAAAGTCAGATATGTTGTTTGTGTCTTGACACAGAATTGTTTATTCTTAGTAACTCAACAAAATGAAGAATATATTGTACTTCTAAGGTATTATTACATCCCGCTACAGTTGTTGGGTACAATTTCTTTTATAAGTAAAATAAAGGAATAGAAAAGTTGTCAGTGGATTGGGCTATTTAAAGAATCTTCTTCACCTAAAGATTTCTGGAGAATATCTAATCGTATACTTGGTAAGACCAAAAGTGATAAAATTGGTCCCCTACAAGATTCTAATAACACTATTATTTCAGATGATAGGCAGAAAGCGAATTTGATTAATAACTATTTTATTGATATTGCACATGATCTTACTAAGAACTTGGATCCAGTACATTTGCAGCTGTCACAGTTAATATCTTACATGAACATAGCATCTCTATGGAGGCTTGCCAACAGACCACCGTTTGACAAAGGGGAAGTGAGTAGTTTGTGCGGGCAGAAACGCTTTTTTTACGATCCCTAGTGTAAGTGGGTCTAGATCTGATAGAATCAAGGGATCCTTACTAGGACCAAGATTGTTTGCATCTTATGTTAATGACCTCCCTGAATCTATTACCAGTGGAGAAGTCTATATGTATGCTGACACAACAATATATATATGTAGGGAATACTGTTGATGAAATAACAACAGGGTTACAGGCTGTTTTGGACCAGGTTAATTCCTGGTGTCTTAGTAACAGATTGGCCTCAAACATGTTGCATTGGCTAGATCTGGGGGGTGATGTACTTTCTAAGGTTGGCTGGATGCCTTTAGAGTATTTTTATAAGCTACGATCTTAACTATTACATATAATGCTTATTATAATTTAGGGTTGCGGGGAAATTAATTGTTTGGTGACCAAGAACTCTAACAGTTATAACCTAAGGAAATCCCTGAATGTTGTACTTAATAGGCCCAAAACCGAATTGGGTCGTAGGTCCTTTGCTCATAGATCTGCAGTAGCAGACTGTTAAAGATTCTCCAAATTTATCTATTTTTAAATATAACTTAAAACAATCCAAGCAAACTGTTATGAATATTAATTTTGAAAAGGGAGGTAATGTTATACAAAACATGAAACCAAATTTTCACTATTACTAAAACTTTATGGTTTACTTGATTTATTCAACTTATAAATTTTATCATATCTGTATTTTATATAATTATAGACTAATTAGTTTAGGCAGGTCCACATCAGCTGTAAAGTTGCGCAAATTTTAACCTGCGTTATCAAATAAAGTTATGTATGTATGTATGTATGTATGTATGTGTGGGCAGACTGGTTACCGAAGGCCGAAAAGATTCTCCTCAATCTTGCCTCAAATTACAGATACAGGGTGTTTGTGCAAAGTGAACTTGAATGGAATGAAGACACATTGCGTATTCACGGGAAGTGCAAATTGTTTTCTGGCAAGACATACGTGGATTTTGCTGTTCCCGGTAAAGGATTCTGATCGTCAGCAGAGATCCAACTGGTTTGGGTTCGTATTTTGAAACATGATACGATTGTAGAATTGAAATGTAACCTGGTGTTAACCCTTCCCCAATGTCTAATAACATATAGAGCGGTTGCGTAAAAAATGAATACCACACACGTGTTCATACTTACAAAGAATGTCGAATCCGAGCTGACTACACAAGGGCGCCAGCGTGCAAAACCTGGTTAAAAGTAACTTTTTGAGACCCATCCACACGCTCTGCGTTTCCGCGCGCGTGGTATCGCGTGGGAGAATTACCATGAAAGCGAGGCTGGCGCCATCTTGAAACGCGAATAAGAAAGAAAGATGCCGAAGCGGAAAGAAGCAAGCGAAGAAGATACAAAAGGTTGGTAGAGGTCTCTATTCTACACTAGTTTGAACTGTAATGGACTACAAATTCTAGATTTTATACTATCGAGTTCTCTTATGTTGTGTTTGAGAGCCCCTCGTAACCATATCATTTGGCGGAGACGACTCAAGTTTTAGCTGATATGTTTTGGAACAGTTTCGTTCTTTAATGCTTGTGTTTTATTCAAGTATAAAAATCTCTCGGTGGGCATCAAGACTTAATTTATGGCCATCTAGTAATCTAGCATTCATGTCAAGGAATAAGTGATTTCATAAAGGAGAGGTTAGCTTTTGATCAGAAGATACAAGGAGCATGTACGTTTTCTTGTTTGTGTTTATCATATTGATAAATGGAATTAATTTCTTGTGGCATTTTATGCTCAATCAAAAACCGCAGCGATAAAATTAAAGGATTTTCTCACTGTATGAAGTGTAGTAAACACTCAAAATGACAAATAATTATAAACAAACTGAAGAATCAAACAGGTTGCGAAATTAACCTTAACACCCAGACATCAGTATCCACATTCTCCATACTGTTCTCTATCCATTTCCTTTGGTACTGTCTAGGAGAATTGGTTTATCAATCCAAGCTTTAGATGCTGGTCACTCCTAGGGTTTGAAAGGGTTGAAAGGGTGTTGTGGATGAAATTCATTACTGGAGGAACCAGGGGTGTATGAAAAAGAAAGACAGTAGAGTGTTCTCTGATGAAGATTTTTAAAACCAAACACAGATGTAAATGAGAGAGCTATTTAACTGGAAGTGGTCCCTTTCTTTGTGTTAGAATCATCATCCACTTCTCCTAAAAAGAAACACAAGCACAAACACAAGAAGCACAAGAAGAAGAAGGATCATGGACCAGAGGGACTTGAAGAACCTCGCAAAAAGGAAAAGAACAAAGATAAGAGTAAATCACGAGAGAAAGACAAGGACAGGGATAGCAATAAAGATGAGGGAAAAGCCGTGACTCTTAAGATAAAACTCAGGGGTGAAACATTAGCAACAACACAGTGAGTAGATTGAAATGACACCCTAGGTTTTAGTGCATCAGTCTTACATGTAGCAATATAAATTAACCCTGTCACACCACACTCATATAACACAACAAACAAACAGGACAATGAATCCATTTGGGAATCTTTAATGAGGAAACCAAGGGTCTCTGAGAGCTCAAGGAAAGTCTTTGGAATGGGAGGGAGGGAAATGTAACAGCGGCAATGATGACATGAACAAATGGAATGAAAATGTCAAGCAAATTTCAGTCAACAGAAAGGAATCAATTAGAGGAATATTAGTTGATGGAACACCAAAAGCTAATATCATAGAATTGTACGGCAGACAGCAAGGAGAATTACAAATGAGATCTTGTGGGTGAAACGAGTAAACTGGTGTAATTAAGATGAACCAGCCCATCTTATGGAAATATGTAAGGTAGATTAGAGTTTTTTCAAATATTCAATAACCCATCAAACTGGCTGGTGTTCTAGTATTCTAAACAAAGTGTAATAACTTAACATTTTACTGGCTTGTGTTTTTAGAATGGCAAAAATAGTTCCTGTGAAATCGCCAGAGGCTGTAATAACCAGTGGAGAGGAGGAAGACGAAGATAGTTATCAGCCATCTTGGCAAGGTTTGCTGAATATACAAATATTCACTATATAAGCGTCATAACCCTTAAACTCCCATGAGTGACCAAGACAGAATTTTTCCCTATAATATCATCAAAATATCAAGCAGACAAGTGATGAGAATATTTAGAAAAATATCAACTGGGTATTATTAGTTAATATAATACCAACTTCTCCAAAGTAACATCTTATGAATTGTATAGCAGACAATAAAGAGAATTTCTTATGAGATCCTGGGAGTGAAGGTGGTAGAAGTATCTTCAACGTTGTTAAGTGTACTCTTCATACCTCCTATCCATGGTTCATAGGCTATTGACCCTTTAACTCCCAAGATCTGATTGTTAATTCTCCCCTGTAGCTGCTACACATTTCCTTGTAAATTAGTTATGAGAACTTGGTGCTAGATCAAGATAGCAGCTTCTACCTGATAAGTTTGAATATTCTCATTACCTGTTTGCTGAAGAATGTATGTATATCGTAAAGAGAAGTTTTATGTTAATCACTTCTGGGAGTTTAAGGGTTAATAATAAAATCAAACTGTTCCCCTAAACATGGCGTGATTCATAGAAATCTTCTGCATCAGTTTTATCAAGTAATGCTTATTTTGTGAAAGATTGTTATTCAGTAAATGACACAGGTATACTTGGAAAAAAGAACTGGGAGTGCTCAAAATGGGAGCACTTTATGAGTAGCTTCACAAGTGAAATGTAGTGTGTCAGTATTTAGAAATGATAACTTTGAGAGTTAATTAGGTTGTGTGGTGTTGTTTTTAAGGAAGTGAAAAAGAGGAGAAAGATGAGCCTGAAGTTGCTGAGAAACGTGGCGATTCTGATGAGTATGTTTTTTAGTTTTACACTCATAGTTGCAACACAGCTAAAAAGAATGTTTTACTTCAGATCTATGGTTGAACAGTTGAAGTGGGTTTTCTGACCTTATGGGACTGACCTCACAAGTTTATTAAAAGGGACTTTATTGTTTTCCAATCATAACTTTCCTAAGGTATAAACAAGTAGAATTCTTTTAACAATCAAGAACTTCTTGATATTGTAAGGGAAAATTAATGTGGGTCACTCTTTGTGGTCAAAAGGTTGAGACATTTTATCAAATTATCCAGAATAAGAAAGGTCTTCACTTAAAGGAGGGTTGTTTAAATGAGCTTTGACTGTATTGATGTTATTTGACAGTCAAGAAGAGCAGAAATGGTTAGATGCATTAGAGAAAGGTGAACTGGATGACTATGGTCGCGTCAAACAAGACAAGGATGTGAGCATGATGACTGCCAGACAGGTAGGATTCCTTTGAACCAAAACTGTTTGTTTTTTTGTTGTCAAAACTTGTGATAATTTTTATTTTGAAGAAATCTATATTAAATCATACCCTGCTAGTTTGAACACTGAATAACACTGTCCACTGTATAAAACTGGATAGCACAGTATATTTTTGAACAAGTATGTGCTGGAGAGCGATTCGTCCATTGGCCAGCATTAACCCTTTACACCTTAACATCAAAATGTATATTCTCTATACTGTCCTCTTTATATATCATAAGGTGCTGACAAGGAGAATTTGTGTAACAAAGAAGTGAAACTTAAGTTGGTGATCATTGTCTATATTGTAGTGACATTAATGTGCGATTCAGGGGTGATCTTGTGAGGAGAAATTAGATGTTAGTCACTCTTACATGTCAAAGGGTTACATGTAACTGCCCCGTAAACAACTGGGTTCATCATTCAAGTTATGGGCAAAACCATTTACACTTTTTAACATGCAAAGTAACAAAAGTTAGTGAAATTGTCTTCGCTATGATAATCACCATCCTCAGCTTGGCTGTTAAGGCGTAGTAATTACAATTCCTAATAATGCAAACTTTTGTGTCTTTGTCAGAGAGCCATGCTTGGACATGAAATAGAGGGAGAAAATCAACTTTTGGAGCTTCCAACAGGTAAGATGTTTGTGAAATAAACCAAAATTGTCAGAACTGACTCAAGGCTAAGGCAACTTGTGGCATTGATATTAACCTGCAAAGTTAGGGGAAGGATGAAACTATACAAGAAGATGATTTCTATTGGATAAACTTCTTTTCAAGTTAATTTTCATTTACTCCTTAATGTCCTTGTAAAGCTTTCTAGAGATTTATGTCTGGAAAAAATGCAGAGATTCCACCTAGAGGTTATAATGGAAGCTGATTTTCAATGGTCTGCTGCAGCCTAAAAGGCTTTATGAGGTTTCTTACCATTCCCATGTAGGACTTTTATTTGTAAGGTTTTTGTGAGCTTTTTGATGGACACAGCTGCATGTTTGCTAAAAGCAATCACTCAGTGACTTCGTTTTCATTATGTCATTGTTCTTACATCTATGTCACTAATGAAAGGCAACGCACAATTTCAGAACCAAGACGGAAGAATGAAGACACTGAAGAAGCTCAGAGAAGACGGAAACAAAGAGCTAAGAAGAGAAAACAGCAAATGCAGAAAAAAATTGAAGAAAATAAGGTACCTCAATGGTGTATGAAATCAATAATAACTTAAAAAGCTATGTTTAGAGCCAAGGTGTTGTTAACAGACATGTCTGTGTGCACACATTTCAGAGGTACCCCTGCTATCAATTACAATACTACTATACTTAAAATGAACTAAGTTTTTGTGGCAGAGGAGATGCTGATTAGTATAACTCACAATCAATAATTTCACTTTTCCCAGACACAAACTGTGAAGAAACTGTTGGATAGAGAAGCTACAAGATCACGCAAAGAGGAGGAGAAGGTAAAGCTCATGAAAAATTCACATGCTTTACAGAAGCCAAATTCTATACCAATTTTTAATGGCAGCTGACCATTACCATACACTTAAGGTAGATGGGTGAAGGGTACAGTTTACAGACAACTTGCTATCCTTGCCCAAGTTGATTGAAGTAACTCCCAGAGCAACACAGCTCTATTTTGCGGCCAATCTAGGACTGCTGTGAATTTTTTTCAGTGGACCCAGCCTAGAGTGATTAATTATTTTGAGAGGTATTGGCACTTAACTTTCCTAGTAGGAAACTGTCTATTCTGTTTTTTAGCAGGCACGAAAAAAGAAGCAGGAGGTTCCTCACATAAGATATGTCAGTAATTACCAGGGATTTGCTATGTCCTTTTCAACCGGCTTGGAGTTTCCATTACAAATGCAGTCATCTCAGGGGTAGGTTTTAAAAGGTGGAAATAATAATAATAATAATGATAATAATAATAATAATAATAATAATAATAATAATGACAATAAATAATAATGACCACTTTAATATTTTGGAGTATAACATACCTATGGGAACTTTTCATTTGTTATTTGTGTGCTCTGTAGTCAACTAATTATTTGGGATATATTTTTCAGGCCTCCAAAACCAAGATCAGCATGCTCAGCTCAGGGATGTACAAACCTGAAGAAATATTCATGTTCTAGTAATAATCTGCCAGTTTGCAGCATGGCATGTTACAAGAAGGTTCAACTGATTCCTCGGCAAACCGCAACTGCAGTCTAACCAAGCAACAAGATGTAATAGAGGGCTTTTCCAATTGAGCATTATAAAACCAAAGCCAAAGTAATCACAACAACGAATCAAAAGAAAGGAAAAAACCTTTAACCTTTTCACTCCCAAGATCTAATTAGTAACTCTCCTTACTATCTGCCGTAAAATTCTTATGATGTTAGTTCAGAGAATTTGATATTGGATCAACTAATAATCCCATAATTGATATTCTTCTCTATTCTCATCACCTACCTGCTTGATATTGTATTGATATTGTAAGGAGAAATTCTGTCTTGGTCACTTGTGGGAGTGAAATGGTTAAGAGCCCATAGGAACATTTATGTTAAAACAAGAAAACTTTGAAAAGGGTGGGAAAATGCACGTGCCCCAATAAGGGTTGGTTTTAGTTTTGCATCTGATTGGTTATGAGATTAGTGGAAGTTTTCTGGATCAGTCACAAAGGGAAGTAAGGCAAAAACAAAGCAATCCCATTTTGACACTATTGAAAATTGCTCTACCAGCAATCCTTACATTACAGATTCCTTGCAATGAATCCAAGCTGATACTATGGATCAATATCAGTATCTGGGCAACTGCCCACCTACCCCTCCCCAAACCCAACATTAACCCTAACTTGTTATCGATAGACTGTTGTTGGGTTAGGGGAGGGGTAGTTGGGCAGTTGCCCAGATACTGATATTGATCTGATACTATTTTGTACCAGTTGAATTCTTTTGAACAGGTTCAGATTGTATCTTAGTTACAACACTCAATAAAGCACATTTAGGATTAAATATTTTATTGTACTGTTACAAATTCCTGAGGTTCTACTGGTCTCTCCTACATACATAAGCTATTTATTCCTAATAATAGATTAGTGGCCACCTGATAAAAAAACATAAAACCTAATGACAAGAACGACCTTACTTGTACTAGTTTGGTGTAAATAATTCTACAGGCAGATATTCCATACCTTAACACCTGCACCTTTTTTAACATCATATTTAGTTTTAAATCCAACTTAAATGCAGAATAATAAGTTGAGTTTGTGAACTAACATTAATGAACAAGCATTCTACTGTCAGTAGCTTACACACACAAGGACTGCAAACTATACATAAGATGGTGCAATTTTCTGGAACAAAATTCATATTTACAGCAGACAACACTAGGCTATTATTCTCTTATCTACTTAAACAGGGACATTTCATGCAAGTATATATACAGATGTAGACCTTACTGGGAACTCGTGAAAGTTTTTTTTCCTTGAATAATTCTTGAAGATAAAAGAATGTTTTGTTGTACAGTACAACATGTTGTGTACATATGGTTCAAACACTTTGTTTCGTTTCAAAGATTGGCATCAAACCATACACTGAAAGAAAGTAAAGATATATTTGGTTAACTAGCGTTGACTGATAACTCAGAGCCCACATATAGCACCGCTAAGTATAAAGGTTACACTGTCTAGAGCAGAACAAGCAAACTGTATTTACCACTCTGTGAATGCTATGTCATTGGGGTGTCTTAGAATTATTTCCTTCACTTCCTCAGGAGGGAAAAGTCCATATTCTTTAGCTCGTTCCCATCTTTGTAGTCTGGTTATTCCTAAAAGTAAACAGGAAAGCCCGTACGCGAAGATAAGCTACAAATAACATTAAATCACGAGTGATTTCAGCCAATACAAACACAACAAATGTTCTATCAGTATGAAAATCGGTTGTCTTAATCGTTAGGCTGAGTGAACTTTGTGTCACCTCACTTTCCACGGGAAACATTGAAATTCAAGGGTAAAAAAGAAAGGCAACGGCTCAGAAACAGATTAGACACGAAGCTCAACTGAGGAGAGGCAATATCTCAGCCAAAATCAAGCTAAAAAGAAAATGGCCAGTCCGATAAATTAAAATAACCAGCCCCGCTGAGAAGTGATTTAAATTTTTGAAGATAACACAAAAATTTCAACATACCAATACATGGCCCAAATTCGGAATCTAAGTCAAACTCTTTCAGCATCAAAAGCTCTTTCGCGAGGTCTGAAGTTACATCTTTAGCAACTGCAGTTTCAGCATCTACAGGAAGCAGAAGTCAAGACCTTATCTCAAAATATAACAGGAAATAAAGAGAGCAAGAAGAGAGACAAACCTTTCTGGATTGGATCCGAAAGCTTCGTTTGCGGCTGTGTTTTGTTTACCGGCCTTTCCTTTTTGGTTATAGGAAATACATCTGTGATCAGTTTAGACGCCATATTGTCGTTATTTCGTTTGAAGCAAAAACAGCTGGAAGAGGCCGAGTATCAGAACGAGCGCTCTGATTGGTCAAACTGGCACACAAACGCGCGCAACTAAGCGACGGGAAATAAGGAACATGGACGGCGTGACGCGAGACCAAGGATCTCGGATTTCCGTGTTTAACCCAAGCTCAGTGCGAACTTTGACCAATTTAGAGGTTATGAGAGGCTTTTAGCAAAATGAATAAGGGATTGAAGTATTGAAGACACGGCAAAGTTAATAGTAGCATACTTTCCGATTGAGAAGCAGCTGAGTATAATTTACTCGCACTCGTGGAGAGATCGCATTCGAGGTAGATGATGTTCTTGAGCTGAACTGTCGCAGACGAGAGAGATAACTGGGAATAAATACTATTTATAGGTGCTATAGTTATTTTAACAGAAAACGCCAGACAATTTCCGCCTAAACACCGCTGCTATAATGCAAATTATAGCTCCAGATAAGTGCGATTCATGCACACGCTTTTCACGAATGGAACAAATGCCCGGTGTAATTTGCCGCAATATTTCGCTGCCTGAGGTTTAAAAGTGAGCCTTCCCCCAGGCAACAATACTTTAAATCTTAACTGTGAGTTATCCTACTTTTTTTTTTTCTGGCGTAGACTTTTCGCGGGAAACTTTGAAAGTGCTAGTGTACAAATTTAAAGAATTTGACCTTCTGCTCCCAAACCAATCAGATGCGAATACTTAGAGGTCGGACCATTATTTTTTTGAAGGGGGTATGAAAAATATTGAAAAAAATTGTCTGCAAGGTCTGAAAAGACAAAATAAATTGTTTGCAAACGTGATAGGGTAAAAATGCAAATCTTGTCACCGATCACTGATGTAAACACTAAGTAATAATCACAGCAAAGACTTCATCAACTCTTCAAAGCTGGAGAAAATTTTCTCCTCAGCCTTTACTGTGTTAATTAAAAAATTTTCTTCGTAGGCTCAGCTGCAAACTTTTAATAAGTAAGCGCATTTTAATTTAATTCTTGTGTAAGTTTTAAATCTACAGCATTAAAAGTAGAGATTAACTTGTGTGTAATTGACAATATGTCAGGAAACAAGTCCACTTGAACACAGAAAAATATATAATTGCTGTTACTGTTCTTGGGATATCTTTGCAAATAATTTGCAATACATGAGGACTTGATATATTGATTCTAAGCAAGGCTTCAAATGGCACTCATAATGATACACAAATCTTTGATGGAATTTTACTACGACTTACACTCAAAGTTCAAAATTTCATACAAGACAGTGGCAATAAATATTTTTTATTCTTTCCTTTCGTTTTCTTGCAGTAAAATCTGAGCTTAATTATTGTTATGATAGCAAAATAGATGAATTCAGATTACAAATGAGTTACATCATTGTATCAGTTTATCTTAACTGCATATGTTTAGTATCTCTGACATTTCTGAATTGAGACACATTTTTGAGTTGTTATGGATAGTTAATAAATAAAGAAACATTTACACAAATCAATTTTTTTAACATTTAAAAATGTTCCAATGTCAATGTCAAATCAGCCTGAAATTCAAAGGTACACAATTATTATTTGCTGACATTCAATTTGCTTGAAAAAGCTTTCTTCTTTGACAAAACACCTGACATAACACAGATTTTCAAAGAGTTACTTAAAAAGTGCCTTCAGTTTCTCTTTATCATCTGCATTATGTTCTTTAATAAGTTTTTCAAGTTCATCAAGTTCTTTCTTCACTGTTTTTGTCAGAGATGGGTCAAGAGCAGCTGCCCTGTTGAAATCTTCCCTGGCTTCCTGAGGATTCCAGCATTTTACATGAGCTTTAGCGCGTCGATATAAAGCCTTAACATTGTCCTTATCCTTATCAAGTACTGTGGATGTGTGCTCAATAACTTCATAGTAATCCCCAAGAAAGAGCTTGCACTGTGCATAATTTAACAAGAAAGGGACCTTCATTCTGTCAAGCTCAAGCCAAGGTTCATCACCTGGTTTTTCACGCAGGCAGAGCTGCTCTAGACATCCCAGAGCCTCTGCATACTTTTCTGCTGCTTCTTTGTACTTTTTCTGTTGATATAATTTGTTTCCAATTTCCTTTAACCCTGGTACGTTGGACAATTTTTCTTCAGCATCCATCTGCCAAGTTTCTTTTCGGTATTCACCGGGTTTCTCATATTTCAAAAGTTCAATTTCAAAGATAAGATCTTGTTCATTGACCATCAAGTCGTCCAAGTCAGAATATCCAGTTGATTTCATGGCAGATAAACTACAAGAATGTTCATGATGATCATGTTTCTCCGTTATCTCTCCTTTTGCCTTCTTTGCAAGTGTGCGCAGACTCTTGGCAACTATAGGATAGCCCCCTACAAGCTAGCAACAGAAAAGTCAATTAACACTTCCCACTCTAACATCAGTAAGCATATTTGCCATAATGTTTGCTGTACATTTCCAAAGTGCTAACAAGGAGAACTTTGTTCAAAAATCAAGAGCTTCTCTCATTGATGATGAATTCCTTTATTTCTGCGACCTTAACCCTTTGACCCCTGAGAGTGACCAGCATATAATTTCTCCTTACAATATCACCCCTGAATTACACATTAGGGTCACAGGAATAAAAGAAATAATCACCAACTAAGGAGGCTCTTTATTTTTAAACAAATTCTCGTTATCAGCACCTTGGAAAACATATGGAGAACAGTATGGAGAATATGCATACTGATGTTAGTGTGTAAAGGGTTAATGCATGATAATGGGGGTGATAACATAACATAAGAAGAAATTAGATTCTAATCACTCTTATCAGTCAGCAGGTTAACTTTAATTTGCTTATCACTGCTCACATGGATGCAACACAATAGCATTCCATCCAATAAGAGTTTTGAAAATCCTAGTCCCAACATAGAGATAATAGCTGGACAATTAAGCTCCAGCCATAATATGTCAGTCTTATATGCAGGCTTTTTACTGCTGTTCATTCTCAAAAAGTAATTTAATCAAGAAATATATTTAGAGTGTTACCTCTTCACATTGGCCTTGTTTTAACAACGAGTCACATAGCCTACTCTCCTAAGCTAAATTTTAATTAAGTTTAATTCATGTACATCAATTGCCACATTATAGTAGCCATTAAAAAAACAGAACCAAGCATAAAATTGAACGGCAACATAAGCAGAAAATTAGTAAAAATCAAAGCTCTGTCTAGGGTCCTAACAAAGATTAAATCCCGAGTAAAATGCGTTGCGGCTGTTGTATAAGATCCAAAATTAAGGTGTTTTGACTAGTTAATGTGATCGACTGTACCAAGTTAGCTAAAGGATAGGCTCAACATTGATTGGACTTTTTTTTATATAGAAATCATATCATCACCTAATTGAAAGAACTTTTTCACCAAAGTAGAAAAGTTGTGTACAGGTGTGAGCGACCTTAAGTAAACTTAAATCAAGCTTAAAATATCTTACCGATTTCTCACAAATAAAACGAGCGACTTCTTTTTCCCTCATGGTTTTTATGAGCTCCTCCCAAACTTCCAGCTTGAACTTCTTCCCAATGAGGAGCTCAAAAGGCTGCCCAAGATCTCGACTGCAGTCTATTTGTGTCTTATCTTCATCGTTTTTGAACGTTTTAAAATGAAAAGTCGCCTGATTTGAATAGATGGAGAAAATCTTGGTAAGTAAATGTCCTTGTAGAAATTCCTTAGCTATTTTACCCGCTTAAAATTTACACATAAGAAAGACAACTTGATTTTTCGCTAAAAATTACCTTTGATCCATTTTCAAACGATGGTATTTCACCTTCTCCTGCGTAAAGAACGTTCTTGGAGATCAGAGGCTTCTCATCGTTCGCCATTTTGACAGCTGGAAAAATTGGCCGTGAGAGACTGGTGATATATCCTCGCTAACTAGTACCAGTCTCTCTTCTAATCAGCTTTTAATAGAGGAAACATATTTAGCAGAATATTTCGATACGTTTGGTAGAGAATAACATCACAATTAGTCATTCGGTGAGATAATTAGAAGCTGGCTCTTAATATTCGCAAGGAAATCCATTTAGTTGATGAAATTGTCGGAAAAAACCTGTCTTGGTGGAAGTCTGGAAATATCCGATCGGCATTGGGTTAAGGCACCGCCAAAACATTTTTCTGACCTCAAGAGCTTTAATGCATTCCTGAGGTAGAAAAAGTTCGTTATATTTGACTGATACATAAATATGCCTTCAGCAACCAAAACCCCTTGAACCTAAAGAAAACGATAGTTAGAATTATTTCAGAAAAGGAGTTTTATTATTGTGATCTTTCTTCACTGCAACATCGTTTCCAACATTGTGGTTCACTCTGACTATCCTTTTTTCAGTATAATTACTATTGAAGCAGTAATGGTGATTTCTCCATTCACTGCTTGTGATGAAATTCCTTGGCAGACATCACCCAACCTTGCCAAGAAAGGCAAATCATTTGATGTCAACCTTGGAGAGCTGTCTACCACCCAATAGAAACTGGAAGTGGCTGTCTACCACTCGACGGACTCTCTTCTTTCTGTGCGATAATGAACATGCCTTGTTTGTCAAGAGCTGCTTACTACAAGCAAGTTGATGTAATTTTGGAAGCACTGGAAAGTGAAGCAAAAGAAGAACTAAAAGGTGCAGGCCAAAGGCTCTCAAAGCTAATCATGGAGGAAAATGGCATCTCAGACAGCACCACAATAATTGATGCTGCTGTTAGCTTTGATGGCACTTGGGCAAAAAAGAGGTTTCACATCACTAACAGGTGTTGTTTTCGTCATCTCAATTGACACAGGAGAAGTTTTAGACTATCACGTGATGTCTAAATCTTGCCGTAAGTGCTCCCTAAAGAACTCACAATGTGAAGGGAATGTGAAGAGTTTGAAGAATGGAGGAGGGAGCATGTTGCATCTGGAGATTGTGACATCAACTTGAAGGAAGTTCACCTGCTATGGAAGCAGAAGGAGCTTCTGTTCTTTGGAATAGATCCATCGAACTTCATAACATGAGGTACAAATGGATGGTGTCAGACGGGACAGTAAGGCCTTTAACACTGTTCAACATGCCTATGATGACTGTGAAGTTATTAAACTGGATTGTGTAGGCCATGTGCAGAAAAGGATGGGCAAACATTTAATGAATTTGAAGGCATGCAGTAAGGGTAAACTTGCTGATGGAAAACCTATAGGAGGGCGTGGCCGGCTTACAGAAGGAAAGATCAAGCAGCTTCAAAGGTACTATGGCCTAGCAATCCGCAAAACACCTTGACCAAGGCAAATCCCTCTGAGCGGGAGGTTGACATTGCAGTTTATGCTATGAAAAAAAAAATATTATTGCCATTCTCCATCACTGTGTAAATTCAACTGACAATGCTAAACAACACCGCTTCTGTCCACCAGGTGATTCATCATGGTGCAAATGGCAACAGGACCAGGCAACAGGAACCAGTACCTACAAAGGAGATGACTGTTTGCCCAAGTCTTCGTGTGGAGACTCTAAAAACATTAAGTGACAGTAAACTTTTAGAAAGAACCCAAATGAAAGCATCAACGCAATGGTTTGGGTCCGTGTCCCAAACATAAACACCATGGAGTGAAAGTTGTCCGGTGTGCTGCTGCGTCTGCAGTCTGCCACTTCCACAGAGGTGCAGAAAGCAGAGAAAGATTGATGGAAAGGCTTTCAATTCCTGGAGGTGCATTTACTGAGGATGCATTTCGACTAAGAGATAATTCAAGGCTTGGAAAGCTGATAAGCAGGCAACGGCCAAGGAGAAGAAGCGCCGGCAGGGATTGCAGCTTATCCGTACTCAAAGAGAAGCGGCTCTTCGTGAAAAAGAAGATGTTTCATATGAAGCTGGGGCATTCTAACTCTTGCTCTTGCCTATCCTAATTATATTTGAACTTATGGCTACTCATTGACTTCATAATTTGAATACAGGAGGTGTTTAATTTTAAAATCTTGTAACTTTAGGCCTTTTTTTCTCAAAACGTATTTTTTAATACTTGAGAAAAGATTACTCAAGAAGTATGAGAGCTATGGACCTGAAATTTTTAGGGATTGCTGATCTAATTGAGTAAAAATTTTTCTGACCTGCTTTAATATTCGTTTATATTTGACTGATTCGTGTATCGTTTAAGGATCACTCTGACTACTTAGTATAATTAGAAGCAGTAATGTATTTCCTTTGCCGCAAATTCAGCGTATAGTTCTAATACATAAAAACTGGGGAGTCGCCGTTAACAAAAAATACCTCACTCAACTTATTTGCATTTTTCATCTAAAAATATCTTTCGTTGAGTAAATTTAAATGGAATTGAAATTTTGAAGGACCGAGTAAATCAAGAAGATTGCTACGCTTCTCACTTCATGAATTAAAACGAACAAACACTCCATAATGTCCTCTGGAAAAAAATTAAAGATACAATTTAAAATCATACATCACTCTCAGTTCAGTTTTTTCCTGAATTCGTATCTTCCATGCAGAAGTTCTTGATAGAAAATTCTTGATAAAAATTCTTGTTAAAAAAATTCCTCGCCAACAACAAAGTGACGAGAAAATGAATAACTAACGACAATGGAAAACAAAATTTCACACCTTGAGAGCATGAAAGTAGAATACGATAATTCATTTATCTTTTGAATTAACAAAAGACGAGTAACCTTTACAGTTTTGTTGAACGAACTCAAGAGTGCAATTTTATTACCGGATCACCAAGACAAAATATGAAAATGTATACAAGAGTTCTCTTGAGACATATGCATACTTTGATATGGAAAAAAAAACATTTTTATTTCAAGACTTAAAAACATTCAGAATCTGAGAAAATTCAATTACGACATGTATTTTCTATTTCCTTTTTATACAAAGATCCATTCACATGCAATATCGGCAGTGAATGCTTTTAGATGAGCATAAGCAATAAGATTTAGCAAAAACATCGTTTAAAACTCACAGACTACTGAAAATCGTTAGTTGTTGTTCCCATCTATGTCTCTCTGCAGGAGATATTGAATACAATAATGAAACAAAAATTACTACGCTTTTTATACATTGTGCTGTTATTGTCTACATCTTGTTCAGAAACATAATACTTTTACTCGTCGGTACTAATTCTCGATGCGCACATTTAAATCAGTGTGCAATTTTCAGTTCGTCGCTTCTATCTTTTCACAGCTAAGAAAAAGTTATAAGAAGAAAGTTCCTTTATGTGCTTTGAAATTCGGACGCTTTATAAAAAATCTAAGCTTTGTTTTTCTTTAATCAATGATGTTTTTGGGCTGTTTCTTATAATAAACATCGGTAACTTCCGCTTGCCTTAAAACTTTTACAGAGAGAAATCTTAAAAGTGAAGAAAGATTTGCATTTTAAGAGGCTTAGCTATAAACTACTTTTGTCATAACCATATGACCGAATTATTTCTTCAGCTGATATACAGTCTTTAAGTCGAGAGCACTTAATTGCTGCGGAGTCCATTCTACTTGCTTTTATCGCAAACCACAGCCACAAAAGACTAAATAATTAATCTAATTTGCTTCTCACTCAGCAGGTCGCTTCCCACGCATAAGATTTATCCATAATTAGTTATCTTACTGCGCTGGATAGCTGGTGGCTGTCGAGCTAAGCACACCTAATACCGCGCGCGCTCTGCACGAACTCTCGAGCCTTTCCCCTATTGGCTACATGCCAGAACATAGAGCTTTCGTTGAACCTGTCACCAGCAGGTTATTCTAAATTCATAAAATATCCACGCGACGCTATTTATGCTGAACACCGTAGACAGAGCCCTAACTACATTTTCGAGGTTCATTGTTCTGTGCTGGGCAAAACGTTTTGTCTACGTTCACTTTACCCACATATAAACAACTTTGCTGAGGCTAATGTCTTGAAAAAGTGGTTTCCTAACGTCCAATTCGAGTTTTAGCCCTGGCTGTAAACAGGGAATCAAACGTTCTGCGAAGGACAAGTATAAAAATTCAGGTGACGGGAACCAACATGCCTGGTGTTAGTCACCCACTGGAAGCTGCTTCTTTGACAGGCCATGATGCTTTCGTGGAGGGAGTCGAATTTAGCAGTAATGGAAAATACATTATGTCTAGTTCCTCAGGTGAGCTGGAGGAGTCCTGCTTTAAACGCAGATTTTGCTACATTTTTCTATTAAGAAGTAAAATTAATTTCCTCACTAAAACCTGAAAGCATAGAATGCGAAAATTACGTTTAGATAACGTTCTGCGTGCGTGAAAAAGCGCGAAACAGCGCTATAGTGAAAACGAGGCTCCATACAGGTGCTATTATCGTGAATCAACATGGCGGCTGTTGAGGTTGCTACTCTGAGTACGATCGCACTATCTTCAGTAATTGCTGCTGTAGTATTACTGGTCATTCTATACATCGGTTTCAAGAGTAAACAGCCAAAAGATGATAGCTCTGAGAATATTAAACCAGAATTAGAAGAGAAGCACCCGATCAATGGAGAAAGCAAAGACAAAACGAAGCATCCTAAAGGAAAAAGGGGAAATCCTCAATTGAAGAATCATCCCAGACAGTTCGCTATTCTCAAAGGCCACACAGGAGATGTTTTTGATTTGGAGTTTAGCTTGAACGGAAAATACATGGCGTCAACTTCTCTAGGTTGTCTTATGGAAAAATTGGCTTATTTTGGATTTATATTGATTTTCTCTGGTGTACACGTACACAATTTTGGTTTGTCACGTGCAAGTGATATCAACCTTGTTATTTTTTCATTTAAGCCTTTATCTTAAACGAAATTTGGTGTAAACAATTTATTATTTATGTTGTTTTTTCATGTGGATTTGTGACATTTTACACGATGAGTTTTATTGCAAAATTCTTGCTTAAAATGTGCGATTGCAGAAATATGATTGCCAGGTCTGTTACAATGAGCAGTTCATTGCGGAATCCCCCCGACTTCCAGAAAATTGAATTAGTCAATTTGGAGCTTATCTTTATTTGCATTGTTTTGTTGATAGAGGATGCTGGTTTTATGCCAGTATGATATCGAAAGGATAGTTTAAATGAAGTACGCAAACATTCAAACATTTCCAGCCTGATCTAATTTTTTGGGTTTACAAATTGAGTAGAGTTAATTAAGTTAACATTCGAAGTCTTTCTTTCTCTCTCTCTCTGGATTTTATTTTTCGGCTGTTTTGTCACAGAAATAAGAGTTTATCTTAGAATAATCTTAGAAATTTGCAATCTTGTCTCATGATGTGTCATTCTTTAAAGACACTTGATTGAGTGATGCAATATTTAAAGAATTTTTACACAAAATTTTAATTTTGTCTGACCATTTGAAATATGCTATTATTGGAGAAGAGGATGATACAGATGATATCAAACAAACACGTTTTTAAAACAGAAATTGTGGGAGAATTTTCAGTATTTACTTCACTGAGTTGTTAATGAAAGAAAAATCAGTCATCTTTCCTCTGGTCTGATAAATTGAATGATTTTCTTATTTCAGAAACAAGAAGTCAGATTATGATCTTTTGTTCTTCACAATTTACTGAAATGATTTTGCTTGTATCACATCTTGTTAGTTGTGATCAGTTCACCAGTGTAATTGATAACAACAAAGTTCAAAAAATTTTATATTACATTTTAAGTACTTAGGAAGTGAAACAACATCTGTTAACACAATAGGAATATTATCTGTGAAGTGGTCTATTGGTTGAAAATGGTGCTTATTTGTTAAAAATAAAGAAAAAACTGCAAAAACATCCAGGTCATTTATCATTCTGAAAAGATGCAGATTAGATTGGTTACTAATTATTGTTGGTAGAGAAGTAAAAGATATTTCAAAGTATTTCTTCAAGATTTAAAATATTTCTAATTTATTACCAAGATTTTCACTAGTTTTTTTGTCAGTAGGGAAACTTTTGAAAATCTTTATCCCAGATAATTTTGAAGAAAGAGAACACTCTGATAGTTTTTAAAAAAAATAGGAAATGCTTTTAATTAAACAACAACATTTTCAATATTTGTTTTCCAGACAGAACAGTGAGATTGTGGAGTGTAAAGGATTTTAAAGAGAAAGAACATAAGTAAGTTATTAATTATTGAATATTTCTTTACTCAAATGACAGGTAAGATTTGACATTGTCTTATTGGATCACATTTCTTTAACAACCCAGACAAATTAGATATTTTTTTAGGAAGGCTATTTAAGGTGAATACTTTTATGGCAAAGATATCAAATGATAACGCACAAAATTTTGTCAGCAAAGTGTGAGTGGTATACAAGTAAGGATGAAAACTGGGTCATAATAAAAATATATCTGAGAGTTTTGAAAATATTTTCCAGGGTTTTTCTTTGCAGGTCTTTGAACTTTGAGAGTATCTTTAATTATAGACCAGAAAGGAAAATTAGAGGCATGTGTTTAATGTCAAATTACTGAAGGAGAAATTCAGCCCTCAATTTGAAGTTAGACAGATTTCTTGAATATTTTGTTAAACTAATATAAATATGGTTTAAGGTTAGAATAGACCTGAATGTGAGGTTAATTTATCTCTCCATATAAGACTGAAGTCCTAAATAATCTAAATCCAGTTACTGTTGTGCTAACATATCAAGCTGCAAAGAGCCATTTAAATTCATCTTCCTCTTTAGTATAAATGTGAAGGGTTTCACACTAATTCCTATTATCTCCTAACATATTTGTCCTTTAGTATTAATTTGATAACATTCCTGTGAGGGTTTGCTGGGTAGAACTTAAAGTTGGTTCACAGGAAATAAGGCAAATAAAAAATTTTTTGTTTTTTCTGTTTTTACTGTCAGATATGTGCGAGCCAATGTAGATTTTGATCATGCTACAAAAGTCAACTTTAGTCCAGATACAAGGTAAGATGATGTATAACTAGTAGAATCTTTATCAAATTACTGTTTGTAAGAATTAATCGGACTATCTGGCCTTGTTGTAAATTGAAAAATTCAGGGGCAAGCAGGTGCTGCTGAAATGTAGATGTTGTTGGGTATCAAAGGTCAATTTACTTAAATACCTTTCAATCTAGGAATGAACATAATGGAAGCTTCTTCTCAGTATCAATACATTTTCAAGCAGAAAGATGAAGGGTCAAAAGAAAATCATAAAATTGGAGATATTGTCTGAGTAAACACTACATTCTTTGGAAAAAAATTTGGATCAATATCAGTATCTGGGCAACTGCCCACCTACCCCTCCCCTAACTCAACATTAACATTAAGTTAATGTTAATGTTTGGTTAGGGGAGGGGTAGGTGGGCAGTTGCCCAGATACTGATATTGATCCAAAAATTTAATAGAATCATATGGCAGACAATGCAGAGAATTCATATTTTGATCTTGGGAGAGAATGCTATCCTATACCAGTTTTTACTTTAATGATTGTGCGTCTTTTCCTTTGCCTCTGCTTGAGTTTTAACTCACTGAATCAGTTAAGAGAAGTCACTGCAAAGTAACCAACTCTAGTACATGATTAAATATACTAACTCTAAGAATAAGTGGCCTCCTCAGGCTGCAACATAGTAACAGTTTGTTACTATCCTTTATGTTCAAACACCTTGTTATCATTGTGTCAAACTGAAAAAATCAATGAATTTCAAGACTTAGACCAATTGTAGCTTGAAATTTGAATCTGGCATCACACCAGAGTCGAATACCGTGCGTGACAAGCTAAATGACACTACACGACTCTAGTGTGATGTCTGAATCAGAGACGTGCTTCTGCCATGCTCTAGTCAAACCTGTTGCAATTAAGTTTGGCATGGCAGAAACACGACATCTGAGTTTTAGCTGAGATTTACATGTCACATCACATTCTCTTTATATTACTAATTTTAAATGATTTTTTTTGTCTCATTTTTCTTTCCCTCTTAGGACACTCTGTTCAGTTGATCTTATCTTAGTATGCTATAGTGTATCACAAGTTTTGATTTTGAAATCAAATAAATTAAACATTGTCAAATTTTGCAAGAATGTGCCCTCTCTCTCACATTCAGTGTTGTCACTCACACTTCTATGATCTTCATTTCTTTAACTTTAACCCTTTAACCCTTAAGAATGATTAGCACCTAATTTCTCCTTACAATATCATCTCCAAATCACACATTTAGGTCATGAGAATAAAGGAAATGATCACTAACTAAAAAAGCTCTTGATTGTTAAACAAATTCTCCTCATCAGCACTGTAGGATATGTATAGGGCAAAGTATGGAGAGTTTGCATGTTGATGTTAGGCTATAAAAGGTTAACCAAGCTTCTCTTCTTCTTACTGTTCTGTCAACAGTGAAGATACAACTCAACAACAACCCGTTCGCTTCAGGTTTGTTCAAACTTGATAAACCTAAGCTTGCATGGTTGATAATATTGTAAAGTTTTAAAAACATTCTTTTATTATAGCAACTATTTATTAAAAAATGCATGAAATTTGTAGCAACAACATTTGTTAAACAATTAGTTTAATGTTTAAGTTTAACCTCTTCTTTTAAATTGTTGTGTCTCACAGTTTAACAGTGCAAAGTTAAAAAAATAACTTATAATGAATTTAAATCTCCCAAAAGAAATACAGTATGAAGATAGCACTAATTAAAAGCAATATTTATTGAAGTTTGTAGAGTTAAGATAAATTTGTAGTTAATCAATAAACACTACAAGACAGATTAAAAATCTGATCAATGTCAGTATGTGAGCAACTGCACACCCACCCCTCCCCTAACCCAACAACAGTCAACTTATAACAAGGAAGGGTTGATATTGAGTAGGGGAGGGGTAGGTACACAGTTGCTCAGATACTAACATTTACCCAAAATAACATTTTAATTTGATTAAATTCCTGATGATGAGTGAAAACCTCAGAACACCCAACACTATTCTTGACTGGTTGAAATAGAGTTTAAATTCCTACATTTAATAGGAATTTTGATACTCTATAACTCCCTCTTTGAGCACCTTTTTATCCTCAGTTTTGAAAGCCTTTCTTTTTATCTTACACTGAAATGGATTGAAAAACCTCTCTGAACATGTACAGTGATTAATATCCTTTAAAAAACTGTACAACACACAGTAATTCTTAAGTTAAGTGAGATCTTCTTTCTTTCTTCTCTCAAGTCTTACTTTTTTCTTAACTCAGTTAACCTTTTAACTCCTATAAGTGATTAAGATTAAACTTCTCCCTATAATATCCTTACACTATCCAGGAAACAGGTAATGAGAATTCTCAAACTCATCAGGTAAAAGTTGTTATCTTGATCTTACACCAAATTATCATAGCAAATTTAAATTAGAATTAATGGAATTTATAGCAGTGAAAGAGAAGAATCCAAAATAAGAACTTGGGAGTAAAGGGTGAAAATATTTTCTTCAGGAACACTCATTGTATCTTTTGTTGTATTGCAGAGCTTTTATTACAGCCTTAGCAAATGGAAACACAATCCGAGTATTCAAAGTAAACAAAAAGAAAGATGGTTCTGGAGCTTCTGTCACTGGTGAATTTGATTTTCCTGTCAAACATTCAGCAGAGATTATCAATATTGCTGTGGCCTCCAATGGCAAGTTCATCATGTCCTGTTCCAGAGACACTACAATAATCATCTGGAATTTAAAGGGTAAGGCTCATTCCAGCTTTGTGATAGTCTGACAAAACTTGATTTTAACCCCCTCCTCCCTTCAAAATCCCAGTTTAGCTCTTACCTTGTCAGTTTCTTAGAATTTCCGGTGAACTTCTATGTGCCAGGGTTGTTAAAGATATTTTCTATTTTAACTTGCCAGAAATACTTCATATTGCTTTCAGCTGTTCTAAAGATAGTAGTGTTCCCTTTGGTACATTTGAAATTTTGCAGTGCAGTATTCTCATCTTTGCAAATCTAAGTACAATTTCACGAATTAATAATAAGAATCAATGTCTCTTGTGGTGTTAGAGTGTCAAAAGATGAATCATGACAAGTTTGCACAAGTTTTTAGTATTCTCTTCCACATTCTTACATTCTCATTTATAGTAATAATATAAAATTGCTCCTCTTATTTTGTCTAAAACTTGTTTAGGTGAAGTGCTGTCAATAATTGACACCCGTCAGATGAACAACAGCTACGCAAGCTTATCTCCTTGTGGAAAATTTGTTGCATCAGCAGGTATATTAGAGTATTATATCTCTCATTTGTTATGTGCATTATGATTGACCAATTAAGTGGTTCGTTTTTAAAATAAGCCTGCTAAATTCGAAAAATTGTTTCAATTGAAATATTCTCCCCCTATTTGAACCCAGAGATATGAAGAAAATTAAGTGAGAATTGTGACCATCATGCTTTGCAGTCATCTATGAGTGGATCTCATTAACTTTTCATTGTTTTTACTCAGGTTTCACCCCCGATGTGAAACTTTGGGTTGTGGAGTTCACCAAGACAGATGAGTTCAAGCAGGTTTCAAGAGCAATGGAGTTGAAAGGTCACTCTGCTGGTGTCTTTCATTTTAGTTTTTCAGCAGATTCTACAAGGTAAGAGCTGATTCACTGTCACTGAATTACTTTTTTCATTCCAAAGGCCTTGATGGAGGGTCATGTGTCAAAATTTTAAACAGGTTCACCATTTTTTTCTTTCTAGGATGGCAACTGTATCAAAGGATGGAACCTGGAAAATATGGGACATTGATGGTGAGTTTATCTGACACTACAATTTTTAGGCAAAGTTGTCTCTTTTATTGGTTATACAGGTTTGTGCCGCCCCAAAAAGTACAGTTTCTTAGCGGTTTTTTGGATAGGTTCTGAATTAATATTAGGTACGGTTTCCAAGAAATCACAGGAGAGTATGTTTATTCTACTCGTCTTCTCATCTACAAATCAGGATTAGAAAACGAGGTAAATTTTACCAATATTTAACGTTTGTACAGATGCCGAGTCTCACTAAAGTGTGAAAAAAATGGTATCTTTTAGACTGAAATAGGGTCAAGATTTGGAAAATCGGGTAGCTCTTCGCTATCAAGTATTCCAAGAAGTACCTCCCCTCTCCCTAAGCCATTAAGCTCTTTCCTCCATTCCAGAAAACTTTTGTAGAAAAAGACCCAAGTGTTGGTCTGTTGGAAGTCTTTTTGATTGATTAGTAAGGAAGTCATGTTGTACAGATGAGGCTCTTAAATATCCTCTTTTGGTTTATTATCCAGTGGAGTTCACGAAGAAACAAGACCCACATTTACTAATGACAGGAATATATGACGCCTCATTTGGAGTCTACAATAACATGCTGATAAGTATGTCCCCAGATGCGTATGTCACGGCTGTTGCTATGGGACGATCTATTGGAATTTTCAACACAGAGAATGGAAACCTGGAGGAGCTGTTAGAGGAAGTACATGGAGGTATCGGAGAAATTTTTTAACTGAGTGTCAAAAGTAATCCGTTATTACTTTGGTTCTGCTTTACTTCGCTTTGTGATTGGTGGAGAAAACTTGCGCCACTTCCTCAACCAATCAAATACAAAACTAAAACCAATCGCACTCATCCAATTTTTCCTAAATCTTTATTTCTTCGTAAATTCTCCGATAAACGTTGCACTACAAGTCGGCTAGAAGATTATATGTTAGTTATTTAGATTTGAATTAAAAAAATTGCATCCTTCCTAGTAAAAAAAAATCAACCCTTTCACCAAACTCGCATTTATCAACTCAACTTACTTTATAAATTCAGTTGATAAAACCAAAATTATCCCACATTTGCATTAGCCTGTAAGCAGGCTCTCATAAGCGCTTGCGCGAGAACCTCATGGGCTTAGCGAGTCGAGGGCGACTTTCGCGGGCTTCGCGAGCAGTATCGAGGGGCCTGTGCGGGAGGCCACGCAACATTTTCATTATTACGTGTCGGATTGACATTATGATTGAGTCACCTTATTTTTTGTTGTCAATTTGTAGATGACATCACAGCCATTGCGTGGCACCCCAGTTCTCGTTACTTGGCTACCGCGGGCGGAGCAGACCGTCAGATCAGAGTGTGGCATAATGCGGCTGGTATCAGGATTCAGATTGATGACTTACAGGGGAGAATGTACCGTGCTAAGAATGAAAACGTTAAGGTAAGTTAACATTGTTCGATGACGGCACATTGCACGTGTTCAGTTCCTGAATGCGGCGACTCGACCCATTCCTCCATCTCCTTTTTTCACTCTGCGCTTTAAAGTTTTCGCTGCTTCACAAACACCGCGCTGCGCTTATGAACTGAACATCTGTCGCGGGTTACATTCGTTGTAGCTTGTTACGATACTTCCTATCACAAGATCTTTTGCGTGAGAAGATATAACGTGTGAGATGTTACAGTGACAGTGTTATGTTTAATCAGCTTTTTTCAGTCAATTTGACAATTTTTATGTATTTTTCTTTACACAGGAGAGATTAGAACAGCAAATTCTTGAAGCAAGGTAAACTGCCTCTTTATTCTTTCTTCGCCATGTTTAAACAAATAATATTAAGTGGATAGAGTTATTCACGTGAATCTACAGGAGTAATTCTCATTCATAAAACTTTTATGGAAGGTCACTTAGAGTACATCTCGAGTAGTGTCTTAACCTAAAAACCGAAGTTATTTCAACGACCAATCAGAACATAGAGAAATATCACGAGGAGTCAATGGGAACCCAGAAACAAGCAAACCACCTAAAGCGTGGGAAAAGGGATTTAAGATGGAATAATATCTGCTTGATTGAGAAAGGAGCTTGAGTTCTTTTTACCAATCGTTAAGCAAAGCCAGGAAAAATGAATGTGGCTTACTGCAGGTTACTTCTAACGCTGAATTAAAAGTTTTCTGTTGTTTTCGATTCGAATTATTGTCAATCACTTCTTTTTTTTTCTTTCCTGTAAACAGGGCTTCTCTAGACAAACTGAACCTTATCGGCTAAGAAGAGAATAAACCAAATCATTTTACGAAGGTCACAGTGGAAGAAATGTCAAGGCAGAAAGAAATATTTTAAATTCTCAACAAACACAACAAAATAACGCTTTGTGGTGGTCCTGCAAACCACGGCAAAAACAGCGAACTGTGAGGAAAACAGCATTGACTACAATCAAAGATGAAGTTTACCGAACAAAAAACGAAATTTAAGTATTTATAGTACTTTTTTGATTTTTTTTGTATACTAAGTCGGATAAAATCTTATTTGGCTTTCATGAATCTTTTAATTGTCTTGATGTGTTACTTATCAAATGCTTTTCATTATTAACGCTGTATTTCGACTCAATGACTTTTTAGACCAATAAAATTATTTCCACAATTATACTTCTGTTTGAGGTATGGTTTAGTGATATTGGGCTGGAAACTTACGAGTGGGAGAAGATTGAGGAAATTACATGTAAGATTCCGAGGTTCGATTCCCTTTGGGTACTTAGGTTAGTCTTTATCCCACGCTCGCGAAGCAAGGAGTAACACGTTTTCGTATTAAAGTTTTTAACATAGTATTTAAGTTCAGCGTATTATGCAATAAGAAGAACCGCATTGTTAATGTTAAAAATTGTCCTGAAGTATAGGAGTTAATTGTTCTGTTGGATTTGTAAAGTTTATAAACATTTTACCTTTATTCATACCTCTCACAAACAAAAAAAAAAGAAAGAAAAAAAGAAAAGAAAATGAGCAAAATTGAAGAAATGTAAAATGGTTTCCGTGTTTACATCGCCTGATGTAAACTCGCGGGAGGTTGGGAGAACACGAGATAAGCGTAGGAAACCACGACGCGAAGCGGAATGGTTTCCAGTTTATCTCGGCGATGTAAACACGGAAACCATTTTACATTTCTTTTATAAAATAACTAATGAAAGAGGAACGAAAACCGTGTTTACATACGCTCATGTAAAATGGTTTTATGGCCAATCAGAGCGCGCGTACTATTTGAATTATTTTATAAAAAGACTTTCTTAACTGACTCACACCCTGGGTATGTTCTTAGTGTGTTCTCGAAATTTTGGTTCAAAAAAGCTGATAGAAAAAGAAAGAAAAGAGTGTAGTCGTACCACGTGACACAACAAGGAGCTCCTGACACAAACCAATCAGAAGAGCCTATTGCGAAGTAGTGTGTGAATTATCGCCCTCGTCCTTACTTTTCTACAAACCTCTAAACGTCGAGAAAGTAGGAATCGGACACTCATCATAAATCTTTGTATACTTACAGTTTGCCTATCACACTAAAAACGATCCAACGAAGGGGGCGTGTAGGAGGCGTCTCCAGCTCACCGTCCTCCTCACCCTACCCCTGTAAGAAGGCCACGCTTCGTCTCTGAACTCCGTTCTTTGCCGATCGACTTATCTCAGTTGACGAGTTTTTACGAATCACCACGGGTTCCTTCGTGCACGTGTTGTCACGATCTGTCGGCGGGAAGGTGAGAGGGATACTCCATCGAGGTAAATGCAATCAATATCTGTTATTTAACAACGCTTTCGCTTTTTCTTTGCCTTTGAGAAATAGTCACTTACGTAATGGCGACTCGTAGTCGCGTTTTTTTTTTCCCAATGACCTTTAAAAAATGGTGAACCATTCCTAATGAACCAAGTGGAATGTCATCCGATAGTTCTCCATGAACCGATTTCCCTGATCATCGACAGAGGAATTTCCCTTTCTGTTTCCTCATTGAGGAAACGGAAATAAATCGTTAAAGCACTCTTAATTCTTAGTTTGATGTAGCTTTAAACTACCACCTCAAATGTTCTCTAATTTTCGACCGAAAACAAAGCTAGCTGCATGGTTGATATCATACAAAGCTGGGTCGATGTTTACGAAAAATAATGTATCTCCGATTCATGGAGATGCTTGGGCTCCTTATTCTTTTTTATTCTACTGAAAATTCAAACATGTGTCTTGAATAAAATTAGGATGAAAGCCACATGTTATGATCGTCAGACAGGTTTGGACCTATCACCCAGTTTCCCTCGATAATGTCTCCCAAATCCCCCCTACTCTCCACTTGTTAAATGATTGAATCATAGTTGGAGCATTGAAAAGAGATGCTTGGAAAATACCCAAAATTTTGTTTGGTGCAGAACTTATTAATTTTTCTGCAAATGATTACCTGTAATAATGATGGTAATTTTTTATTTTTCAGGAAATTGTGTGGGTTTCAGTTGGTTAGCAGTCATGGCTGAGTTAGAACTGAAAAATGACCTTCCAGAAGCCAAAAAACCCTTAATTTCACCTAAGATAGGTACACACAATGGAACCTTTCACTGCGATGAAGCCCTTGCTTGCTTTATGCTGAAACAGCTTCCAGAGTATAGACATGCTGACATTGTGCGAACAAGAAATCCAGAAGAGCTGGAAAAGTGTGATGTTGTAGTAGATGTTGGGGGTGTGTATGATCCAGAGAAACATCGATATGACCATCATCAAAGGTGTGTTAACTAGCTGTCCTGAAAGACAAAGAAATGGGTATAATTTTTTCTATTTTCTTGGATGAATTTCACTCTGCTGCTCTGAGCAGTGTGTTTGTGGTAAATTTTTTTTTTATGACATTCTGGACATTTGTTCCTGAGCTTTAATCAATGGAAAAAAAACTTGGGATGCTCAAATAGAAATAATGAGTAAATAAATGCAAGTTTATAAAAGCGAGTAAAATATCTCCACACAGGATAATAGATTAATGTTTATCCACAACCTTTTTTCTTTTCCTTTTTTTTTTTTTTTTACCTGATAGGAGCTTTACAGATTGTATGAACACCCTTCGTCCAAGTAAGCCATGGGTAACCAAACTTAGCAGTGCTGGGCTGGTTTATCTTCATTTTGGACACCGGTTGGTCTCACAAGTGTTGAAGACTAAAGAAAATGATGCTGTGACCAATGAGATCTATGACAAAATCTACGAAAAGTTCATTCAGGAAATTGATGCTATTGACAATGGGATCAGTCAGAGTGATGATGAACCACGGTATATGAAAACATTGGAGACAGTATTTAATCCCTTAACCCTTAAGAGAGACCAACATCTAATTTCTCCCCACAATATCACCCCTAAATCAAAATTTAAGGACACAAGAATAAAGGAAATGATCACGAACTAAAGAAGCTCTTGATTGTTGGACAAATTCTCTTTGTCAGCTCTTAAGGAAGTAAAAGAGAACAGTATAGAGAATATGCATACTGATGTTTGGGTGAAAAGGGTCACCAGTAACATGAAATACTTACTTTAGATACATTATCCTTTGATAACGCAGCAGGGCTGTTCTTGAATACCTTTTGATTTGACAATTAGGACCCAAGGGAGGGAGGGGTAAGTGCAACTTAAAATACTCGACAAGTAGTATATGTCAGTTGTGAATAAGCATTCATAACTGACTTATGCTTCTTGGGAAAGCCAAGAAATTTGACCAATCAGTTTTTACAAACCAGACTAAAAACACTTGACTGACAAACAGTTCCTCAGTTGACTCAGATGTTGACTTCTGTTCAGTTTGGTAAAGCAACAGAGTGACCTTTTTTTTTGATGCGACCAAATTATTTGTGATAATTTTATTGTTTTTAATGAATAGTTTTCTTAATAACACAGCTATTGCATCACAACAAACCTGAGCTCCCGCATATCACATCTTAATCCATCCTGGAATGATCCAAATCCAAATGCTGAGGTTGGTGTTCCACTATGTCAAAATATGATTTTTAGATTATGGTCTTACTCGTTGTTCATATCAAAAGCCTTTCAACTTTTTTCTTTTCTTCTATAGCTACAATTTCAAAAGGCTGTGAATTTAGTTGGAGAGGAGCTGTTAAATAGAATTTGTTACTACAGGGATGCATGGCTTCCTGCAAGGAGTTTGGTTGAAGTAGCAATAATGAAAAGAAAAGAGGTTAGTTTTTAGTGAAATTCAACTCCACTTGGAAGATTGCTGACTTTGAAAGCATAAATTTAAATTTGGGTCACAGGCTCTCTCGGCTTGCTCATGCCCTATGAAAAATTCTTGTTAAACAGTTAATAAATTAGTCTACTGGGTGATCAAAATATAATTTCTCCTATATCCAATACAACATTAAGCAGACAAATGATTGAAAATTTAAATTAGGGAATTAATAGCTGATCCAAAACCAAGTTATCTTAACTAACATTATAAGAATTGTTTGGCACGCAGTAAGGAGAATAACTACTGCAATCTTGAGAGTGAAGGATTCAAAAGTGGATATCTTAACCCAGAGTGCCCCTAATTGGGAGAAAAAGATGAAACTGTCACAGTACTGAAAAATAAAAAAAAAATCAGTGATTTGAAATTTCTTTGCAAGGTTGATCCAAGTGGAGAGATCATTGAGCTTCAAGAAAGGGGTTGTCCATGGAAGGAACACTTGTTTGAATTAGAGAAGGACTTGAACATTGATGTACCAATAAAATTTGCCATATACACAGACCAAAACAACAACTGGAGGGTGCAGGTGAGTTCCACATTATGTACAAACAATCCCCTTCCTTCCTCAAATCATGTATAATCCACAAAATGACAATTATTGCTCATGGGAGAAAGGGAAGCTTGGCATATACATTTAAACTCCCTGCCATGCAAACCACTTGTCAAGTAAGCTACAGCCGAACTTGTGTTAAGCAGTCACGTAATACAGGACAGGGTGACCACTTCATACAGGATGACCACTTAATACAAGATGACCGACACCATATGGGTGTCACAAAATACAATTAAAAAAATGCCATTTTATGCCATAATTGAGCACTAAATGCAGAAAAACTTGCTCAAAAATACTACCAATATTTATTTTGGGAGATTAAATTGGATTAAAGTTTACTTGAAGGTGTGCTCTTAGTTTTATTTGAGTGGCAACACTGCTAGTGACTGTTCAATACAGGTTGAGGGCAAAGTTGGGACTCAATAAAGGGTGACCATAATGGCTTAACTCTTTAACCCCTAAGAGTGACTGGCATCTAATTTCTCCTTACCATATCACTCCTGAATCAAACATTAAGGTTAGGAGAATAAATGAGCTGATCACTGACTAAGGAAGCTCTTGATCATTGGGCAAATTCTCCATGTTGGCATCTTAGGAAATGTTTAGAGGACAGTATGGAGAATGTGCATACTGATGTTAGGATGTAAAGGGTTAATAAAGGTGACCACTTAATAGTCTGAGGTGAAAATGTAAGTGATTTTGGTGATAAAATTTGGGACTTTGAAAACCAGCTGCTTAATGGTGCTTCTTAGTTGGGTTCAACTGTACTTAGATATCTGGGCTTTGGTTCACTCTTCTCCTTTACCCTGTTATTGAGGTTTTTAACAGTTTTTACATTTTATGTGAAGTTTTTGTATACAAAATTAAATTTTCAATTTGTTCTCTCTTCAGTGTGTTTCCGTGCGTCCTGATTCCTTTGTTAACAGGTATATTATGAGTCCATTTTAAAATAAAAGAAATGTTTAAATGAATTATGATGGTCATGCTTATTACCAAATCTCTTCAATCTGTTTCTTTTTCAGACTTAGCTTGTTAGAGGAATGGCGTGGAGTAAGAGATGAACAGCTCAGTTCACTGAGTGGAATAAAAGGCTGCATATTTGTTCATGCCAGTGGTTTCATTGGAGGAAATGAGACAAGAGAAGGAGCTTTAGAAATGGCAAGAAAGACTCTACAGCACCGAGACAGTTTTGCAAATGGAAAGTGTTACTCTGATTCAGAATTAATGCAAGTTGAAAGCAAAGAAAATTAACTTCAGACTTCCAGAGTGCATTGTAAAAATTTGATGTCATCTGTGTAATACTGTGCCAATAGTGATGTATGTGGTGTTAAGAACATATCTTGCTGAGGAAAGTGTGAAAACAACCACTTAAAAAAAAATATGTATTTGCTATGGAATTGTGTGTTTCACTTAAAGAGAAACTTCCACTAAGTTAGTCTCTGTGGCAGTTTTTATTTAAAGAAAAAACTTTCTTATCAACCTACTTCACATAAAATGTGTATGTGAATTTATTTTCTTTATTTAGAAAAAAAAAGACATAGAAAAATTTAAACTTACCCTTTTCCGCCCTAAGAGTGATAAGTATCTAATTTCTCCCAGTAGTATCACCCATGAATCAAACATTAAGATAGAGAGATTGAAGGAAATGACTGCAAACTACACTTAGCTCTTGATTATTATACAAATTCTCTTTGTAAGTACCACAGGAAATGTATAGATAACAGTATGGAGAACTTGCTTACTGATGTTTGGTTGTAAAGAGTTAGAATGATATTTAAAAAGAGGAATAAGAAAGGCCTTTCTGTGGAACTTAAAACTAAGTAAGTAGTCAAGTGTTGGATGTTGTCCCTGAGTAGCATAGTGTTATAAAGTCAGACATGTAAATCAAGCGAGGCTAGCTATGCTATGATAATTTAGTTTTCTGAGCTTTCACCGATCTACAGCATCATCAGGGAAGATTCCATCTACATTCCAGCAAAAGCTCGGAAAACTAAATTATCATAGCATACCTGGCCTCACATGATTTACATGTCTGACTTTCTGAGAAATTAGTTTTTCAGTTGTTACAATATGGTTTGGAAGTATGTTCAAGGATAATGTTTACTTGGAAGTTTTGGTATCCAATAAAAAAAATGTCTACATTATACTTTGATTTGAAACTTTTTCATCTCAATTTTCTTGTAATAAGATCAACAACTTTGCCAATACAAATTGTGTAAAATCTTCTTCAGACATGAATGTAGCCTACATTACAAAGATTTTTAAAAAATGTGGGACATACAGGCTAAGCTAGCTATTGTGGAGAAAAATTTGTGTTTAAGTTATTTCTCAGTACCTGTCTAATTCATTCTATAATCAAGAAATTGGAACCCTCCTTCTAAAATACTAAGAGGCCATGGAATAATTTTGAATTTTTAAAATCTTTCATTTCTGATAACTCACAATCAATTTACTTCATGAATTGCACCATTTTTAAACTTTAAATTGCATCTTTTCCCCAGCTAATGAGGAGGCTACACTAATAACAAAACAACCAATCAGATTTCAAGGCTTGTTTAAAGTAACCAATCAAATTGCAGAAAAATGACAAAGGGTATCGAGGCAAATTTTGCAACTTTTGTTTCCAAAACTCTTACTTTTTCCCACCCAAAAACGGATGAATTTAATTTCACACCAGCTCAGTACTGCATCATATATTTGAACTGACCAAGTCCTGTACTTGAGCAATTTCAAAATGGATGTATTTTGGTCTGAAATCATACTTGTGATTTCAAATCAAACTTGCACTGCACGCTCGTTCAATTTTGAAATCACGTGTATGATTTCAGCCCAAATTGCACTTCACTCAGTTCAATTACCATTATTAAGCGCTAAAGTTCTTCACCTGCTTGACAAAGATATAGAGGAGGGGTCCATACTCTAGAGAAAACTATAATATGAGAAGTCTTATTTACCCTTTCACCTGCAGGAGTGACCAAAAATGAGATTCTCCTGATGTCATTGATAAAATTGCCAGCAAGGAGGTGGGAAGAAGACAAAAATATCAACTAGAGTATTACATTTGATCAAATACCACATTCTCGGAGCTCAAATTATAGGAAACATATAGATGACTGTGCTGAGAATTTATAATGAGATTTTCTGGGTGAAGGGGTCGAAGTAAATTGCAGAGAGTTCTCATAGCACTGCCATAAAATAATCAAAAGACATTTTTATTTTGAAACTTTATAGTCTTGTGAAAGAAATACTCAATCTAAAAAAAGTCTGGGATATTTTAGAATACTTTCAGTCATAGCTCCACAGTAAGGGTCAGACACAGCATTCAAATTTCCTTCCAAACTCTTCAGCAGCAATTTTCTGTCATCACCAGGTTTAAAGTCTTTCATGGCCATGTAAATTGCTTTAAAGAATGGTTGCTTGTCATTGTGGTATACCCCTCTGTTACCATGAACTACTGAAATGCCTTTGTTGCTGGCTGGCCCACAGTTGTTTCCATACATGCAGTGGTCTGGGCGATAGTTCCAATCACATGTATATGTGTATAGTAACTCTGCGGAAAGAGAATTTCAAGGTTTTTATCAACAAATGCAGTGGTGGGTGGATTGTGTAAATAAAGCAAGTGGAGAAACATCCTACCACCTAAATAAAAAGTGGCTCAACCTTAACAAGTTTTCATCTTGATCTAACACCAAATTTCTCACAATTAATTTCCTAGGGAATGTGTAGTAACTAGAAGGGTGAATTAACTATCAGATCTTTGGAGTTGAAGGGTTATGTTATTAAACACTGAAAAGTTCAAAGGTGTTTTAAAACTGAATTTTGATGGAGGTGGTAGATGATGAAAACAGTCATTATGGAGCTTTAAAGCATGAGTTTGCCTGCAACACTCTGTATTTGTTGGAAAAGTTATTAACCCATCAATCAACATCAGATTTTGTGTCTTCACTGTCTTATTATCATACTAACTTTGGACAACTGAACAAATTTGTTTTCAAAAACTTCATTATATTGAATAAATTAACTAAAACATAACTAAACTTTGACTACACCATAAAAGCTATTTTCCCTAACCCTTTCAATACAAAGATCTCATTCATTAAGTTATTTTAATTCATTACTGTTTACCAAAGAATTCTTAAGATATAGTTCTAAGAATTTGGTATTGGATCAACTAATAATCCCCTAATGCTATTTTTATAAACCCTCATCACCTGTCTGCTCAATACCGTGGAACCTTGATTTAACAAAGTGCCAAGGGACTGGGGAAATTGGTTCATTATATCAAGGATTTGTTATGTCAAAAACCTCAATTTAACGAATTTGTGGAAAAATAACCAAATTGATTGTGATATTGAGGGCTGGTTAATAATTATTATTTTTCATTATTGTTATTTTTTTTAATATTTTTTTTTTTGTGGTGTGACGTCACACCACCCAGCACTTTGGGATTGGAACAGTTACTGTAAATAACATTTGTGCTTTAATGTCTATATGAAGCTTCAGTACACTGTACAGGTCTGTTCATAGCTACAGCACCTTGTTTTAAAGCAAGGAAGACAAATTTCTGTGGAAGTGACACTGGCAAACAGAGAAACAATGACAGATTTTGGTTCTTGTTGGTCTGCTCACATTTGAAAAGACACATGTTGACATTTGTTTGTTGACATTTGGGATATGTTATATGTTTGGGCTTCTGGATTGTGTTCATTGTAACAAGGATTTTGTTATATCGAGGTTCATTATACCAAGGTTCTTTCCTATACATTTTACAATAACTTTGGCCGGGCTGAAGAGCATCATTCATTACACTGAGGATTTTGTTATATAGAGGTTTGTTAAATCAAGGTTCCACTGTACGGTAGTGATATTGAAGGAAAAACATTGTTATGGTCAGGTATGGGAGTTAAAGGATTAAAACAGTCATGTAGTACCAATAAAATGAAGTATTTACCAGGGTGATCATGGAAGACAATATTCAAGAGATCTTGGTCTCCCCATGTTATGCTGAGTTTGTACTTATGGTATGCTTCTAGAATCTTTTTTGTCCAGTCAAATCCCCGCATTCGTGTCAAGTTCATGAGCATTACTCCAGAGTTCATTCCATTTTTCCCATAAAAAGGATGACGAGCAAACCTTGGATACCAGGAGAGTGCTTTTTCTTCACCCTCTGGAGCCATTGAGGCAAGCTGTTTATCATCAAAATGGTTAAAATGGTCCCAAAGATTTTCCACTGGTCTGAGCATGAGAACATCAGTGTCTAAATACAGGACACTATCAACAGAATGCAAAACATCCTGGGGAAAGTAAAAAAGAAAAAAAAACATGAAAAAAGAGGAAAAGGCAGCATATCTTTCCTTGATGTGAGGAAATTTGTTAGAAATGTTATTCAGGATTTTGTGTTCGCCTCAGTGAAGGAATCTATGAATTTTTGGTTTCATATCTTTTTTTCCCTTGGCTCAATTGTTTGACTTGAAAAGGTATGAGAAAGTAAAGTGAGTGAGCTGCAGGGAAAATCTTTGCTTCAGCAATCTCACTTGCTACTCAAAATAAAGAGTTTGCTGATAGGGTTGAAAAACATACTTACCAGAAGAAATAATCTTTGCGCTGCACATGGCTTGAAAAGTCGTTTCCACACCTCAACATTTTCTCCAGGAGGAAAGTGTAAAGAGTAAAGTTTTAATAAGACTTGACCAGATTTAACAGAGGACCATTCCATGAAAATGTTTTTTAATTCAGCATGAAGGTTATCTTCTGCAACAACATGAAACTGTATAGTTCTATTTGTGAATAAAGTGGTTGACTTGAGCATTGTTGTTGCTTCCACAGACCGCTCTCCACAAATCACAGAACTTACATGGATATTAGAAGAGAGTGAGGTGAATATTCTGTGGAGAAAATACAAAATATTTAACCATTTAACTCCTATCAGTGACCAACATCTTATTTCTCCCTAACATATCACCCTTCAATCAAACATTACAGTCATGAGAATAAAGGAAATCGTCACCTATTAAAGCTCTTGATTGTTAAACAAATTCTCCCTATCAGCTCTTTAGGAAATTTATAGAGAGCAGTATAAGGAGAATACGCATGCCGATGTTTAGGGAGTAAAGGGTTTAGAAAGCTTGCTGTCTGTAAGTTCTTGGCCAAACTGTATGCATACTTCTTAGTTTTAGATAAAAAAACCTTGATGACAAAGATTTACTTTTCTTTTCAAGCTGGAGTTCAGCGAAGAAGCGAACCAGATTACATCGAGTAAATTTAGTAAGCAGCATCCTATATTCACTGAACTGTACCAAATAAACAACTCAGCTTTACCCGACATCAAACCTGGCTCAACGCAAAAAAAAAAAAACTTAGAGGAGTTTGGTTTGTGAAGTTAATTTTTTTTCTTAATTTCTAAAATCCCTCATTGTGATCTTTACCTTTTAGTCGGTTTATAGTTGATCTGTTCCCTTTCAGGTTCTGATTTTCTTTTCGATGGGACTGCTTCGTGAACTGTCGTGACATGATTATTAATACCATCGTAACTAATTGATGACTCTTCAGCGTTTGGTAAAATATCTGCATCGGTTTCCTTTACATAAGAAATTAACAAAACAAATTCCAAAAGTACTACGATAACTAAAGCTATGCCGAGTGCCACTGCTATCTTGGAGAGAAATTTAAATCCCATCTGAGGTTCATGGCGTGAAAAGACAACACCTGAGCGGAAGAAAAGCGGAAAGTAAACATCTGACTTGGTAGCCGTTTCTACTTTGTAACCACACCTTGGGCAAGTTTCGTTTACGCTTCACATGGAGTCGTGATGTTTCGGCCAGAACGAGTCGAATTTTGCCAAAATTAGCCATAGGGTAAGATCATTTTTCTCTTGAAATGCCACCAAATGTTAGTTTTCAGTCTCAATTTTTCTTTTATGAGCGTTTTTTCGTAAAAATAACGTAAAAGGTGAAAAAACTTGCGCGACTCATATGCAAAGAAGGCAACGTGTAGGCCTCATGAAAATGGCTTGGTTTTTCCCGCTTTAGGAAAGTGCTTCATGTTCGCTGTTTTATCTGCCTACATGTGAGTTAAGAGGCGATACTCAACCTATTGAACCCCCTATGTGAAAAGTGGTTGTGAAACACCGTGTTTTCTCTAAGTTATAGGGGCGTTATATAACGATTTGGGTTTTCAGTGAAGCTGGAAGCGCCAAATATGCAAAATTTCGTAACGTTTGCCATGGCTCGCCGAGGGCACGTGTGTTAGCGTGGGAATCGATTTCTAGGCCATCTGACGTCTTCGAAGCAACATATTCAGTTCGATTTACATCTTTCGATGTTCCGAAAAGAAAACGTTTTCGATTCTTATTTGTATCTACATCTGTACTTTAAAAAAACTATTTAAGTGCTGCAATGGCTTCTAGTTAAACCTACGGTGTACTGCTGAGTAGCTAGATCACAAGACCTGTTATTTGCCACTGTTTTCTAACAAACTAACACTCCTTTCCTTCTTGATTTCAAGTCAGAAAATGTACAGAGTGTATACCACCCTTGCATGGTCTTAAAATAGTAAAATGCCCTTAGTCTTTTTTTCAAGTAGTTCCACATGGGAATCAAAGGCGAGCTGCACTCCTCATAGTTTTGCAGTATTATTTGACCCCATGTATCGCTCTGCAAAGTAGAGGAGGGTATGAGCTATGTTTAAATTACAGAAAAACATGGCTTCATAGTTTCAGAAACTTTTACCAGTTTAGCTGAATCATTTAGCTAGAAAGACAGTGACATTTGGAATATGAAGGTCCTAAATTAAACCTAAGATCATCTTTTGAGTTATTAACCTCACTAGAGATGTATAGTCCCTTGGTACAGCCTTGTCTGCACTCTTCAAGTGGTTCTCTACTCTCAAACCAAAGGTTTGAAATTCTGATTTCATGTCAGCTCAGTTACACTTACTGATCTATCCCTTACACCTGCCAGAAAAATTCAAATCATCATAGCTGTCTTTGACAATTTTTTTCTATGCTCCTTAATCACCATGAGCAAAGATAAGTCCATAAAAGTAATTATAACTTTGCAAAAATGTTCAGCTCTTGAAGCTAAGGGCTTGTGACACCAATTTTTGTAACAGCTTTAGAAACACAGCATATTTAAGAATTTTCAGATCTCTTTGGATGCAATAAGGTTCTCCAGGAAGAGTGCAAGAAATCTGGGAGGAAAATCCAACATGTTTGACTCAAAAAATAGTTAGGAGGTCTACATGCCTGTTTATATTTCATCTTAACTGTTATCTTTGTTTAGATCTTGTTCAGCCTATGAAGTACCTTCTCCAGCAGTGCACAGGCAATAGAGAAGTTCAAAAATAGTTTACTGTGGACCAAGTTAAAGATGCAGAAAGAAGGGCTGAATATAGAGACTGCAGATTACCTCACCTCGCTCCTCCAGAGGTATGATGCCACAGAGGGTGGACTCCCCCCACAAGCAATTCTTGCACCCATACCAGTACCTGTTCAGAGAGAAAATCCAGGACCACCATCTCCAAATGAGTTTCTCGTGCCAGCTGTGATACTTTGGGATCCTCTAAGCCAAGTCCCCAGCTTGAAAGAGCTAGCATGTCCACATGAAATCCATGATAGTGAAGTTTGTCCATTAAGAGCCCATACCAGCAACAAGAACAACTATGGGCGATGGAAGGCTTCTAGAGGAACTCAAGACATTCCAAGAGCCCTTTATTGTTGTGATGGTAACACACTTTTGGTGAGTCGCCTGTACACTTGCAAGAAAGGTCATAAGATCATCTCTCACGATCCACGCCTCATGGAGAACATCCCACCAACATTTCAAATCCCATTCTACCTGTTACACAGAACAGGTTTCACGCATGAGTTGGCCACTTGGGTGCATTCGTGTGTATTTGCTGGGATGTCATTTCATGAAATTGAGGAAGTTTTGACGCAGAGGCATCGTGATGCATATGAAGAGCGTAAATGCAAATATGATGCAGCAGTTAAGGCCTATCTTGAAAGTAATCCTGATGATCACCCTGAAATAGGTACATTTCCAGAATTCAAGACTTCACAAGTGCCATCACTTGAGACCACCATGTCAAGCATTGTGCACATGTTTGAAGGTAATGAGCTATTCTATATACAGAGGATGAGCGAATGGCCAGCTAAACGCATCACTGCTGGCTACTACTTCAAGGTGGCCACAACAATTGGAGAAAAACTGGAAACAGCTGGGAAATGGATCACACACTTTAAAAACATGTATACTGTCATGAACGAGAAAGGTCAAATCATCGCATGGAAGTTTACCAAAGAGAAGGATCTGAGTGAAGTGAAAGACATCTTGATTGGATTGCAGCAACGTTTCCAGATGCAGGGCAGACAGCTGGAAATGATTCTTGTGCCAGAATGTTGTGAAACAAGAGACCAGTTCAGTGAAATATTTGGTGCAGATGTTCCTGTCAAATTGGAACTTTCTAAAGCTGTCCATCGAGTTGTCAGGAAAATCCCTGCAAAGAAAAGAGAAGAGCATCAACTGACTAAAGCTTGTGTTCGCGACTTTGCCCTGGCCTTACGTTATCCAACAGACCGCGGGGACATTCGCCATCAGGAAACTCCTCCACCTGGGGTTGTCACTGAAAACCTTGATGCTTTTGTGGAGGGCTGGAAGGAGATCATCGAAGGGAATGAGCGCATCTTAACTCTGGCAGCTCAGAGGCAGATCATGCAGCTACGAACTCATGTGGAAGGAGGATGTTTGTCAGATATTCCACCCTCTCAGGGAAGTGAAAATGTTGACGAGCTGCACAGCATTTTAAAACCTGTGTTGGAAAGAAAATTTCTGAATGCTGACATGGCACTAGCCCTTATTTCAACACTTCTGTATGTGTGGAATGAAAGGAGAGCAAATCAGCTTCCCAAAGGAGCCCTTGTGCGGCCAATCTCAAAGTACCGAGGTACTTTAGAAGTCAGTGGATTCACACCAAGTGCAGAAAGATTTGGGATTGTGAAGAGTGATGAAAATGATGGCAATGATGTCACCTCCTCTGCCAATTATTCATTTGATGTTCTTGCTCTGCAGTGCCTGATACTGGATGCCTTTGGTGGAAACAAAGAGCCAGAGATAGAGCAAAAAGGCACTGACAATGGCTTAACCCAGAGTGTCCTTAAGAAAGTAATTGCTAAAGCCTCAAATTTATTTTCAGTGTGGGAGATCCTCAAGACACAGGCTGTACATGATGTATCACTCAACCCCCGACTTATGCACCTGATGGCTTGTTCTTTGATCCTTTTCAGTCGCAATGAATGTGCAATCGATGACCGAGCTAACCATGAAGTACGTCTCAATGAAACACTGCGATATTATCAGTTGATGGTCTTCTCAGAAAAGAAGGACACACCGGAGGCAGATGGATTTTTTACAGCAGTCAGTTCAGGGCTTAACTCTATACTAAGAAGTGATTTGCCAGAAACTGAATCAGTTAAGCAACATCTTGCTTCCATTGGATACAATACTCATGAAGGCAGCAGTCTGGAGGAGAATGTCTTGGTTCTGCGACAGTTGATTAGTGATGAGTGGCTTACATGTGAAGAAGAGTATAGTAAATTACTGGTGTCACACATGATCAGCTTTGCTGAAGAAGCCCAAGCCTTCAGAGAAAGAGGATACTTCAAAGGTATAAAATCTTTACTTGCAGTTACACGTTTAAAGTAATGTAAAACAGTCAGTTCAATTTTAGTATCTGAGCAATTGAGCATACACCTACCCCTCTCCTAGTCAACTGTTTGGTAAGGGGAGGGGGGAGGGGTAGGTGTGCAATTGCTCAGTTACTTACATCGATGCATTTAGTCAAACCTATAAGTGGCACCCTTGGAAATAGTAAGTGACTGGTTACGTGTTATAGACCTCTGAAACAATTGAAATGCATGTCCTTAACAAAATTCCAACTAATGGATACAGTGTTTAGGTGACAAATGCTGTAAGGTGTTTTAAGTAAGGTTAAACATTTCTTTCTGTTATTAAAGCAAACAGACATTTGCAGAGAGTTTACTGCATCTAATCTTATTTTCAATCCATTTTAGCTGAGATGTCCAATCTTCTGCCAATTGCTGCAGCAAAGGTTTTAAAAGTGCCAGTCATAGTGTTCACTTCCCTGCAGCAGTTTCCAATTGTGCCAGTGGTACCATCAGATGCTATCATTATTGGTTCCTGTGTGCATGTTGCTTACAATGCAGCTGGTTTTGGAGGGTTTTATGATGTTGGCACTTACGTTAGCAACTCCATTGTGCTACCAAAGCTGATGACTGATCCTTTGGAGAGGCGCAGAGATAGCAGGAAACGTTACAGGGAGAAGATGGCATTGATGAAAATTAATCAGCCTGCAAGAAAGAAAGGAAAGAAGCCAAAAACACCAAGTTCACAGAATGACAACCAGAAAGAAAATGAAACACCAGCAGATCCAAATGATTCTGTTGCTTCACAACAAAGGGAGGATTTGAACGGCTCTGCAGTTGATGGTTTGGAACATGAGACCTCCGTGAATGCGGCAGTTCAAAACACAGTTGGGGAGACTTCACTGGATACATCGGAGATGGAGAATGCTACAGATGAAGGAGTAGAAGCTGCTGCAAACCTCATTGAAATGGCATACAGTGAGGCAGGGGTCAGTGAGGAAACCATGGAAGAGGCTATTACAGACAGTGTTATTAAAGATGACATCTTACCAGCAATGGAATCAGCTGCTAATGAAGACCAGGCAGTTCCATTGCAGACAGCAGACCCTCAAGAAGACCAGACTGTCATGGATGATGGTGAAACAACAACTGAAGTGATATCTGAGAAAGACCCTGTCAAAGAAAGTGTCTCTGAAGTTGTTACTGAAGATGCAGCTACTGAAGCTGTAGCAGAGGATGCAGTCAGTCCATCAGTTAATGGTGAAACCCAACCAGACCGTGTAGAAGGAGGAACACCTGCACAAGAGGCAGCTGTTAATGCTTCTAACAAGTCTGAAATCATGATTACACCCACGTCTAGCAGCAAGGCCTCTGTTCAGGGCACAGAAATGGTTTTGACTATCCAAGAGGGTGTGAACATCCAGAAACAGACCTACTCCTGTAGCTGCGGCAGAGGAAGTGGAAAGAATGTGAAACGCACTCAGTTCTGCTTGACTCTGGAAGGTGGTTACCTGACACGCTGTGCCTGCTATAGGAATGCATCTGGTTGTTCTCACAGATGTCGTTGCTACCTTTGCTGCAATCCATATGGCACTGCTGAGGCTGCAAGGGCTACCAAGCCACCTCGCCAGGTCCGGCGTTTCCGGCCAAGACACAAAGTACAAGTGATTAAGAGTCGCTTTCCAAGTCTTACATTTGCCAGCACTATCCCTAAAACTGAGGGTATCCAACTTGGATCCAAGTGGTTAGAGGTTGACTGCATGGCATTTGAGTGCCTCATCGCAGCTATGAGTCATGCTGGATTGGAACTGACTCCAGAGAAAATTGCTCTAGAGTTTGAGAGGCTTTGTAACATGTCTAAAGATGATGGAGGGATCTTAGGGAATGCTATACAGTCAAAAACAATCGTTGACATAACTCAGCAGCTAGAGGTTGTACAGAGGAATATCCGCACATTTGAAAACTTGTACAAAAAACAAACTGAACTGAACTGGTTTCAAGGGATGGAAGTGGTGTTCTCAACAGAAGTGGTTGTGTCTTCATAGCTCAAAGAAAAGCTGAAACAGCAGCAGCACGTCATGTTAAGATGAGAAAGGATGGGTTAAATATTAGTGATAGACTGAGAAAGCTTATAAGGATAGTACATGTCCATTTTGCAGGGGGTATCCTTGCAGAATACTACATAGGAGTACTTAGCTGTTTGCCTTTCGCATGGTTAGTTTGGAGGGTAAGTGTTCAGGGCTCAGGTCTTAGGGTAAAGAATCCTATACTAACTTTTGCTGTTTAATCATCTGATTTACACTGCATATTACCAAATAGTATTCAAATTGCTGCTATATTTTTAGTAACTTTAAGTCTGGTAGATGCAACAACTTAGAGAGGTACCACTGACAAGGTCATAAAAATGCTCAAAAAATCACTCAGTTGAAACTACTCTATCTCCAACTGTATTCAATTTACCTTTACATAATTATTCTGTCACAACTATTACAAATATTATTGCAGTTTCTAAGTAACAGATTGGTTTACAACAGTTTCTGAATGTTATTTCAGTTGCTGAATTTATTTCAAAAGAGCTTGATATTGTTGAGCACAAGAAAAATTTCATGAATTTAATGACGTGTAGCTTCAAGGTTGCAGTCAGTTTAGCAATGGTGTGTGCAAGAGGAATATACACATTTTATATGTGCATTCTATTGGTCAGAAACTGTTTTAGAGGACTATGCTTCAGTAGAGCATGGATGTCACAGATTAGTAACTTTTGCCTCAAAACAACTTCACTTTTCAAATCCCACTTTTAAGGGCTTGGCACTCTTGAATTCCAAGACAAAAGCCTCCAGGCACTCAGTGATACTTGTATTATAACAGCTGTAGACAATTCATGTAAGTCAAGCACTGAATTGTGAAAGTTAATCAAAATGATTAATTAGTTACTAAAGTGGGTACCAAATGGGTGATTGTTAAATCTCCTAAATTGACATGAAATTGCACCTATTTTTAAAAGTTGTTGCATGTTTGATATGAGCACATCAGTCTTAAGATTCACCTAATTACAAATTTGACTTTGTATGTGCTTTTCTTGTTTTCAAAGATGATTATTTACTGCACATCACAATCCATAGGAAAAACCTCTTTAACCTTTTAACTACTACACATGACCAAGACAGAATTTCTCCTAACAATATCAATACAAAATCAAGCAGACAAGTGATGAGAAGAAAAAAATATCAATCTGTGGATTATTTAGTTAATCCGATACCAAATTCTCAAAACTAACTTCAGGAATTTTAAGGCAGACACTAAGGAGAACTACTTATGAGATCTTGAGAATGAAAGGGTTAAGGAGAACAGTTATGTCAGTTGGTTGTGAAGATGCTTTTTAAAGAGATTTCTGGTAGCTTTAAATAGCAATAATGTTTCTCCTCAACAATGTTACTGTAGCATGATGATTTAAGTAAAGCAAAAACTTGCATGCTTGGGTGAAGTGGTCATATTGTGTTGTAGTTTTTAACATTACTCTTTTCTACTCAGAATGAGTACTCATTCTAGTTTACATGTAGTTAAAAGAATTTGGTTGACATTAAGGTATTATTAAATAAAATGAAAAAGAAAATCTCTTCAAGCATTTGAAATTATATTACTTCATTCCCTTTGACTCTGTTTTTTTCTAACTGATTTTCAGGATTGTAAAAATGATTTTATGTTCCTATTTCACAAAGTTAAACAATACACTATACTACAACCATGTCTTCCCACTTCTGGGTTATATTGTCCATGAATGTCATAACATCTCCTGCCACTCTATCTTGCAATCCCCTCCTTATGTACCATGTACTTTCTGCTGGAATTTTCATAGGGTGACAACTGAGAAATCTTCTCACTGCCAGAAAAGAATACTTGCAGCCATAGCTATACAACAAACAGCTACATATGGACTTTTTCTTTCACCTTTTGGAAAAATAACAAAAGATCAATTTAATGGTCACTAGCAATTAAAACCCAATCAACAACCTCTAATTTCACAAGTTTAAGGAAGTGAACAAAGTTTTCAATTGGCTTGAACTGTTGCCAGAAGCATACAATACTCGGTGCACAATTGTAGTCAATATCATGATGTATAATTCATGATTTACATTCTCTTGGATTCCTTAACTCTTTTAGTCCTTACATGAGTATTTATATGTTCCATACTGTTCTCTATACATTTCCTGGAGTCCTGACAAGGAGAATATGCTGCTAAAGTTTGCCTTTGAAGTAATTATCATTAGGAGGGTTGTTATTTCTGACTGAGATTATTAAGTTGTAGCTGCTTATTATAACCCTTCCACCCCTATGAGTGACTAGCATCTAATTTCTCCTCACAATATCACCAATGAAATAAATATTTTATGTCAGGAGAATAAGGGGAATGATCACCAACTAAAGAAGCTCTTTAACCCTTTAACTCCCAGATCAAATTTGTTGTTCTCCTTACTGTCAACTTTACAATTCTTGTAATGTTAGTTCAGAGAATTTAGCATTGGATCAACTAATTATCCCCAAATCAATATTTTTCTTTATTCTCATCACTTATCTAGTTGATCTTGTATTGATATTGTAAGGAGAAATTCTATCTTGGTCACTCATGGGAGTTAAAGGGTTAATGTACAACAATTTCTCCTTGTCAGCACCTTAGGAAATGTCTACATAACAGTATAGAGGATATGCATAGTGATGTTAGGTTGTAAAGATTTAAATTATCATCAACAAGTAAAAGTTTTCCATTTGTTGCACATTTTTTGGGAGCTAATTCGTAATGCAACATTGAAAGGTTTTCTTTCTTTAGGTCTAAACTTACCAATTCTTGCTGCTTTCCAAAAGATCCCTAATAACCTATCCAAGAGAAAAAGGAAGATTCCAGTAACTGACCAGTTCACGCAAATTGTCTCTTTCTTGAGATCCTTCAGGAATTCCAAACTGGAATGTTAAAGTTTGAACCTCCTACATAAATGTTTATCTCATAATCTACTGACCACTGTTGCTAGGAACTGAAAGGAAGCTTGCTTCAATCATTCAATGTGTGTTGTAATGCTGATAATTTACATTTGAAGCATATGGACAATTCCACTACCTCTAAGAAAATTTAAAGGATAAAATTATTTCTGTAGTTCTATTTGTGTTTTTATGGACCTTGACTATGTTGTCACCATAAAAATGCAAAAATGCAACTTAGTCAGCATCTTGCCAGCTTAACCTTAAGTTTGGTCAGTAACAACTTTTCCAAAATAATAAAATAAACTGGAGGCTTCATTGGACAAAAGGTCAATTCTTTAATAACAAGAACATCATTTATTAACAAAATATGATGATTAGGAAAGACTGACCACATTTCCCTTTGTTAAAGCCAAATTTTAGAGTTGGAAAGGAATTTTCCGTCTATCAAGAAAGAAAACAATTACCGGCCCTGTGTCTGTGAATCATCACTCGCTTGTGATAAGGACAGATGTGATTAGCCCCCAAGCTCCAGCATTCACATACACATGTTTAAAAATGCATTGTACTTGCGCAGTTAACGTAAAAACCAAAATTTTTTGTTACAAATGCACTGATGTATCAAGGACATATTCATTATCAAATTCACACTAAAATGAAAGGAAAGTGACATTTTAGCGTAAAATCGTGTTTCCGACAAATTCCACGTCATCACAGACACGGAGCCGCCGGCATGACACACTGGAGTCACTAATCACTCACTGTTGTTGTCTGAAACAGATAGAGGAGGCTCTAGATGCAGCAAATTATTGCGATCGCTTACCCGTGTTTATTCTTGTCCAAAAGTGCCGGGTAAATCGATCGAATATAGGCACATGTACAAATTAGCAAAAGTACAACTGTTAGGAGACTTTGGAAGTTGAAGATGGCAGACTGCGGATAAAACACAACAAATAAAATGGGAAAATGTTGTCTATGGACAATCCAAGAAAATGATCAGCTTATATTTTGGGAAATGATTTCTGCCTTACCATGTTTGTCTGCTAAAAATCCTCACTTCTTCAAGCCACAATACTGCTTTGGTACTGATCTTCTCTCTTTGATTTTACTTACATGACGTACTATCTAATCAAATGCAACTCCGCTAACTTGTCCATAATGCCAACGAGCGGGGAATGGAGACAACCGTGTGTAGCCTAAACCCAAGAAACCCACTTTTCTCCGTTTTCAAGGATTTGATATCTATTCTGATTTAGGAAAAAGTACGCGCCGAAGACGTGACTGTGAAGTTATTTCGAGATGTTTAACACCTTTTGTAGTATCACGTAGTAGCAAGAACTCCAAAAATTGTATCTTCGGATCTACCGGGAATAATTTGCTGATTCAAGTAGTAAAATGCTTTCTCTTCACAGTAAAAATTTTTCCTCTTAGTTTTCATGATACGTCAATCACACTTGTTAGGATATTTCTGCAGGGAAAAATTTTAATTGTTTTAATCACGCGCCATCTTGAAATGATTGTGAAATGATTTTCGTCTTCTGTAGTGTCACGGCATGAACGGCAAAAATGACATTTTGGTGTATGCTGCACCCAATAACTTGTAGTACGAATTTCGAACAACGAAGATACTCGGATATAAACCGTAGGTGATATCGGCTCAAAGTCGGGTGAAGATCGGCATTCTATTGTTACCATAACTCACTCATTTCGATGACGTATGTGACTTCACCTCCTATAGGAGGCAATAGCCACAAAAAATGACCATTTCACATACACTAAACTTTAACTCACTTAAAACAGAACATATTTGACCCACTTCAACATTACACAACGAGATAGTCCACAAGCATGTCAGTTTAAGTAATTTTCTCCTCGTTTTAAATACGCCCTCGCAATGCAAGACAAAAAACCTTTTGCATCGTTTATTCACTTCATACAAATTTAACTTTTCCTCATTACAAAAATTCTCTTCATATCTTTCCATTTGATTTTCTTTTCATGTATTCTTAGTTACATCATCCCCATAAATTTTCTCTTAGATCTAAAACCGCCGGAGATAGGGCAGCTGTTTTAAATTGATAACAAGGAAATGGATGACAAAAGACTTCGTTTATTTGGGCCCTCTTCTTTCTTTCTTTCTTTCTAATTTTTGTGCTCCAAAGAGAGGCTAGGTGGACCTATACTGAGTAGTTTAATGTCAAACAGTAAAGGCAGATGAAAGGGAAGTGGACGGTAATAAGGTTGAAGTGGGAGGGGAGGGACGGGATCGTTCCAACACGCTCTTGAAATGTTGTCACGCTGCTTTTCGATTAAAGGAAAAAAATTCACTTCATGATTCTTAAGCGGGTCGCAATGTTTTTTTTTTTTCTGTACACATACGCGCCGAATCCGCATTTATACTGCTCGGGAGCTGAAGGAAATGATTATTACTACCCCACAGACTGCTGGATCCATTAAACCAGATGTAATGTGTTCCACTCAAACTTGATGAGGGGTTTCACAGTAAGAGCTTACTATTTAACTCCTCTTCTGTTCTTTTTTGGTGTTCTCGACGTCGTTGATCATGCTTGCGATCTCACGCGCTAGGCTCCTGGTTTTGCTAAGTTCAGTTTCGCCTTCATCGGGCTTCAAGATCATCTCTCTTCGATGCACTGGTGCAAGTGCGGGAAGATTCAATGGGATTCCTTCCATCATTGCGACCTGCTGAAGATTGTGTGACTCCGCCATAATCCGTCCAGCTTCCTGCATAATCCTAGACCGGCGTATGGCTCGTGCCTCATCAATCTGCGCCTGTCTGGCTGCAGCTACTTGATGGTTGGCTTCGGAGAATAGCTTGCGCACCTTGGCCTGCTCTTTGAAGCTCATGGTGTCATAACCTGCGAACAGTTAAAGTGCAAAGAACCAGTCAATATGTCAAACGGCTATGAAAAGATGGCACAGCCCGAAAGCGTGAAGGGGTGTCTGTACCTTGACCTTTAACTTTTAGGTACGTTTGAGAAACCTGATGTTGAATTAGAAGGGGAATGCTGCGAAGTTTCTGAGTTTAGAGCGCAGGGAACCCCTAAAGTGATTGAAGTGCTCCGTTTTGCATTACTTCTTAGTCATAAAAGTCCTCAGTAAAGAAATCATACCACCATCATTGAGTGATCGAAGAAAGGGAGACCTTAGTTTCGTTGACGCTGTGTAAAACACACGAAGTGCTACTCTCTTTACAAACCTTTGACAAGCGGTCCACAGTCGCACTGGGGACAAGATCCGGGATTCTTAACAATCGTACACAGGGAGGGGCACTCTGACAAAATGTTTGGGCACCCTGCAAAGGGACAGCACGGGGAAATATTACTTACCGTGACTGTGCATTCACTCCATAGAAAAGAAAACCTTCACTGAATTAAACAGGTGATCCCTCTTTTTATCCTAGATAAACCTTACAGTTTCTGTAACAGTCGTGCTTCTACTGTTATTAGAACGTTTACATTGTATAATTAAAAAAAACAAAAAGCCCCCCACAACCAAGCTGTCAAAGCTAGTGCGTTTACATTACAATAGAGCACTTTTTATTTTGTGTCGTATAGCCAAACCAGAGAACTCGCAACCAATCAGAACCAAGGAAAATATCACGACGAGCCAATGAGAACTCAAAGAAAAATACCACCAAACTGCCTGCCTGAAGCGCGGGAAATTTGGAGTGATCAACTTGTGATTGTTTTAACTTTTGAATCTGATTGGTCCAGGAAATGGCGCAGTTTTTCTAGACCAATCACAGAGCAAGGTAAACCAAAACTAAAGCAATTCCGTATCACTTTCGGCGTCCAATTGAAAATTGCCCTAATGGAATATTACGGTAACAAATATATCTGCACTATTAAGGTTAATACATCTCTCTTACGACGACGTTGGTTAATGTAATCATTTTATTTGCATTCTCTTCCTCTATTAGATTAAGGTTATTATCATTCTGTTATTATTTTAAAATTGTAATTAAAAGTTTATTGTCATAGATATTCACTGGAATCACTCACTTTAGGCTCACATGCAATTATCCCTACTGTTATTATTATTTGTAATTCCTTATATTCCTTATTGTAGATTTCCGGTGCGCAAAAAGTTCGGATCATGTCAGTACCTGAACAACTGCACATCTACCCCTCCCCTGATCCAACATGAACCCTAACTTGTGATCAGTTGATGTTGTTGGGTTAGGGGAGGGGTGGTAGGTGCGCAGTTGCTCAGATACTGATACCGATCCAAAAATTCGAGGTAATTTTGTATGTTTGAAAATACCGGAAGTTATTAAGCTATAGATGCAGGCTTTGTAAAGAGTTTGGTTTGTGGTTAATATTTGCTCAAGATTATTGAAAAGTTTCTTCAGTTCGTGATTCGTTACCAATATCACACATTTCTAATTTTCGCCTTTCTACAATGTCCCATAAACAATAAGTATTCTGCCTAATATATAACGACAGATTAATGAACAATCGAGAACATCGTTATCAAAGTCTATAGACACACAGCAGTCTTCGATGAAAAAAAAACAAAATTTTGCCGAAGTTACTGGGAAAGTCTAGGTTTTTTATCGATATATTCAACGTGAACACCAGCTGGTGCTTGTAATCGGTTTGTGTTAGTTTTTTTCCATTTACTACGCCTTACCACTCTTGGCTGTTGAAGAATTGTTCACTCCTTTCGGTTGATCATTAACCTTTGTTCGATCTGTTAAAATGAGGAATAATATTGTGTTAGACCAATTGGTTTGAAATGACAGCAGAATAAGCATCTGACTGGCTGACTGACCTACAGACCAACCAACCCGCTGACTGACTGATTGACGTTCCAAGAAAAAGACTCTGACTCACAAGTTGACTGAATAGCTAGCTGACTGACTGGCTGACCGACCGACCAGTCAACTGACTAACAACCGATCGACTGACGGACTGACTGACTGACTCCATGATTGATCAACCCAACAACCGACCAACCGAATGACTGGCTAACTGACTGACTGACAAACTTACTGACTAATCGACCGCCGACTGACTGACCGATCAGTCGACCAACTAATTAGCTGGATGACTAGCTGACCGACCGACTGCCCAACCAACTGAATGGCAGACTGACCGACCAATTGAAGAGCTGGCTCTCTGATTAACATACTCACTAACTGACTCAATAACATACTAGGTGACGCACATATCTGATTCACTCACGTCTTTTGCAGATGAACCCGAGTGGTTTATAACAGTTGTCATCATCCCATCTTCCCCAATCATACCGCTGATACATTATACCACACTGTTCATCTTTGCCGTCGTAGTGTTGGCCTTCCTTCCAATTTTGGTATCTACAAATGGGAGAAAAGTTTAAGGCCCAATTACAATTCTCCTGTTTGAGTTCCATAGAGAAAAAAGGAAACGCAGGCAATTACAAAAAACTCACCAACAACTAAGATCAAATTACTGTTAGAGCAATTTTCAATTCAGTGTGGAAGGTAATTCGAGATTGCATTGGTTTGCTTTGCCTCAATCTGTGATTGGTCCAGAAAAATTGCGTCACCCTCTCAACCAATTAAATGGAAGACTCAAACCAATCATGACTTGGTCGCCCGCGTTTTCCCGCGCTTTAGGCAGTTTAGTTGTTTTTACTCTGAGTTTTTATTGGCTCTGAAAGATATTTTCCTTTCCTCTGATTGGCTGTTCCGATTACTTTGGTTCTGGTTTTACGACACACAATCGAAAAGCGCTCTAATCAACCTCTGTTAAACGTAAAGAGCAGCAGATACCTGTATCTAGAGCCGTCAATCCAGGACCACATTCGTACTTTCTCTTTGTAAGACATTCCAATCCACAGTTTGTTTACATCTGACGACTTGCGCAGCTGTCTCGTGATAAACTCGTTTTCTTCTTTTGTGTGGACACTCAGCAGTTCAGAATTACAAAGCTTAAAAAATTCAACAACAAAGAATTGTTGACATCGTTTTTCATACTGATATCATTCCGAGAGAACCACACATTTTATATATGAACTTTGCTCAAATAAGTGGACGAGGCCTGGAAATTTGGGAATTTTTTTTCTGCGACATTAAAAAGCCTGAGGCCATAATGATCTACATTCTTCGCCTGCTCCAGGGGTTCAATTGGTTAGACGGAGTGCAATAGTAAAACGCACGATGGCAGCCGTGGAGTGAGAAAAACGAAGGAGGTTTGGGTCGGGTTGAGCGACCCGACACAAGCCTCCCTTGTTTCAGCCCGGCCGCTAACATTGCGCTGCTAACTCTTTGCTCCGTTTTACTGAACACCTGGAGCAGGCCCCCACAAGCTAAATTGTGTTTACCTTGCAGGCTCTAACAGAGTCAAACCAACTTTTTGTTTCATCTGTAGCGATCTGGTATTCAAACTTGCCTTCTCCATCCATTGGGACAAAATTATCGCATTTCGCATAAATGACCTCTATGAAGAATAAACAAAAACAGAACATGGTGATGGGGGTAAAAACGACGATGATTTCATTCCCCACCCACTCTTCCCTTCCACATACCTCCTCGTGTGATCTTCACTCTTGCAACATCTCCTGCGTCATCTGGCCTCAGAGCTAGTGTAAACTCCCCGTTTAGCTTCAATGGTTCATCATTCTTAACATCCACAGCTCTCAGGACAATTCTCTTGTACTCATCCCCAGGCTCCAGGCGGGCGTACTCTACTTGAGATTCATCCACATCCAGTGTGGTGGCCGGGAGGATCTGGTCCGGAGTGACTCTGACATGGCCACCGGCGTGATTTATGAGCTTCACGTAGAACCATCTATTACCAGCCCCTGAGAGGAGCGAACATTGTGCATAAACGATAAACTAGGCGCTGAATGTAGAGCAGATCGCTGCTAAGCGTTGAAATTAATTCGGGATTGCTTTGGTTTTGCTTTACATCGCTCCGTCATTAGAACAATTTTCACTGCAACTGAGTGTCGAAAGTAACTCGGGATATTTTTTATTTAACTTTACTTTGCTCTGCGGCTGGTCCAGAAATTTCGTCACACCTCCCCAACCAATCAGATTCAAAATTGAAACCAATCGCTATTTGGTCATGCGCGTTTGCCGTTTTCCCGCGCAGACAGTCTGCGAGTTCTCATTGGCTAATAGTTACGTTGACATTTGTTCTGATTGGTTCTCGTGATAACTTTGACACTTGAAATGTGAAAAGTGAAAACTGCTCTAATGAATAGCGATAACTAGATTTTCCTTGTCTATTGTATTTCACAGCCACAAGGCATAAAACAAAATAATATACAGAGGCGGATGATGCTTTTCGCGCTTTTTGTCTGAGTGAAATGGACACTTTTTCTACATTTCCTACATTTGCCTGAAAATGTTACTAGAAAACCAAAGAAACCACAATCTGTGCAATCAATTTTCTCTAGCATTCTATTAACACTTGAGCAAAGGTTATGAAAAAAAAAACATGATCTCAGTTACTTCTTTACAAGCTTTAACCAGTCTAAACATCTCTTTGAAGTCAATACATGATACTTAAAACTGATTTCACACTGACTAAGGATAGGGAGCCATTCATTGTACAGTAAGACAAGCGTTCAGTTTGTTGTGTGTTCAGTTCTGTCAACTGTGGCAAGGTTTTTGTGTGTCAGTTGGATAGAGATTTCAGTGATAACAAAATGAAGCACTTGCCTTGACTCTTGACAATGTGGCCGTGTCTTCCATGCAGGATACCACTCCTTGAGTCTACAGTCATAGAGAATACGTAGAGCGGAGTCAACACAAAGTTAAGTTATCAACAAAAGTCTAAGCTCCAATAGACTTTTATCACAAGGGAACCATCATGAGTCCTCCCGCCTGCTCCGGTTTTGCATGCACTTTAAACTCGTCACTGTGACTCCAAACATGTAGGAACAAAACTTTTTAGTTCTGGGAACTAAATGAGCCAGCATGATGAAATTCTTCATTTCATTACGATGCTAGTTTCTTTTTTGCTGGATGATAAATTGTTATAAACAGTAGAAAAAACATCGATACGTGAAAGGAGTTCAAGGAAAATATAAATTCCTGTTACGGAAGAAGTTCCACCTTATTCAAGCCTTGCATGCAACACACGTATCATATCACAATATCTCGCGGGAAGGTTGCGCAGTGTCACTCGAAAATGAATTTCATTTTGTCACTCCACTCACCTTCGCGTGACACGTAGGCCTCTTGTGTGTCATCATAAGTAGTTGGCGTGACGTAGAACTTTTGGTCTCCGTTGATGATCAGCGGTTTATCTGTATACTCGTCGACAGCCTTCAGAGTGATCGTAGCCTTTCGGTCAGTCTGGTTCAAGAGCTGATGGTAGACGAAGATTTCTCCGCTGCTGAGTACGGCGCTCGGTAGGATCTTGTTGGCCTTTATTTTGACTCGTGTGCCTACTTGATTTACAACTTTCACGTTTAACCATTTCCTCGCTTCTAAAAGAGTATCAAGAATATAAATAAATTTTCAATCTCCTGCGAAGGCTTTTTTTCTTGCATTTCCAAACTATGCTTAGGGTTTTCTTTATTAAAAGTTTTACTTTCTCTAGCTCTTCTTTCTCACATGGTAAGCGTCTTCGAGCTTCAAATCGCATAAGCAACAAAAAATTTCAAAACTTTAAAAAACTTGATCATCTATTATGGCAGTTTTACTCTTTTAAATCTTTTTTTTTCTTCACAAAAAAAAACATCCTCGAGGTTCAAATCTCAGCCAGAGAAACGAAAAAACCACTAAAAAACTTTCTCGTGTGTCATTAAATAAAAATGTAACTCTTACTTTTACTGCTCTTCTTCTGATCATGGTGACGTTGTCGATGATGATGACGATCATGATGAGGATGATGATGATGATGTCGGTGGTGGTGTTTATCTCGGGATTCTTTCACAAACACTTTACTCACGGGGCCTGGGGCAAAGTCACGCCTTGCTAATTCACCAGTTGAAGTGTCAGCGGATTCTGGCTGATTCATACTATCGAGATACTTCTTGTAGACACCTTGAAAGTTCTTGGAGTGTATGAGACCTAGAAAAAAAATACTACATATTTCGCTACCTTCATGCATTCGATGGGCGTTTAACCCTGTAACTCTTACTCGCTGATCTTTATTTTCTTTAAGATTCACTCAGGGACCAGTCATCCTTTAGTGATCACGAGGAGGGGGAGGGTGGGGTCGTAAGAGTTTTGTTTTGTAATGGTAAAATTTACCTGATCCGACCCCTCTAGGACTCTGTAGTATTCTTATGATTCCCCCTCATTGGCTGCCAATTATCTATAGTACCCCCTTATACTCTGTTGGTGACGACTGAGCCCCATCCTTACCCCTGAAAACCATGTCATCTCCCCAAAATCCTCTGACCCTCCCCTCCGAGGCGATGAAGGATGAACTGCCTCTTATACCGAAACAAATTAAATCTCAATCGTTCTCAGACGCTATGTCACTTACAAATTAGCCCAACTGGCGAGTAAATGTTTACAAAAAAGAGGAGCACAAATAGACTGTAAACTTTTACTACGCACCTAAGATTCGGTCGAACCATGGCCCCGGGGAGGGTGCAGTTGAGCGTCCATTGGAGTCACTGTCTGAGGCGTCATCTGAGTTATCATCGTCATTATCTATTAAGGACAGAATGGAAATGATCATTCTATTCATGAGAACCTAAAGCTCATAGTCTATTTTTTTATTCCAAATAAAGCTCCATGATGTGGTCTTATTCAGGGAAGTTTAAGCAGGAATTTCGTGGTTTCATGACGTGAATTTTTGTCAGTTACTTCAAAAGAACACATTTAGCTAAGAAATCAAAAAAATTGGCCGAACTTAAGTCAGTTGCTCTTCACTTTGATTATGAGGAAATGTCTAGAAGCTGTGATTTTTTAAACTGCGGCTTTTAATGTTCATCAGCTCGCCACGACAGAAACAATAAAAGGGTTCTTTAGCTCAACTATGCGATTTTTTAAAATTTGTTTTTGAAGGTAAAAAGCTCAATCTGAAATGAAAATTGAGGATCTTGAAATGGAGCAATTTTCAACTGAATGTCAAAAGTAATCTGGGATTGCGTTGGTTTTGCTTTACTCCGCTCTATGATTGGTTCAGAAAACTCGCGTTACTCTCTCAACCGATCAGATGTAAAATTAAAACCAATGACGACCTAGTCACGCGCATTTTCCTGCGCTTTACGCAGTTTGCTTGTTTCTTTTTTGGTTCTTATTGGTTCTCTAGGTATTCTCTCTTTCCTGATGGGCCGTTCCGAAAACTTTGGTTTTTGTTTTACGAAAATCATTTGAAACGCGCCCAAATTGCTGAAGTTAACAAAACTAAATACACATGACTCAGATTGAAAACAAAATGTTGAATTGTAGAATAACAGCAAATAAGTCGTTTTCCGCAGAGTAGACACTTTCAGTATTATTTGTCATTACAATCATATTAATGAATAAAAATTACAGACAAAGAAAGTTAAAACAGGTTTGAGTCCAACCATTTAACAGGTGACAATCATTAAGTCGGCCATGCACAGAAAAAGTCCAAAATCTGTCTTTTATGTTTCTCCACAATAGGAAAAAAATCATTGACACATAACCGATGATAAAAATGAGGGATTTCGATCAATGTATTTAGTAAACGTTTGGTGTGATGAATGATATTTGATGGATGTAAAAGGTATTTCGCTCGGACGAGTTAAAGACCATCCTTTGTCTGCTTCTCAACTGGGGACTTTCAAGTCAAGTCATAAAGGTGGTTCCCGTATCAAAGAAAGTCGTGATAGTAACTTAATTATAGTCAAATTAAGTATTTACCTGCAAGCACCGAAACAATAGCTACTAAGCCTAATAAACAGCAGCCGAAAACATATCTTCTCATCTTCATGTTCCAAAACGCGCTTGTGGAGAAGTGCGTCGAACAAACACTTCCCTCATGAAAAAGCCGAAATTTTTACCACTTGAGATTTGAAAATATTACATCAGAAGACAGGGGCGTAGCGAGGTCAATCCACCAGCGACGAAACCCGGCTGAAACTTCAAGTTGCTTGACTGCCTTGTCAAAGCGCCACCAATGAAGGAAAGGTACGCTGTTGTTACGCCCTTCGGCCGACAGGGCGTTTCTCATTAGGTGGTAATGGTAATGACGAGATCGAGAGTAGAAAGTTAATTTTTTTAAGTGGAGCACTCGAAAATACTGGCATTTCAGAAAGAACGATTGATCGTAGGCTGTGTAAAACATTTCATCGTGTTTATTAGCTTGTTTCTAAGCCACATTCTATTGAGACAAAGTCAATAAGTGCAAGTTTGTCGGATCACTGAGCACGTAATTGTTGTCGGACAAGCCTGAATATTAAGAGAGCCTGTAGCAGGTCAAGCTCACCAAGTGTAGTGTCCCAGAACCAAAGATGACCTTTGGTATGACAGATCTAATACAAGTGTCGAACGATTCATTGGACTAACTTAACGTTTTTTTCTTCTATCATGTGATTTCTTTAGAATCACATGATAGAAAAAAAGTTACGTTATTCCGATGATTTCTTGAAAATCACACGACGCCGGCATGTTCATCAACTAATATAGGACTTGGTTGATGTAACAATCGACCAGAGTAGAACACGACAGACTGGAAGTCTTGGATTTGAACTATTCAGTCCAAATAACAATCAGGAGGAAAAATCTTTTCTTTTTTTAATTCAAATTTCAAAATAAGGTCAAAACATTGTTTGAAGGGACGGGGTATAACTTCAAGATTTTGAAGTTGTTTAATTTTTTGTCAGGGTAAGTGGTGATACGATGAGCAAAATCAAATCGATGAACAACCTCATTATTAGCAATGAACAGATGTATCTTTTGGAATCAAGTTGTGATAAACCTAAGGTAGAAAGCAATTAACTTCAGCTTACAAAGCAAAAACTCTGGTCTTGTTTGATTTATCTCGTTTCCAGCGATAAGTACCATTGCTTTAACCCCACCCCGCCAACTCAGTTTTGCTTTAACCCCACCTCTCCGCCCTAGTATTGCTTTAACCCCAACCCCCTCCCCCATGCATTACTTAAAACCCTACCCCCTCCACCCTAGATGAGATGTCAGTCCGTGATCCATGATACTCGGGAGACGATCTTGTGGTACCATAGCAAGGCTACACCCCCACTCTCAGCATTTCGACAGAATTCCCTGTAATACTCCAGAGTATAAAGAGGAAAAACTCGTGACGGAGTTGATGGTTTTTCCTGAGAACACACAAAACAATATCACAGCCAGAACTTGAACCCAGTCCTTTCGAACCGAGTCAGTGCATTAACCACTGAACAACTACTCTATCAAGAAGAAAAGAACTGTACTTTGCCAAAACCCGCTGGCAAGTCTTAAAAGGAAAGTGTTATGATGGGAGACAAAATATGATTCGTAATCTGATCGCATACGACAAAACCTTTAATGAATTTGAAACACTTGAACTGAGCACAAATAAAAGCCTATTGTCTGGATTCTTGCTGTACTGTTTCTTGTCCAAATGTCTTGGTTCGAAAAACAAATGACACAGCATCACCAGCTTTCTTTACCGCGTCGTCCTTCAAGAGAACAAGACACGTTAGAATTCTTAATGATAAATGCTGCAACAGTGCAGCGAAAACAAGCCATACATCGCCCAGCAATATTCAGCATATCACATAATTCCACGTGAAACACATGATGAACTCAGAGAATGCGGCAGCATTTTCCATGAAACACTTGCGAAAGTCCGTCCGCGCTTAGCTCACCACGGAGAACGGTAGATTATTCAAGCGTTTCTCGGCAATTAGATAGCTTTGTTTATTATTTACCTCGCATAAATTACACAGGGGCTTATGTTCCCGGCGGTAAAGTTTTTCACTCCTAAATGGAAACGCTAACATGAACAGCTTTTGCAAGAGAGCAGTGAACGCGACCTTGTAAAAAACGAGCGGTCATTCTTAGATGTGATTCTCTATGTAAAAGATACATTCAAAATCTTTACCTCTAAGTGGACTGAGGCAAGAAATCTAACAGAAAAACCGGCACAAGCAAATCTCTGTCCTACCTCAAAGTCTGAACAAGGATCACTCGGACACGGATAGTGCTGCCAATCCATAAGCTCAGCTATTGAGAGATTTTTCTGAAAAAGAGATATTTAAGAGTACTAAATGTGATTCGTGACAGACGTTATCGACACTAGATTGTCATATAACGTTTCAATCATGCAAAAAGCTACTTTCTGGCTTTTCTTGAAAGAATTTATGTGGCGTTCACGATATGATTGTATGTCCTTTACTACTAAGGAGAATATCATACTTGATTATTATTGATGTCAATTCCTAATTGGCACGGTCTCGTGACTGGTATACTTGACTGTTGATTGGCTGTTGATTCTGATTGACATTCCTCGTCACTTCCATCCTAGAAAAAGCCAACAAATCACAAGAGAGATGGAGAGAGTCAATGACAGAGCAGTGATTCCTCCTCAAATCGTGATCATCAACCCGAGAGATTACATATCAATCAATCTCGAAAAATTTAGTGTTACCTCGGTTGTCAGGCATGTGCACTGTAGTAGATCGTGTGTTAAACATAACGTGTTCTCGTGGAGAGTAAACAAGTCCTGTGTAATTAAGAAGAAATATTTACGGAAAAATAAACCTATTCCGTGAACCTTTTACACCCTAACATCAGTGTGCATTCCATATTCTCTTTACTGTTCTCTACACATTTTTAAGGTGCTGAAAAGGAGATTTTGTTTAACAATCAAGAAATGATCGGCAACTTACCAGAACTCTTGATTGTTAAACAAACTATCCTTGCCAGTACCATAGGAGATGTCTAGAGAACAGTATGGAGAATATGCATACTGATGTTAAGGTGTAAAGGTTAGGAGCACGCTCTGAACACTCTCTAGAGGGGAAGAAAGTTGTACCTAGAACACCTTACCATAAAATAGGAAATCGCATGATGGCAAGGGCGTTTCGTGATTTATCACCAAAAGTTATTTTTTTGGGAGTTTTCGTAATTTCACGAGTCAAAGGCGAGTGCAGTTTAGAAGAATTGTTTTCCCTCGGTCGTGAGAAGGTCATATTGGGATCCTCGTTCCCGCACTTTTCTATTACCCGAGTGAAGGCTGCGCGTTGTAATGGAGTTTTCGTTACAATAATGAAGCCTGTTGCAATAAATTCTGCATTTAAATTGTGTCAAAACCTTCCATTATATTTACCTTAAGTTCCTCTCGCGAGAATTCAATTTTGACAGACTCTTTGGCATCAGCTACAGTTCCGCTAAGACCCTGCTTGGCGGTTTGTCTCTGGTAAATCTTCTCTTCAATGGTACCCTGTGGCACTCAACAAACCAAATTTAGATATGCTGTGACAAAATTACTTGTCACTTTAACAACAAGCTAAGTTTCGACTGAATTGATTTAAACTTCGAATGAAAAGTTCTCCGAGGTAGATAAAAGCTACAGCAGTATTAGCCCAACAAACGGAGAGAGAAAACAAACGCATAAGCTATTTCTAAACGGTCTCACTTTAAAACGACGCCAACTGCAATATTTTTCTTGTGAAAATACATCATAATAAAAATTCATTTTGATATCAAAGGCTCCACACGTAACCTCATTTTAAAACAGAGGCTTTGGGAATCTCAGAAATGGCCTGTTATGGTATGGACGAGAAGGGGACTGGTTTGAGAGACGCGACGCATTCTGTCCCGTTCTTGTCTGGCCCCAGTCTCTTTTTGCTTTGAGCTATCCCAGATCGAGAGAAAAACTGACTAATAAGAGTCTTCAAAGAAGAGACTTGGCCACTAAGCTAATTACCGTTGTCAAAAGTCGATAAATGTGAACTGTGTTTTTCTGTCCGTCTCTCCAAACCCTTGCCATCGACTATAAAAGGTAAACCAAAACTCAGTGAGTTCAACGAGATCACTATCTAATGAATAAAACAATCTTACTTCACAGCAAGTTATCTAATGCAAGAAAAGAGAAAAGAAATGAAGTTGAGAAAAATAGCTGTTCACATTAACCCAGGGACCTCTTGATCTACCCTTACATGTTCATACCTGAATGTCATTGGCCGGATTCCAGTCAATATCAAACAAAATGAGCCTTGATGCACCAATCAGATTCAAGCCCACTCCGCCAGCTTTAGAACTCAATAGAAACACAACTGGAAAACAGAGAGTAAAACAACAACAAAAAAAGATGATTATGCTGAGTTCACTAGATCAGTTCTTACTTTGAGAACTTTTTTGTAAAAGTAAATCTTGGGGGCAATGTAAATAAATTAACGGTCAATTTAGCAATTGTTTTACTAAATATTCTAGTCATAGACTACAAGCAGTCTTTGCTTTTCGGGGAAGTCTGTCGTGCGAGTAAAAAATATCTGTGAAAAAAGTGGTGCGCGAAACTAACCCAACCCTACTTTTCGTTTATTTTAATCAGAAAAAATAAAAATACAAACGCACTTACAAATTTTGCAGTACTTGGCATTGAATCGATCTACTAACGATTGCCGTTTGCTGGTTGGTGTCTTTCCATCCAATCGCAGAAAGTCGTAACCTCTGTCTTCACAAAGCCTCTGAAGTAAATCAAGAGTCTGTGGTGAAAGAGAGAGTGATGAAAAGATAATATTAGATTCTCCTCACTGTCTGCCATACAATTCTTATCTTAATTCGGAGAATTTGGTAAAGGATCAACTAATAATCTACTAATTGACATTTTCTTTATTCTTATTAATCTCTACCAACAGTCTGATGTATAAAAGGAATTGTCACGTGAACACTAAATCGTACCTGAGTGTAATTTGAGACAAGCACTACTCTCTCCCTCGTGCTGCGTATCTGGGTCAGTATGTGACCAAGAGCTTGAAGTTTTCCAGAGTGGTTTGTTGTAAAACAACCCGGGTTGAAATTCTCAGGAAAGGAGCGATCGAGACCCTCATAAAGTGATGCGTCCTAAGTAGTGGAAACTCAAATTCACAAAGTTTTCGAGCAGAATTGTACAACTTGAGGAGAATATTCATCTATGGAAACGGATGGTAGGCAAAAGTTATACCCGCGAGATTTCTAGGCTTTTCATAGTCATATTACTGCGTAAATTATAAATGATATAAATAATAATATAAATAATAATTATAATTATACATCTTGTTGCACGTTATTTATTTATCCATATATTTATTTCAACCATTATATTATTTTATTATAGTGAATGAGTACAGAAGAGCCACCATGTGGAGTACTAATAAACCATTATTATTATTATTATTATTATTATATATTATTAAATAGAAATAAATGTAGGGGCGAATTTTCTCATAGTGAGCATCTCGTTTTTGTGAGAAAAAATTCTCCTGAAAAAAAAAAACGTCATAACAACATTAAGAGTGAACGAAAACTCAGGGAAAAGCATCTTTTTTGTGCGTCACTTACCGAAAAAGTAAACTGGCACCACAATCCCTTACATTCAAAATCCCTTAGATCAAAATCAACCTAAGAGAACCATTTTTTACCAAGATAACATTTTGAAAATGAAACTCGGTCATTTTTTTTGAGGTTAAATCGAAAGAGAGACGAAACTTGACTCAGGGCTATTACTCTTAGAGGTAAAGTTCTTAAAGTAAATTGCCATGAAATTTGACAAATCTAGCGGCTCTACGCAACAGCAAACCATCCGGGTTTGTTTCAAATGACCGGCTGACCAGAAATAACTAACCTCGTCAACATCCAAGCCGTCCTCCATCTCTTTGGCTTCTTGGCAATTTGAATAAATAAGGCTTGGATCATTGCAGAGTTTCTTCAAGGCACCAATACAAACCAAATGTCGCGACCCCCCTGAGGAATGTGACGTCAGACATGATCTCACAACTCGTGACGTCAGAAGGTGGCGGTAAAGGGAAAGCTGTAAGAGACTTGGTCTGCAGAACACGACGCATTCCACTGCAAAAAGTTGAGTTAAACAATTTAGTACAGAGATAAGATATCAGTGATACCAAACAACGTGTGGGAGACTCAGTAGTCTAACGCTGGACTCCGAGTCGAGAGATTGGGGTTCCAGACCAGGTCCTCATTATTAGTACTGCAGGACGCGCGTTTCGCCGACCGCGGGGAGATTTGAGACGAGTCGCGAAAAGGTTTGTCGGAGGTCTGGCAAAAATAGTGTTGGACCCCTTACAAACCTTTCGCCGGGCCTCATACCGCAGGCGAGGAAAAGCTCGTGTCAAAGCCAGAATAATCTCACCAGTCCTCTCTCCACCCCGGGAGTATAAATGGGCACTAGTGAATTGTCAGAGAACCTGACGAAATGCTGACGGAAGGAGGGGGGAAGTAACCTGCAATGGATTATCATCCCATCAAGGGAGGAGTATTAATTCTCTTCGTCACGTCAAGCTTCAGAGACTGGGATAAGCTCCAGCCTGATACGCCATATGACTCACGTACAGACTTATAACATATCTAGATATTTAGGGTAAGCAAAGAACACGTGTACCTTTTGGAGGAAGGTAACGGCTGTTCACTTCGGCTGTCCGTCTCAAGAAAAACAAGCTAGTTAACCTGTTTAGCTTTATACAGGAAATAAAAAGAGGAAGGAAGATGTTAAATAAGAATTAGCTAGGAGATCCAATTTTGAGCTATTTCAAGTTTTGATGTCGAGGGAATTCCAGGGGGGCTTTTGTTTTTCTTTACTTCGCTGTGTTATTGGTCCAGAAAACTCGCATTATCCTCTCCAACATACGATTCAAAACTGAAATCAATCGTCATTTGGTAAATCGCATTTTCTGGCGACTCAGTCAGTTAATTTTGTCTTTATTTCAAGTTGGCTGTTGTAACTACCTTGGTTTTGGTTTTTCTACACGCGATCGAAATGCTCTCAAGTATGTGAGCAAGAGCTTGGAGAGACCAAGAGCTACAGCACTAACTATCGATTCAGTAAGAGGAAATGAGCTTTTCATCGGAATTTATCACCTCAGCAGCCCTCGTTTGTCCTAAAAGTTTCTCTTCACTGCTTGCGTCAGGTTGCTGGCCGCGGACGATCGGTTCCTCATACAGACGGCGAAACGATGACTGTGTGCCTAAAGAAAAAGGCGTCTCTGATCAAAGTAATTCACTTAAAGTGATAAATAAACACGACACAGCATTTTTCTTGGCCGACTCGAATGGTTACACGAAGATTTCCTGCGCTTTGACGCGACTGCACCAGAACATCACGTGACTACCAAATATAGCTTACATGAATAAAATTAACAAATTGTAATGAAAATGTTCACAACTCATTGATTTAATCCAGCAGTCCTATAATTCGAATCTACTGGCACTTACCTAGAATCCCTGGATTACAGACATCGACGAGCGAATGAAACTCTTTGAGATCATTCTGTGAGTAAAAGAAAGGGACAAAGTTTTTAATTAAAAGAAGAGCAAATTCTATGAGCTATGACCTGACCATAGTCTTCACAAATTTTGCCTTTTAGAATAGAAAATGGTTACCGTCTTAACTTCCTATGACATTATAGTATGTCAGGGAGAAACTTGAAGTTACCAGCGAAATATATGTAAGAGAAAATAAGTGGCTAAAGTAACCTGTACTGGAGTTCCTGTGAGAAGAATCCTTCGTTTTGTTTTTAGTCCGGAAATCATCTGCAGATGAATGATAAAAAAACATAGGTCTCAACGCATAAATCTCATTTGACAAAAATAAAAAAATAAAACGATAGACATCACCACGTTTGAAGACAATCACAGCAAATAAAATTTATAAACGACTCAAGGAGAAAAGAGAGCGACATGTATTTCGATTCAAGCGTTTTTAGTTCAGTTTTAAATTTCATCCGCGTTGAATAGGTTTCTGTATATTCTAACTTATTAGTAGAAGAGCGTTTGACGTTTCCTTAAGGCTCTTGAGGAGGAAAAGGGCGTGATTACCTGAATAGGTTTGGGCCAAAATAGAGCAAAGGAACGTAACCTACCGTGGCAGTTTTAATGGAAGTGTTTTTGAGCCGATGTGCTTCATCACAGATCACTAATCCAAACTTGATGTTTCTTACTTCTTCTACTGAGCGTAGAAACATCTCATAGCTGATGATCATCACCGGATAAATAGGACTGTTGATGAATTCCTTCAACAGAAAAGTTAAAAATATCTAGTTTTGTTTTATCCTAGGCAAATCAATAGGGCACTGGCCGGTCAGATCGATGCACTAATATGGAGAATTCTGTGAGAATCAAGCCCTCCAAGAGATTCAGATACTTCGTGGGCTACAAATCCTCTGTGGAGTTCATTTCCCTTGGGAGGTTCAACTCCCCCGTGGGGTTCAAATCCCCAGTAGGGTTATTATCCTCGTGTTCTCCCCCACATCCCTTGTGAGGTTTCGTGTCGCAACGCAAATTGACAACGTCCGCGTGGGAGACTGGAATCCTCGTGAGGGACTCAAAGTTGCGTCTCAGTTTTCAGATCCTCTTCTTTTCTTTCTTTCTGCCTTTCTTTCATGAATGGCTCATTTCCTTTCTTAACGACCGATCTCACGCATGTCACATGTGAACTACAGTCTGGCTATGCTCACCACTCTCTGTGGCTCAGTGGTAGAGCATCTTACTCTATTTGCAGGATTCCGTTCTATAACAGAACTTTCTTTCTACTCAGTATCAACTCAAAAACAGTAAATGGGCACATCTGTACCCTTTCCTTCCCCCAGCGTGTGTTCGTTTTTTACCTTCACTCTCTTGTCCGAGTTCACGGTATAAACCTTCAACCTCTCGTTACCAAGCCACTTGCGAAACTCCGAACTCCAGTTCTGAACAGAGTAAGAACAAAACAAATGTAAAGAAAAATATTGAAACAGATGACTTAGTAGACTCGTTATGCGCTTTGCGTAAAATATTTGCCTTGAGAATTTGACTTGAAGAGACACTCGTGAAATTGTCCTTAGGCAAGTTATGTGCTTCAAAGCTCACAGTTTTCCCCAAACTTCTCTGTCGGAAAATTTTTTCGCTTCTCAGAACAGATAAGACTGTTGTTTATATATTTCATATAACGCAACAAAAAGGATATCAGAATACCTTGACCAGACTTCCTGGAGTTATAATCAGTGTTCTCCTGATACTTGCTTGTCCACCGTACATGCCTTGTTTATGAAGAGTCCTGTTACAAGAATACCCGACCTTATTAACTTTTGGAAACCGTCAGGATTAAAAGGGACATAACGCTTGAATTTCGGTCGAAACTGGGTGCATGCTTTAAAGGGTGCCTCTATCGCGAAGTTTAACGCGTGAGCGTCTAGGTACATGCGAGTTCAACGCGCGTTTCTCGCTTAATTTCACGCGAGGTGAAAATAATAGTTGTTAATCTGTTTCCCTTTGGTCTGAACGCTGTAAATTTGACAGCAGGCTCGTATTTCATGACACACTGCAAGATCGTTTATGGCAATTCACGTTGAAAAGAGCATTACGGTTGCATTTCTTTGCATAAGTAATAAGGTAAATTGTCTCACCATATCAAAGAAATACATTGAAAGGTTTTTCCAAGTCCCATATCGTCTCTAAACACAAAAGACAAAGACAGAAAGAGATATTGGTAAGCCTGTACTAGAACAAAAGAAGCGGAAAAGTGCGCCAAATTTTCTCCCAAAAGTTGACGCGGAGTGGCTAATCATCCAAGTTTCTCGCGCGCTATTCCAGTGGCTTACAAAAATTAATACCGAAAGTGTTCACTAGAATGTTGATAACTAAGATTCTTGGATTATTTTATTTCAGTTTGTCCCGGCTGGCTTACTTTAATCCGTTTGAAGGTGTTCGAGGTTTGGAAAACCCCTTTACTCTTTTACTACTCACGCAAGGATGGCTCCATTTCCGTTGAAATTTCTCAAGCCCATGATACACTCATAGAGGAATACTACACCGTCTCTCTGATGAGGCCTCAAATGACCGGACAAATGTGGGTCCACTACCACGTCTATGATATCCAGCCCCTCTCGATTGTGCTCCAACTGTGAAAAAACATATTCACGTTAACAAAACCGACACACTACATAGTACAACTTCTCATCACAACTTCATCGAGACTGACCAATAACAATTGACGAACGCCACTCGAGTTCTACAGCCAATAATACCACAGAAAGGCTGAACAAACAGTTTCAACGAACCACTTCCTCTACACTTGAACCTGTTCATGACTTCCGCTCCAGTTTTCGAGATGTCAAACTCTCCTGTTGACGAACAACCACAATACAAAATTAATCCTGATGTTCAATAGTTACCTGATGAGTGGCACTGGGTCGTGGCATTACCACGGCTCCAGGTGCGTTGACGTCATGTCGAGGCGCCACCATTTGTCGAGTATCTGTTGTCACATCTTTTTCACGTTGGAAGAATAGGGTTTGACGAAACCTTGAAAAAAAAAACAAAAATAAAAACCAGTGTAGCAATAATTTGGCGAAACATTCTGCCGGAATGGCTGATAGTGTTGTTTTCCACCTGCGAGTGGGCAACCAAAACAACAGAAACACAAAACCATCTAGACGAAAAAGGATGTAACTGACTCCAGGGACGGGAATTGAAGTGGGGGAATCTCGCCGCGGGTAACTGCGTGAAAATATACTGCTTGTGCGGATGGGCCAGGTTGTGAGGGAGAGGAGGGCGGGTCGGGAAAATATGCAATCGGTTAGGGTCCGGCGTGGGAAAAACGCTCATAGGTCAATTCATTAGGTAATTAAATGAATTTTGGTTTTCCTCCTGCTTGGATGAATTATAACATGCTCTCCTGATTGTTGAGTCTATGTTGCATTGCACGACTTTTGTAGCCAATCGGATTGTTTAAAGCACAACTACATGTCTGGTCAAATAGTGATTTGTTTGTTAAGCCTTTAAACCCTAAGAGTGACCAGCATCTAGTTTCTCCTGACAATAATACTGCTGAATCATTTATTTAAGATCATGAGAATAAAGGAAATGATCACCAACTAAAGAAGCTCTTGATTGTTAAACAAATTCTCCTTATCAGCACCTTAGGAAATGTATAGAGAACAGTATGGAGATTGTGTATGCTGATGTTAGGGTGTAAAGGGTTAAGCCTCGGCCTAGCCTGTGGGCAGATCTTCAATATCAGCACGCCTTCCTTCACTTCATTGCACAACATGAATCAATAATGTTGCAAGATGTTACGTTGAAGTATTTCATGCGTTTGGTCGGGCCTTCGGGAAAAAAAAATAGAATGCGGATGTAAACGGGAGACAGAGCGCACTAAGCAAAAAAGAACGAGGCGCTTCGAAAGTAAAGAACGCAGCTAAAGTAAACAAAAGTTAGTATGCACAAATATGACCTTGAAGTTTCACTTCAGAGTTAATAAGCCTACTGAATAATAATTCAAAATTAGCAGAAATGTGTCTTCTAATGTTGACAACGAGTTACGGTCTTTTCCATAGTTGAAATTTTTGAGGTTTCATAAAAACATCTCGCTTATTGTAGAAATGTTTTGGTTTTTTTTTATGTTAGGAGAGCTTGACTGATTTGTCGATGATAAAAGATTTCTTTCACGTCGTGAGTGTTCACCGATTTATCTCTAGTGAAATGTTTTGAAAACCCTACCTTATCCATTGTAACTTGAATTACTAGAGACAACAAGGGTATAATAATAAGCTGCCCAGATCGATGTCAGAGCATCCATGGGTATTACATTACAGTAAATCATCTTCATAAATAAAAACTAGAGATGCTCGAAATAACGAGTGTTTACTGACCCAAGAGGCCTAATGTCATATTAAGTGATAGGCAGCGTCGTATAAAATTACCAATCTCGTGAACATAACCAGCCGGAATTACAAACCAATTTGAACTTTACATACAACTTTCACTTTTGTCAGCATGGCTAATTCTGCAATAACACCACACAGTCCTACTCCAGAAGACTTCGACTTGACAGCCGTTCTAAAGTCTGGCGTGCCAGGCGGTTTTTGGCCGTCAGAAGTTGTCGTGCTTGCTGTAGCGAGAGGAAGAGACGGAAAAATCCTTTCACGAAAGGTTTACAGGAGCGGATCGACCCACGCGTTCAAGCAGTCGATTGTGGAACTTGAAGAGCACCCGTTCACGGGCTTCCTACACGATCTACAGCTTCTTAGCAATTTTTCGCCGTGCGGAGAGTGCTCGGAGAAGATCTGCGGGTGGCTCGCGCAAAACGATAGTGTTAGTGCGTCGATTCGCTTCGCCCATCTGCATAATATTCACGTCCGCGTGCAGAAAGTCGCGGAGGATAATGCCATTGGTTTGAGAAAGTTGGTGGAGAAAGGCGTTCAACTGAAGGCTCTGTCAGATTATGACTGGCTGCAGCTATTGATGATCGACCGAGGTTTCGCAGCCAAAGATGACTGGATAGCGAAAAGAAAACAAGTTGACGAGAAAAATCAAAAGGATTTGGAGGAAATTCTTCAGTCGACAAGTCTGGGCGAGACTTTGAAGAAAATGCGACTTTACTGAATAACAATTTCAAGGTCATTTTTGTTTCTTTACAAAATAAAGCCATTCTTATGGGGGAGAAATAATGTTTAAGGTAACCGAATTTGTGAGAAATTGATCGTTACAATTCGAACTTTTTATCAGTTGATTTATAACGCAAATGACCTCAGAGGACCTTGCATATCTTTCCAGGAGTATTTTTTTCAGACAGCAGTTGATAAGTAAATTAGGGGTGAATGGTGTAGCTTGGCAACGCGATATTAAATTTCCCACAAGCTAAACGGCTCATCTCGAGTCAATTAAGCTTTCTAGAATTAGTTTTGTGGGTGACTAATTCTTTTGAAGTATGCAAACATTTCCTGACGAGTCCTACTTTTTGTAAAAAATTGTCCTCTCTGACTAGTCAAAAGAAAGCTTTTGAAAAGAACTTTTACATGGTACTTTTCCCCTACGTTGTGAAAACAAAATAGCGATAATAAAAATTTCTCGATCTCGAAGACACCATGTGGCTTCGTAGCTCAATTGTTAGTGGAGTTAGCTGGTATCTGGAAAGCGCAGAATTTAAGTAAAAATTTTCCGTACTTCTCATCTGCAGTTTCTTTATTTTCTGCTCACCTGGGAGGATCATTTCTTTACTTCAACAACAGTGTTCTGGCGAGTTTATTCTCCCCTGTAGTACGAGATAATCCGGTTGGCAGATGACGACTCGAGAGTAAAGTAGTACGCTGGAGTTTGTGCAGCGAAGATTAGTCAAAAACTAAAATGACTGTAATCTTCTAACATCAACAAAGAATTATAACAAATCACTGTTGTCAGAAAGGAGGAGAGGTGGAGGGGAAAGGAGATCTACCCCCCCCCCCCACGGTCCCTGCCGTAACTTCCGCTTCCGGTTCTTTCTAGTTCAGATCGTTCGCAAAAAGTAGTTATTTTGGAAACGATGTTTGGGGGAAAAATCTGCCTGTGGCTTTGCACGACCATTTACTTTTTTCGATCCGTCGCCCACCAATTTTGGGAAATGAAGGGACTGATTTCAAACTTTCGTGGTTCTTCGAAGAGAGTTTCTCCTCGTTGAGAGTTTTTTTCAAACTTGAATGCAACGTCTTCTGATTCCCGGCACTTTTTCTACTTTTCGTTACCAGACACACAATTTCCTCTCTATGCCAGATTGATATCAAAGTGGGTACATGGCACTTAAAGAGACAGTTGCCCAACTAAACTTTTCATGGCTTCTTCAATGTAGAGATAAAACTCCACAACCTCATTGACACCTGATCAGTGCCAACAAAGGGAGGATGTGTAAAGCTTACAGACAAACCTTAGCCCTTTACACCCTAACATCAGTATGCATATTCTCCATACTGTTCTCTATACATTTCCTAAGTTGCTGACAAGGAGAATTTGTTAAACAATCATGAGCTTCTTTAGTTGGTGATCATACACTTTACTCTCCTGACCTTAGTGTTTGATTCAGGGGTGATATTGTAATGAGTAAATAGATGCTTGTCCCTCTTGGGATCAGAACGTTTATCATCACACCATGTGCTATTCAAAACATGTGCCATCAAAACTTCAAAATAATGAGTGTTGTTGCTTAGCAACCCCACTGAGAATTAAGCTGACTTGGTTAAAAATTTCATACCTGTCTTTTTTGGAGGCATTCTAGAGATTGGTTTTGTTGGGAATGACGACACTATTGATTGTTGAAAGCACTGTCCACTTAGGTAATCCTCTGCTTTTATGAGACCCATCACCTGAAATATAGCCCAGACTGATCACTATATTCAGCAGGACACACAGCCAAAAGAGGCAAAGTACATTAGTACAAAAAGACCCCATGATGACCAGAAATCAGCTTTAGTAAGAAATAAGAGGGAAAACTACAGCTGACAACATATTAGATGGCTTATGAACACATTCATATTTCTATTTGTTGCCTTTCTTAGGGAAAAAAGAAGCAACAACTGGAAATATTTCTATGTTTGAAAGAACACCTCACAAATTGAAAAAATCAAATCAAAAAGAAAGTTTGATTTATAATCCTAATTAATAAAGTGTTTTTTAATTTAACCAGGAGTACAACACTTAGCAGTACAGAAATGGTGGATAAGCACTGGCAGATGCAGGCCATTAAGCTCCAACACTTAACCAATATTACCTCTATTTCTTTTCCACCAATACACAGTGTGTTTCCTTCTTGCAGCAACTCCAACTCTGATGACTTGTAACCAGCACTCTTTGCAATTCTAAAGACAAAAAAGTTTGTTTTTTTGATCAGTGGAGGGCTTGGGTGAGACTCTTTTGTGACTGACACCTTAAAATCTCTGTAGCAGAAGGTTCAGTGTTCCCTCTCAGCATAAGAAATTCCAAGTGTTCTAACATTTCCCTCCATCTACCTACTCTTTTCCTTCCAGGTCTTTTAAGGAGGCAGTCCGTCCTCTTGTAACCAGTATACCTAGGAGTCCAAAAAAATAATAGTTATCCAAATCATTCCTACAACTTGTACAATCAGTTATTCTTCCAAAATATTTTTAAGAAGAGTCTGACCATAGGAACATTGTAAATTGTGATTGTGTTTGATTGTCTAATGTGGGTTTGATAGTTGCAATATTAGAATATTGCGATCATAAGTAAATTCCACAACTCTAAAATTACTTCTTCCTTTGAATTTTTTATTCTTCTTCAGTTTGCCAGAGAGGCAACCTGGAAATAAAAAAAATATTGAAAACGCTCTTTTTTCTTACCATCTCCTTCCCACTTTTTGTGCTAAAAATAATCAAAGTATACAAAATGAAGAATTAGAGAAAACAGAATAGCAAATAGTTAAAAAAACATCACCAAAAATCGAAGTTGTCAGAAATTGCCAAAGTACCTTCTTTTTGGACATCTTTCCCCTAAAATGATAAGACAAATTTGAATAAAGGAGTGCTTCTTAATAACAAACTTATGTGCAAAAAATGCATGTTGTACCACAAAATCAACCAACGCAAATGTTGATAAATCGTATCTGTAACTAACCAAACAACGCTGAAGTATCGACAAATATTCTCTTTTTCCTCAAATGGCACTAAAAATAAAAAGAAAAGAAAGACTTTAAAGGCGAAACCTTCCCTGTTATAGTTGATGATGACAATCAATAAATTCTAAAACTTACCTAAAGGAGAGCCTGGTTTGGAAGACCTCTGAGGTTTGAAAGGTGCTACTTTACTGCTAAGTGAAGGATATGAAAGACCTGTGGAGGTGGTATCTTTTATTTCATCGTCAGATTTCACTTCTTTCCTATTTTGAACTGTAAAATCTTCAGGTAAGAGGGTATTCGTGCTTGCAGTCTTTAGGTCAGATTTAGAGACCTCAGCTCTGATCTCTGGTATAGTCAACTAGGATACAACCAAGAGGAAAAAATTCATCTTCAAGTACTTTTGAGTCAACTGAAACAGTCATCATAAAATGAAGAAAATTTAATTATATGTAAATGGTTTGATTTTGGCATATTGCTGCTTGGCTCACCTGGTTTTTGTATGATTGCTGCAAAACCGAACGCGTTGTGGAGATTTCTACGGAAGGCTCCTGGTCTTGAGCTTTAAACGGCGAACAAAACTTCATTTTCTTTGCAGCTCTCGCCGAAGGCGCTGCAGAACGCCTCATAATTATCGCTAAATTTTCGTGAATTTACACTGTTATGTTTGTAAATTATTCGTCCTTCGCGCCACTGAGAGGCAGCCTCACTTTGGTGCATTGACTACTCGGTTTGCTTGAGATTAGGGATGCTACGTAATTTTAACTCGTAAACATCGCTTCAATTTAAAAATTTTTTATCAGGTTTTTTTGAGACATCGATGCTTGAAATCAAGATTTATGTCAGACATTTCTTCGTCGCTAAATTTATTCCGTGTTATTGACATTTTTTGGCGCGTAATTGCCTTGCCACCGAGCCTCCTTTATGATGATGCACCCATAATGCACTTGGGTGGTGTACTGTTATAGCGCATATCGAGCCTGTCGTTGTAGGGAAAATTTTATGAGGCTTGAGAGGGCAATTTCTCAAAATTTTCACACGAAAGAGGTCGTAATACGCCTCCAAAACCACATGGAATTATCAGAACATTAATGATGGAGGAAGGTGTAGGTAAATTTTAAGCGGATGGTTTAGTTAAGGTCACCAATTTTGTAAATGTAGCATTAGCCGTTGTCGGTTACGGAAAACAATATGGCGGCAGAATCGCGCATGCTCTGCCTCGTATGAAATTGACATAAAATGGCATTTCCTCTTGCAGGATCTTTTTGCCACCTCTCTTAAGGAATAGGAATATTATGTCAAACAAGCACCTCAAGGAGTTAAAATGATGCGACGAACGAGCGAATCGTCGCAATATCACGATGAAACTCCGCGCAGAAAAGCTCGCAGGACACCTTCTCACGACTCGGAAAGACTTCACAGCAACGTGCCAGAAAATGTACCAACCTCACCATATTCGGAAAGGTCATTCCACTATATGGGACCTCATGGGGCTGGAACAGCTCCAAGTCCAACTCGCTCCACTCAACCTGTTAGTCCTCATCGAAATTTCCCTCACCATTTCCAGAGAAGTTTTAGTCAACCTGTAGGATCAACAGGAGAACTCTCTCCAAGATCTCCATTTCCTCATTCTGTAGTTTCACCTTCACATTACCCGTCTTCATCTCCTATGTATGTATCTCCAGCACCTTCTCCTTCAGCACCTCCCGCTACGCCCTCCTGTGCAACACCCAGTAGTGTTACATACACTCTTTCTCATGGACCAGGCTCAGTAAGCCCAAGAGGCACTGCGTTAAAAACTCCTGACTTTTATCCTGGCTTAGCTGATACGTCACAGTTAAGTCCTGCAGATCCAAACTTTCCAATACCGTATTCTTCTGAACCTAAATTTCCGGATTTTCCAAGCCCAAGAGAACAGCAATTTGTTTACAGTGGAGGCGGACACTCTCCTGGGGGAACCATTCACCATCTTGGATATAATACCCCTCACAGAACCCCAACACTTCAGAGTCCAGCAGCATTTCCAAATCAGTTGTCACCTGGTGCAGCAACATCTCGAAATCAGTCTGTAGCAAGTCCCCAGGGTTCTATGAATCCTCATGCTGCTCTGAATGTTAGTAGAACTCTTGGAATTCCAAGTAGAGTAGGAGAAAAATCTACTGTGCTAGGAGGGGAGTTTTCAGAAATGACAAAATTGCGGCAGTTTATCATTAGTTATTACAATGGAGAACTTGAAACATTAAAAGCTAATTATCGTGAGAAACTCCAAGAGCTCTGCTTTCTTCAAACTGGAGGAAATATGATGGATTTCTTGTTGTGGAAGAAAAGACCAAATCCAGCATTTCAAGCATTTTTTAATTCTAATCGTTTAGATGATGCATCTGGTACAAATCCTACACTATCACCAATGACAGCGTCACCTTCTAGGCTATTCAAGTGGCCGCAACAACAGTCTGAGTCTAGTAATCCTGGAGCAACCAACTACACCTCACTACAGAGACAGGTTTATGAGCAAGCAGGTCTTGATCCACGCAAAGCAGTTCCCAGTAATTTTAGTGGAAATCCCAGTTTCAAATCACAGCTATCAGTTACTGAAGGAATTGCACCTAATGTTTCTCCTTTTACTGGAAACCAACCTATTCCAAGGTCGAATGTGGGCAGTTCAGTTCCGCCATATTCACGATCACTATCTTTACCAAATCCTCCATTAGAAACACACATTACACAAGGCCATAGTAGCAATCATTTTGGAAGTGACACTACAAATGTTACACCAACACCTAATCATACGCCAGGTGTAAATATACCACATGCAGGAGTCTCTAACCCAGCAATTGCTAATGGACCTACTTTGCTTTCTCATGGAGCAAAATCAACTTTGAACACAAGAAGTCAGTCTTTAACATCTGTGCTTGAGCAACATTCATTTATCTCTCAAGAGGATATTGCAGTTGAAGCTAAGAAGGAGGCTGAAGTTCTCAAGAGAGTTTCTGAACTTCGTAAGGAAGGTCTCTGGGCTTTATCCCGCCTTCCTAAAGTGCAGGAAATGACAAGATGCAAAGCGCATTGGGATTATCTCTTGGAGGAAATGCAGTGGCTGGCAACTGACTTTTTACAAGAAAGAAGATGGAAACGAGGCATTTGCAAGAAGGTGTGCTTTTCTAGACTGTAGATAAAATTTATGGAGTCCCTGAGTCTTAGAGTTTGTGCTTTTTACTTCTGGCTTGCATTTCAGCATTGTCCCCCGCTCAAACATCTCTCAGGAGCCTTTCACTCCCATATTACCACTTTATATTAGTGAGAAGGGTTAATCTGGATGGAAATCAAACCAACAGTGTAACCTACCTTCAGAATGTACTTTGAATGACAAATTAAGCTCTACAGCAACTTTCTTTTTGATAGTGAAATAATTTATTTGTCATATCTTATTAGGTTCTATCATACCTTAACAAAGATTTTTCCCCTAGATTTGGGCGTGAAAAATTTGGGGTGGGACTTCAGTGATTGGTGATTTCTGCACCAATCATTATCCACTGCTACTTAAATAAGCATCTCTTCTCACAGCTGTCCAGAGCAGTCTTGAAATACCACCAGGAGCAGAGAAGCAAAGAAGTGAAAGCAGAGAAGGAGGAATCTGTCCGTCTCCGAAAAATTGCAGCAAGCATTGCCAAAGAAATCAAGCAATTCTGGGGTTCAGTTGAAAAGGTTTTTTTCTTAGCTCTTTTGTATTGAGATGTGTTAAGGGTTCTCCAGGGGTTGAGCATATTTTCCTTTAACAATCCATGCATTTTCAAATTACCATGGAATGAAAATAATTTTTTTCATGTTTGCTACATCTGTAGAGCATATCTTTTGCATTTACATCCAAATTTAGAAAAGAAAAAAACAAGAAGATGATACAATCTTATAGCAGAGCATTGTTGTTGTTGGTTTTTTCAAGCCAGAAAAAGGGCAAGCAAAGAGTTTTCTTATTCCCGATGGAGAGTATGTTTGGGAAGACTTTTTGAAGTGAAATTTTTATCTTTAAGGTGGTTCAATACAAGGTTCAGAGCAGATTAGAGGAGAACAGAAAGAAAGCTCTAGATCTACAGCTAAACTTCATTGTAGATCAGACAGAGAAATATTCTTCCTGGTTAGCAGAGAGTCTTGCTGTTCCACCATCTAGTGGTCATGCCTCTGGAGGGTCCACTGGTCCCTCTTCCCCTGTTTCATCCAAACCTGAAACAGGTGGTGACAGTGAATTTGAACTTACTAAGGAAGCTGATGATGATGAAGAAACAATCGAAATTGAAGAGGCACATGAAGAATCTGCCTCAAGAGAAAATGAGCTTGACTTGTTAAGACAAGAAAGCGAGATTCCCTTGGAGAAACTTTTAGAGAGCTTGCCACCAGAGATGCTAGAAGAGAGAAGTGACGAAGATGGCTCTGAAGATGGTGAAGATTCATCAGCTGAGGATGAAAGTGAGGGGTCAAGGTAAAAAATAAGTCACAGATGAGATTCATTGCATTCTTATGAAAAACAAGAAAAAACTCAGTAGCTTGTCATGAGAATTATAAAAAGATAGATGAAAAGTGACAAGTAAGTTGTGAAACATTTCTTTTTCCAGACAGATAGTGATTCCCTTTACAAGTTAAATTTTTTTTGTCCTTTAAGAGAAGCAAATTAAATATCCTTGTGCATATGCATGAATAGCTCCCTTGCTCTGGCACAAAATCTTGGATATGTTAGTTCATGATTTATTTGACTCTTAAAATGTCTTTTACTCAGTTGTCAAAACTTCAGTTACTACTAGCAACAACAGTCTTTTTCAGGACTACTCTCAACTGGATGATGATGCCTCGCAATCAATCAGTAGTACTCTCATGCTGACATTCCTTTTTTAAATTTTGAATTCCAAAATTTCAGCAAAGAAAGTGATGATAGTGATGTAGAAGTGGATGTTGAAGGGAACAATGACGAAGAGGAAGAACCTAAAGAAAAACAGGATACAACAAAGATCAAGTAAAACTTTTAATCTGCAATTGATACTAACTTACCATACATCGTGTTAAGTTGTCTTCTCTGATATATTCGTAGTTGTGTTTCGTTTGTTTTGGAGAAGTTATTGCCAATGTGTGTTATAATGTGTAACCACCAAAGATGAGCAGAGTAGGACAGCGAGGAGCTTCAAATATTTTGGTTTAGTTTAACAACTGAGTTGATTTTGTTTTTGCCTGAATTGATGGCAAGCTTTAGTCCTTCAACCTCTGACAAAGGGCTAATGCTCGAAACATCAGCTTTATAAATTCTTTACAGTGGCCAATTTACAATATCAACTCAGTTGGTAAACCAAATTATCTTGTAATATCTCCACCAACACAGTGCTATATTTTCTTTAGAAACTTGCTCCCTTTATTCATCAGCTTCTAAAGAGATCCTTTTTATTCATCCCTTTTACACTCACAGAAACCCTTGCTCCGATTTTGTCTCATCATATTTGTATTCAACCCAAATATACTGTAAGATACTGTCAATAGATTAAGAGTTGTGAAGAATATTCAACTCTTTTTTTGACATTATTCAATTTGAAACCATGATATATAGGAATGCCAGTGGAAGTGGAGAAGTTGCTGAAGCTGATGAAGACTTTGTGATGACAGAAGGAGGCACAGAAGATGATGAACAGACATTAGAAGAGGAGGAACAGCTGGAAGAAGGAGATGATCACAAAAGTGAAATTGATAATCTCCAGAAGGAAGGTATCCCATACTGTTAGGAGCTTATGAAAATATATATATATTCCCTTGGTCTTAATAGAAACACAGATGTCTGAAGGCTTGTGCCACAGAAATTTGATCAATGTCAGTATCTGAACAACTGCTCACCTATCCCTCCCCTGACCCAAAAGTTACCCAAACTTGCTATCAGTTGACTGTTATTGGGTTAGGGGAGGGGCAGGTGCGCAGTTGCTCAGGTACTGATCCCAGAAATCGAGGGTGCAAGACTCTAAAAAGTTTTTATATAAGCAAAGCTATACAAGTTGTTTTCTGAGTGGCCATTTGCTTGTTCCCTGAGGAATTTCCTTAGCCTTAGGTTTTGCAAATCGTGGCCAAAATTCAATGCTGCTATAAAACCCATTGGCATTTTGTAACTCGCATGTTAGTGGTTCCTGTCGGTAGCTACATGATATCAATATAGCTTTAAATTAATATTAAACTCATCTTAATCATTGTTCCCAGTCTTTTTACTTTACTCTCAGAGAAACTTCCCATCAAATGGAAAAATAACTATTTGGGGGGAAAAAAGTGATTAGCTACTTAAGCATCTTTTTCCTAGTGTTATTCATTCAGGAAATGAGGAAAAGATGAAAGTTTGGAGCTAAACTGACTTAAAATCAATACAATTATTGTGACATGTGTGGCTTTTTTGTTATTAATTTTTATGCTTCACTGTGTCAATTTATCATCAAGGCACTTAATATCTTATCTGTGTACTTCTGCTGTCTTTGTGTAAGAATATCTGGAAATTTTCTCATCTCAGGTGAGATGCCCATTGAGGAATTAATGAAGATGTATAGTGCTGCTGAGAATGAATCTACAGATTTACAGACTGAAGAAGAGAGTTCACAAGAATCATCTGATGAAGGTGGGTATGAAGTGTAACTTTTGCAAGGTTAGCAGTCCCTTTAATAGTTGATATTTTTGTTCCTTGTAGAGTTGAGTGATACTGAGGGGACAGAATACCTTGTGCAACAAGAGAAAGATGGAGCCAGTGAATCACAGGTGTGTTTTCTCCTCAGATGTGAGGTTTGCAGAAATGATCAAAGAGATGCTTTTCTGTACAAAGGGTTCTCTTTGCATTTGGAGCCCAACTATTGTCAGCTGAGCAACTATGCAAATGCAAGTGGCTGAATTTGTTTTGTTGTATTCTGCAGAATGCAGATTCTGATCCAGACCAAGAATTGACAGATGCTGCAGCAACAGCACAGAGCTTGCAACCTCGAGGATTCACTTTAGAAACAACTGATGTAAGGATCAGACTGTTGTTGAATGTACTCTGTTATGTTACATGAAGACTAAAAAATATAAGGGCTGTGAATTGAATAAATCCTACCTAGGGGGGTAGTTTCAAGACCATCTTTGGCTTCAAGGTTTCTCTATGACTAGGCTATTTGAGGTAAAATGATGAATTTTAAGTTTCCTCCCACCAACCCCCTCCCCTTTCCTCGATACTGGTTATAAAAATAGATGTTTGATTAAACAGTTTGCTGAGCTGAAGATGATATGTGGCACAGTTTTGCTCAAACAACACCATCACTTTGTTTAAATAACCAGCCTATCCTGCTTTTTGAATTTCTTCTTGTTTCAGATCAAGACCAAAGTGCCATTCCTGCTGCGAGGTGTTCTTAGAGAATATCAGCTTATTGGCCTAGACTGGCTGGTGACTATGCATGAAAAGCACCTTAATGGCATCCTTGCAGATGAGATGGGTTTGGGAAAGACTATCCAAACGATTGCACTGCTTGCCCACCTGGCTTGTGAGAAATGTGTTTGGGGTCCTCACTTGGTTGTGGTTCCCACATCTGTGATGCTGAACTGGGAATTGGAGTTCAAGAAATGGTGTCCTGGATTCAAAATCTTGACTTATTATGGCAATCAAAAAGAGAGGAAAGCTAAGAGACAGGTGTGTTTGTCAATGTCTTTGTATATCCATTCCTTAAAAGAAAAATTGATTGCACTAATTTGGTTCTGCATTTGCTAAGGAGATCCCTTGTGCACAATATACTAATTTGAGTTCACGGAGGTTTTTATTTTCTGTAGAGGAATTCGCTAGGATCAAGAAGCAGAGTTAAAGTTTCAGTACTTCTCATGTTGTGTGATTTACCATTTAATATAAATATGATTACAAAAACTTTTTATTGCTTCAGGGTTGGACAAAACCAAATGCTTTTCATGTTTGTATCACATCATACAAGCTGGTCATTCAAGATCATCAGGCTTTCCGCAGAAAGAAGTGGAAATACTTCATTCTAGATGAGGTGATTAATATGTAAACCTTAGTTTGATTTTCCTTTATCCATGAAGACTGTCATTGTTGTTTGTTGCATCCAAACAGCATTAAATAGCTGATTGTGTAGTCTGGTTGTTGGGGTGAGAGTAGTCCTGAGAAGGACTGTTGTCGGTAGTGATGACTGATGTTTCTTCAACCCTAAATAATCAGGCTACAAAATGCAATGCTACTCCTGAGTTCAAACCATTTACTGTTTGATGTTTTAACTTATTGTTTGTTGAATTCATGGTAATCCTGGTTTAGGCTCAAAACATCAAGAACTTCAAGTCCCAAAGGTGGCAGTATCTTCTTAACTTCAATAGCCACTGCAGACTACTCTTGACAGGGACTCCCCTTCAGAACAGTTTGATGGAGCTTTGGTCACTTATGCACTTCCTAATGCCACATGTTTTCCAGTCTCACAAAGATTTCAAAGAATGGTTTTCAAATCCTCTGTCTGGCATGATTGAAGGGAGTAGGGAATACAATGAAGGACTTATCAAAAGGCTTCATAAGGTTGGTCTCCCTAAACTGTCATTTGCAGGCTTAAGTTTAGGTGCTTTGAAGCCATGGGTGGCAACCTGGCATAAATGCAAATACTTCTGGTGTACATGAACTGCGATAGACAAGCTTAAGCATAGATGCCTTGAAACTAAAGACAGTTGCAAGATGTGAATGCAAATGCTTCCAGTGCTTTTTGACTGGTTAAGAACTGTGGGGAAACAATGTGCAAGGTTTCACTTTTCTAATGAGAAATCATTTATTTGCACCACATGAGAGTATTGTACTCAGAAACATCAGTGCTTTCAATGTATTGTTAATAGTTGTCTCTATTTGTACAGTACTACTCAAAAGTAAGTCTATAGTCTAGATGCAAACTCGATTTTGGATCCTCAAAACTTAACCCTTTAACTCCCAGATCAAATTTGTCATTCTCCTTACTGTCAACCATACAGTTCTTATAGTGTTAGTTTAGAAAATTTAGTATTGGATCAATTTATTATCCCCAAATTAATATTTTTCTTCATTCTCATCACTTATCTGGCTGATGTTGTATTGTTACTGTAAGGAGAATTTCTGTCTTGGTCACTCATGGGAGTTAAAGGGTTAAGAGAATGAAAGAGTGAAAATCAAGGACTGAGAATCGAGGCTCAAGAGCAGGGAATCAAGGATTGAAGGACTGTCAACTTACTTTTAAGCAGTACTGTAGATTTTTGTCAGGTGATTATCCAAGTACAAAAGATTACTTATTACCATGCAGCCAGATCTTTTTGTGTGTTTTGATGTACACTTGTTATTAGTAAGGGGCCATCCAATCCAATATTGCATAGCAATGGTTGTTATGTGATAATTTCGCTTGGCCAAGAGCATGATACTCTTCTAAAACCCACTGAAAGGTAACACTCAACCATTCAGTGGTTCCTGTCGAGAGGTACATACTCTTCACCACAGGAGTACCTGTGTTTTGTGTATCAGTGTGTGTTTATAGTACTGTGGACTTGATGTATTGATTCTCCATTAACATTTATAGGTTCTAAGACCCTTTTTGCTGAGAAGACTGAAGCTGGAGGTAGAAACTCAGATGCCCAAGAAATATGAACACTTGATCCGCTGCCGCTTGTCTAAGAGACAGCGCTATCTCTATGATGATTTCATGTCCAGGACTAAGTGAGTTCTGTAATGAAAAAAAAAAAAAAGAAACCTTTGCCCACAAGACCTTTAGGTAATGAAGAATTATCTTGTCCTGCAAATTTTGAACTGTGACTGAAAGTTCTGCTAAAAGTTTAATTGAAAGAAGAATTTAGGTTTCTACTTTAACTTTAGAGGTGGTTAACATTTAATTTCTCTCTATATATTATCCATGCATTATCCAACAAATAGGTGATGGGAATACTCTCACTTATCAGGTAGAAGTTGTGGATACTATCTAACACCAAATTCTTGTAACTGATTTACAAAGAAAAGTTGAAGCAGTCAGAGGGGGTGACTAACAATCAGATCTTGGGAGTTAAAGTTTTAAATGTCTGTGTCTGACATCTGAAATACATGGGTTGAAGTGCTGTGGAGCCATGGCCTAACTTTCTGCTACTGGTTTTCCTTCCAGTTTACTTACAAGTGTCAATTGTGGCAAGAGTTGGACTGTTGCTTGTATTTTCTATGAGTGGAATGAATACTTTGGTTGTGGATTTAAGATCTGTACATGGACAACTGCTCTTGAGCCAAGGTTCACTGCTAACTATTAGATTTTGTCACTTATGGCCAAGAGAAGAAGCTGCTATAAAACCCTCTGACATGTACACTGTACAACTCAACTGTTCCTGTTGGGAACAACATTGTTACAGATGTATATTGAGTAGTGACGTGCAGCACTTTGTCTTGTGATTAGGGAATCATTGTAAATTATGTTTTGTTCACTTTGTTTCAGGACAAAGGAAACCTTAGAGTCTGGTCACTTTCTCAGTGTTATTAATGTTCTCATGCAGCTGAGAAAGGTAACAAACATTTTAGTATAAAATGTCCAACAAAATAAATTAAATAAATATCTATTTTATTAAACCACTTATTAGTGGGAGGGGGGGTATCAGTTGATCATGCAGGGTATAGTATGTAGTCTTAAAAGGACTGTGGTCAGTGTTTCTGACAGACATACAGCCTTGTATTGACAACTTGTTTGGAAGTCATTGTTAGAGTTGTTTGATCACAGAGGCACTTGACTCTGATGATGTCTTCAAACATCACCCACAAAAATTCCTCTTCAGGATTACTTTCGCAAAGACAAGCCGATTGTGGCATCAAAAGCATGTACACAAAGCTGTACTTTATTTTTGCTCTCACATGAAGTTCCCTTGTTACTTACTGATACTTTGTGCCACATACTCTTTCAGGTTTGTAATCATCCTGACTTGTTTGAACCAAGACCAACAGTTTCACCATTCTACATGGAAGGCATTGAGTTCTACACTGCATCATTGGTGCTTAGAGCTCTGGATTATAACCCCCTCAAGCATGTCAGCTTTGGTTACTTGAACTTGTGTGTAGCAGACATTGAAAGAACAGTGACAAGCTATGCAGCTTTTCGTTCACAAACTCTTCAAACACCGGCAAAAATGATTATAGAAATAGACTCCCACCCTGAACCAGTCAGGCGGCTGGTCCCTCTGGCAAAACCTCGCAGGATTTCATTTTCTGGCCATCCTGTGCTTCCATTAGGCAGTGTCAAGACAGAGATATCTAACAGTATTCATCCAAGTGGACAACACATGCCACATGTTCCCCCTCCTCCCTACTCTGCTCATCAACAACACAGAGTGCATCCAACATACACTCCCGGTGCTATTCCATATGGCATTCCTCCAGGGCGGTCTCAAGACCATCCACAACGCCCAGGTTTTGGTGGATTATTACCTGGAAGAATGCCGCCTGGAACTCCTGAAGGACAACAGCCTCACAGCCACTCAACACGGCACAGTGCTGGTGTCCCTACAGGCTTTCCTGCATCTAGGATACTTTTGTCTGGATATGGAAGGGAAATGCCCCCTCCTCCACCCTATCCAGGACCTGGAGCAGGCTATGAATCTCAGCGTCAGCATATGGCAGTAGGGCAGTCACCCTGGTCAGCTTCAGTTCCTTCTGCTACTGGTGTTGCTGTAGAGTCACATCCATCTGTCCCTGGTATTGCAAGCTTTCCAGCAGCTCAGAATCGAGCACCAGTAGGGCAAACTGTTCAAGATGGTGTAGCTAGTAGACTTCCCCTTCCTCATCCTGAACCCAAACCAGTGTCTCCAACAAAGAGAATTGCCCTAGAAAGTAAAACAACACTTCCTGCTGTTACCCAGGCTAACAAAGATTCACCATTTTTCTTGGTATGTTTTAGTGTCAAAGCTAGTCTTTGCTATGAAGGGGCTCTTCCATTGTGGAAGCACTATTCACAACCCTAAATGGAATGAAAGGCACTGATTCTGATATCTGATTTTACCTGCAAATCTTTCAGACAAATTTTGTCCATCATACATTTCTTATGGTACTGTTATGGAAGTTGTTGGCTGTCTTTCCTTTATTCTTTTGACCCTAATGTGTGATTCAGGTGTAATATTGTAAAGAGAAATTAGATGCTAGTCACTTCCATGCAGCAGTGGTGAGGTTGAACAAAGGGGAGTGACTAGTGGTTTCTTGTCAGCGTGTGATGAGTGAAACTTCAGGTCCGTGTTGTTGAGAGTAAATCTGTGATAGAACTTGAAGTTCTGAGCTGACAAAGATTGAAAGAATAGTTTTAGCTACTAAAGAAAAGAAAAAATTAGAACTGGAATTAACTTTGCGAAATTTGCCTTCCTAGGAGAATCTTGCTGAGAAAAGGCTCAAGGAAAGAAAGCAGAAGCTTGTGCGCATTGTACGGGTCAACAGTTGTCATTCTCAAGCACAACCAGTCTATGGACCAGATTTGGTGCAGGCCGTGTCTATAGTTAAGGATGTGTGGAGTACAGTTAAACATTCTGAATATTTAACAAACATGTTGAAAACTCCAGTAGATCGAGTGACAGAAATGAAGGATATTTTTAGCAGGTAAAATTCCATGTGTGTTTTCATTTTTTTGGCTCACCAATATTATAACACCAGAATTATTTCGAAGCTGTCTTGAAAAATAATCTAGAGAAATTAAAAACAAAAAAAACAGAAGTAAAAAAACTCATGATCTCAAAACTATTCTTTAATTTATTCAAGAAAAATATGTCAGATCAAGGAACAGCATAATTATGATGAGTACTATACTTCAAGGTCCGTGTTTTTGATTGACCCTGATAATATAGAAGTTCTGAGCTGTCAACTTTATTATGAACTGCAGAAATAGGTAGACTTCTGTGGTGAAATGCTGCCAGAGGTGATTCAACCACTGATTTTTTTCTTGTCAGGTTTGTGTTTGCTATACCATCTGTGGAAGCTCCTCCCATCAAACTACATACATCCCATCCTCCACCCTCTTACTTGTCAAAGATGCAGAACCTTGAGGAAACTCTTCGCCTGAACTGATGCCCAAGACGTCATTCATGCATCCAATTGCTCGGGGCTTGAAGATGCAGTTTCCAGAAGTGCGGCTCATTCAGTATGATTGTGGTAAGGACATATACATCTAAACAAGAGCAAGGGATTCTTAAATTGTAGCTCTTGTGTATTAGCACCTTGAATTGTTTGTGTTGATTTGAACCAGTGCATAAGATTCATGAGTGCAATTTGTTTTTGCTGCAGGTAAACTTCAAACTCTTGATCTGCTGCTGAGAAGACTAAAAGTTGGAAAGCACAGGTAAAAAGAATACAAATTTACCTTGCCAACATGTGTCAGTCTATTGCTTTGTGAAAACCAATCTGTCAGTGGTGATGTGACAGATTCTGTAATGCAATGTAACAGTCCAGAACTTGTTCTTTATGATTTATGAAGCAAATAAAATTTGGTATTTGGCTTTTGTTTTAGACATTTAATATGATGCTTATAGTTGCATTTCAACTTGATGTTCACAGGGCACTGATATTTACCCAAATGACCAAGATGCTAGATGTTCTAGAGAGCTTTTTAAATTACCATGGTTACATCTACCTGAGGCTTGATGGCACAACAAGGGTGGAGCAAAGACAGGTCTTGATGGAGCGCTTCAATGCTGATACTCGCATCTTCTGCTTCATCCTCTCCACACGCAGTGGCGGACTAGGTGTCAATCTTACTGGTGCAGACACAGTCATCTTTTATGACAGTGACTGGAATCCTACAATGGATGCCCAAGCACAAGACAGATGTCATCGCATTGGTCAAACCAGAGATGTCCACATCTACAGACTGATTAGTGAGAGGACAATAGAGGAAAACATCCTGAAGAAGGCCAATCAGAAAAGAATGCTGGGTGATATTGCTATTGAGGGTGGAAACTTTACCACTGCCTTTTTTAAAGAAGTAGGTTGAGATACTGTTCCTGAGTGTGTTATTGTTTTGTAACTTTTTTCAAACTGTCCACAGGGTTATTTAACTCTTCCAATCCCAAGGTGTCACTAGTAATTCTCTCTACTGTCTGCCATACAATTCTTGAGATGAGGGTCAACAACAGTCACAAAGAAGTTTGTGGAAAGTCATGGAACTTTATAAGGATGAAAAACTAGAAACCTCTTGACTGATAAAAGAGCTGTATGAATTGTGTTTCATGTTTAATTTTATATTCTTCATTGTGCAGACTACACTGAAGGATCTCTTCACCATTGAACCATCTACTGAAGCTACTAACACTCAGCCTAGTATTACTAAGACGGAGCCCATTGATGAAGTTGTCACACAAGAATCTCAAGAAGAGTCTGAGACAACTGCAGAAGTTGGTAGCACCAAGACTGGAGCTGGAAAAGTGTCACAGAACTTGCTGGAGCAGGTACATAGAATACATGTGCTTTGTTTACATGTATGAAGTCAGTTTAGGTTACATTCCTTTGTTACACCATCTTTCAGGCGTTGTTCAAAGCAGAAGATGAACAGGATGCGTGTGCTGCTACAAGAGCTAAGGCTGAAGAGGCTGCAGAATTAGCAGAATTTGATGAAGGAATCCCCCTGAGTGAAGATGGAAAGGTTCGTTAGTAAGATTCGTTCTCTTTAAATTACCACATCTAAAGTACAGTAATGGTGCATAGCTTTGTGACTAGTGATTCAGTTGACTTAAGACATTTGATATCTACAATGAAATGATATTATAAACTGGCTTCTTGAAATATTGTTCTACCATTTTGGCAGGCAAGCATAACACTTGGGTTTCAGTTGTGAATTCTATAAGGGCAAATTACTAGCTCTTATAATTTTTGCAAAGGTGAAAGTCGAAGTGTGATCTCTTTCACTCTCAAAAGCAGTCTGCAGCACGAGTCCCCAGCATCTGGACAACTAACTTTCTAATTTAATTCCAGGTAAAAGAAGAGAAAACTAAGGAAAGTTTTTTATTGCTTTAGGAAGAAGAGCAGTCCAAAGTAGAGGAAGAACTATCTGCTCTGGAGAGCCAGGTGAGGAACAGATTTCAATGTGCTCTTCCAATCTCACAAAAGAAGTAACAAATTAACAAAAAAACAAATGCAAAGCAAGCAAACTTTACCTTACATTTTCCAGTACGATTTTTCAGTCCTCACTGTAGGAATTATTGTTTATTTTAATATTCTCTTGAATTCTTTCTAAAGATGACTGCTGTGGAAAGATATGCAATTCGGTTCTTGGAATCATCTGGTGCTTACATTACGCTGGAACAAATCAAAGCAGCTAAGGTAAGCTGTCTCACTTAAACTTCAAATGATAAACACTAAGATGCAATGATGTGACAACCAAACACAGGTACAAAATTGGGGACCTCCACCCCAGGGTTTCAGTAGCTTTTTTCATTAGTGGATGTGGATGTAGATGGTGTTATAGGCGGCTGTGTCCAGAAGTGAGCAGGTGACACCCAAAAATGAGAGCCTGCTCACAAGCTAAACAGATGGCAGTTAAAGGTCTTATATGTGACAGCAGACCAACAGTAACAAACTTTAAATGAAACTCCTGAAACTACAAATTTAGTTCCCAAAATTGTTCTAGTTGCCACAGGGACAAAATGGTTGCAACTTGGAGTGTTGTTCAGAAATAAAAGATTATTGTGTATTCTCTTTGTCCAAACTTGCAATTGACAGGATGAAGTGGAAATGGCAAAGAAGGACTGGGAGCTTGGCCATCTGCAAGCTTTGAAGAAGGAGGAAGAAAAAAGAGCTGCTGAAGAGGAGGATGAAATCTTGTACACATACACACGAGAGGAATCCTTGCAGGTTAAAAAGAATAAATCAAAATTGCGTAGATCAAAAGCAAATAGCAAGTGTTCTGGAAAAAATTCCCTAATGTCTAAACGAGCCAAAAAGAACTTGAAATCAGAAACACAAAGTAACGAGGCTCAAGCGGCTGTCAGGAACAGTCGCAGTACCAGTCGAACTTCATCTAGAGCAAGCAGTAGAAGTAGTAGTTGCAGTAGCTCTAGAAAAAGTGCAAGGAGAAATTGACTTTGGTAGGGAATTAGCTTGTTATGTGGGAGAATGTCCTGTGAGAATAACCTTAGAAATTTGCAGACTCCCTGCTGATGAAAATCAAACAAATTAGTTCTCAAAGAAATCACAGACCATTTGTTCCCAAGTGTAAAACATGTTTCTAAAAGGTAAGGCATACTTATTCAGTTGTCAGTTTTCCGGTTAAAAAATTACGGAAGGGTGGTTCAAAAATTTCCTTCTTTCTTATCAAGGAATTCCCTGCAAAAGAGATTTACAAAAATAATAAGTTACTAGACATTCATTGTAGGCTATTTATGGAAAGCATTTGCCAAAATTATTGAATTTAAATGCAGGGAACCAACCATGGAAATGTATGAATTTGGTGCTTTTGTTGAGGAAAAGTGCTCTCAAACCTTTCAAATAAAAAAAGATGTTTGAATGTAAAAGGTTGTCTGTCATTTTTTGTATCTTCTCTTGATTGATTGCTGGCATTTGTATAATATTTTGAAACTGTTGGATTAACCAGCCCTAGTAAGCTCGTTAGTTCAATGTTTGCCAGTGGTTTTGGATGGCTGTACAGTGTTAGCATTGCCAATGTTATATTTTTGGTGTCCAAAGTTGTCTTGGACTTTCCAAGATGAAATTTATCTTGTCCACATTTTCATCAAATCCTTCTTATCATTACTTCTTTGATGGTGCTTTGGCTAGCTTGTTTGCTAGTTTTAAGTTTAATGCAGTTGTGTTAGTGTTTGTTAGTAGCACTACTGGAAGTACTTTTCCCCAACCCTCTTTCATGGCACAAAACTCTAAATGCTTTTCTGTGAATAAACTGCTGCAGCATCTTTTGCATCATCCTTGCTTAAATTGTTTTGATGAATTAATTTTGATGGAAATATTTTCTCTATTAATGTGGTGTTTGGTCCTTTTCTTTGCAATAACAGCAACAATTATAACACATAACCAACCAGATTAACAACTCTTGTGTTCAGAGTTACTTTACAACACTGAGTCCAGTGAACTCTTTCATTAGCTCTCTTAACTCGTTAACACTAGCTTGAGCATAACAATGCATCTCTGTGGTCTTGCAAGAATAGCATTCTTTGGTTCACTGTTACTACGTGCTAGCCTTACGCCATCCAACCAATCAAGAGAAGGTAGAAAAGTGACAGGCATTTCAAGGCACTTTGGAACCAAATTTGCTGAACAGCTATACAGAGCTACTGGCTTATCCTTAACTCCCTTCCCCTCCCCTCTTTAACATTGGTAGAAAATAGTACATGGCAGGGGGTGGGGGAGATATGAAATTTCTCTCAAGATTTTTTCAATGGAGGAAAGAAATTTGGTTTCCCTGTAAAAAGGGGGATCTTTTCAAGTGTGGAGATAACATGTTATCTTAATTTGTGAAGGTATCATGTTCTTGTGCAAAACCTCCGTTGGTATTTCATTGGTTTCTTTATCGTGAAAGCATTTCCTTTCTTCCACAAATATTTTACAATGGTTGGATTTAAATTTACGGCTTCAGTATGCAGAATGATGTATAATGCCCTTCTCCTTTGTTTCTTTAATATCTCCTATTTGGGGCAGCACCCTTAATGGACCGGTCTTTTAGTAGTACGCAGTAGTTTGGGAAATACAGTAGATCCATCCCATAAATAAACACATGAATGATAGCTGTTATCGAAAAAAAATTTGGAACAAGGCACCCCTTTCCTCTCCTTGACTTTGTCTTCTTATCCAATTAAATATACTTACCAATTCTCTGGCACTAGACACATACTCTGGCTTTCACATTGCATAGTAGAGCTTGGAATGAAATTTGACTTCCTTGAAAATTGTAGTTGCCACTGAAAAATAGGGTTTTTCATATTTCTTAATCCTTCTATTCTTAAGATCCTGGAAGAAACTCTCCTTACTGTCTGCAATACAATTCTTATGAAGTTAGTTGAGAGAATTTGGTATTGGATCAACCAATAGTTCCCAAATTTATATTTTGCTGTTTTCGCATCGCTTGTCTGCTTGATGTTGTATTGATATTATAAGAAGAAAGTCTCTGTCTTGATCACTTGTGGAAGTAATGGGATCAGTGAGGAGCACTTTACAAATATTAGATCAGTAGCATTCTCCACTCTTCAAACAATTGCAGCCTGGTGATGATATTAGATCAGTTTATTGTCCGTTGGTGGAAATTAACCCTTTACATCCTAAAATCAGCATGCACTTTCTCCATACTCTTCTTTATACATTTCCTTAGGTGCTGACACAGAGAATTTGTTTACCAATCAAAACCTTTCATTAGTGATCATTTCCTTTATTCTCATGATCTTAATGTGTGATTCAGGGGTGATATTGTAGGGAGAGATTAGATGCTAGTCACTCTTATGGTTTAAAGGGTTAATTAATCAGTGAGCTCTCATTGTTTTCCACCAGGTGTATGTGAATGATGCTACTGGTGAAGAGATGCCAGTAAGTATTCAATTATTTAGAACTTGTATGCACCACACATTAAGCAGATAAAGACAGCTTTGGTTAGAACAGTGGTTCAAAGATCACCAGCACAACCAAGTTCTGTCACCTCAACATTCTTACAACTTACTACTGTAAATCTCCTCAAAAGTTGGAAATTTCACTGAAGAAATGTAAAATGGTTGCTGTGTTTACATAGCCTGATGTAAACACGTGGGAGATTGGGAGAACATGAGATAAGTGTAGGAAACCATGACACAGAGCGGAGTGGTTTCCAGCTTATCGAGTGTTCTCCCAACCTCCCGTGTGTTTACATCAGGCTATGTAAACACTGAAACCATTTTACATTTATTTTATAAAATAACTAATGAAAGAGCCTCTTCTTGCAACAAAGGAAAGCGACATGCTTCTTGTTGTTGTTCATTTGGCTTTTTGGCCATTTCTTGAATACTGGGAAAATTAAACTCCAAAGAAAAATTAGGAAAATCTTCTTCTTCCATTACTGTACTCAAAACAAACTTAAAGAAACTGAGTTACTGCTAAATAAATAGCAGGGAGAAGATTCAGTATGAAAACTGTGTTTACATACGCTCATGTAAAATGGTCTTATGGCCAATCAGAGCACACGTACTATTTGAATTATTTTATAAAATTGATTACAGCTTATGGCATGCACAGAGATTGAAATCTTTGAATTGGCATATCATTTTTCTTATTTAATGTGCATTCCTTGGTTTCGCCACCAACCCTTTATACTCAAACATCAGTATACATATTCTCCATACTGTTCTTCACACATTTGCTTAGGTGCTGTTAGGGAGAATTTGTTTGACAATCGGTTTCTATAATAGGAGTTGTTTCCTTTATTCTCATGACCTAACTATGTAATTCAGGGATGATATTGTAAGGAGAAATTAGATTTTAGTCACTCTTGGGATTCAAAGGGTTCCATGCTTTCTGCTGTGTGGATTTTCTTTTACATCATAAACACAAAGCTAAGAATGTAGAAAGAGTTCTTCAAACAAAGTAACATTCAAAAATATTTTCCTATACTTTACCAATTGGGGTAAGCAAGTCCAATGTGAATTATCTTTTGCAGATCTGGACTCCACCCACCCCACCCCGGGATGGACAAGATGAAATATATGTGGACCCAACTTTGGCATTCTTGTATGAGACATCACCTATGATTCCAAACCGTCTCCCGCCTCTTTATCTGACAAAGTAAGTATCTATGAGACTGAAGTACAGATTTCAGCAGGGATTTTATTAAGGGCCAGGCACCAGGCAAGTTGATTAGCTGTAAAAGCAACTTTTCCTAACTGCATTCAAAATTTCATCTAAAGAATTCAGCACAAGTTAAATCCAGATGGGCTTCAGCTCCAAATCTTAATGAAACTTCTGCTTGATGCTAGCAGTCTGTTTAGTGGAAATCGTACTTCCTTCAGATTTTCCCTGTGGTGTGCTGTAAAATTTGTCTTAGCTTAGACCAACTCAGTACTAACTGTGTCATTTGCTCTGCAGGCCACATCAAACAGGAAAGAGAACTGTACATAAGTCTACTGTTTACTTCAGAGATCAACTCCAGGGAGCTGCCAAGTAAGTCATTGTGTATAGAAGTGTCATTATTGAGAGGTATTTTAGTTTGAATCATACATCTTTGTCAGCTTTCTCTATTTTTCCAGTATTATGTTGTATACTACAGATAAAAGATTTTGCTGGCACTTTTTGGTCACTTTGTTTGTTTATGTTTTTCCTGCTTGACAAAATGTTTGTTAATTGTGACTGTATTTCTCCCCCCCCCTCCTCTCCTGTCAATTGCAAAAGAGAAAAAGGTGAGAATACCTAAGTCTCAAATCATATGAAAATGTTTTTCCTAATTCATTTTTTGTTTCCTTATGCTGCAGAGATCGTGTCAGCCGACCTACATCAGTATTTGACAGGAATGGATATGATCCATTTGCGAGAGCTCGTCGCAGTTCATTAAGTAAGAAGTCCAAAATGAAACAAATGAAGCAGCAGGTTGCACCCAGTATAGTGAAACAGACAGACTACTCTCAGGTACATGATAGATGATCATAGGAATAGAATTGCCTGTGTATGTTTACTTCCCTGGCTGGGATGCTTTCCCACTGCAGGTTGTCCCTCAAGATTTTGTTAGTCTTCAATGAAAATTTGCCTGTACCCATCGTACTCTTGGGGTGAAGAAGGACAGTGTGAATATAAGAGTGCTTGGTTCAAGAACACAACACACTGGTTTTTAAAAGGGCATGAACACAGAGCTCTAGCAGCCATACCTTGTTCTCTCAAAATTAGTGCAACCCAAAAGAAGTTGCAGAATGATCTATCAAATAGCTAAGTACTGTCAATTTTACAATTGTAAAAATATCTCTTTAAAGGGGGCTGGAGTTCCAGAATGGTTGATCCATGAAGACTGGGCTTTATTACAGGTATTTGCTGCAACTTCCTTGAAATATTTATTTATCCATTATTGACATGTTAAGCATGTTTTAGCAGCTTTAGACTGAAGTTGCCTTGAAAACCACACTCAGAAGGCCAATTTTTATCTTCAATTCTATTCAAAGGCTGTAAATTCCTTGCAAGAATTACCATTGGATCTTGCTGTAAATGTTCCAAGTCAAACACCTAACTGGGACATTGTCTGCGACATTGTCAATCTCACAAGTCGAACATTCCGCTCAGCTCGACAGGTAAGAACTTGTAACTTTGTTGGGATGTGAGAATTGAATTTAACTCCATAATCTAGCAGCAAAATAATCTGATCATGCTAAAATGAATAATCATCAGGGTAATTTAATATTATCCACTGAGTTGATAACGTAAATTGGCCACCGTAAAGAGTTTAAAAGCTGACGTCTCAAGTGTTACCACTGACCAAGGGCTAATGTCCAAAATGTCAGCTTTTAAACTCTTAACAGTGGTCAATTTACATTATCAGCTCAGTTGATAATACTAAAATACCCTGTTATACTCTCCCACTGATGCAGTACCACAGTTTCTCTAGAAACTTACCCCCCTTTATGAATAATCATCATCCTGATTACAAGTATTTGTTAGTCTTAAGAATGTGTAGATGTTCCCTTTCTATTTTTGCTTTTTGTGTAGTGTCACTTGTACAGCAGTAGCCATTTTGCTGATTTTTTAAATTCATTTTTTTCACAGTGTCGTGATCGCTACATAAACATGATTATTCCCAGAGAGGAGGGAAAAGTACCCTTGGTAAGAAGCAGCTTCTCATTTCTTTTACCCCTTTTATTTTCTTTACTTTACTTTGGCAAATCAAAGTCGGATTTAGCTAGAACTAAGGACCCTGGTAAAAACAGAGGTGAATTAGGTTAATTCTGGTTGACTTAATTCAGTGTAACAACTTGTAACAAAGTATGGTAAGACTCATTTGACTTGCAGATGGAAGTCAAGCAAAGAAACGATCCTCACAGGCAGACTGAAATTTAAGTAATTGCTGAATAAAAGCGTGAAAATTCAGGCTTTGACACGATTTGAACTGGTACCTCACAGATAGTAGTTAGGTACTATTGCCAACTGAGCAACAAAGCCACACAAAAGGCGCAAAGGAAATTCTATGGGGTTCTTCTTTCTTATAAAGGAATTTGATCCTAACTTGTAATGAAATAATTTTAATTTGACCTGCAGATGAAAAACAAGCAAAAATATGATCCTCACAGGTGGACTGCAATTTTAACCCTTTAACTCCTAAGATCTCATAAGTAATTCTCCTTACTGTCTGCCATACAGTTCTTGTGATGTTAGTTTGCAGAATTTGGTATTGGATCAACTTATAGTCCCCTAACTGATATTTTTCTTTATTCTCATCACTTGTCTGTTTGATATTGTGTTGATATTGTAAGGAGAAATTTTGTCTTGGTCACTTATGGGAGTTAAAGGGTTAACAATTGCAGAAAAGAAGTCTGAAAAATTTCAAATCACTTCTTTTCTTACATAGTTAATCTAATGTCTAATGATGTTTTTTTTAAATCATTGTTTGTTACTGGGCTGTTAGCCTGTAGTAGAGGAGAGCTTGAAGAAACTGAAGACAAGGTTGAAGTCATTTTCCCAGCCATACCTTACCCAACCTCACAGCCTACCAGTCAAGGTAAAAAAAACTCATTTCAAAAAGTCATTTATGTGGAATTATCACATACAGTGTGAAATCAATGGTAATCCTTACAATATGATTGCAGTGAAGTTTATGTATAAATGGCTCTAAATTGTGTCTTTTTATCAAGCTAATAAGAATGGAACATGCCAAAAAACAAGATTTACACAAAGATAGTGATTCTCAATTGGTACTCTTTTATCTTTTCTTTTCTGTTTTCTTTTTTCATTTTTTCTCTTTTCTAATATTAGATCAATAAAACAATGGTACTTATCAAAAACTTCTATCTAGGCAATGAAACTGTTCAATTTCAAAATTTGCATGAATTATGTGATAAAGTGTAGAAGTTGTTGTGCAATTTTTTGATGAAATCATCTGTAAGATGTCAAATCAAACTTGCACTGTGTGCACAAAATTTCAGACTAAATTACACCTGATTACAAACACACATACTATGTAATAATGACCTGCTTTAGTCAACCAAAGAGTAGTATATTTTGTTGATGATTATATCAATTCTCATTTCATTTGTCAGATTAAAGGCACAAATGGAAGATCATTCAAAACACATCATCTGCTGGCTCAAGATGGTGGCCGCTCACCAACTGTTGTACGATCATCGGTGTTTGAACTTGTGAAACGCACTTCCCAAAAGAGAAAACCACCTCTCAAGCAATTGTGAGAATTTTATTTTCTTAACCTGGTTACTTGATTTTTCTTTGCACCTCATTGCATTTTTGAACAAGGTTAAAAAAATCACCCAAGTTAATTGAGGATGAATCCAAGTCTGAATTGTGAATTTTAAAACATCCTTTCAATCAATAACTTTTGCATGTTTCAAGCTGTGATCTATGAAAGGAAAGGCCTTTCTTAATAAACAGTTTCCTTCAATCTGTGAATACAGATCTTCATTCAATTCACAATAACATTTTATGACACCAAATTGCTTATTGAAAAGGATCTACATGTGCTATTTAAATTACATGCACAGAACAGAACATCTTTAAAGACAGAAAAATGTGAAAAGTGCAAATGATTTACAATCCTGTTGTGGAAATATAGATAGAGACAGAACGAAAACTGGAGGTGAAGGGAACAGTGTTGAGTTTGGGTAGCAAATAGTTTAGAGACAAAGCCACAGGGAACCTTCAGCTCTTTGCTTTAAAATGCTGTATCCTTGCCTGACAGTATGATCTCCAAACAAACAGTCCAGGCTTATTTCACTGTCAGGTTATAATTTCTGATTTCTTTTATATTTTTTCAAGTCAAAATTTAGGGCAGTCTTTATGGTGCGATTTATTTTGTTTTTCCATCAACTGTCGCTCTTTGTAAAATTGTCACATTTTTTACTCTTAGGTTGGTGGATCCTCAACTAAAGAATTTCAAACATTCTGCTGTATTAAGTGCTAGGTAAAAAGAAACTCTACCTCTTCATGAGTGACTCTGACAGTTTTAATCTGTAAATCCTTCACATCCTAACATCAATATGCATATTCCCCATACTGTTCTCCAAACATTTTCCTAAGTGCAGACAAGGAGAATTTGTTAACAATCAAGAGCTTCTCTAGATTATGATTTTTTTCCTTTACTCTTGCTCCCTGTGTGATTCAGGGGAGATATTGTGAGGAGGAATTAGATGCTAGTCCCTTACAGGCTGAAGGGTTAAAGAATTTGTGATTCATTTGTTAAAGCACTGGACAGCAGTTGAACAGCTCCATTTGATCAATAACCTTATCCCGATTGGACTCTATGCATTTTTTGTTAGATTTCTCAGAAATCCAATCATTAAAAATCCAAGTCAGTTTCTTGATTTGTTTAAGTACAAAATCTTTTATTGTTGATTACTGTTATTCTCTGCTACCCAAGTGGTATTTCAGAGGAGAAGACTTTGAACCCAGTTCAGCTGGCTGCCATAAAAACAGACCGACTCAATAGAGAAAAAGCTGCTGCTGTAAGTAACTTGTGGTGCCTTTTTGTTCAGTTTTGTATAGCTGTGGTTGTTTCATTTCATCTTGTTTGTTTTAATTTGTCTAGTGGGGCAATATATCCTTTGGTTGATGAGCCCAATTTTGTACTATCTTGAAATATTCCATCTGAGAATACATAACAATCTATATAGTGAGTTTTTCCCCATGTTCCTGGTAAATCTTGTATAATCTTGGCAATCTTGCTGTAAAATTTCAGGTTTAAAACAAAGAAATGAGAACTTTTAACGAGAGATCGAACATCATGATGCAAAATTGTCTTTTACTTTGAAGGGAAAAGGCAGTGATTGTAGTTATTTTTTTCGAAGGGAGTAGAATTTTAGGGTCTTCAGTTTTTCCTCTTGTGCAATAACCTTTGAATTGTCTAGTTTGTTGATCAGGTATTAGTCCCTTGTCCATTGAAGAGCCATTTATAGGACTGGAGAAAGGGGGTGGTAATTTTTCAGCAAAAGAAGCATTTCCCCCACAGAAGAGAATACATGTATTATTAGAAATCATGGCCTGGATTTGATAAGGTCAGTTTTTGATCACAGATGTCTTTTTCACTTTTGCTTCAATATCTTCAGCAACAACAACAGCAACAGCAACAACAACAGCAGCAACAACAACAGTATCAACAGCAGCAACAACAGCAACAGCAACAGCAACAGCAACAGCAGCAGCAGCAGCAGCAGCAGCAGCAGCAGCAACAACAACAACAACAACAACAAAATCAATCAGTCACAACACCTGCACAATTACAACAGCCACAGGCCTCTCAGCTTCCACAGCAGACTGTGGCCAAACAGTTGCCAACCAGTGTGCAGTCACTACCTGCACAGAAATTGACCACCACCACCCAGCTCAACTCCACATCTGTAGCAGTAAGTCACTTGACATTCCTTTTACATGTCCTTGTTGACCATCAAATTGCTAGATTTTGGATAAATCAAGTGCATGTAGCTTCTTAATGTTTTGTAGGAGGCAATTTATTGAGTGGATGGTGCCATCCACTCTTCAACAGGGGCTCAAGGAATTGAATGATTTAGTGGAGACATATATCTTTAGGTGTGTTAGAGATATTGTAAAGAATATTATATGATAAATTACACTTACATTTGATAAATACTTTTATTTCAGACAGCAGCAGCACTTCAGAAAAGTGCAGCTCTTCAGGGAGCTACAGGAACCACACTTGCATCAACTTTACTCAAGACATCAGGTCAGTACAGTCTGGAATTTTTCAAACTCTGTAAGTTGTTTTCAAAAGATTGCGGGCTATTAAGCTGACCCGAAGAGCTTGTTAAGGTCTTGGCTTTAACTCCAAAGATATGATTGTTAATTCTTCTCTCAAGCTGCTGCATATTTCCTTGAAAAGTAGTTATCAGAATTTGGTGTTAGATCAAGATATAAACTTCTACAGTACCTGTTAAGTTTGAGCTCTCTCATTACCTGTTTGGATAATGAATGGATATTATTGTGAGAGGTTACATGTTAATCACTTGGTTAACTAAAGAAGAAGTCATTGAACTAAATGATCTGTCCACCTAAAAGGACTACTTCTCACTGACTGTTGTTCATTTGGTAGCTTCTGGTATTGTACTTACCGGTCAGACTGTTCCAACCGGGACTGCATCAAGCATCGTGGTCAACACACACAAGGGTAATGCAGCAGGTCTGAACTCCTCATTTGCTACCATCAACAAAAGGATGCAAGGAAAAATACCAACCCCTCTTCAAGTACAAACGGTGAGTTTGAACAGGGCTGTTTTGCAATTTTTGTATTGATTGGGGGTAGGTTCTTGGATGGTTACGAATGAGGGTGCAACTTTTCTGTGAAAGCAAGGAAGTCACCATGATAACTCAGTCAAAGCCCACACCCAGAAACTCATCAACAGCTGTAAACCAGCGTATGGAGTGAATCTTACTGAAGAATAGCAAGTTACTGTGGAGATGCAAGAAACAAAACCAAAGAAGAGAAACATTTCCAGAATATCTTAAGAGGGTAGTTTGCTATTGAAGGCTTGAAGGGAGATGTAGTTGTAATGTGACTCTCAAATCTTTTGGTCTTATTAAAAGATGATTTACTTAACAACTAGATTCCAGGTCTGACTCCAGAATGTGATAAGAACATAAATGTGGCATATGAAGGGCAGCCGAGTGTGTCACTGATGTTCTGCCAACATTTTTACTTATTCTGTGATCTATTACTGTACAGACATGGAATCTAGTCATTTTGTATGTTAAAAAAGCAACATTGTTACTGGTGACATCGTCCATGCGTCTATTCTTCCATAGATCATGAGCAAAGAACCAATCAAAATGCATATACAATTCAGTGTATCATTTAATTTTTTATGGAATTATTTTTTGTTTGCTAGAAGGTGTCTTCAGCTGGTGTAGCCACAGCAAGACTAGTACAGACTCAGCCACGTCAAGTTAGCGGTTCCCTGGCATCGAGCACAGCAACGTCAATAACACTAGGTGCTACCAACAGCATGACACCTGCATCATCAGCAGCTGTGGTCAGTCAGGTAGGACACACTCTTTACAGAATCCCATTGTGTGTGCGAGTCTGACATGTAAATGTGAAATGGTTATACTGTGCAGGATAACAACTTTCTCCTTTCCTGTCTTTTTTCCTAGATCGGACTGCAGACTACTTCACCAGTTGTCACTGCAAGTATGTAAATGTATTTTACCGACACTGTTTTGTATTATGTTTAGTTTTATATATACAATGGCCCCCATTTGGCTTGATAATGTGTTTGTATATTTGTCAGCGGACATTATCTGTTCTGAGATGCAAACAGTTTTCCGAGAGTGAAGCTTGAGGAACAGATAATGTTCAAGGACAAATATATGAGCACATTTTCACACCAAATGGAGGCTATCATGGTTATTATCCTTCAAATAGTTATGCAACAGGCAGGAAACTGTTTATTAACAACTTTCTGTTTGCTCCATGGAATGTTTACTTTTCAGTGTTCTCTGGCATGACATTGTGATCAAACAGTTATGTCTCTTTTGTAGCCGTTGCTAAACGCTCTAAATGCTCATGAATTAAGTTTGAAACAAGTGCTTTTACTGTACTTAGTAGATGCAAGGGTTTGAAAATTAGGGAATATCACTTGCAGTATGTCCTTAGAGATTTCCTGGTTTTAGCAGACACATTCAATCATGTGATGCATTTAGACCAATCACGCACAAAGGGAAATATTTGATGGATTGTAATTGAAGATATACTCCCTTCATCCTTTCTCCATTTCTATTCCTCTCATCCTCTTCCCTCTGATTTCCATTCCCCTCCCTCTTTCCCCCCCCCCTCCCCCCCTTCCTGCTCACTCTAATTTTCTTCCTTCTCTGTGTCCTCCTTATATTTCATTCTCTCTCAATATTCCTTGGAAGTTTTCTCAATTCCATGCTTTATTTTTGTTGTACCATGTAAAACTGGAAAGAACAGTGTTTTATTTCAAAATGACATGATTGACATTGGCTGATTTCAGGTCATAACCTGCCGGTAGCACCACAGCAGTTTGTAAATCAGCAAGGTGTGACGCTCACTTCTCAGCAGTTCACTCCTCAGCAATTGGCATTGCTTAAACAGCGGAAACAAATACAACTGCAACAGGCACAATTGAAAAAGGCACAACTAGATCAACAATTGAAGCAGCAGCAGCAGCAGCAAATGCGACGAATTCAGATTCCACAAGTTAACCGAGGACAGGTGACACAAGGGGCTGTTGCATCAACTGCCAGCTCAATTGCTAAACCAGGTACAGTGCAGCAACCTGGTGTACAACAGAAACAGCAGCAGCCAATTACAAACCTACAGCAGGCTGCCCTTTTGCAGAAGACCATCACACCACAGCAATTTCAGCAGATTCTGACCAATCGGAAACTTGCACAGTTAACTCCTCAACAAGTTCATCAACTTAAACAACAGCACCAAAAGATTGCCATAAGGCAACAACAGCAACAGGCTGTTGGAGGAGTGGCTGGTCTTAAAGGTGCGCAGGGTGGCCAGATGGCTACTGCCTCTGCTGCAGTAACGACGCCAATGACATCTCAGGCTCAGCTTCTTGTGCAGGTGCCAGGTACTGGTCAGGTGAAGAGTCAGGTGACTTCCCAGCCAATGGTCAAGCTGGGCACTGCACAGATTCGGCATCAACCACAGCAGTCTCAGCAACCCCAGCAGATGACTACAGTCACACTGCAGCGGACTTCACCGGCAATACAGCTGCTTCAGAAACAACAGCAGCAGCAAGTTCAGCAGCAGCAGCAGCAAGTTCAACAGCAACAACAGCAGCAAGTTCAACAACATCAACAACAACAGCAAGATCAGCAACAACAACAACAACAGCAGCAACATACATACGCTATGAGGCAGCGTAAACATTAAAGAAGCTCTGTTGTTCCATTCAAACTTGACACTTATTTGAAAGTAGTTTTGTAAAATTATGTAGCAACTGTACATTTTCATCTCTTAGTATTCAGGGTGAAAAAATATTTCACAAAAGTTTCAGTCATATTTCCATGTTATACCTGATAAAAGTGTAAAGAAAGTCGTTATAGGAATTTTCATTGTTGCCATGATTATAACCTAATTTGAACTACCATTAATGCATATAAAGGCTTTGTATTATAGCTCCACAAAGTGATATTTTGATTCCCCATTATTGGAATTTTGCTTCAAATCACGTTCTTACTTTAACCCTGAGAATCCAAAGAGTGATCAGTATCAAATTTCTTACAGCAATACTGCTGAATCATTTATTAAGGTCATAGGTATAATGGGGATGATGGTCAATCTAAGAGGCACTGGATTGTTCACCAAATTTTCCTTGTCAGGGCCCTTGGAGATGTACAGAAAACAGTATGGATGATAGGCATGCTGATGATACAAAGGGTTAGGTAATTTTCGTAAAGTCTCGGGCATTTTTTTCGTTTTTTTTTTTTTTCCGCTATGAGACTGAAACTTGAGACGAAAACTTCTGTTGAATCTATTTTCAACACATGGGGAATTGTTATTGTTTTTTTTTTTTCCTGCAAGGAAAGAAGGTTTTAGTGTTTATAGTGTTAATTTGTGTCCCAATCTATAGTCACTGTTGTATTTAAAAGTTCGATATTAGCAATTTGTTTTTCTTTCTGGTACGTCTTCCTGTGAGTATGGAAGTAAGTCCTATCTCTTCATATTAGTAAAGGAAGAGAACTGCGAGGGTGATGAGCAAGTACTGAGTAATTTGGCCAGTGGATATAAAAGCACTTCACAATTTTGCTCACATCATCATTAACCTTAATGTTTACCCCTTCTGTGTACATTATTTGGAAAGGAAAGTTCTGCTTTTATTGGAAGATGATGGCATTCTTTTTAAGTTCATATCTGCCATTTATTATTACTTTAGTTTAAGTTACCCCTAGTCCAAGACATTGTGATTTTGAAATCGAGAACAATAAACAGTTGGTCTAGCGAAGTGTTGATTGAAAGAATCTCACCAGAAGCATTGACAGAACCGATTGTTAGACGCACTGTGAAATGCTATTATACATTCCCCCTTCCCCCCCCACCCAGTCCCCCTTTCTTACTGACGAGCCTCCCCTACTCCTAAGACAAGACTCCAGTTTTGTTATAGACTTATATAGCGCAATTATCAATATAAGAATTTTCAATTGCAATTTTGTTGTCCATTTGGGACTTGGAAGTGTTTCAATATTAACCAAACTTGACGCTATTGAAGCGTTAACTCGAGCCTCTTTAGGGATTTCTTGTGTAATAAATAGTTGGTTTTAATTGGGAAGCCATAGCTGGAGAGCGCCTGAGCAAAATGTGAAGCCACAAGGGTGATGAAGAACAAACAAACAAGAGAAAACCTCTGCTACGAAGGTTACGTAAATTTAACACCATGTACAGTTCAGACCAACGTTTACGATCGCTCGTACAGTTTAGCATGCTCCCCAAACTCTGACTAGTGAGGTAAAGCTCCAGTAATGTTGTTCATTTGGACTTAGTAGTATTTCGACATTAAACTAAATTTTTTTGTGAGATTCCATTTGTGTACGAGTACTAGGTAAGTCCTTGTCCATAATAAACCCCTGCCTGGTAGCCCTGGATACAAAGGTTGACTTATTTTTAGTCGTATTTGGTTCACTTTGGGACTGTTTGAATTATGTAAATCAATCCTAGATTCAAAGAGTCTTGAGCAACTTCAAAAAGTTGCTTGAACATCTGTGAAGTCATGCAAGCATTTTTCTAGAAATCTGTATGATCAAAGATGGGAATGAAACCTAAGAAATACTATAGGTGGTATATCTTTGGATAACGTATCCACAAGGAACACGCATTTTCTTGAACACTTTCACAACTGATCCAACAGACTCTATGAAAATTAAAAGTAAGAGCTCAGTTCTTAGGAGACATTACAATGACCAGCTGCAAAGGACTAAAACCTTACCAGTTTTATAGTAAAAGGTATAGGAAGGCTTTAAGTCAATATCACCACCATTTTCAATATCAATTACAATTTTTAATAAAAATTCTTTGCAATGGAAAAATACAGTTCTCATGTTTACAAACTGAACAACCAAGCTGCTTCACTGCATCACTGGAAAAATTTTAGACTTAAAGAACTTGAAAACTTTATTTTTAAAGTTGAAGTTTAAAACCAACTTTCACTCTCCAACTTTGTCCTCCAGAGCTTTGATTCGCTTCTCTTGCTCCTCCACCTTGAGTTTAAGCTGCTTGACTGTCTCAACCAACTCCTGGAAATCAAGTAATATTCAAAAAATTATTATAGGACAAAAGAGTAGCTGGAGAGGTGTATGGAGTAGAGTCATGAGTACAGGTTAACTCCCTCTTTATGGAGAAACAGTAATCACTAAATTTTGTATAAAGATATGCTCTGATGTTCATTCAGTTAGAAGCCCTTCACTGGTTTCCACACATTCTACATGAAAATTTTATGTGCCTGGGAAATTTTCCATGTGGAAAGCACATGAAAAGCAACTACTTGTTATCCCTTCTGCACACTGCCTTTGTATTCTTCTAAGCAACATGTAGATCTTTAAGCCTATATGCAAAAAACTTCAACTCACAGGAGCCCTTTGGAGCTTTCTGAACTTATTCTACAGACAAATGCAACTGACTGACTATTTTAGCTTTGTAGTTGTCCCAATTTATACCATCAAGCAGCATGTAATAATTTCAACAAGGCACAGTTGTAAAATGGCAACTCTTTAACTACTTACTACTTCATCATCATCAGCTTTTGCTTCTTTTTTCTTTGGGGCCATCTTACCAAGCCCCCTCAAACCCTTTTTGGGTTTGTTAGCACCCTTTGCACCTCCACCATCTCCTGGATTCAAGGAAACCTTTTTGGGTTCCGCATCTTTTCCTTCAAACCACTCTGAAGCTAAAAGAGACGGCTCATCGCCTTGTGTGTCTGGAAACAGGTCCCCTTGAAAAAGTTCTGACTGAAAGAGGTTATTGAAATGTCAGTTTACCTTAAAGCAAAAATGACTTTGCTGATGCATTAATGAATCTGTATGTGTACTCTTTCCTCACCTAGCCATGACCATCTCTAGGATTCTCTTTGATATTTCTGAAGACTTATGATTGAGAAATTAACCTTGAAACAATTTAAAAACAACCACTTAATCAAGGTACTACCTACTTTTCTCGTTTGAAACTATTTTCAGTCATTTTCCACAACTTTCTAGCCCTTGAAAATTGTACCACAGAATTTCATCACTTTCCAGATTTTTCAAACTTAACAAATCCTGAAACAAAAAGATTTAGAATTCAAAATAACATGTCTCAAGGGACTATTATATACCTTCCTTGGAACTGTAAAACTGACTGGTTCACAATATCCTTTAGCAACAAGCTTGTAGCACTTCGCAACTTCATTGGAAGTGACATCACAACCACGTTTTGGCATGTAGCAGACACCTCGCTGAGGTACATTGGAGCTGTAATTGGTCAACCAATGGCAGTGTGGGTGTTCCTTGTCCAGTTCATAGTACCTGATGATGCTGTCTCCCTGTTAACAAAGCAAATATGACAAATAATGTGTGATTATTGACTACTGCTAAGTGGGAGGGCAGGACAGGAAAAATTATGGCCCAAGGCTATTATGTATGGACTAAGCATAGAGAGGTCTGTGCACAATGACCAAGAACCAAATATATTTACCCCTCTGGCCCAAGAGGTCAGTCAATAAGCATTTCATCATTTAACTGTCCCTCCTTTCTTCTTCAGTCCACATCTTGCCAAACCATACCGCTTTCTATGACCCTGTTTTTGCTATCATAAACAACCCTCATACAAGGGTTTTTATTTTTCAGTAACCAAACACCATGGTAACCAAGACACTGATGGCTTAGAGCCCTCTGTGTACATCAATATGTTTGGTGTAAACCATAACAGACTGATCCAGTATAACATAAAAAAGGCTTTCGGTGGTTTCATCAATTGCTGTTAAATTTCTAACTCCCTATTCAGGTGAAAACAAGCAGAAATTACCTGGCTACTTTATGACTTGCTGAGGACTCACAAAATTTGTTCCATCTGCCCTCCATGATCCACAACCAACCCCCAAAAAAAAAAAAAAGAAAAAAAAAAAAAAAAAGAAAGATGCCTCAAGCATGATCTTACCTTGCCAGCCAAATAAATCATCAACGTGTCAGGGTCATAATGTATAAATGGCACGGAATTGGACTGGTCAATTTCCTCTAAGGCCAGATTTTCCAGAGTATCCTGAGGGGGACAAGAACATTTTGAGTGGGTTTTATGACAAATTTTCAAGTCAAGCAAATTTGAGTTACTCTTGATATTTAGACAAATTTTCCTAACCTGTAAATACCATAGGAAATGCATGGAGGCCTGCAGGGAAAACTTGCATACTGATGTTAGGGTGTAAAGGATTAACAATTCTGGTGGAACTCATTTTGCAGGGCTTCAAATCACTTTGATTCACATCCAAAGGAATCTAAATGGTGTTCTTTAAAATGAAACCCACACTAACCGCTTTCCAAACTGCATACTGCCTTGCACTCATCTTTGAAAATCCAACAGAGAAAATGTAATTCAATTCACTGCAAAATGCCACTCTCTGAGGCTTGGCTCCCTCATGGCCTGCTTGTTCCTACAAACAATAAAAAGACAACATTTTGCATGATATACCTCTGTCACAGACTGTTTTTAATCCAACAAGCCCTGCCCCAAATGGGAAAACTTAAAATTTCTCCAGATGTGTGTTAAGTTTCAGGGTAATCTTGAGGATAAATCATGCACCTTTCTGTAAGATTCATGCATCACATACTATTTGGCCTTAATCACACGTCACATATAAAACCTATGTCACCCTTAATGTACTCAATCATGCTTTCAAGCTAAACTGGAATTTAATGGGATAGAATTTCATCTCTACATGTCAAGACATGATGTTATATCATGACAAGAAAAACTATATGAAAAAGATTACCCTTTAAAATGTATTTGTCTAAATCATATTTAAAAGCACCTTAAAAAGTTAAGTGAAGTCTTTGCCAATTTGTACAAAAAAATGCTTGTGACACCACTTGTATGGTTATGAAAGAACTTCAAAATTATTTTATATCACTGTAAGTATAGTTCAAATGGCAGAATAGGCTAAATCATACTCACACAAACAACTTTATTTTTTCGCACATCAATGATTCTTATCTTCTTGTCCTTACAAGAAGTGACAATTCTGCTCCCATTGCTGTTCCATGAGACAGATTGAATTAGATCTGGGTGACAGTCAATTTCTATGGCAGCTTCTCCACTATCCAAGTTCCAGATAACAATCATGGGGTCAAAGCTGGCACTAAGAAGGATATTGGATGCCACAGGATGCCACAGGATCTGATGCACTTTTCTTTGATGAGAAGATCCTTCCAGGCTTAATAAGGGTTCGCACATATCTACTTTACCAAGGCCCTCATCCTTAATTTCCCAGATTTTAACAGTGGTATCTTCTGATGATGAAGCGACCATATTGTCATCAAAAGGATTCCAGGCAACATCCAACACATCTTGTTTATGGCCCACCACCCGGCCATGTTCAGGATCCAAGCGCCCCACCTAATAGTGCAAAATGTGAATGTAATAACAACTGCAATCATAACCGTTATTAATTATCTCCTAAAGTCCAACAGAGATATCAATAAGCACTTTATGAATGGCCCCTAAGGGTAAAAAAATGCATTTTTCTTACCCTAGTCTCTTAATTTTCCCCAAAAGGGGTTGGGCAGTCATGTAGAATTTCTTACAAGGGTAGTAAACAAAAACTGTTTGGCTGCCATGACTGGAAGAAAAAATTCACTTCACAATAGCTTTCACAAAAATTTGCTCTAGTTCTAAAGATTGAATTGAGTCAAAGGTCAAGTTGTTATTTCCAAGGGAGTTAATGAGTTTTAGTAATCATAAGGGTTGGTGAGGTTTCATCTAAGTCACATGACATTATCTCCTCCAATTAAAAAACATTAAAAACAATATCACCCCTGATTCACATATCAGGGTTACAAGAATAAAGGAAATGATCACCAACAAAAGAAGCTCTTGATTGTCAAACAAATTTTTTCCTATCAGCACCTGAGGGATCATATGAGGAACAATGTAGAGAATATACATACTGATGTTAGGTTTTACAATCAAGAATATCAAATTAAACTATTAACTCTTTAAATCCCAGAAGTGATTAACATAAAACTTCTCCCTACAATATCCATACATTCTTCAGCAAACAGGCAATGAGAATATTCAAACTCATCAGGTAGAAGCTGCTATCTTGATCTAGCACCAAGTTGTCATAACTAATTTACAAGGAAATGTGTAGCAGCTACAGGGGAGAATTAACAATCAGATCTTGGGAGTTAAAGGCTTAAGGCCATGTTCATTATACATCCACATGAGCAAGTTGCCTTCTCACTAACAGAGTTGAAGCACAATAAGTTTAATAGTTTTTTTTTCTTTTTTTAATTAAGTTCTGTTTAGTTCTGTTGAGATTAATTGGGCTTCAATTATTTGAATGTGGAAATTAACAGCACAAAGAAACAGGAAGCCTAAATGATGTGTGTTAACTTACAGGTGAGTCAGTCCTGAAACTACACATACATGTAACAACAAGAGACAGAAGGGGGGCTAGTTATGGGGTTACAGGAATATAAAGGGCAGAAGGAGACTTGATCCAGGAAGGAAGAGGATACCTTCAGTTTTAATTTTCTGTAGAGCATTCCTAAATGCATAATGTAGCAGGTTCTGAATATTTTATAATTCACATCCTCGTGAAATAGCTATATTTTGAAATATTCAGCTTGCTGCATTTATAAGGGCCCTCCTTACTTCCTCACTTCCTCGTCACCCAGATTTTCTAATGGAGGCTGAAATTTTCAGTTTCAACGCTTCTCAGCATAACATAAGCTCAACGAACAGCAAATACAACGAAATTTGCATCTGCACATTACAGGGAAGGAAAAAAATCAGAGTTTTCCGGTGCAAACACTACAACACCACTTGGGAGGAAATAGTCCGCTTGCTCATAAAATTGAAAGCCTACCTCGTCATGTCGCAGTACAAGGAAGGCACCGCCACCAGCAGCCTTTAAAATGATGGCAAGAAACTTAGGGTTAACCGCACAGTATGCCGAATCGACGGAATTTCCTGAAACTTGAAATCCTTCGTAGCACTTGTCTTTTTTCGCTGCTGTGCCGAACACATGCCGAAATTTTGATGATCTCACGAACTTCGCCATATCTGTCGGTACTAAATACCCTCAAAGAACTATCTTTGGTACTTTTGCTGATCACTCAAAACAACAAAAATCCAGGACAGCGATCAAAGAGAAGCTGACGGTAACGTATGCAGCAGGAAAGTAATGGCAGATTGAGGGGAGGGGCGCATTAGAGGCCTGGTTATAGTCACATGATCAAAGCTCCTAATTTGAGTGTCTCATTGGAATCCCTCTCAGTTGGATCCTTCCTCAACTTCTTGGCGCGCTGTTGAAATGTGCTCCTAATAATTGTCTCATTTGAATCCCTCTCACTCAGCTCCTTCCTCAACTCCTTGGCGCGCTCTTGAAATTTGCCATGAGTATCGACGTGTTTACGGTAATAATTTTTTTCTTTTGAAGTAATTTCAAAATTTATCTTTATTTTTTTTAATTATTCGACGATCAAGGACTTAGTGCAATTCAAGCTTTGTAAAGAGGTGCTTTGAAACGTAGCTCAGTGCAGAATTGCCTGAACATGCTGCTCAAGTTCCAACGGAATGAGTTTATTATGTTTTTTTGTCGTCGCCTAACTTATCTTGTTTGATTGAGACTGAAAACGTCAGGTATTCTCCAGAAAAAGATATTTTCTGCCATAGAGTTTTAATCCTTAAAAACCCAGGTTTGTCTATACATGTTCTCCAGAGTTCACTCTGTTTTGACAACGTTTTACCATAGAGTAAGACGAGGGAAGCTTTGCAGAAGCCCTTATGTGAAAGATGTGAGGAGATTGAAAAGTTAATCGAGTCCTCTTCTGCGCAGGTACCGAGAGGTTCATTTCATGTTACTTTGATTTCAGTTTTAAGTGGTGAATATTTGTCCAGATGATCAAAGTTAATTAGTTACTTAAAAAGAGTTAACCATGCACGGGATCCCATGCCAATTCTATCCTTCACTGAGTTTACAATTTCTTTTCTGTCAAACTCATTATTTTACAATTATTCACCTCAGGCTCAATGAATGTTATTGAATTTGTCTCAGGATTATTCAACAATATTCACTGACTCTAGCCCTGAGACAATTATTTGTTTTAGTATAATTGCTCAGGTGCTTTCTAATTCTGTTGTAAATGATGGTTTTGATGTTGAAACCATTCTTTTCCAATTGTTTTGATTGTGCGTAACAAGATAAAGAGCCAGTTTGCACTAGAATTTGATAGGTTCACGTGATTCAATTACTAAAAACTTCATATCTTTCTTTTGAAAAGTGTTACTCCAAACTTGCTTGCATCTTTTGTGCTCTTCAGAATTGAATTTTCTTGATTGCTTTCATCACCTCCTCAATAACACTTGCAAAAGCAAGGCAGCAATTTTGACCTTTAGCACTTCTGCTATAATCACCTTGTGCAAGGTGATTATAGTGAGATATGTTGCAACCCTTAACCAATCAGAGCATGAGTATCTCTATAATCACCAGAGCATTTATGCCAATAAACACTATTATTGCTCATGGACAATATATAGCAAATCCTGTGTTCTTATTGGTTACCTGAGTGGGCAAGATGGGCTCATTTTACCTGCTTTGATCTCATGCAAGAAAAAATTTATTTTGGACAATACAGCAATGGAGTTGTAAAAAGCACCAGAGGGCAGTTTTAACAAAGAAAACATAAATGACTCTGTTGGGTTTATTGTGCTTAACTTTCTTTTCCAGCTCTTGAAAAAAACAAGTCATTCTTATCCTTATTTAACTGAGATCTTTTTGCAGTATAGAAAATCCTTTATTTACCAAGCTTGTTCAGTTAAGATGACCGGATATTAGCTTCTTTCTTTTTTTTTTCTTGGTCTTTTTTTCATTCCATTGTAAAATGAAAAAAAAGGACTCAGCCAATATCCAGTCATCTTGGTCAATAATGCATATATACTGTACCCAAAGAGAAAGGACAGCAAGATACTTCCATTCACTGAATAGACCTCATATTAAATTGCCTTATGTTTTTCCTAGCTTGGGCCTCGGACATTTTCACTTGGTGTAGAGCTAGGAGAAAGCATTTTAAAAGTGATAGCCTATCTGCTTCATTATGTATATAGTTCTTAATCAAAAACGAATTGATCCTTTTTAGCATTGTATTGTATTACTAAAAGATATTGCCATTAGAATATAAAAAACCAACAACAATGACAACAGAAGATTGATTATAAAAAAACAAAAACTGTTCACAACCATGTGTAAGAGGTCTGAAAGGCTATAAACACATGTAGGGGACAGCTATAATGATCATTTTTGTCTTTTGTTCCAGAATCTTCATGGATTCTTTCCACAACTACTCAGTAGTATTTTTGGATATGCAGGCTCAGCTGATTGGGGTCTTAAAACTCTTTCACGTGACAAGAAAGACTTTGCTACAGTACAACAATTTTTATCACCTACTGGTCCAGTTTTTAAATTGATTGACATGTTGCAGGCAGATGACCTGAAACGTTATGAATTCTTTATTAACTGCCTTCCTGTAAGTGTCAGCACTTTTTCATGTTTGTTTGCTTGTTGGTTTTCTGGTGCAGCTGTAAACGTTTGCTTATCAATGTTTTTATTCACAGTGATTACTATTAAAGCTAATTATGGATAGTAGGAAGGTACATAACAGAATAAATACTAGCTAACTTCACTGCACGGAAATGAGAGAATTTATGATATGACTTTGATGTAATTTACACCATTGTTCAAGGACATGGCAGGGCTGTGCACTAGCAGAGCAGAGGTGTCACAGGGTCAATGACACACTGTACAACTGTGTTTTTATGGAAGCTTTTGAGAGCATTGTGTTCTAGTTTTCTATGATATGAGTTGTCAGCTGTCTGGTGATTCTTGGTAGAAATCATTTCTTTGTACCTTTGTTACCAGAATTAAGATTATGTCATTTCCTTACCTTTCACAGTACAAATTTGCTCTTTTGAACTTTAACTGGATGTTGTAGTTGATACAAGTTTTCTCCTCTTTCTAGTGGTATAACCTTGTCATATTTTCACCATAGATTTCAACACAGAAATCACTGTCAGAAGGTATGATTCCTGTTTTGTACCGAGACAAAGTACCAGTCAGAACTCCTGGTGAAACTATGAACACTGTATTGCTTAATATCCTTCATACAATTGACATTTTTAAAAGTAATTTTTACAAGCACCGCCAGAAGGCAGAGGAAATTGTTTAACAGGCAACATTCACCCAAGCCTAACTACAAGGGGTTTGCAGATAGATGCCATATGATAAACTCAACTTATATGAAAGTCAACTTTTTCATAGTTTCATGTTCTTGGTTAACCTCCATAAATTGGATCTGTAAATGATGTGTGGTGAACTCACATTTATTGATTTGGAAAAGATTGTATCAGGAAATTCATATCTCTTCAAAAGTGAAATAAAAAAATTACATGTCATGAAAAGTAATTCACATGACCAATTCATAAGCCTTCTAACCCATCTAACCATTTAAATCGGGTGACAGAATTTCCCCTTACAATATCAATACAATATCAAGCAGACAAGTGATGAGAATATGAAAAGTATCACTTAGGGTATTGGTAGTTGATCCAATAATAAATTCTCTCAACTAACAGAATCATAAAGCAGACAATAAGGAGGATTACTGATGGAATTTTGTGAATGAAAGGGTTAAGGAAGTGTCTTTTCTTAACCAGTGTGTATGCATCTAAGCCAGTGGGAACATTGGGAATTAATATATTAATAATAATAATTTATGAAATAAAGGATTAAATTGTTGCTTAACTTTTTCAAGATACCTTTGAATACTACATGTTTCATTTTGCTTACTACATTCTGCATCAGAAAGTCAATACAGTAAGTATGGAATGTTGACTGATTGGATGTTACAAACTGACAACAGATATGCCTACTGGTAATTACAATACTGTATCTATATAATGATATCTTTGCATTGCTTTTGAGCTTGTGTACAGCTGCCAACAATCTCCTCTCATAAGTCCTTTCTCATAGTACTTTATTTTTGGTTTATGGTCAAAAAATATATTTTCAAAATTTTATAGTGTGTTTCTAACAATGCCTGTGTTCATAACTGATAACTGTAGGAGTCTAGCTTCATGGCAACCCAGGACTTTCTGTACTTGGTAGTGTTGGATGACTATCTTAACTTTTTTTTGCCATCCGATGGAGCTGCCATCTCACACAGTACTGTCAAGGCCAGGTCACCTACTAGTTCAGTGAGGAAATCTGCAAATTGGTGAGAATTTTAGGAGAAAAATGTTTTGGCTTAACAACTGCCTCCTGGAATATGCAACCCACCCAAAATGGCTGGTGAAATTCACACTTAACTATCATGCACAGCAGTTTTTTTTATATTTGTCTTCTTTCAGGGAGGTCACAATACAGTAACATGAACAGTGACAATTACTTTTATTTTGTGTCTTTCATTTGTTATTGTTACCAATGACCTTTGCTGTTATTTTTGCACAGGCATGAACCAAGTATGTACACAAGGACCCAGTATTTTCCAAACCAGTTCCCAGGCATGATTAAACCTTCTTCTGGCAGAGTTAGTCCACCCAGTGCTCACCATGGAATGTTTGATCGCAGCTCACAGGAGATATGGAGATCTGAAACATTTATACAGGTGAATTATGCCTATATTGGTTTGCCAGATGTCTATCTTTTATTTCAAACTAGATCTGCCTGATGCATTTTTTCAGTAGTTGTGGTTACTATAAGTTAATTAACAAACTTTCTTTTCAAACTCTCTGGGAAAATTATTCTCATTAAAACCATTTGAAACATTAAGTACAAAATGAGCTGATTTAAAGTACACAGACAACAAACACAGTAATACTCAAATCTTTGAACATTAAATTGAACAGTAATGGAGTTTTATCTCTGATTTGTAGATACTCATAGAATTCTGGTTGAATCAGAACACAGTGGATTCTGTTTCAAGAAATGTTCTCTCCCATGGTCAGGTGCAGTAATTTATTCTGACTGTGTACACTGTAGTGTAGTCGTTATAGTTTGTGTGTTTCGCCCTCAACTTTGTTGTAAGAGATAAAAATGCAAAATGAGAACATCTCCCTGCAGCCATCTTGAGCAGCCAACTTTGGTCTATGACAGATTATTAAATAGTTAAAGTGACATTATTGGAACAACATTACTGGGATAACTTGAAAACTCAATCAAACAAAGCAAGTCTCTCTCCAAATTTCATAGGAGATTAAGTGATATTGATTTTAAAGGGTGCTTTTGTTACTCCTTCTCATGAATTTGAGTGATCATTTTTATTCGTATATACTTTTCATAATCTGATACATCTATATACTCTATTAGGATCCTTGCATATTTTAGATATTTTCATATATATTTTATGCTTTATTTTTACCTATTTTCTTACATATTTTTTTGTTTTGTTGTGAAGCCTTTTATACATGAGCCTTGTTGCTTGGAAGACTGCTTTCCACATCATCGTCAATAGATAGATTAATACATTGTATTACAAGTGGACAAAAAAAATTTAGCAGAGAAAAATTGTTATGATCCTGACCTCAGGACATAATTTTGATTTCATCAATGTGACAGTAAATGTCTCTCAAAAGCTACAGTGTATGAAAACCAGCTTTAAGAAGTACTTTCTAGCTGAGCCTTCTCTGCCAACTTGTGACGTGAGCTAGTCAGAGAAATGGCTTCTGTTGATCTTGTCCAATTGTAGAGCCAGCCCCAAAATCTATCATGGTTGAACTGTTTTAATGCTCAATCAATAAAACTCTAACAGTAGGCTTTAGAAAGAATTGTTTATGTTTTCAATTTTCAGGAGTATTTTATGCCAACATTAGACCATGTGCGAGTGGTGAGGATTCTAGTGAAGCATGTTCATACATTTGTATATGCCAAGGTATCTGATGTTGATCAGCTCTCTGTATTACACCCCTCAGATGAACTGAGAAGGTAGAAGATTTTTCTTGACTTTTTGTAAATGTAACCTCAGTTAAACCACACTGTTAATGAGGCATTTGAAATTGAATAATTCTCTGCCTAAATTTTGATTGCCATAGCTATTACTTATTGAGATGTAGGTGTTATGCTTTTTTTCCTAAATTTGCAACAATTTCCTGCTACTACATTTCTTGATGAAAACCTTAAATATCCTAGACACCATCCACATACTTGTTTCCTTTGGTTTTGTTTGTATGAAGAAAAAGCTTGCAGGATGTTAGTAATATGGCTGATTCTTGTGCTATGTTTTAGCACTTAGCCAGTGTATAGAGGTTTTGGAAAAAAAACAGTAAAGATTTTTGCTCAACACTTGTGTATTATGAAGTCCTCTTGGATCTTTTTGTACATATTAAGGTGGCTAAAGACAGAACTATGTGGAAATTTCGCATTATCATACATGGATGATAGATCATATTTCTCCTCAGAAAATGGCTCGGCAAGGAACTTCTCTCCCTTTCCTCCCGTAATGAATCCTCCTTTATGTTTTTTCACATTTTGTAATATCAAAGGAGGGGAGAGAGAGGTTATGTTAAAAATATTTTGAGTTGTTTTGAGTTTTTCATTAAATCAAGTAACTTTTTAGCAATTTACTTGGAGATGACTGTAATTAATCCATAGTATTTTTTTGTTTGTGCCAGGGTCATTGTTGTTCAATTTCTTCAAAAGAAGCTTTATTTTTTTCTATGTCACTGCTTTTCTCACTGGCCTCTGGATCCCTCCTTTAGATATGTGAGTGTCTTTACTTTTTTAACCTTTACACCCTGAGATCTGTATTCATATTCTCTGTATGGTTCCCTATACATTTCCTATGGTGCTGATATGGAGAATTTCAACAATTGAGAGCTTCTCTTGTCGGTGATCATTTTCTCATATTCTCATGGCTTTAATTTGTGATTCAACAGTGATACGGTGAAGAAAGATAGGATGCCATTAACTCCTAGGGGTTTAAGTGTTAATTAGTTCATTTTTTGTAATATACAAACAAAGCATGGTGAAGATACACAACTGTACAAGACATATTAATTGTTGACTCTGTCACGCCTTGCAGGTGTTGGAAACATGGCTGAGTTACATTCAGCCTTGGAGGTATTCAAAGTCCCAGCCTGGCTCAGTAGCATCTGGAGATGATGAGTCCAAAATGACTGCCAGCCCTGAATGGTAAGAGAAACAGATACTGTATTCAGGTGAATGCCACTGAAATTGCTTTGCAACTCACCTATACTCTGACTATGATCTGTTAGCTTCTTTGGATATAACTGAACAATGTTGAAAATCTTTATCCAAGGATGTTTACTTATTCTCTCTCTAGATCTAATCTGCTCTGTCTGCCAAACACTTTTTCTTAATTTTAAGATTGAGAATTTTGGTGTCACATCAAACAGTTTCTACTCTTCGATATTTTCTCTCTTCTCATCACATGTCTCCTTGAAAATGTATTGAATAGTGGAAGGATAAATGACTTTATAGTCCGTCCTTGGAGTGAGAAGATTAAAATGAGAAGACTTCACTCATGGTGTCAAATTTTCTTGTACCTAAACTGAGAGAAATCTGGTCCAAGATTGTAAAGTAAATGCCTTTAAATACCTTTAGCATGATACATCTTGTAATCTCTGGAGGTGACTGTTTCTCGAGTTATTTTGCCACAATTTTCCAGTAGCCTGCTATCATAATCCAAATGTCCCAAGCATATGAAGTGTACATTATGTCTATTTTTTGTTTCAATTAGGAAATCTTTTGTTTTTGAAAACCTCCTGTTTTACTCTGCCTTGTTGTTTGAGTTTGTGTCTCGTGCTTGCCGTTTCAATCTGACATCATCTAAGGATGCTCATCTGCTTTTTAGGGTCATTAAGGTAAGGAGGCCTTTAAAGTTTGTATAGTGTCTTTTGATATATACTTCAGCTGGCACATGACTTCCTGTATTGTTATTTTGTGTAACTCTTACTTTACGATCTTGTTAGCCTACAACTTATTTCTTGTAAGTTTAACAAATTTTGAGATTACATTTAAGGGCATTCATTTGTAACATAACATCACAATATTGAATATCAATATTCACAGGTGTTTGCCCAACCTCATTTGGTGGATATGATTGAAGAAGGTTTGTATTACAATGTTTTACTACATTTTGTATATCTCAGTCTTTAATTAACTCTTTCCACCTAAGCATCAGCATGTTTATTCTCTATACTGGTCTCTATACATTTCCTATGGCACTAACAAGGAAAATTTAGCTAAAAATCAAGATCTTTCAAGCTTGCGATCATTTCTATAATTCTCATGAGCCTAATGTCTGTTTCAGCAGTGATAGTTGAGTAAGAAATTAGATGCTGGTTAAAAGGTCAAAGAATGTTACTTCACCTTCAGTAGCTGTGAGCCTCAAGCAGTGCGCTGAAATCTCTTTATGATTACCATACCAACTTCATTCAATTTCAAGCCTTTAATCTCTTTTTCACACTTTACAAATTGATTTTTACTAATGTGAGGAGGAATTAGTTCTCTTATGTCTTTAACTCCCAAAACCAGATTGTTGATTGTTGATTCTCCCCTTAAGCTGCTACATAATTCTAGGTCAATTAGTTACGAGAATTTGGTGTTAGATCAAGATAATAACATGTACCTTATAAGTTCAAGTAATCTCACCACCTGTTTGCCGGAAAAGGCATGGATATTATAGAGGGAAGGTACATGTTAGTCACTTCTGGGAGTGAAAGAGTTATCACACAAGGTGCTGACAAGGTGCTGACAAGAAGAATTTGTCAAACAATCAAGAGCTTTCTTCACAGGTGATCGGCTCCTTTATTCTCCTGTCTTTAATGTTTGATTCAGGGCTGGTGTGGTAAGGAGAAATTAGATGCTAGTCACTTGTAGGGGTGAAAGGGTTAAAAGTCTTATCTTGGTATGGTGTGATATTTCCATTTCTCTTCCTAATTACCTTCACAGGAGAGAAGGCATTTTTAAATCCATCTGGGAATCGCCATACTTCATCCCAAGTTAATTTAACTGCATTAAGCTCAGCCATTAAGGCTCACATTGTTGAACTGGAAGGATCTCCAAATTCATTTAGAACAGTGTTCCATTTTCCAGGAGCAACAAAGGTAAGAGTTATTGTTAAGATCAAGATCTACATGACATCTCCTAACTTAAGGATCAGTAAGAAACTAAAATAAGGACAAGCATTTTCCATAATGCAGATTTTCCCTGAACTTTAAAGGAACAAAGGGTGATTTTTTTTGGAAAATGTACACATCCAACACTTTTCTTCTGTATAGCTCATAGTTCTTCTTGAAATGACAACCATTCTTAGTTAAAATTTGCCAATCAAAAACCACTCAAATTCTTTCTACACCCTTTCACAGAATCGTTTAAAAAAGAAAAGCTTATAAAAGTTTTTAAGAGGCAGTTTTATTCAATCTTTCTATGTGGTATCAGATGGGTGAACTTTACACAAGAGTGTTAGCTGCCCTTGATGAAGCAAAGGCTATGAATCAGACTGCTCAGGAATCTGAGGGCAACACAGGAGGATTTACAGGTTTCTTAAGAAATTTTCTCAAGCATGGTGCTTCACAAGGCGATGAGTTTGAAAGAAAAGCTGACAGTATGAAACTTTTGTCATATTTGGAACAGACCAGCAATTTAATGCAACAAATTGTCAAGGTTAGTCTGCAGATAATATTTGATATAGGTAAAAGAGTTACAACAGAAACCTTGAAATTTCCCAGTAGGTGGCTTAAATTAGAGTTTACCAAGGGTCACAAAGTTATGTTTGTTTTTCTTTCACAGTTAATGTTATAGCATTTTCTTTTGTAACTTAAAAAACCTATTTTTATATATTATTTTTATATATGAAAAAGGGAGAATGCATACATGCAACGATGTTCACATTGTTTCAATCTTTAATGCTTCTTGCCTTGAAATTGCAAATTTCTCTTTCTCCAAGGTTTCAGTCTCTGACTTGTTAATTGTGTCTCACTTAAAGGTGTACATTTATTGTTGTTGTTGTTTTTGTTGACTTTGAAGCTTTCATTTGTTTTGCTCTAGGAAAATGATTTTGCACCTATGCAATTATTAAATTTATGATTAGTATTAACTCTGATTTTTTAAAATTAATCTTATTTTGAAAATAATTATGATTAAAGCAACAACAACAAAATTGATAAAACTTCAAAATAGCAGTCTACATATAATGCAAGTTGTTGTTATGATATTTCTCCTTTTAGAATACAGAATCCATAGGTGGTGGCATATTAAATAGTTCAATACAATGGGAAATCCCTTCATCAGTAAAAAGAAGCAGACACACATCTGCTCCTGGCTCTCAGACTTCCCTCCCAGATCATATTGAGACAGAAAGAGGTCCTGTATTAACGCCTTTGGGAAGATATCAAGTATGTGAAAGATTATTGCAGGATGTTGATGTTTTTTGGTTTTTTTTTTTTTTTCAGCAGATGATATTATCACAAGCAGGGTTTTCATGAACTATTTACTCCCTAGCATTAGTAGTCAAATCCTCTACATTGTTCTCTTTACATTTCTTACAGTACTGACAAGGGGAGTTCAGGTGAAATCAGGGACTCCTTAAATTGGTGATCATTTATTTCATTCTAATGACCTTCACATTTGATTCGAGGGTGGTACTGTGAGAGAAATACGAAGCCAGTCATCCTTATGGATTTAAGGGTTAAGAAATGGAATAGCAGGAGGATAGTGTAAAATAAAGTAAAAAGATAGTATACACCATATCTGAAAGAAAAATAACTCAGGTCATCAAAATTTAAATGGAGAATTCTTCATTGTTGCAAGAGAATTCTGTGACTGCCTGTGCTTAATAAACACCCTGAGAAAGAGGCAACAAAAGGGTTGTTTAAGGTCATTATAACACCAAATGGGTTTGTTCTCTTCATTGGTACCCTAGCCTATGCATTGCTTGTTAATAGGATCTATACATTGAAAAATCAGTGATGGAGTGGCATCCCATCCAGGGTTAGAGGCGATACTCGAAATGGCATTTTGCTACATGGACTAGGGGAAGCTGGGGCTGTATGAGCCTCTTGGCTCAATGACTGACTACTTTACCTTTTTAGATGATGAATGGTCTTCGCAAGTTTCAAGTGAGATACAGTGGTGATCCAGAGCTTACCCCAATTTGCAGCTTTGAAAATCCTGCATTGGTTCGTCTTATGTACAGGCTCTCCACACATCTAAATAAAAAGGTTGCAAATGCATCTGTAAACTTTTATAACTCAATTATTCCACGTAATACATGAAATACCTATCTTTCCTTTTCAATCATGGTTTAAATTGTCTTTTTTCGGAAATTGTTAGTAACAAGGCACTGCCATCGATGATTTCTGGGATAAACAGTTTAGCCTAGTCTCTAGCTGTGATTTTTGTAGTTGTGATTGAGATGACTTATTATGAATTTCTGTTTTCACTAGAATTATTACAACTGTAGATCAATGAGAGACTACTTAAAGTGTTACATACTCATACCTTTTTCTCTCACATTTAGTTTGGCAAATCCTTGGACAAGTTGTACATAGATTCCAGACTTTTCAGACAAGCTGCTTGCTTTTTCTCACCAGCTGTAAAATCTCTGTCCTCCTCTACTCCTTCAAGACAATCATCAACCTCCCCATCTCACTTCCTGCAGGAACCTGTACAGTTGCAGATTAGCCTCAGAGTTTTTGCTTCATACCACACTTTATTATACCTGTTTGTACTGTGGCTTTTTTTTCGCTTCACATCCATGAATGTTTTTGTAGTTATTTTGTTATGGATTTTGGTTTTGGTAGCAATAGTGTTGAACCATTTAACACCTTGTCACAAGAAAAGCTTGGCGTATGGTAGATAACAAAGACACATTGTTAGCATAAGCACACTATAAAGCATGAAAATGCACATAGCTGTTGCTGGATTATCGTTATTTTTCTTGATCGAAGAAATAACCATGAGTCAGATTAACATATAAGGGCCTGAGGTATTTTTCTAAAGTGCTACAGAAATCATCAAGAGAATTTTAAATCTCATAATTTTTAAATGGTAAAATGGTGATAGAGAAGCAACAAGGCTCATGGCAACTCCATCTGTTATGTTTTCCCTTCATCAATATTGCTTTTTCTCTCTAGAATTGTTAGTAATTCTGAATATTCTTTAAACTATCCGGGACTAAAAATAAAGTGTATGCTATAAGACAATGGTAAGGGGTTATAGAGAATGACACCTTTAGGTCTCTCTGGTGTTGTTGACATGATAAGCAATGCTTTGATATTAGATAGTGGAGCAATATTTTTAATGACCTTCCCACAAACCCTTTTCAGTTATTCAAAAGTGACAATCCATTTTCAAGAGAGATCATCGTGCAGTTGCTATAATTCCTTTATGACATACAATATCAATGATGGCGTCATGGGTATTCAATGGGGGGCAGGGAGAGTGGGGTATCTCAAGGTGCCTAAGTAATTACCCGTTTAAGTTTACACCTTTTTGTGGGTGGAAGGTGGAAGGGGGAAGGGGGGTACAGAATATAATAAAGTTGAGAACTTCTGAACGTGAAATTCATCTCCTTCCTGTAGATGAAAATTTTCCCCAAATATGACATTTGGTACATTTGGAGAGACCTCATATAAATAAAGTATTTTCATTAGTTTACTAATCATTGATGATGTAAGCAAATTTATTATTACAAAACAAGAGTGGAGAGTAGTAACACTACAGATAAACTTCTTTATATAAAAAACGACTACACCGAGCTTGAAACTTGTCTTCAGAGTTCTAGGATAAAGGTCTTACATTGACCCTTTCACTTTCAGGAGTGACTAAGAAAGAAATTCTCATTACAATACCACTACGAAAGAGTGATGAGAGGAAAGAAAATTTTACTTAGGATTCGTTGATTTAATACCAAATTCTCATAGGTCTCACTGGGAGTGGGAGAGAGAAAGCCGGAGACAAGAGAGTTGAGATAAAGATCTTTGGAGTGAAACGTGAAGAAATTGGACAACTATGACAGCAGATATCTTATGAGAACTTAAATCATTCTTGTCCTTTAACAACGGAAAATGCTTTTCTCCGAGAATGCATTTTATGGTGCATGTAATTTACGGTTTGCGGCAGAAGGGTTACACGTTGAGATTACAATCCACGAGGCACGTACGATCGAGAACTTTGAACGAGCATGTGTAAATGAAAACGTGCTATCAAAGAAAATTTTTTTCTTCTTCGAAAAATGTGAAAAGATGACAATAGCTAGGAAAAAGATTATCGTAGTCGGCAGGATTCGAACCTGCGCGGGGAGACCCCAATGGATTTCTAGTCCATCGCCTTAACCACTCGGCCACGACTACTGACGCGTTAGAAATTATGGGTAAAATTATATATTTAAAACTTTTTTCATTTCAATGGGTAACTGCAATCGCGAATTAAGGAGTATTATTCTAAATCAGTTTTGCAAATCACTTCCATTAAAAACTTATTTTGAAGTTTTCTATTAGTATTGAAGGCTATTTCCACACTCTTTTACTCGATCACGGCCTCAGTACAAGGCCAAAGTTACCCGTGTCGTCGTGTTGATCACCTAAGGTGATCAGTTCGCAGAAGCTTGATATTAAATCTTATATGTTATTTTTGGAAATGTGGTCTTCCCGTTTTTCTACAAGAGGACGATTTTAACGAGTCGAAAAAAAGATTTGAGTCGTTTCTTGTTTCTAGGCCTCTTTCTGTAGCTATACCTTGCGCTAGACATCAATGTCACGTGTAGATAACCCAAGAAAAGTCCACTGGCCGCAAAGAAGACTCAGTAACTTTAATTAAATGACTGAGCTAGTAAAAGTGTCCAGATCATAATGCCAGCCTAGAAATTTTACTGGTTTTCTATAATCATAAGAAACGACGAGTCACGTGATAGTTTAAATTATTCACAACAGCCATTGTATCCAAGGAAACACCAAATCTATGAAATGTTGGTATAAAAAATTCTAAAACTAGTCTAAGAACCTAACCGGATTTTATTCAAAAGCAAAACCAAGTACATTTATTCATTGGTAAAACCTCATTACAGAGAAATACTTAATCTTCTGATGAAATAAAAATCAATCTTCCCACAGATTCATCATCAACATTAGCCCCCCCCCTCCCCGCCCCTCTTTCCTCTGCCATTATTTTTAACTCCTCACTAGGTTTCTGCTCAGAGTCGCTGAATAACTGTATTTCGTCCTCTCTCAGACATATTTTATACTTTTGTTGTTTTCTTTTTTTGCCCCACGTTATAAGAAAGCATACCGCGAAGTAATCCGCCACACACTAGTTCCATTTTCCGACTCGACATTTTTAACTTTAAATCAGGGGACGAGAAGGTTCCTCTCCTTTTTAACTCGCAAATATGCGGTCTGTGCTTTTTCTTCTTTCATTCGCTCTGACGAAGGGCTAATGCTTGAAACGTCAGCTTAGGAACCCCCCCCTCCCCACCGACCCAGCACCATAGTTTCTTTAGAAAATACCTTGTAGTAAATTAGGGCTATGCTGAAAGTAAGGGTACATTTATAGAATAAAATATATGTCGCTGTCTCACGTGCTATCAAGCTGGAAAACTTCGTCGTTACAGTCTAAGGTGTTCTCTGAAGAGCCTTTTTTTCTTCTTTTTTTTTTTTTCTCAGTGTTTCAGGACTGGAATTAAAGTCGTGTCTAAATGAAACGTTTTCGTTCGTGGCTTGATTTGCATAACCTTCCAACTGCCTAATCCTTACTTAAATAATGTATCAAAAGGTTTAATGTATCCGGCCGGCGGTCAATCATTGTTTTACTGTAATTCATTCGTCGTATCACGAAAAATTCCGGCAAACTTCAAGGCCCGTTTCATCCTGCGTATTTGTCTTTGCAAGGAATGTTGTCCTTCAAATGAGGGCCCCTTTCTCGCTTTGAATGAACTTTCCACGTTATTCGCCTTCCTTCGAAGTCTTCGTCAATGATGTGGTGAGTGTCTTTCTATATTCTACCCAGATAAGAAAACGGATGACTGAGATTTTATCCGTTGTCTCTGATTTAGCGGAAGCCCTTATCTATTTTTGCACTCTCCTATCCTGTGCTTTCTGTAGAGATCGCTGATGAACTCAAAACGTTGAAGTCGGTTTATAAATCTGCTATCTGGATCCTAAAGATTTAAAAGGAAATAAAACAGGGGCTCAGTGTGTTTTGTTGTAAGGTGTGATATGTTTGTAAATGGGCGTTGACCGCTAGTGACCTCGTAAAGAGAAGACTATCCTTGAATGAAAATCGTTAGAGCAAGAGGAGAGCGAAATGATTCACATTCGATTTTTCATACAATCAGATGGAACTAGATGGCAGAACGTATTTATTCTTCATCCCGATAAACTCACCGTCAAATGGGCGAATGAAAGGGGTGACAGGGCGTGGTAGCGATGGACAATCCAAACGTTTGGTAACACCACGAAGTTATACCTTAAAGTAATGGAGAAATACATGTTTTCCAGTGAGTCGAAAAAAGATGTTTGAGCGTGGCACAGGTGGATTAAGACGGGAGTGGGGGATTGGGTGATAAGGCCACTCCCCCCCCTTCCCAGGATTTTTCATACTTTCTCTAAATACATTCAAGAAATCATCAAATTGAAGCTAATGAAATCGAGGCTCAGCTAACTTGCCCTAGCAGTGACAATTCCATTACGTGAGATATCTTGTTCATCCCGTAACCTTTGAACCTTTCGTCATATAGGGGCAGTTCGGGAGTCAGTCTGCAACGCAGATATTTCAGACGAGGTTAGTAAGATAAAATAACTGAATAAGTTCTTCCAGCCGAGTATGGAGTTTCATATCTCACATGTGCAGTTATTGTTTTTCAAAGACTTTTGACCAATTTTCAGGCTTCTTGCATCGTAATAGAACTGGTGGCACTAGACTTTTAATTGCCCCCCCAAGCGTTTGGTTAATTAAGCGGAGCGAAATAAAAAACGGCGCGATAGTGGCAGCGGAGTGAGAAAGCCAGAGAGTTGGGTCGGGTCGCCCCGCCGCAACCATCGCGCCGTTTTACTAACTGATCGCCTGGAACGCCTGGAACATGAGGGGACGCAAATCGTCTCTACTGTAAATCGCGCCAGACATTTTCTTAGACTTTTAGTCTAAGAAAATGTATAACTATCATAATCCTGTTGCTTTTGCACTGTTTTTAAAGCCGGCTTATACTTGTCATCAAGTTTCAATAAGACGGCTATCATTTTTCACAAGAATAATGAAGTTTTCGCAAATTGTGAGATCGGATGGGATTAAAATGAGATTAAATCACCTACAGAGCTTGATATGTACTTACAGTGCAGACGATTTGCGTCCCTTCATGCTATCTCTTTTAAAGAATCTTTGCATTCACGATCATCCACGATGGATAAAAACTTACGGCTCTAATGAACACGTCAGGAGAAACTCTTTTGTTAAACCGAAGACCAACTGCCGGGTTCACGCAAACTTTTCCTAATTGTGCAAGTTTTAATTGAGAGTCTAATGCAGTCGGGATTGCATCTGTTTCGCTTTCGTTCACTCTTTGATTGGGCCAGAAAATTCGCGCCACCTTCCCAACCAATCAGATACCAAACTAAAACCAATCGCGCTTGGTCACTAGCGTTTTCGCGCGCTTTACGAAGCTTGTTTGTTTTTACATAAGACCCACTTACCTACAAGGTATAGGCCATTTCACTCAAGGCAGGCAGAAATTCGTAACCGTGACCCCCTATTTGGAAACACCTAACCTCCACCCAAACTTTGCTTTTGGTTTTACAACTGAAAAGCGCTCTACGTGGGCGCACGTAGATGTAGGATTTCTCTTCGAGTTTTCAACTCTTAGCTCACTGGTGAGCGCAGCGAACGAGTGAGATGTCGAGTTGAACACGAGATGAGAAATTCCATATCTACAAGCAACCGTATATTATTTTGTTTATCATAGAAACACAGTAGCCTTTAGTGCCAGAAAATCCGACTTCATTAATGAATGAAAATAAAAGAATCGACAATCGTACAGTGCGTTGGCGCTAAGGCTCAAGACTGAAAAATGGGTTGAACCATGATTACAAAAACAACAATGGGCGTAATTTTCAATTTACGAAATTCTTATTTATTGACTTTGCCATACCGACAGAAGAAGTCTTTCAGGTACACGGCCAAAATCGGCCTGTGGCAAAACTTCCAATTGTCGATTTTGCTCTCAGCTGCGAGGAATACCATTACCAAAGCCACTGAGCACGCAACTTTCGCTTTTTCTTTTCGTATATTGGTTTTCTTCCCCTTCTAGGAAAGTTTGAACGTCACCGTCTGTGAGCGATACGAATTTTTCAGTGTTTCAGCCGCCATGATCCGAGAAAGTTCCGACAAACTACCTTGTATTGAGAATCGTGAAGGCTTTGCCGTTCATATATCAACCTGACCGAGTGGCGCGAAAGGCGAGTGACGTGTCAGCAGCTGATTGGCTATATCAAACACACGTGAAAAAATGTCGTAGTTTATCATGTGTGTTGTTACGGCTTTTCTCAGTGCTGGAAATCCTTGTATAACACTGTAGTTTATATGATAAAATATGATACCACACCTCAGAATTAAATAAGGCTCGTATTTGTCCTGATAATTCTTCACTTCGTACGACTCATTGCTGTGATACCACCGGCTGTAGTTAGTAGAACTGTGCGATAGGGGAGACTCGATTTTCCCTTCTGCTGTCAAGGATTTAGACGGCGAAAAATCTTAACGTTTCCATAATCTCACTCACTTAAGAATTCCAAAAGGATGAAAAAAACTTATAAACTGAAATGAAAACTTTAATAAACATGGAGATCAGTTTGGAAGCGGGCAGATGTATCTAGAACTATAAAGGGTTGAAACTAAAATGTTTAAATTTGCCCAACTGAAATGTAAACGCAATGAGGATAATTTTTCTTTTGAAAATCACCTCATCACGACGCGCAATCTTAGTGGCGGGAATCTGTTTTAACCAATCAGCATACAATGTTTCCCCGCCCCCTTTATGGGTGGGAAGTGTTTTGATCAATAAAATCGGGATCCTAATCAATTATGTCTGTGAGGATGCACGAAGATTGTGAACCGCGAGTGAAAAAAATAAAACAAAACCAGAGTGATGGCAATGAACAGGTGGACTTTCCCGGCACATGCATGCAATGCATAACGGCTTTGAGCAAACTACAAAGGATACTAAATGGCGCTAGTCTCTTCTTTCTTTTCACCGTGTTCACAAGTTCCTCCTTTGTTTCTGGAAGATCCTTAGAGTTCTAAAATAATTGCGAAACGAAAGTAAATCTGCTAAAAACTGAAAAGGATAGATCTTTCAAACTTCTGGGAATAAAATTACTCGTACTGCCCTCGAATGGAACCTGCAGGGTTCCAGAAAAAGAGGCCGTCCAAAACAGTCTCGGAGGAGGATGAGGACGGCCTAATCTTTCAAACCTAAATGTTTACAATTTATTTAAATCACTTAATGAAATTCACATGCAAACAAACGAATACTAACCACGTGTCTGGCTCCATCAAATGCTGGGACCACAAACGCGACCCTCTTATCTGTACTGTTTCTGGTTTTATCGTAATCAAAGATTTGATTTCTGGATAAACGAAGAGAAAAATAGTGTCATGAAAAAGTACCAAACCACATTCGATGAGTCAATAGCAGTATCTGACCAACTGCGCACCTACCCCTCCCCTAACCCATCCTTTAGCCTAACATGTTATCAGTTGACTACTGTTGGGACAGGGGAGGGCTAAGTGTGCAGTGTGAAAAGTTTTCTATTCCTTGCTTATGCGTTGGTTGATAACTCAATCAAAATATCGACAACCTTACCTTGCCATGAATTCTAGGTCTGGCGAAGGAGCAAAATCCACATCAATGAGAAAAACATGCCGGGTTTTGACATTTCTGGTCGACGGAGAAAAGAGGAAGAGGTATATGTAATAGTTTTTGAATCAATACGGGTAATTTAGACTGAATTTATTGTGTTCACTCACTTTATTGCAATGTTTCTTAGTCTGTTGATTGGGTACAGCGGGCCCACCTGTTTAATAAATTTGAAAAAAGAGAATCAGACAATGTAAGGAGAAGGGTAATTACGTTTAACTCTAATGTAAACTTACAGTTAATTTTCGAGGGTCGATATATTGTCTGAAAATGTACCAGGTTTTTATTCCGAGGGATCGAAAACAGAAACTGAGCTATTGAACAAAAGAGAAGTGAAAGGAGAAACACGTGATCAGGACATTCAGGTCGTTATCTGATTGATGGAAAGCAATCCGAAGTTTTTACACCAATGACAGAACATTTTCCATGATATTAAATGATCTAAGAATTCTAGGTCTGCAATGCGTACAGAAATGGAACTCGCTCTACGAACATTAAGGCGTAATCAATTGTGAGATATAGAAAGTCGATTAAACGACTTCTGTAAATAATGCATATGCGACTTACCTCGTTCCCGTATATTATTTCAACGGACACAGTGGAAAACTTGCTGAATATGTGAGTAGGTAATCGCATTCGAACCTCTCTCCTGAAAGAAAACTCATTTGAAATAAAGTAAATAGCGATGAACTTTGTTTCTTTGTTTCTTTTTTTTCTTTCAAACTATGAGAAAACTCATCAAAATTGTCGAAGGAGTCAGGTGACACAACAAAAAACAAATTTCTCTTCGTTTCAGTGTTGAAGGTTGCCTCCTAGAGCACACTAGTCGGGGCCACTGGTATTGTGAACTGTCTGATTCAAGAGATTAGAAACTCTCTTGTCTGTATTTAAAATCAAAGCATAGAGACCAAAACGTGTTGAACTCGTGGAAAACTGGGCCGAATTTCGCCAATATGATCTGAAAATTCGTTGATGCGTTTACGAACCAATTCATCTTACTTTTTGTTTTTAAGGTCGTCGTCGTCTTCCAGGAGTACGTATATTGCCACCGAAAGCGGACCTATAGGAGGAACAAAAGGACCTATGAGAGGAACCCAAGGAGAAATAAGAGGACCTATAAGAGGAACAAAAGGACCTATAAGAGGAACAAAAGGACCTATAAGAGGAACAAAAGGACCTATAAGAGGAACAAAAGGACCTATAAGAGGAACAAAAGGACCTATAAGAGAAACAAAAGGACCTATAAGAGGAACAAAAGGACCTATGAGAGGAACCTAGGGAGAAATAAGAGGATCTATAAGAGGAACAAAGGGGCACACTCAGCTGCACCTCATGAATCCCTTTTTAGCTCTTACCACACTGTGACATCTGTCATCTATTTAACAAATAGATTTCAAGTTGCCGTGCGTCTGTTCAGTAATAGATCACAGATGACATCAAAATGTGGTAAGAACAAAAAAGTGGCACACGAGGCGCAGCCGAGTGTGTAATTGATGTCATCTGTGATCTATTACTGAACAGACGCACGGCAACTTGGAATCTATTTGTTTTATATAATAAAGAATTAAAATATACGGAAAAAAGTCTAATGATGACGTCATCTATACGTCTGTCCTCCAATAGATCATAAGTAAGAACCAATCAGAATGCGTGCATAACTGAGCTTATTGTATAACACTAAATAGACCCACGGCAACATGGAATCTATTTTTTAATTTTTGACGCTTAAAAGTCGACTGTAAAGAATGATTTGTGTAGCGTCAAATACGGTAATTTAACCACGATACATATTCAAAGACATTAGATTTGTTATCTACCCAACCCTACCATTCCAAAGTCGTAAATTTCTCTTCAAAATACTAATTCTGTTAAATGTTAGCTGAGTCACAAGTGTGATTGCGTCTGAGTCCTAAGAAAGGAAAGAAAAACAGCCGTCACAACGAATTTTGCACCATTTCAAGGGACCATAAAAAAAAAAAATATCATCAAGTTTAATTCGGTTTTAAACGGACTTTTCGTCCAGACTTATGGAGGTTTTATATCTAGGTTCATTCCCACATTTCCAATTTAACACCGAAAATGACGGGTAGATTTGAGTCTCACGGTTTGAGAAGAAGGTCAAACAACAGAGTAATAGGCACAATATTTTTCGAGTAAACAGATTTTGAGGGAATCTAAGAGATGTTTAAGGAAGTTATCTTCTTTAGTGCTCAGGGCGATAATTTGCAGATCTGGAACATGATCAGGAAAAATATTAGAGATAAACTGATAGTTGATCCTGACTCATTTCTCTTCTAAAAAAATTTTCAAAGGTCCTAGAATCCCTCTCCAAGAGACCATTTCCGAGATGCCCCAAAGCCTCTGTTTCAAGACGAGGACGAAAGCGAGGCGTTGGTTATGACTTTATCCTCACTTTGAAAGCGAGGGTCTTTAAAATGGCTCCTAGTTCGTCTAGCTTACTTACGTTAGGCGACATCGCTGAGTAAAGTGTCTCCGTGAGAAGGTCTGATTTTTTCTCACTTGGTCTTTTGGTTGGTGCAGGACAAGGCTCTATGAGCTTGTTGGGATCAGTACTATGGTTTTTTAACGGTTTGGAATCTTTATTTTAAGAAGAAACAAGATAGGTTTAATAATTTATTTCTTGAATTTGTGAATTTGATAATAGTGTTAATGATAAGATAATAATCATAGTGGTAATGATGATGTAAAATTAAGTGGCTACTTGCCCAGTGTGGCTTTCCAGGGACAGTGTAAATAAAGAATAAAACAATTATTCCAAATAAAATAAATGCAGTGAGGAGCAGGATGAAGGAATAAATCACGAGAGCAGCAGTTTAAGCGTTTACTGGCCAAGCACTCCAACTATTCAAACACATTGCCTTTGCAGAAGCGCATTCAAGAATATTCGATGACAGGAGGGAGGGGGGTCTAAACGCGGTTTCAGGAAAACTCGGTTTTTTTTTTTTTTGGTAAATCAGAGTAGTACTGAGTAGATTTTAAATACTTTAAGTGAAGTCGCGATATGCGATCTTGTCGTTGCAAGAATCCTGGTTTCAGACAAGTTAATAACGATACGGTATTTCGCCGTACTCACCGTAAAGAGGTTTTACAGCAAGATCAGTGAAGGTTACATACCCTTTGTAACCAAAGCAACCCAACATAACGGTCACACTGCTTATTCGATCTCGTTTAGGAGCAATCTGTAATCACAAATCTTTAAATTAGTCTTTCCTTTCTGAGTTTGACAGGGAATCGGTTACGCCTTTCATTCTATGGGAAGTTGCCGGGCAACATACTCTATCTCTTTGCGTTAAACTGAAACGTCACTTCTATGAGGTAGCTTAGCCACTTCTGATTAATTATTGAGCAAGAAACCAGAGAGAGTTTTGTATCTGATTGGTTGAGAGAGTGGCACGAGTTTTCTGGACCAATCACAGAGCAGAATAAGCCAAAACCATGTCAATCTCGGATAACTTTTGACGCTTAACTGAAAATCGCTCGAGACATTTATGTTGTACTTACAAATTCCACTTTCTTACTCGCCACTCTTCCGGATACTGGTTGAAAATCCAACCTACGAATTGGATTTCAAGGGATGAATTGACAATAATCTCATTGTTGAATTGTAACACAGTGATTTTATTTTCGGCATATTTTAGCCAACCACTCACCTTAACAGTTTTCGTTTTCCACTTGATAATACCACAAATACTCGTGCACCATAGAATGGTTTGTAGCTCTGTGAAACAAGAAACTGAGATACTCTTAGATTCCCATTCAAACAAAAATACTGTGTTAATCTTGTAAAGACGAAACAATCCCAGTGACCATCTCTCTCCCCCTGATAATGCAACCATAGACTAGCAGGACACTCGAAAAATATCCGATCTGTGTTGATAGAATCAGAGCTTGCTTCCTCGTGCCTTCTAGTTTGTTTGAAAACATTTTCACTCATAGTCAGCCGGTCAAAATTATCACAAACTCCCGTGAAAATCCCATAGCAGTTTTTTCTACCAACATCTTAAAAAACATAAATAGAATAAGTAACTGACCCCCAAAAAACCATCTTTAGGCCTCTCCATCTTCCAAGAAGCTGACGTCACTTGGAACTTGATTCCTTTGATTGGAATACTGCTGTTTAACTAAGGAATGGCATTTGAGAGTTACAACTGAAAACTCCAACCAATTAAACAGCGGTATGTCGGATAGTCCGGTGCAAATTAGGAATTCAAATGTTGCTTTTAGGTTGAAATCATTTGATATATACGATACAGTTCTTCCATGTAAAGTACTTCACCCCAGGGAAAATAAAATGCATACTCCAATTATGAACTCCCCTGTATTATAAGCCCCCTACCCCCTACCCCCTACCCCTACCCCCCCACCCCTATTTTCCCTCATAAACAAAAACTCTGAAAAGGTGATTGTATTTATATTCTATATACTTGGTGTTAAATCTTGTTATGTGCCCAAGTCGATATCGTATTTCCACGAATAAGCACCCACGCACTGATACAAATAAGCGCCCAATCCCTAGAAATAGGTGCCCCCTCGAATTACCGGGCCCCCCCCCCCCTCACTTTCATAAATAGTAGGGATACAAGGCTTGTCTCCCTACTATGAGGGGGGGGGGGAAGGAAAAAACCGTTTCTACTCCTACTTTATTTTCAACTTTTTAGACTCAGTCACAGCAGGAGAATAGTTTCTTTTTCGTCCAGTTATTTATATCTCTATATGCTTGCAGAGTTCCTTTTTTGTTTTTTTATCTGTTCCTTTGATTTCTTTTTTATCCCTGTAAGCAATAATATGACTAAGAAAGAAAAACTTACAGAGAGATATTGGTACGTCTCCACGATCCTGTGTATTTGACAAGGAACACTGAACACCTTTAAGAGAAAATTAATACCTTTTCTTTCACAGCTCTCTTTATTGCTGATTAGGACGGTACCTGGCAATTAGGATCTTGATTTTCCCGCCAATGACTATGCAAGTATAAAATGTGTCATCAAGGGCTATCGATATGCAAAAAGAAAACTAGGGGTGTCGCACAGATTTTCGATGTGGAAAGGTTGATAGTATGGAAAATTGCCGAAGCGGCATTTCTAGGAATAGTATGAGTGAGTTCGTTATGTTAAATCAACGAGACAAAATATACGGAAGAAAGATTTACAAAGCGTGAAGTAATTATTTTGGTATGTATCGTTAGACCTTCATCAGGCCAAAATACCTTGAAAATATTTAGGTCCCTTACTACGTCGGTATGAACAAGAACTGATATTTGAGTGTAGAACACAGATAAAGGCAGTTTTCATCCTGGTAGTAGACTGTGTCAAACAGTCCTTTGTTCCAGTTATAACATGCTGAATAAAGCAAATCGTTTGTAAAGAATAAATTTTGGTCTCCGTTTTCCTGAGAAAAATTTTCGAGGTTGCAACAACCAACCTCGTTCCCTATGAATAATGGGGGTAAGTTTTTAAAGAAACTGCAGTGCCGGGTCAACGGTATAACAGGGTAATTTAGTGTTATCAAATGAGTTGATTACCAAAACTAGCCACCGTTCCCCGAAGACCTTGGGAACGAGGTCGCACAACAATCGCCATTTTGTCTGTGACGTCATTGCTCTTTAAACGATCAGGAAATATGCAAATTGGTGGTGGTCGTATGAAGAGAATGAATGCAGACTTGCCTGTTTGACATCAGGTCTTGACTTTCGTTTCAAGTCTATGACTTCCCACTTGACATGTGACATCCACCAGCCACGAAGGGATAGGGAACCGCTCTCCACGACATGCGGGCTCAACAAATTAGTCACCTCATGTTGTCTCCTTTCATAAAGTTGAGGCTTTGTCCTCTTCTTCTGCTTAAGCATGACAGTTTTGGGGGAAAGGGCTTTTTCTTCAAAATCTCTGCAATAGCAATAAGAGAGGTAAAAATACTGATTTACATTCATCATCAAAATCAATGTCATTATCGTGTAATCGCTGATCAAAGTGTTCAGAGAGAGAGGATAGAGGTTCCAGATCAACGTCAGTATCTGAGCAACTACGCTCTTACCCCTCCCCTAACCTAACAACGGTCAACTAGTAACATGTTAGGATTAATGTTGGGTCAGGGGAGGGGTAGGTGCGCAGTTGCTCAGATACTGATATTTATGCGGTGTTCCCGTCACCGACTGTGAAGTGTAGTCTGAATAGGAAAGCTAATGTATTCCTTAAGGTGGTTCTTTTCACTTCGTAAATTAGCCGCCGTAAAGAGTTTAAAGGCTGACGTTTCGAGTGTTAGCCCTTCGTCAGAGCGCTGACATTTGACGTTAGCAGACGTAGGCCCTTCGTCAATCGCTCTGACGAAGGGCTAACGCTCGAAACGTCAGCCTTTAAACTCTTTACGGTGACTAATTTACGTTCTCAACTTAGTTGTTAACACCAAATTACCCTGTTATACTCTCCCACAGACGCAGCACCGCAGTTTCCTTAGAAACTTACCCCCTTATTCTTTTTATTTCGATCGACTAACTTGATTCAACCTTTTATAGCTTAATGATAAATTCATTGGGATCAAACAAGTTCTTGTTCAATTTATTTTAAATAAATAATAATGATGATAATAATAATTCTTAAATATCCCAAAAAATTTTCAATGGATAATAAGATCCCTCTGATTTTTCGGATGTGCGGTAAAATGGCTACTACTAGACGCAACTGAATCTTATGATTCCCAAACATATCACAAACAGACCCTCCAGTAGAAATCACCATGTCGTCTTGAACCAAAGGATGAAGCAAGTTAAAAGAGTACAAAACAATCATTGTAACCATTGTCCACCGCCATCTTAGGAGTCCGCGTGTGAGTCCAAAATATCTGCCTGTGAGCAACAGACAGTGAAGTGTCATTCTATTCTTGACATTGAGAGACACACCTGGAAGTCATCTGCGGTAGAATAAATTTAGGAGAGGAGATCGGGAATCAGTGAGTAAACAATCTGAGATCGATTTTCTGAGCCACAATCTGAAATTCGAGTCTGAGGTTTTGACAGAACTCAGTATCACCACAGAAATTAAGATTTCCTTTCACTTTTTGGTCGACACGTCAAATGGTTTTCTTTTTTTCGTTAACATATGGACTGAATGACACATATTCAAAACCGTTCGGCGTTTGTTACATTTTCCTTCCCAAAATCGATTTATTTCCCCATAAATTCCTGAGTGTATTTTTGTGTTAAGCCATGAGGCCTCTAGTCCGTTTAAACTGAGAAGATTTTTTTCCTCTACCTTCCCACTGATTGCTTTGGCGACAACATCATGTTTGCGACACCGCAATCTCCCCGTGTCCCAGACGCCATTTTGCATGTTGTAGACCAAACAAAACCAGTTCGTATAACGTTAGTAGGAAAATATTTTGCTGTTCAAGACAGAAAGGCGTGAAAAGACTTATATTAAAAATCTGGCCCGTATAGGTTAGGAGAATAGAGGCCTCTTCATAAAACCCTCGAATGCGAAATGGTTTCAATTCAGCGCTTTGTTTAAAGTGTCTAGCGTCAGCTCTCACGCCCTGCGTAGCACCTGTAGATAACACTCCCCATTGAGTTACCGTTACGGGTTTTCAGACCATGTCAGTTACAATGAGAAACTTGTCGGCTGTCATAGTCTCCATAAAAGATATACTAATTTAAGAAAAGTTCGTTTAATATTATGAAGAGAAAGAGCATGAAAGAGTATTTAACTGCGTTGAAGAGTAATCTGTCACAGTTGGCCCTCAGCGATTATATCCACTTACCACAGGTCAATAAAGTTTGTATTACAGGTTACCGCAGGATATTTGCTATTCTCTAACAAAGTTTAGCAGAAGTACTGTTACAAACAAGATAATGATTGGTAAAGTAGGTATTGTTACCTGAGAGGACTACAAGTTCCAGTAGACCACAGTAAAAGTACATGGACTGATTTTGACGGGTTTGTCTCCGTGGGTGGACTTCTTTGGGCGTGCGTTTACACAAGCTTATTTTTGAAAATTCCTACTAGTTTAGCCGATGTGGTTGTTAAAAAATATTCTTGCACTCTTGAGGGTAATTGAATGAAGCTGATTGTGTTTGTCACAGAAATTTGTCATTACCGATATATTTGGGAAAGCTGGTCTCGCAGTTCACCGGCAATCAACTTCAATCGTAGCAACTGTCGACAACTTCAATAATTTCTAGTAGTTTTCCTGCGGTTAGATTTTTACTCATGTCACACGAGTTCACATTAAAGCGACGATTTGAGCGTTCATTACCCCATCGAGCTGGAAATGGTTCGTGTGAAAGTGCTCTTAGGCTACTATAAGAAGCGCAAAGGGCTACTGCAAAGCAAATGATGGCGCTTATCTTGCGTCAGCCAGTTATATCGCAGAACAGGAATGAGGTAACGTGATTTAAGGTTAGGTTTGATGTTAGCACCAGGATTATTAGGGTCAGTTACTCAGGTATGAGAGGTAACCAAACGGTAGAAAACTTTTTTGGAAGTTTTTGTGTGAACGCAAAATATCCGGCAAAGAGTCTAGAAACATTCCATTTTTTGCTGCAGTTGTTGGTAAAAATGTAATTGGTGATGAGGAAAGAGGTTCAGATTTGTAAGGGTTTTGGATGAAGATTTTTTTTTTTTTTACCCACAACACTACCAAATGCTGGGGTCACTTAAATGTTAAGCGCTTCACAAATTAGAATTACATCAGCTGTCTTCACCTCAAGTTCCTAAGTAAGGTTTTAGAGTTACACTTGCCATTTTGAGGTACTAAAAAAATAGCACAACAACAAAGACTTAAGCTACATCATTTCCCTGATAGGCAGTTCGACCTCTCAGTTTGTGTATTGGTTAAAAGTGTTTTTGGAGCCGGAAAGACCTGTCCTACATTCTCCGAGTATTACTTCAAATTTTACGCCTAGTGCATTTACACGTATATAAAAAAATCTTTTTACCTTGCTTGAGTTGGTATCCACCTGCCTAGCGGTTATTAACCATTAGTTAGCCTTTAGCCCGTGCGGTGAGTGATTTAGAAAGATCTGCTTTCGATCGGCGCGAATTGTACTTATAAGGAACATGGAGAAGAGTGGGGCGAACAGTGAAATTTGAGACTCGGAAAATGTGAAGACCTTGTTTAAAAATCTGAGCTTGGAGTTGGACACTTTTTTAGCCACGCATCTCAATGCTCATGTAACTTAACCCGAATTATTACAAAGTAATATTGATTGTAAGAAACTGCTACGTCTTGAGGGTGCTTTTGTGTTCATTTTTCTGCTACATATCAGCTTCTTCAATGCAATATGAAGTGCTTTTTCTCACACCTCTACCCTAAAATAAAAGGTGTTAAAAGGTTACGTGTTGAATACCTATTTTTAAGTTGTCGATCGTGCGCGGTCGTCGCCCTGAAAAGGACTGGGTTTGCATTCGCCTTACATAACTCCATGACCATACGACTATCGTGGGGGTGGTGGACAGTATCACATTGTTGTATTACTACCATGCTATGACTGTTCTTCCAAAGAAATTGATGTCAAGAGTGATTTTTGTTTCTATTCAAATACATCACTTGCAATATTATGGAAGAAAAAAATGACCCAAGTAGCGCAGTTTTGAAATTTTATTTAATCAATTCGTTTGGAGCAAAACGAAGTCGATTCTCCTGATACGTCACAAGTGACACCCAATAACAGAATCCGCTGCAAAATTGCCTTTACTTGTTCAAACCCAGGAATAAGACTTTCTTAAAGGTGGAAAAATTTTGTCAGAATTTGCCTTGGAGCAATTGATGAATATAATAACTACACTTCTCTATTTTCGACGTTTAAATAGTGTTCCTTCGAGTTAATCCGCATAATAAAGACTTACTTAAACTTGTTGTTTTTAAAACAAAACAAGTAGTTAAAAAATTTTTTGTAACGATGTCTCCTGCACTGAAGAGAACGCATTATATAACTTAACACCAAACTTTTAGTATAAAAGATGTTTTCATAACAAAAAGTAATTCATACAAACCGTTAATCATTTTACATTCAATGTATTTTTAATTTTGTTTTAACAGAAAACTGGTATCCAAAAGGATTGTGTGACCCGCCATATAACCACTAAACGTAATATGAGTCACACAATTGGATCACAGAAATCACACAGTCATCTAAGAAAGCTTAAAAAAAGATGACGAAAAACCCATACACTTCCAAAAACTCTACCAATTTTTTTAGTCATAGCAACTACAGTTCGACTGTCACGTTGCATTATTGCGTGACTACCAAGTCACGAACTGTTGTTCCTTGCATAACCACCAACGGAAACAAGACAACGTTTCATCTCGCTTAGTTCCTTCACATCTGGATTACTCCGACCGTAATGCCGAGTTAGGAGATTCGTGGCCTTGTCGATTGTGGAGAGTGCTTTCTTGATCTGCCGGTCATTGAATAGGAGCTGTGAAAGCTTGTGAAGCTCGTGAGCGTATTCCACACTCGAAGAACCAAATGCCTTTTCAACTGCCTCACAGCTGTAGGAACAGTAGTAGCATGCCTTTTTAAAGTCTCCAATCATGGCATAACACCTGAGGAAAAACCAAGGGAAAAAAAGGAAATCAAAACTAGGAGACAATAAATGACAGGTCCATTCTGTCTGTACTCATACCACAACTTAGAAGCCCTTACGACTCAAATGCTTTGTAGGCAGGTTCTCTTCCACCTCCTCTACCTAAAGCCTTAATAAAAAACCTACCCTCAAGAAGAATCTCATCTCTTCTTTCATATCTGAAGGGATACAAGTGTAGCTGATAATACCCAATGCTAGTGAAAAATTAAAACCCCTGCCCCTCAAAATGAAAGATTTTCATTCCATCCCAAAATTTCCATAACATGATCCTGAGGACGATTTCAGCCACTTTTACAAATCTTACCTTGCAATAGCATCGTGCGTCTCAGCCAAGTCCTTATTATAAGCGTGAAGCAGAATTTTACGCCGTCTCAAGCATTCATGAAATACATCAAGAGCCTCTTTCACTCCAACTCTTTCTAACAACCGCACCCCTTTAACAAAGAGTAGTTCTGCCTCTCGTGCCAATCTGCACTCATCAAGCATATTCTTCTCCAAGTTACACTCTCGGTTCTGACATGTTCCAATGTTTCCACTGGCCACCGAGGAAAGCCTCATGGCATGTTTACACTGAGGACAAGCAAAGGCCGAGAAGCATAACCTTTTGTTCTCCATTTCTTCATCACTAAAACCAAAAAAAGTATAGAATCAGATTTAAACCTTCCCAGTGAGCTGACATTAACCCTTTCCACCCTAACATCAGTATGCATATTCTCCATACTGTTCTCTACACATTGCCTAGGGTGCTGACAAGGAGAATTTGTTTAACAATCAACAGCTTCATAAGTTGGAGATCATTCACTTTATTCTCATGACCTTGATGTGTGATTCAGGGCTGATGTTGTAAGGAGAAATTAGATACTGGTCACTTTTAAGGTTTAAACGGTTAATTAGTAAATGATTACAACATTAAATTATTCAACCATGTCTTTCAGAGTTATTTTTCAAAGTGAACACAGATATTGTACTGAACAACAGGCAATAGTGTTTTACATGTAAATACTGCAAAAACATTTGCTAAGGTAACAAGCTTCATAGCTCACCTCTTGCACGCAGTACACTGGCAAGTAAAGAAGTACTGTTTGTACAGAAGCTTTTGACGATCTTCATAACCCATGCGACTAACATGAGGGCCTGTACACAAACAAAAAAAAGTGTTATTGAAGGCTTGTCTACATCAATGCTCAATAACAAAGTTAGGAAAATATGGAACTTATGCTATCCTTCAGAAAAACTTGACAAAAACAACTTCAGTGTACAGAGTCAGTGAGTCCTCTGATAAAACTCACCATAGCAGTGGGAAATCTCTGAGCCTTTGGAGATGTTATGGGTTGCCCTCACCACTAGATGGCCATCAACAAAGCTGGAGTATAAAGTTAGAAGTATTTGTGTTAATTTGCATCAAATTTATTCTACTCAACAAGAGTGTTGTATTCAACCAAACAGTTGATATTACAGCAGTTCTTGGTGGACCTCACACCCTTTGATTTTTCCCCTCTTTTTCTGAGAGCTTTCACAATTTGCACATTGCACACAAAAAAAAAAAAACTCAAAGGTAAAATAGCCAAGTAACAATTCCCAACGAGAACCCAATATCCTTGAAAAATGTTTTCTTTTAAGAAGGTTTTCTTGTAAGAAGCATGAGCCCATACAAGAATCAGAATCCTAGGTGAGGATTCAGCCACAGCCCTTTCAACTTTGCGGCTGAAAGCTCTACCCCAGGGGATTTCATAGTGAATTTAACCACATTATAAGTGTTGACCTCACAACAAAAAGATAAAACATGAGAGAAGACTCTAGCTTGCTAACCTAAACACTCACCTAACTATGACATCAGGATCACAGGCATGGTTCAACAAGGATGCTGTTGGATAAATAGCACTCCCTATTCTCTTCTGTTCCCTGCTTACAACTTGCTGCCTGGGTTTGTCCCCATTTGTTGACACAATTGCTGTAATAGCGTGGACATTGCAAGCCATTTGCTGTGAGTGGTGGAAAAGTAAACAGCCTACCACATCACCTCCCAAGGAACTTGGGCTTGTATCAGTGGGAAACAAACTTTGAAGATTTTGAAAAATGTAGTTCTGTTTAAATTGTCCATGTGGTTGTTCATTGGCCTGACAAAGCCTGTTCCTTGTACAATCATCACAATTTGTTGGTCTTGCAGGCAATTCCTCTTTCTTAATCAGCACATCTTGAAGAAACTCAGATAGTAACGCACAGTTCTGAAAACAACATCAGGAATCAAAGTTTTTCAGTAGGTATCTAACTGAGAAAAATAGTTTTGTTCTAGCATTGCACCTATAGATTCAGCCTTTTGGATCACAAAAAACACAGCCATCACTGAAAGTATTCAAACCACAAAGTATGAAAAATGACATACCAGTGCATGAGACATCAGGGTCTTTACCGGCTGTGATTCTGTGTTAGTCACCAAAGAGAACACAGAACCATAATCACCTGTGATCAAAAAGACACAGAGTGTTAGCCAAATATACAGTGTTACTGCGACACAGACATGGAGGAATTTTTACTGTAACCATCTACTAACCCAAGTATTCACCCTCTGGGCCACATCCTGACACTCTGTTAACATTTGTGCTATCAGTCTTTTCACTTGATCCCGTGAAGAATTCTGTATAAGAGGATGACAAAAAAATCAAAACAACATAAGAAAGGTATAATTATTTGTTTCCTTTCCATTGACATTAAGAACAAAGATACAAGGAGGGTTAAAAATTAAAAAAGGAAGAAATTTTAGTATTTTATTTGCTATACTGACCAAGAATGCTCTCAGTTCTTGTAACCAGAATTATTCTGAGGGATAACTGGAAGAATGTATCCATCTGCGAAAAAAAGTAGTTATTAGTGATTTTGTTGGTTTTAATACCTTGATTTAGATGGTGTCAGTAACTACCATATGAGCAGTAAGACATACCATTTTAAGGAGCGGACTAAGGCCACATTCCACTTTATGGTACTGTGACCAGGCCTTGTCACGACATGATTGTGAACAGTACTGGACTTCACAGCAGTCATGGCATCTGAAAAGGAATCAATGACAGTTCAAAGTCTTACTCTTTTGAATCATAAAATTCTACGACCTTTTCAGAGATGTTTGTAAAGTTTCCAAAACAAAAGATTAAGAAGCTCATTCCACATTAAAGTGAAAAAAAATTAAACTAAGGCTGACATCTTTACTTTGTTGTTCTAAACTTTTTCATTTTTCTTTCATTTTCCATGACTTTTCACAACCCACTCTAAAACTCAGTGAGTTTCCCAGCCTGAAAAATGATAGAATTGTGAGACTTTTCAGGTTTCATAATACCCTATCTTGGGTTCTACACTATCAAACATTCATTTGGAAAATGAAGTGACTGTGCTAAACTCAACAAAAGTTGAATAAACGAAATGCTTGAAATACACATTTCTTTCTTATCTTTATCAATATTTTTAACTTAATATTGCCACCTCTCTTGTGCACAATTTTCACTTACGAAAAGGGCGCTATCAATGTTTTCATGCAACATTCACAATGAGTCAGGGCATTTTCTGGTAAGAGAACTGCAGCATATGGTGCCTCAGAGATAAGAGTGTCTCCAGCACGGATGTCATCTGATGCCTGCAGAAATCAAAAAAATGTTTTTGAATATTAAGAACACATGCATAGGTCATATGATAATGAGTGTAACAATAGAACTTGTAGAAAAAAATCAGTTGGTGCTTAAGAACTGAATAGAGGAACAAGGTTTGTTATTGTTATATAATGAGGGACATATTAAATCTTGAACACCTTGCTGCAGAAAATCAAATTTTTGTAAGTGAGTATTTTTTCCAATTTTGTAGGATTTATTTGTATTGTGCCATCCTGACAACCAACCTTCAAAAATCGTCCCTGGCTGGCTGTGCAACTGATTTCAATCAAACTGGATCCATTGGCTATTTTGCTGTGTTGTCCTCCGGTAACAGTGGGAATGTTCTGTGAAGTATCCTCACCTAAAATAAAATTTGGAGGAACAAATACAGTTACACTCAGTAAAGATTGCACAAAAAAGAAGTCCAAAGGTAAAAGACAACATAAGAAAGCATCAATACTTACCATGAATCAAGTGTTGAGAGGATGATAACTTTCTTTGACAAAATTTCTGAAGATTAACAAGTTTCCCAGTAAGAGCTTGGGGATGCTGCAGAGATATTACCTCTTGAATATCATTAAGACATGCCTGGAAAATAAAAAGGAAATAATTATTATTAAAACACCTTCCAGATAAGATCACAATAGAATTTCTTGAAGTCTCTGCAAAGTAAAATATTGTGGAGCATATATGTAACAGAAAGAAAATTTTTGTCATGGGGAACATGAAAAATTCAAAGAAAAGAAGTCATATCCTGAAAGTGTAGTTGGTTCTTATAGTGTAAGCATCATACCTTATATTCCTGTGCCTGATACAGAACCTCAGCTCTCTGAGTATAGAGAGCAGCAAGGTTGGGCTGGCCATCAGACCTACTGGTGTCTTCGGTACTGTCAGATGATGCCAAGTCACATAAATCGTTATGTTGGTTAGAGAGTGCTGTTTGGTTATCAGACCTGGACAAAAGGACTTGCTGGATAGCCTACAAAGTGGAAGAAAAAGCAACTATTATTGGGAGTTTTGCAAATCAAATGTTTCTCTGGTAGGTCGAAAGTAACTCCTCAAGTAAGTGAGCACAATGCTAGAAATAATGACATACAAACAGCTGATTTAAAAGATTTAACAAATGAGAAAACTATGCACATACCAAAACAGAAACTTCAGTACAAAAGAAGAACAACAACAAACAAAAGCCCCATGCCATAACCCACTTAAGTTTACCGCACGAACACTTGAAAGAGAGGACCAAAATAAGCCATAATTGTTTCAGCAAAATGATTTTCATTTAACTATTACGTTATGAGTTATTACCAGTGATAAACAAATCACTGCTTTCTTGAAATCTCTTCTTCTAAGATGTTCTTCTCCCACATGCAAGTATTCCTGGCCATTCCCTGCTGACTTGGCTTTCTGTTGGCTCCTAGTACTCAGAAGCTTTTGTATTTGACTTATGATTTCTTGGGCTACTGTGTTATTCCTGGAATATCAGAAGGGGAATTTTAATCTACTACATGAACATCTAATGGCTGAACATTTACAAGGATGCTGCAAAAGAATAGTTTCACTAGTGCACGAGCACAAAAGCCCACATTAATAATTGACCATATATGGAACGTGGGCATAACAACAAGGGGAAGCAGCTATCTCCACCCACAACATTAGCCCTATATCAGCAGATGTTGAACCGATGCAAAAATACTATAAACAACTTTACAGACTGACTGAAATCTCAATAAAGTCCAATGACTATATCTTGGAGGTGCATGGTAAATTAGTGCAAAAACATCACAAACAACATAGCTGAACCCCATTACAAAGTGAACTCAAAGGATGGAAAGGGAAAGTGAAGAATTAATCAAGGTAGCATGTGGCTTAAAATCACAATAATTGGTTGCTTTTTGTTTAATCAAAAATGGCTTTTCACTTTTTACAATCCTTTAAATCCCAAAAGTGACCACATTTAATTGATCCTCTAAGTAATACTGCTGAATCATTCATTAAGACAGTGAGAATGAAAACTAAATGAATTCTCCCAGCCAGGACCTAAGAAAGGGTCTTGAGAAGAGTATAAAGAATGTAGATAGTGATGTTAGGGTGTAAGGGTTTAAAGTCTGTAAACTGTCCTCCTAGTTCAAATCCTCTCTTTGGACACAACATCACAAAAGAATTGACACTGTGCCATCTTCATTTACATATTTTATCTCATCCATGTTTACATGTTACCAAAACAGGCTCGTGCTTATACACCTGAACTAATGAAATTTGCCATCCCTAAGGGACACAAGTTGTTTTTAAAACAATCTTAGAATCATTTTGTACAGTTTAACAGTAACCACAATTTGTTTTCATCATGCACTCCAAATTCCATAAATCTTAAAGGCATGAACATTTCAAATTCATGCTACTTAAGTTGACATGATAACAACTATCGATTAGCTCCAGTGAACAGGCACAAATGATCCCTGACTGCACACAGCTGTGCACGTGCAGAAGGATGAATGAAATGCAAATTAACCAGAGTTGATCCTTACATAACAATGAAATGATAAGCTCATGCATTTAAGGATCAAGGGAAAAGAAGTAAATTAAAATATGTTTAAAGGGCAAATAAATGACCAATAGTTTCCTGTCAATCAACATCAAGAAACAAACATGAGAGAAAAAAATGCAATCAAGGTGTCAATTTGAAGAAAAGCTTCTGTCAATAACACAAACACTCCATAGGTAATGACCTCATCTAGATTCAAGAAAAACACACCATACAAAAAATAAAATTGATTGCTCCAAGAATGCTATGACAAGTCCACTTATACAACAAGGTTTTGAATGACATCACTAGAAAGTCCTTTTTTAAAGAACTTTTGACCTAAAAGCTAGGTTAGTCCATGCAGTAGCCTGCAATAACCAGATCTGACACTAAAAACACACTGAATAGATTACCATAAAGAAAATTAATTTGACACCTTGAATCTCTCAGTACAGACCATTGTTAATTCCCAGGGGAACACCACACAATTAAAAACGTGAGTGTAAGCAGGAAAACTTTCCCATCAGTTTCCACAACGTGAGAGACTTGGAAAAGTTCAGCAAGAAGTCCTTTTGAAGTAACCAGTCTAAGCAGTACGGTCTAGAATGATGGGAAGGGCTTGAATTGAGAAATAAGTCATTGATTTAATTTGAAAACATGTTATGTTTCTGTAACATGTAGTTGCCTTTCCAAAACAAGTATTTTTACTTTTTCTTAAGCAAGGATCATTCTAGCAATCAAACTGAGTGGTACATGCCCAAATTAAACAAAACAATTTCAAAAATGAAAATTTGGGCAATTTCATTTTTTTCTCCAATCTTTTAAATCAGCAATTGAAAACAAATTCAAATGTTTTAGATCAACTTCCATTTTTTGCAAATAGCAAAAATTTAAATGCCACTCAAAATTTTGCGTCCTGTCGTGTCAAGCAAATTGCTACAATATTTCATAAGTCTCTCGGATAGATCTCTGCACGAGTCCATTTTCAAACCTCATTTTCGTCTCGATCAAATCGAAGATAAGAACTTATTCAAGATTTTCGATCGTAGGTTTCTACCTGTCCTGAAATGTTTTAGGGAACATCGGGGAAAAAAAAAAAAAAAAAAAAAAAAAACAGATTTGCCGAAGCGATGTCAAAGGTAATCGTGCGGGCGGTGCAATACGGCACGTGCGACTCGGCAATCGATGACAGGGAATTCTAGTTTTGCCTCCTCGCGAAACGTGGAGTCTAAATTTAAACTGGGAATCGATGAAATGTGCTGAACCGAAATGTTAAATTTGGGCCATGGTTATTTTGTATTTTAGTAATTTGCGATCTTAGTAAAGGTGCAAACTATCACAGTTCTATGTAAACAGAAAAGTTTATGCCTCGAAAGCGGACAATGTTCATACATATTTTATTGTGCTGCAACCCTGTACAGTAAAATTTTTTCTGTACTTGGCTAAACAGGATCGGGACGAGAACGGACCGCAAGGAAGCAAAATAAAAAAGACAAGACAAGTTCAGAGAAAATGTCTTAAAAATATGAGTTTCAAACCGAAGAAATTGTTGAAAAAGCAAACAAGACTCAACTCGGGCTCAACCCAGATGAATAAACAGAACTTCCCTGCTAAGTTCGGTTCTTTACTGTGACGAAAAAAACCGTTCCTCGAATTAAACCGAAATAAAATATGAATGCTGCAGGCTGCTTGGAATTAAAAACAAAAATATCTCAATAAAAAACCGAAAGATCTTGATAACAGAACGAATATATTGATAAATTCCTTCCTTCATCTGAAGTTTCCATCAATACCGGCATCTTGCAATTTCCCTTGTTTGTCTAGTTCAAATCTTAGCTTTTAGGAGCTTTATCTAAGGTCTAAAAACATCGCCTTAAGACTTTGAACGACAACCCCAGGCTTACAACTTAAGTGCTTGCTGAATAAACATCAAATTTAAGCGAAACTAGGCACACAAAACCTTACCGTAAAATATACTTGCAAAACTTGTAGCGCTCGCCGTCCGTCTTCAGATTACCAAACTCTTTCATGTACGGTCCTCGAAGCTGTTCCACCACAAAATTCTCCCACTCATCTTTCAAATGAAGGGCCATTGAGGCTTTAACTGGTTAGTTCTCCTTTACTGTGTTCCTAGGAATGAGAAGAAGCAATCTATTTTGTACTTTCAACTAAGTCGAGGCGAATGGTTGGGTGATGAAAGTGCTAGGAGTAATTTTACTTGCAAAACCGCTTATCAAAGCACTTAGTAAAAATATTCTGATTGGTCAGCTGACGTAGGGAGATAAATACTGACCAATGAAAGTGCATGTTATTTTAGACCCTTTTATGGCCCAATCTCCCAAAAGACTGGGGCAGAAGCAGTAACATCACGCCACACTTTCTGATTTCCCCTTTTGACAAGTTGCTTCCTTTCATTGAATTTAAAATAACTCCTGTTAGCATGTGTCTCTTATGGAAAATTACATCTGTTCACTTTCAAGTAAAAGATAAATAGACTTATTCAGAGCTACCAGATGTATTTCGGAAGATAAACTCGCGACGAGGAATCTCATCGATAAGGACACGCGCGTGTTTATCGCGCGTGTTCATCGCGTAAAACGCCCCCTGACACACCTCCAGATCAGCCCACAAAACTGACCAATAACAGGCAAGAGTTTTACAAGGCCAAAGTAACTGCGTCAAAAACTAGCTATCTACAATAGTTACAACGCAAGAGTTTTAAGTAAACAGGCGAAAATAGCTCAACTTCATGACTTTTTAAAAGCCTTTACAGCACATAGGCACTAAATCTTCAATTTTTCGGGCAAAAGTTCAAGAAACAAATACTAAATAATAAATATGTTGTTACGAACGAAGGGATACGTCTAAACATCTATCATATCTGTCGAGCGAACCGTGATAAACAAACAAAGAACGAAGACTGCAACGCTCTCTTTTAGCTCGATTTGTTCGGCTTAAAACCCTGTTTAAATGAAAAATGTTTTGTACACACCATGAGGGTAATAAAAAAGGGATTTTGAATGTCTACATGTTTTCTCGACATCGATCTTGTACTGGTTTGATTAGCATATTCTTCGCGCTAGAATAAATTCAGTAAAGACCAAACAAACGGGATAAAATTGAGAGAAAAATACATACAAAGAAATCTACTGACTCTAAGCTTACACTGTGAAAAAACATTCTTATCAGGAAATTCGACGAAACTTCCCGTGGGAATGTGAAAGATCTTAAAGATTTCTGTGCCGATGTGTGTTAAAACAAGCCAACTTTAAATACATTTATCTTCAAAATCGTTCGACTGCTAGGAGATCAGAAGGGAAAGCGTAGATGGAAACACCTTATCATAGATGAAATAGACTGATGGCTGGATTTTTTGAGCTAAAACAAATTTTACAGACGCTAAAGTAGTTTTATCGCCGTTCAAGAGCTCCACTCCGATGCGACCTTTTCGTCGTTCGTGTGAAACATAAACATTAAAAATTTCGACATTATTATGGCAGTCGGTAGTTAGCACTATAGATCTTCAATATCCTAGTTCTTAGGTACAAAATACGATGCAGAACGTTTTCGGATTCAGTGAGGAAGTTGCTCAGCTGTCGACAGATTTTCACAATTAATAGTTCAATTCTTAAGGGCAAGAGTACTATCATGAATATTGCACGTACAAGCTTCAGTCAAATTCATAGTTTGCATTAATTAAAAGCGCATGTGACTTACTTTTCGTGAAACTGAAAAATTCGCCCCCTAAAGAGAAGCTTGAAATCTTGTTTGCGAAGATTTTCCAGCAACACCCAGTGTTACTGATGTTCATCTAATGAAAACCGTTTCCGTGCACTAATATATAAACCCTGTCACCTGATATCACGTTTCATTGGTCGTCTGGCAATCTACGTCAAAGCTACCTCATTTGGACAAGTAGCACGAAGATTTCAAAAGTTTAATCACCGTAATTTTCACTTAGTTCAATAAGCTCTTTGTTATCAGTCGAATAATTAAGAATTTCTTTTCTTTATTTGACAAAGGTGGCTCGTTCTTATTGTGTATATTTTTCTCTCTTTTCTGATGCAATCACCGAGGAAAAATTCCGGTTAATCCTGATGTCAAATCAAGGTTCCCTGGATAGAAATGTCAAAGATATGATACGATCACAACAGGAAATACCTTTAAGCTGGAGCTTTTCCAAAAGTATTGAATCTTTTTCTGGCTCATAGACCCACTTTTTTACTTAACACACAGCTAAAAATAAAAAAATGAAGCCACATGAAAGAAGCCTTGATGGGTGTTCGTTAATAAATTTAAATTGATTTTTTTCAGTTACCGATGAATTTTACTGATTTCCCGATTAACCCAAAAGGATGCTGACAAAACCTGTTACCTGCAAAACTGGTTAATCTTCTAAGGAAAACTAAAAAACTGATTTGGTTTTAATTCAGAAAACTTAGAGAGGCCCTGGGAACGAATTTGAATAAATAAATCCTTCTATTTCTTTCATTTCTTTGGCTTTTCCTGTTTTAAAATCAGAACAAATATAATTTGTAATTCTTTTATACTGAATGAACGAAATTTATGTCCAATAATTTCATAGATCAGGAAAATATCACCCAATAATCTTCAAAGTTGGCCGAAATTTGTGTAAATTCTGAAATCTTGTCGAGGTTGGTATGCATGTAACAGTTCTTGCTGTAACCTCTTAAATTAAATGAAAATCAATAAAATGACATTGATATAATGGACGAGATATTCCGTGCTGTCATGAAAAAAACTTCCCGCCGAGTATTATAAATTTTAAAAAGACCTCCGCAAAGACTCTTTAATATAAAATTAAGTTCCGAACCATATGTTATTTCATTTAAATTGTCTTTCAGTGATGGATTAAAGTACAAAAAGGGCAAAAAAATACTAGAATCATCCATTTTCAAATTTTTCTTTTCCTTTTTTTTTAAATTTTTATATTTTGGATAAACAAATTGGCCGGTAGTTTTAGAGGCGGATCAATAAATCAATCAAAACACTTCCGCTGATCACCTCGAATTTGACAATTTGAGTGTAACCATTTCCATGACCTGGTGTGAACATTGTACCAGGTCCACTGTCGAAACATCTACCTGTCATCATTCTATGTTTATCTCGCTGCCAGGGCCTCTCTTCCTTCCGCCTGCGAGCGCGAAGAGAGGAAATATTCACCGAAAAATCCTAGAAGCTTACATATATTTGTTGACCAGCCTGTTACACGGATAGGATGGGCTCCTGGCAAGGTGTCAAACCTCCAAACAGATTGCTGTAAAGAGCACTGGGCAAAAGCGTGAGAATAGTTTCTTACGACGGTCAACTGAAAGACGATTCGTGCTCGGACTTGAAGTGTAAAGTATTTTTCATTTTCAGTATTGCATGTCATGCAAATCTTTGGATTGATATCCCCTCCCTCCCACAAAAAAAATCAAGAACTAGATTTTCCTTAGACTTGATAATAGCCACTAATCGGGAAAAGAGCCCGCGCTGAATTATCATTTTCACGATCGGTTTTTGGTTAAATGGAGTAATCACTACCTGCCTAATCTGTTTAATATAGATGACGTACGCTATGCTCTAATATCACTACTAAAATATTGAATCGTCATCATTACAATATATAAAGAGAGATTTAAATATGAATTTTAAAAAAAAGACGATTTCAAAAGAAAACCTCACGCACTCCATATCACTTGGTCACCTAATATTGCCCGAAGAGCTCTTATGTTCACCTTCGAAAACTGTCACACCACCATTATCTCCAGCTTAACATCTTACCAAGAGAACATAGTTATTTGAAAGGAAGAGAAGAAACCTACAAATCTTAGACATAAGATAATTTGTTCAATGGCTTTTGTAATATCATACATACAAATTAGTTACACATTCCGATAATTGTAAAACAAAACTGTAATATGCAAATTTGAGAACTAGTTGATAGGAAACTTACTCGTCTGAGAATGAGATGAATGATAAAGCTTCTTCACAGATGAATGTTAGAATAAATGGCTTTGTCACTGTCTCTATTTGATCAAAGACGCGAAGTAAAAGACTGACACGGATACATAATTGGTTTATATATTTCCTCCAATTGACAGTAAATCACGTCTCACAATATTAGAATTGCTATGTCACTTTAGATTTACGCGGGATCTCCTTGACGTCACATCTGTGCGCATTGAGGGGGCGGTATAGGAAATAGCATCTTTTAACGCAAAGAAACCGCGAAAACGCTCCTTGCAAAATTACAGTGACTTAATGGAGTTTCAAGTTAGAGAATTGAAAAATTCTCCGGGAAAGTCAAGAGTTCAGCTTGAAGTTGGACATTATACTTGCTGACTACATCCGCTGAAAAGGGACCGAGATGTACGTTGTTTATCTCAGTAACTTCCGGTGCTGGGTTTTCAAATGTCATCGCTTCCTCTTTCTCAAAATGGCCTGAACGTGAACGGATATTCACTTCGTAAGGTTTAATCAAACGTGCTACGGAAAAGGGACAAGAGCTAAGGAACTACTTTTCTTATTTAATCAGCACATTCAGATTTCGTCTGAATTTTTTTAAAACCGTTTGAAAACTTTGGATTAAGTCATGGTTTATCCTAGCAGCGAAGACGTTTCACTCTCAGATTTTCTGAATAATAAAAGTAGCATATTCCAATCAGGGATCTGCACCTGAATTAGACTCCAAAGGGAGACACCTCCCTTGATGATAGTCATGACTCTCCTCTTTCTCATTATGGAACAACTCTGAAATTGAAGCTAAGTATTTAAAGCTTTCGTCTTCGGCTCTCCAAGCCCTTCATAGAATACTGGTGTAAGAATCAAATCTTTGTCATACGCGTCAGTATACACCAGCTGATAAAACCTAATCGGCCTTAATTGAGAAGACACTGACACAAATACATTGGTACAGCTATGAAAAAGAGCGAAAGTAAAAGATTTAAACAAAACTCACGGTAATCAAGCGAACAGAAATAAAAAAAGAGCAACTGAAAAATAACAAATAAAGTCGCTGTTCCGAATCGATACTGAATTCTCACAATCACTGTTAACCTTTCAACTCCCAAGATCTCTTAAGTAATTCTTCTAACTGTCCACACTCAGTTCTTGTGAGGTTAGTTTGGAGAATTTGGTATTGGATCAACTTATAATCCCTAATTGATATTTTTCTTGATTCTCATCACTTGCCTGCTTGGTATTGTATTGATATTGTAAGGAGAAATTCTGTCTTGGTCACTCATGGGAGTTAAAGGTTAACTGAAATGTAAGGAGAGCATTGTTGAGTGACTCTTTCTAATCCCTTTCTGGTTTCTTTCCCTGACGCCTCGTGTTCACGATGTTCTAATTATACACATGCTGTACTTATCATAACGTTGAACGAATAAGGCCAAGGGTAATCTGTAGAAATAATTGATTGCCCTAAAAGTCAGTTTCCGTCAAAACTTCCGTTAGCTGAGGAAAGCTGCGATCAGCAATCTCGTGTTTTGAGATTTTGCCAGGACCACCGTGGATATTGCTTCAAGGAGGCACCCAACTCAGAAATACTCTGGTGAAAATCTTGAGCAAATGATATTAGTAGGCTTAAAAAATTGAAAAGAAATATTGTCACGATTTGGTCTGCTCAGTAATGAAAACCATGGTAATGTTTTGGCATAAAGCGTACGATCAATCGAATCAGAGTTGGTAACTGGTGAACTAAACATCCTGATAAAAACATGACAGAAAAAAGCAGTGTTCATCGCGTGAGGTTTGACAAATGTAATGTAAACCAAAGCATGAATTGTAAAAGAAAGACATTTAGATATTTCATTTTGTCGACTTGATCATGCATTAATTCAGAAAACTCGCGGGACAGGGAGAACGCGTGCATTTGCGTGTTCGGACCGCGCTCGTGTTAGAACACGTACGTGATACGCTATGCCTTTGTTCCCCGCCTTTTTGTGTCAGGGACAGCCAGCGCTGGCTGGTTGTTATCCGTTTGTGTTATTTCAGGTACATTTCTAGTCTTGGCTATCACCCTATAAAAATTTTATGCCTTTGTTCTTTACTTCGTTGTATTCCAAGAAGCATCAATCAAAAGTTACTCTGAAATAATAAAATGCAACACCTAATTAACCTTATTAACCCAGAGACCCCCTGGGGTGATCAGCATCTTATTTCTCCTTACAACATTAACGGTTGAAACGATGAAATTCACCTAATCCCCTTATAGGGTTTTATATTATTCTCACCTTTCTCCTTAATTGACGGTCAATATTCTGTAGCCTCCCCCCTTCATACTATGTTGGTTATGACCAAAATCCCCCTCCCTCCGTTCCCCCGGAAAACCATGGGATCTCCCCTAAAATCCCCCAGCCCCCTCCCCCCTGCCTCCGCCCTTCAGAGATAAATTAACGAGGAGGAGGCTCCCTAAACAGAAAGAAAATTCAAGCTGCATTTGATGCTAAAGGATTTACATTTCAATTTTTTTCCGAAATTGATCTCATCTCATTTAGATACTGCAACTTTCAGGCGACTCCGTTAACCCTCAGCTTGTTGGCCAAAACGTCGCCCCACTCAGAGTAAAGTATAATCATACCTCGTCTTAACTCGTTTGTTAAGTATTTATCCAGAGCCTTTCAGGAGGAGAAGACCCGAGTGAAGCAATCCAGGGCTCTGGTTGACTTCTTTTGGCAGAACTAATGTTCTGTTGCTTGCTTATGCGGCGCGACATCGAGAACAAAGACAACGAAGAACTGTAAGTGGATTCCATATACACTAAGTTCATAGGTAACACGTGTACCACACGAATTCTTATGAGAGTCATGCGAGTTTGAACAGCAAACGCTAGATATCGTACAATTATTTTCTCTGGATACTGTGCAACATGATCATCATGAGACAACTATGTTGCCCTTTTTCTTGCTCAGCTCAGCGAAACTCGCCAGAGGGCAAGGTGGCTTAACAAGATCTCATTTACCAACATCGAGAAAAACAACTTGCACTTCCAAGCTTGCAAGAAGGGTTTCACAACAAAGGGGTCTTTAATCAATCCGAGTCTTTCTATGTTTTAAGGAACATACCAGGTTGTTTTGATTTTAAAAATCATTAATTTGCTATATCAGAGGGGTGAGTGACATGTATCCGTCCCCCCCGCTCCCTCCCCCCCTGTAAGGCGTTCCCGTGATAACTTGATCTATCAGCAGTAGTCTTTGACCTTCTTGTAACCCTAAACTGAAACACTAACTAATCTTATTGAGTAACAAGGGATCGAGAATAGAAAGGGTTGGTTAACCAGGAAAGGAATACAAGAAAAGATTCAGTTTAAGTGCACTTGGCTCCTTGCGTAGAAATTAATGTTAAGAACAACGGCAAAATAATGCCAATGTAGGCTTTTCAGGAAAGGTTTCGTTAAATTTTAGTCATGGGTGCCGCAGGAGGGCGCGATGGGGAACTTTGCCATCTATCTGACATGCGATATCTTTGCGTGTTGCAATCACTACAATTAATTCTGTCCGGGCAAGGTCTGTTTTGCCTAGAATGGATAATGTCCACGTCTCAACAAATTCTACACTGGATTGATGATAAAATTTGATATAAAGATCGTAGTTGACAGTCGCCGACTCACCATATTCTCAGCTACCAAACTTTAACAACCGTCCCTTTGTTATTAAAAACCATCACATTAAACACGTTCGCCTGATTAAGCGACTGGTTCCCACAAAGTGAACGGTAAAACCGGATTTCCGCTTACCTTGTTTTTTTTCACAATAGAAGGAAGTACCCCTTACGAACCTGTATTGTCACGAATTCGGTGTTTCGCACGCAAATACAAGAAAGTAGAAGCTCTTAGATATTCAGAGGAAAAGTGTAGATAAAAATGAGTAGGAGAGACTTAAGGACATTCAAATTGATCTTTTCTGGTACAAAATTTTACTGAAACAGAAGCTACAATTGGAAAGCTCGACTGTGGTATATGCCCCATCCAAATGTACTCGAGTAAGGCCACATGTGACTCCTCAACAAATATTTTTGCTATCTTCATAGTTATAAGAACCAACATCCAACAAGATATTCAAATGAAAATAAATAAATTTGAAGTGGATTTTATTCATCAGTGCGTGACATGGAAATTTTGGACTGAATTCGACCCCCTGATGTTGGCGCAAATGCGATAATGAGATAAAAAAACAAATTAAAAAATTAAAAAACTATGAATTCGGCTACAGTTGATGAAAATAATCAGGAAGGGAGTAATTCGATTTTTTCCAAAAGAGTTGTTTAGCCATTGAAAGTTAATTTATTTTAAGCTTGTCAGACTGAATCGGGAGAGAACAGTGAAATTAAGATATCATAGAATCTGTCCTGGCCTGCTTTTAACCTGACCGTGATTTACGTAAAGAATCAAAATAGAAAATCATTTCTTTATACGTTTTCATCCTTTCTCAAATGAGAGTGCTGCGTCGGTAGGAGAGTATAACAGGATAATTTAGTCAGTAATCGACCGAGTTGCTGACGTAAATTGGCCACGGTTAACAATTTAAAAGCTGACGTTTCGCGCGTTAGCCCTTCATCAGGGCGATTGGAGGAATTCAGGGTTGTGTGTGGGTTTATATACAGAAAATGGAGCTACGCCATCGGTGGAAATCTGGTGACAAGAGAACAAGAATAAATTACAAAATTTAGAATAAATTAATTGAATGTGAAGCGCTCGTTGTAACCGTTGGGATTAAGAGTGCCGATTTGAAAGACGAAGTTTTGTTTTAGAGCTTTGCGGCTTTCCGTACTGCCTAGCGAAGGGAAAGGCCGCAAACTGCCATATGCTGCCTAGAATGATTAGGGAGATTAAAGTGTCTTGTGACTAGTTCGGATATGTCCTTGTCATTTCTTTCTACGTCGCGAAGGTGTTCTCGGAATCGGTCACCAAGTCGTCTCCCTGTTTCACCAATGTATAGCTTTTGCAATATGGACAATGAATGCAGTGAATGACATTGGCGGAGGTGCACGTGAAGTGATCAGTGATCGCAATGGATATTTTGGGTTCCGACATTTTATCTAAGTTGTAAATGAAAGGACAAGTTTTGCATTTTGAGCGAGCGCAATTGAAATTTCCAAATTGGTCATTGGTTTGAAATGAACTCCTGACGATATTGACTAGAATCTGTCCAGCTTTTTTAGTACAATCTATTCGTGCCAAAAGTCTAAAAAAAACGCAAAGACATAGTTATTAAAGCGGCTGACAAACAACGACTGTTGTTATTCGTGCCAAAAGTCTAAAAAAACGCAAAGACACGTTTTAGAGCGGCCGACAAAGGCGGAGCAGTCGTCATTTGGCGGGCCAACCTCTACCAAAAAGTAGCTTTGTGGCAACTTTCTGATACCTCCTTTTATGCCAAAGTTGACAAAGATCTCACTTTCATCAACCAAAACATTAACATTATCAAAAACCCGATTAACGATCTTGTAGCTAAACAAGAATTGCCGGCCACTGCAAAAAATCTCACCATCATCACTCCTAGAACTTCGTGTATTTACTTTTTACCTAAAATCCACTTTAGTTGTCCCACCGAAGTTATTTCCAGCTATTTAGAAAAAATTATGACAAAACCTAACCATTATTCATTTAGGACAACAAACTCGCACATGAAATTTTTCGCGACTTTAATTTCCTTGCCCAACACAATGCACAGAAGCATCTCATATCGATATTCCTATCCTGGCAGTATGCAGGAAGTTTGTCGTCATGGACCTAGTTCAATAACCTACCCTACCAGGAGTTTCCTGTAGCCCGGTGGTAGAGCTTGCAAAGTTTTTGGGAGTCTTTGGAGTTTTTTTTTCTCCTAGTAAGCTGGTGTCACTGAATAATCATCATCTTCCACTGAGGGTGACAAAGACCATCAAAGGAGAGGAGGGAGCTCCTGATTCCGTTTCATTCTAAAACTTTAGAAAAATTCACGCTTCACCTTTACTTTAAACAGCATTTCACACGTCACGAACTTAAAAGGGAAAACTTTAATCCTCACCTCACCCCGCATTTCTGTAAAATTCACGCGTCACGAATTAACTTTGAGCTTCATCACGTGTCACGTAGAAACCCCTAATCAACGTCTGCACTGTGTAATATTACAGACTAAACTTTTACTTTAATTCAAACTGAAGACGCCAGAGGAGCTGTCGAAACTTGTCTTTTAAATAAAAAGGTTGCCTCATCTCTTAAAATTTCTGTGGTTCTAATTTTTGGTTTCATAACTGAGAAACTCCGCGATCTAACTGATACTTTACCACACCCACAGCGCCTTGTCTTGGAACTGACACGACACGATTGCGCCCAGAACCGCTACAAGCTGCCCTCATATATCTATGATGGGATCTATGGTTACCTGAAAGCCAGACCTGACTTTGCTAACCAAAGTCAGTGAGAAATGTCTTTCATTACCTGCGGTTGAGATTTTTCAAGTCCGCCGAGTGTTTTCACCCTCTGAAACTATTATGAATGACTGTTTTCAACGCCTAGGTTATTCGTTCTGCTACCGTCTGTAACATCTGGTTAATGTGGGTAGACGATTTTAGCTTTGGTGAGAGACATCTTTGCGTATTAGATTTGTTATTTTACGATTACCGCGATGAACAATTTTGTAATCAGTGCAGGTCTCACCAAGAAAGTCGCAAAGGCTGTGCTACTATAGAGACTGATATGGCGTCTTCCGATCCGGAGGAAGTTTTCACAAAGAAAAAACATCTTAAGGGGCCATTGAAAACTCAAACAACAAACAAGCAAATTGCTTAAACCACAGCTTAACTGCGAGTGACAAAGACGCGGTTGATTTAATTTTACATCTGATTGGTTGAGTGGGTAAAACGCGTTTTCTGTATCAATCACAGAGCGAAGTTAACCAGAAAACCAACGCAATCCCAAATTGCTCTCTCCAACTGACTAAAAATTTGTACATGAGACACTGACACAGCGCTATCTTTAAGGGTAGACACTTCAGTTACCAAAACATCAAGTAAAGAGTTAAAACAGACCCACTTAAGTCACTGTACAGACATCACCCTTCCACGCTGGGGTCATCCATGTACAACTCCTGCTTATAATTTTCATACAATTTTTATATAACAGGCTGCAAGAAAATTATTTGGGTAACAAAAATTTTAGAGAATTGACTCAAGATCGTGGCGAGTAAAAGTACTTGAGAGAGCGGGACAAGGAGGAAAACAGGAACAGGAAGAGCAATACGTGAGGAGGTGAGGCCAAAGGAACTACATAATTAACAAGAACAAGAACGAGACAAAGGACAATTAAAATACTCACAATAAAATTTAGAAAAAGACCACACATTGAAAACAGGAATTCGTGTTGGGCCACAAAAGGAATATTATCAATTGGCTTATAGCCAGCGAAAGTACTCAAAGTGCAAATAAATCAACGAAATACTGAAGAAAACTGAAGGCCAGTTATTTATAGGAAGTCTGACTTAGGCCGCGGTTTTTTGCGATTGAGGAACTCAAACTTTACTTTGAAGTGGGTTATTGGAGGTTATATAATTAACCTTCTTAAAATTGTGCACAAAAATCAATGTTTTGATAAATATTTTGGCCATATTGAAGCTCGTGTAGAGCGCAGTTTTGTTAAACTATGGTAAGACTTTACCGGCGACACTTAAAGTTCTCGTTAAAATAAAGAGCACAGGGTTATTGCAATTGTAACATAGATAGCGGTCGAGAAATACTAAAAAATATAATTACTAACCTCGTGGTGCAATTAATCTTCCTTCCAACGTTTTCGTGCCGTGCTCCGAATTAACAACACAAGCCAGATATACTGAAGCCCCACTTTGTATTGTACTTGTAGACAAGCTTGACCTAGCGACAAAATGGAAGGGCTTGATCAAATCGGTGATTGACACAAATAAGATGCTTTTTCCGGTTGCTGTGCATCTTCCATTCTGAAAGAGGTCGAATATAGATAATGCCGGTCTACAAGTGGTTTTTTGATGCCTCTAAAGCCACGATTGTAGACAGATGATCGGCACATCTTACGATGTCTGATGAAAAAAATTAAACTATGCTCAATCAGATGTCTGTAGGAATGGCGCCAGTTGGAGAGCAGAAGCCCTCACTCTTTTAAGTAACCCTGCAGGGATTGGTGCTCTCTGAAGGCCTGTGCTAATATGGCGTGAAATAACATGGGAAATCAAATAAACAACCTGAGGCTAGAACTGCGGTTGTGGTTAAAACAACGTCATTAATTTAAGCGAGAGCACTGTCTGACGACACAGAGGAACTGATAACTTCACATTCAATTTTATTGTTATATCTTGATACGTGAAAACTGATCATTACATACACTAGTCACGTTTTGGGGCGTTTGTCTGTTACAATATTAAATTTTTCGGTCGAAGACACGTGAATTGGATTCAAAACACTCCAGATCCTTATCTGGATAAGCGATCGCTTCTTTCAACAAATAATCCAAAAAGATGTTGTTCATAATATGGATACATATATTACGAGAGAGATAAAAGCTTTTAATTTGACAGCCTTTCCCCTGTCTCAATTAAGAAATGCATTAAACACTGCTAGACATAGTTGTTGATTAGTTTCAGCTCATACTGGTTTACGAATTTACTTTTTTTTTTTAAGGAAAAACTTCCTAAACAGAAGCGTTTCGAAAACACATTGGATGGACGGGGTCTTAATCAGACTAGCTATCGATCGCAAATGCTGCGATCAGATTGCCTTGCGTCTGTTCATTAATAGATCAAAGGTGACGTCAAAATGTGGTTAGGAAAAAAAAAATTACATACAAGGTGCAGCCGAGTGTATCATAAATGTTCTTACAAAATGTCGACGTTTTCTGTGACCGACTAATAAACAGACGCACGGAAACATGGAATCTATTTGTTTTATCAAGAGAAAACAATAACACCCATCATTTCTCTTGTTTTTTACATAACAAAGAACCAAAACTTTGTTGATGGTCAGCGATGCATCTATCCACTAATAAATCACAAACTGGACTTAATCAAAAGGCGTGTATCATTTAACATGCTATGTAATATGTGGTCGATAGCGACTTAAGTCGGAAGGCTGAGACGTGACCCGTTTGTGTTATTATTCGCGTGATAAGGTTTGAACGACTAGAAGATTTATCCCAAAACAATTAGATTATTCTAATTATGCTCAGGGGGTAGTGGAATACCAATATACGAAAAAAAAAAATTCCAAATTCCTCCAAATATACCCAAAAATAATCGAAGCTTTGAATCTTTGACGATTAAAAATATACTGAATACCCATATTTAAGCTGCAATATACCGTATACCCGATTTAAAACGCCCCTGAATACCGAATACCCAAAAACCCTGGCCGACCCTGAAAAGTGGAATAATGAAAGAATTAACGGAAGAGAAGATTAGAAATTCAAATTTCATCTGATATTTAGAAAGAATAGTTAGACTAAGACATAATGCATATCGAGAAAGTGATAGAAAAAAGTAGCTTTACCTGTACAAGAATACTTTCACTCCCGAAGTGCAAGAACTATACTTGTTGCATTTTCAATTTTATAATTAACTACGAGCCAAATTTTATTTTTTTTTTTTAACTTAGCCTTTTATGAGGCTGTCAATGTTTTCGAAATATCTGATTTAGCCTCCTCTTTCTTTGTTAGTTGAGATTTTGTTCTACTGCGTTAATATTTTTTTCACAATTGACTCAAGCTCAGTAAAAATAGATGCCAGCTTGGTAGAGAATCCTCACGAAGCTTACATGGTTGAACCTCATTATAACAAATTAGAGTTTCGAAGTGTTTTTGGTTTACGTATTCGTTGGGCAATTCTTCACTTCTAAATTGCAAACAATTGCATAAGCACCTTGCCACAAGAAACCTCCGAGCAGGCTTTTCTTGCCAGTTTTAAGCGATTAGGAAGACCCCAACCCAGGGGAGAGCTTGTTTTCAGTTAGACACGTGAAGTCGAACCAACCTTTAAATTCGTACAAAATTGGAAAAATTTTACAATAATGCATAACCAACTTGAGGCATTTCTATCCAATCAAACACAGGGAAAACTTCTAACGTGGAGTTTTAATCTTTAACCGAACATGTTCGTGACATATTTGGGCTAAAAAGAAAGCAGTTGAGGACAGAGATATATCTCTCCTATGCACCAAAGTTAAGTAGCTTTTATCTAATCAATTTTATTTCTACTCAGTCCTTGTCAAGATCAGATTCTCTCGCCATAACGTTCCTTTGAAGGAACTCTTCCCGGATGAGCCCTCAGTCGGTCACTTCAGCGGAAATAGTAAGGACAATCGCCCTTAATTTGGCCCCAGGCTTCTTCGAATAATGCGACCACATCTACATGAAGGAAAATCAAGAGAAGCTTTTATTGGAGAAAATTCCAGGATAGTTTCAAGTAACTTTAACAGGATATTTCCAGAGCTAAAGCATCTTGCACCACGACCAATCAGAAGAAAGGAAAATAATTAAAGAGCCAATGAGAACTCAAAGTAAAAACAACCAAACTGCCCAAAGCGCGGGAAAACGCGGGCGACCAAGTCGTGATGGGCTTTAATTTTCCATTTGATTGGTTGAAACATTGGCGCGATTTTTTTGTTCCGATCTCAGAGCAAAGTTAAGGATTACTTTCGACACTCAATTGAAAATTTCCCTTAGACATAATAATGAAAAATAATTCGGTAAGTATCATTCATAAGCTTCAACACACCTTCATGTATGGGACCATGTTTAGCACTCTTAAGATTTTCTTCCAAATGTTTCACAGACGAAGCACCAATAATAACAGCATCTGAAAATAAAAAAAAGAACTTTACCCTTGCGGAGACGTAAAATAACAGCATTTCTAAACCATCGGAAGAACAAACAGCTTCCTATCTTTTGAAATTTATTTTCCAAGACAATTACGAGACAGGTTTACACGCTCGGAGGCATTCGTGCAATTACGATCGACAATAATCGGGTGTAAGCATCTGAAAGATACCCAAAGCCTCCGTCAATGAAAATTTTCCACAAGTTAAGCAAAATATTACCTAAACAAGCCGCCTAAAATCATCAAGAAGTGTTTTACTTCGAGATTCCTCTAGCACTATTTCTAAAGTTTACATCAAGACATTCCCTTGCGCAAGGAATTTGGGAAAAAAAGAGTGCTTCGATAGCGAAAGCAAAAACTTTACCTCCACAAGCACCGTCCATCTTTGAATGATGGTACATCCATCTGAGAGATGCGTCAATCAAAGTCACTTTTCCTTCACCATAAATACGATCCAGTGTCGTTCTGAGTTTGTCAAGTAAATCAAAGAATGGCTTCTTCCAAAAACGCTTCACGTACCTGAAAAGAAAATGTACAGTTAAAGCGACAAATTTGATTTGGCTTCGATGCAAAGCTGTCTATCACGCCTACACTTAATTCTAGTTTCCTTTCCAAGCGGTGAAAGAAGTTGTTTGATTCTTTAATAATCCGCCGAGAGCGTCCACGTGGAATTTTTGCCAGGTTTCCTCCACTGACATATTTAACTGTACCTATCTATACCCCAAGGTTAGGAGTGGCACTTTGAAAGCAAAATATCCCTCGAAAAACAGAACAGACGTGATCAGCTAAGACATTACTCACAACCAGAGAGATGATCCAAATGAAGAACGTTACGCCAAGAGGCATCTACGCACACTCGTTAAGTCTAAAAACTGTTCTTAAGCTTGCCTTCAGAAAGGGCGTCATTTCTCACGTCTTTCACGCGAGTGGAGGTAACCGTAAGGCGAGCCCGAAATGCAAAACGGGCCTTTTAAGGACCAATCTCTTACCCCTTCTAAAAATTTCCGATTATCACAACGCTCATTTTATCTTATTTCACTTCTACCGCAACCTTCGATTTAAGAAAGGGAGACGAGTTGAGACGAGGTTGTTGCGAAATTCCCGGAAATTTTCGGGAATCATCGGATATAATCGTTTCCTCAATGACCCTTCCAGACGTCTTCAGGATGAAATCCCCAAAAACTTTCAGAAAATCTCGGGTTTGTATCGCATTCCTCATAGCAACTCACACGTCAGCCCACGGGCCCGTGCCTCCATAACGGCCATGCTGAATAGTTCCGTTCTCTCTGTCTTCGTATCGATGTTTCCCTGTCAATAGTCCACCTGCGAGCTAAAACACAAGGAAACGACGAGTGAAATTTTGGAAGAACTACGATGTGCGAGAATGAGCAAAAACTACATACCGGGTTGTACGCATAGAACGACATTCCAAGTCTTCTCAGGCAAGGAAAGAGTTCTCTTTCAACATCCCTGAAAAGAAAAAAAGTTGCAAAATGTTACACAGGGAATTGAGGGTAACACGTCTGACATGCAAAAGTGTCATCTAAACTTCTTCATATTCTCTTACCTTGTAACAGGATTGTACATTCCTTGATACACTTTAGGTAATGGATAGTTGTTCATCTTGCACAGGTAATAAATCTCTGCCTTTAAAGACACCATACTGGTTAAAACACATTTGATAACGTCTGTAATGGTTGTCATTAAAACAGACACTAGAATGCCTCTTGCAGCAATTTTCCATAACACATTATACACAGGGAAACAGTTAGTTTTGTTTTCCTGAGAGTCCTGATGTTTCCTGCGACAAAGTCGAGGGAAACATTAGGACTTGAGGAAAACAAAACTAACTAGTTTCCCAAAGGATCACACATTGAGTGCTTTGTTATATATTTAGACTTTCCCTGAAACAATCATACGGCAAAAACATGCTGTTGTATTCAGCACACAGGTAACAACTGCACAATTGTATCCTGGTTGGGATATATTTGAATTTGACCAAGGGCATGTGACCAGGAATCAACCAATCACAGTGCTCGTTTTGTTGAGTGAAAGTCTAGGTATAGAACAAAACATTTTGTTGTTTGGAAAGTAAGTCAACACATAAACCCTTTGACCCCCAACAGTGACCAGCATCTAATTTCTCCACACAATATCACCCTTGAATCACACATTATGCTCACGAGAATAAAGGAAATGATCAGCAACTAAAGAAGCTCTTGATTATTGAACAAATTCTCCTTGTCAGCACCTTAGGAAATGTATAGAGAACAGTACGGAGAATATGCATACTGATGTTTGGGTGTAAAGGGTCAAAAAAGCCGTATCACTCAAACTCCTGAACTCTTTTATATTTCAGAAAGTATAACACTGTCATTATCTCCATTTAAAACATTATGTTACCTTGAAATAAATAGCACATTAAGACATTCAACTGAAAATACAATTGACCAATAACAAATGTCACTTACCACTTCCCATGAAGCATAATTGGAAAGACCAAAAGTTTTGAATTTTCCCTCTGAAATCAATAATGAAGAAGTCATTTTAAGTCAAAAAATAGTCATTAGACTTTCAGAATACAGCAACACATGCAATTAAACACATGAGTGAAGAGGAATCTGATTGATTTAAGGCAATAATTAGCCTTAATTACCTTTGTAAAGTTGATTGACAGCTTCAAGTGTCTCCTCAATGGGTGTGTTATGATCTGGCGCATGGAGGTAAAAGAGGTCCACAGAGTCTCTCTTAAGTCTTTTAAGAGATTCATTCATCTGCTCAGTGACTCTGTCATACTTCAAGCCTGATGAAATAGAAAAGTATCCTTGAGATTTAACATCAGACATATAGACTAAATCCTGTGATAAGCAGACCACATTTTGAGTGCACAAATCTTCCATCAGGTGGACACAGGTCCAAATCCCAAGTTTGTCTCCTTATTTTTTATTAACAGACTATGACCAGTATTCTTTACAAATCTGGTTCCACATTTTTGTCTCATGGAAATGCAAGAACCAGAGATACTGTACATGCATACATGTCTATCAATACTGAAACAGACCTTTATCACTCCATGGATTAGCCTTTGTAGCAAGAAATACCTGGTGAATCAAAAGGTAAAGGACTCAGCTGAGGATTACACTGCTGCTTACCTTTGAGCTGAAAGAAAAATGGCTTGACAGAGTTGAGAGAAGGAATAATTAGAACATTGGTATCAAACCAAAGATCAGCAAGTCCAGGTTTGTGCCTATAGCAACAGTCAAGGAGTTGTGCTAATGATCAATAACCATGACTCAAAAGGTACGTCATGCTACCCAAAAGTGAATCATACTTCCATAGAAAACATTAAAGGAAGTGTTACTACCCCACTGGGGAGGGGATAGGTTTACTTATGTCTTCCCTCATGCTGGATGGTCTGAAGGAATGTGTTTTGTTGTTATGGACTTGCATCTCAGACAGAGAAGCAGTACTCTTAAGTTGCTTAATTCTAAAGATGCCCTGTGAGCCATGCTTCTCAAATGATGCTACTCCATCAGAAATATTCTTCAATTATCATCATCTTTCCTAGTACCCCACCCAAATATATCAATGACTAACCAAATAGTAAGACCACAGACCTTGGGATCTTTAAGAATGTCCATTTCTCCCATAAATTCTTCACTCTTCCCCCCAGCATACCTGTAGTAGATATATCAATTTCCATAAACAATTGCTATAACATCTTATTCAGAAGAAACTTTGAGACAAAAGAGATTTAATGACATTTTCCACAAGAAACAAAGAAAAATGCAGCCTGACTTCATTAGAGCTATATTTCAGTCACATGCAATTAAATTGTAATTGGTGTCAGATGAAAACACCACACCCTAATTTAATTGTGTAATTTTTCCCCATTACTCATCTCCTTAAATGTATTATTATACTGCAGGAAGAAGTGACATGTTGATCATCCTGTGAGAAAAAGGGTAACAAAACTATAATTGTAATGCAGAAAATTTCCACAAAATTTTTTATGCAAGGCCAATCTGATCCAAAACACAAAATTAAATAAAAAATAATTAAATATATGATGTAAGTGTCCTTAACCCTTTAAGTCCCAAAAATAATTAACATGTAAGTTCTCTCTAAGACATCCATACAACATCCAACAACATCCAACAAACACTAAGATAATGAGAATAATCAAACTTATCACCAATTTCTTGTCACTAATTTACAAGAGAACATGTAGTAGATAGAAGGGAGAATTTACATTCTGATCTTTGGAGATAAAGGATTAACTACTGATACACAAAATTAATAAAAGAAGTATACTTACATGTAAGCTGTGTCGAAATCGTACACGTCATTTTTCAGACAGATTTTTACAAACTCTTTGGACTGAAATCAAATGATTTAAATGACTACTAATTAGGTAGAAACTGAGAACGTTTAAACGTCTTAATTCAAAATAAAAAGACAAGTAAAGAATTTGGAGCTTAGCTTTTTTATACCTGATCGAAAGTACATTGCCGTCCAAATTCCAAGCATCCAATCGACGTCTTCACAGGAGTAGAGGCCATGTTCATAAATGGCTTTAAAAATGTTCAATAACTCAAAAATTTTTATCTCTGGAATCTTCTGAGAGGAAATCTGAGGTAAACAGTAGTTCTACTCTTCAAATTTCGCGGAGCCCTTTTGAATCCACTTTCTGTTTCGACTTCAAATGGAAAGGCCTGGTAACTTGTCTTCCGTGTCATGACGTATTTTTATCACGCTGTCCGAAAATTTGTTGTCACGCAATGTTGTGTCGAGTTGGTTGTCGGCTCAGTTCCCTAACAGTATGTAGACTGCTTTCACGTCATCTCACAAAGGTACGTGTTGGATCTCTTTGCCCAATTATGTTATATGACTCTTTCATCAGACTTTGATCAAAGAAATTGCGCGACAGTCGGTTCAAGATGTATGGATGGGTGATCCGCCATGTTTTTCGTGCGCGTCAAATTTTGCGCATTTCATTGACCTGACAAAAAAGGCCAGTAACTTCTTGACAATTTAAAAGGAGCTTAATTTTTAGACGCACCCCTAAATCCTTACCATTTATTTCCTTTTCGCTGAAGAACAATCGTGACCAGTGAGAAATCTCGTCATTCAAAGCACACCGACCGACGCATATGTAAATATGCAAGGCAGTGGCTATGAAGGTGGAAGGAGAAACGGTGTTCTGTAAGTATCTTCGTGTCCCTTCCATCAAAAAACATTGCCACTCAGTGTTCGATATTCAGTGTCATTTGTCTTTTATTTTTCAGATGGCTGCAGTTCCGGTCAAAACATCGATTGGGTGCATGGAGTTTGGAAGGCAGTGTGCTGCAGATCAGGTGTGGTCATAGATCGATAATTCATAATTATGGAAGATGCTGCAATAGGCCATCCGTTTCGCATGAGCCCCTGAATCTGAGGACCTTTTTTTATTGAAATATACGTTATACGAGATAATTAATTTGCGGTGGAAAAACTGGTTTTTTTTTGTTTTTTGAGTAAGTAAAAATTTGAATCCTGCTCCTCATTTAAAAAATCCTCAGATCCACCCCTGCTCAGTTATAAAAGCCCCTTCCTTATGGAAAGTTCAAGTGTGAATTCTCATCAGAGAATATCCTAACAAAACAGATATGCTCATTTTAATTTTTTTACACATTCTATTTTTTTTTTTTCAATTTCAGGCGAAGCAGTTTATAAACATTTGCATGGAACATGATGTCTATGATTTTGACACTGCTTATGTGTAAGTCATAGCTAGTAAATGGAATTTTGATTAAATAGAGCTCAAGTTAGTTGATAGTAAATGTCTGGAATGATGGAGTGAAATCCAAGAAAAATCAGATATTGTGTGGGTTATGGGAGGGGAGGGGAGGGGAGGGGTTGGTGTTCAAGCTAACTGCATTCAAGTTAGGGGGGTCCTACTGATTATACTTTGTCCCACATTTGTGCACAAACAAACGAAACCCTTCCCAAATGAATATAAACAGTTATGTAGTTTTTGTCTTGATTTTAAGGTATAGTGGTGGTAAGAGTGAGGAGATTATGGGAGATATGGACTGTTTGAAGGATTCCAAGGTATAACTATTGAACATGGTAGAGTTTATCATAAAAGGTTCAACTTCTAGTGTCTGATGCAATACAGAATGAACTTGATTTCTTACAGATAGTTTTGTTTTAATTTAGGTGTTTATTGCCACAAAGGCAAATCCTTGGGGAAAAGGTAATTTTCATACCTCATCTTTACTTATCCAGTGGATATCAAATAATTGATTTTGATGTATAAATAATGCTAACAAACGCTACACAATGTTACTCAGCTCCTCATGGAAGACTCATGCCATAGATAATGAAGACATTTGATCATCTTGTTAGGTCTGAAGTATGACAGTGTGTTGGAACAGCTGAATGAATCTCTTAAAAGACTGAAAAGAGACTCTGTGGACCTCTTTTACCTCCATGCACCAGATCATAACACATCCATTGAGGAGACACTCCATGCTGTGAATCAACTTTACAAAGGTAATTAAGGGACTAAAAAGTACTGTTTTGTATATTTATACCAGGGGACTGTGGTTGTACTGACCAAAATGAGGGATTGGTAGTTATAGGTGCTGCTGTTTTGAATAGGAGTAGATGAAATTCATCAATTCACAGCTGTTTTCATTCAAATTGCTTCTTCATAACTTGAAAACTTTCTGTGATACAGGGAAGTTAAACAAGTGTCCAATTTTAGACACCAGTTTGTGATTTTAGACATAAATGTCCTATTTTAGACACTAGTGTCCGATTTTAGGCATAGTTGTCCAATTCTAGACACTAGTGTTGGAATTTAAACACTTGTGTCTGATTTGAGACTCTAGTTTCTGAGTTAGCCATGAGTATTCAATTTTGACATTAGTGTTGGAATTTATACACTATTGCGTGGTTTTGGATGTTGCTAGTGTCAGATTTGAGACACTAGGGTCCAATTTAGACACCTCACAGGCAAATGGTATGTCGTTGACTTTCAGATTTGGGTGAGGTAACTGCTAATTTACATAGTCTACATCTCTCCTCTCTTTACAGATGGCAAATTTAAATCTTTTGGTCTCTCAAATTATTCTTCATGGCAAGTGGTAAGAGTTTTCATAGGTTTAAGAACTTTTCTGAGTCCTTCATTTTACATTAGATAGCCAACCAGAAAGACATTAAATCCATTTTTGTACATCTAAATAGCATTTTCTTAGGGGGTCATCAGCCTTATTTTACCTGATCTGATTATTTAGGCAGAAATTTATTACCTGTGCAGGATGAACAACTACCCAGTACCAACTGTGTATCAAGGGATGTATAATCCAGTCACCAGGTGAGGGGTAATTAAGATTTTTAGCAGATATTAAATACAAAAGAACATTATGGAGATTTGGCTGAAATTTACAGTGGTTCAGTTGCAACTGAGGCACCCAGACAAAGGAAACCATTCTGAGAGAATAACTGACACAAAAGATTCCAACATGTGTAAACGAGTCGCATGTTATACGATAAGCTGAATTGCACATCCATTTTGATTTGTACTTGCTTATAATCTATTGGAGGACAGACACATAGATGACATCACCTTTAACAACATTTGCTTTTTTATCCGAGAAAAACAAATAGATTTTGCATTGCTGTGGGTTTCTACAGTCATATAATAGATCTCAGTCTCATGTCAAAATGCGGTAAGAGCATCAGTGATACACCCCACTGCATCTCCTATGTTACTTTTTTGTTCTTACTGCATTTTGACGTCAGCTGGGATTTATTATTGAACAGGCGTGTGGCAACATGGAATCTATTTGTTAACCCTTTAACCCTCAAGATCTCATTTAGCAATTCTCCTTACTGTCTGCCATACCATTCTTGTGATGTTAGTTTTGAGAAATTGGTATTGGATCAACTTACAATCCCCTAATTGATATTTTTCTTTATTCTCATCACTTGTCTGCTTGATATTGTATTGATATTGTAAGGAGAAATTCTGTCTTGGTCACTGATGGGAGCTAAAGCGTTAAAAAAGAGAAAAAAAGAAATCTCAATTGGTTGGTTGACTAATGATGTTTACAGCCCTTGGTGCTGGGTCAAATTTCAATTTCAAACCATTAGACTTCTAGGGCTGATTATTAAAACAAATTTTAGCCATTGTTTAACAAAACCACATTCTAAACTATCTTCAATTTAGGTAGACCCTTTATCTGAACATTTAGTTTTGTGAACAGTGTCAAAAGGGCTGAAAGCTAACAGCGTATGGACATTTATCAAAGAGGAAACCTGAAGCCAACTACTTGAGTAAAACCGCAGTTTGGGTCAGACCTCCTGTAAATAACCAGCCTTCAGCATTTGTTAGGTTATGTATGGGTACAGATTTTAGGAGTGTGAAGGGGAAGGGAAAGTTAGTGATATTTTCTTTTCAGTTAACTTAGAGATATGGTGATATGTGTTTTAATGCAGACCTACAAATTATTTTCAGGGATATAGAAAAAGAACTCTTTCCATGCTTGAGAAGATTTGGAATAGCATTCTATGCGTATAACCCTGTAAGTATTGCATGGCAAGAACTTCAGCTAAGGCATCAACCCATCGACCCCAAAGAGTGAAGAAAAAAGAAGCTAAATCTCGATATTGGGAATAAAAGGGAATGTAGGGAATGAATGCTGTTAGAGTCTTGCTTTACACAAAGAATGAAATTGTTATTTTTATTTATTTATTTATTTATTTTTTTTTGCAGTTGGCAGGTGGACTGTTGACGGGAAAACATCGCTACGAGGACAGAGATAGCGGTAACATTCAACATGGTCGCTATGCAGGCACGGGCGAGTGGGCTGATGTGTAAGTTAGCTTGCAAATTCACGGCAAATACTTCCCGAAGCTTTTTCGGAATCTTTTCCGAATATTTCCCGAGGGTCAACTAGTGCTAATAGCTTTTCGTGACTGCACAACCAGGGTGTTTTTCCACTGGGCCTCATCCGACCGTTTGTACATCTAATGATCATGAACATTTTACCTTATAGTTTTCAAGTCTGCGATTCATAATCCGTCTAAATCGTCTCCATATTTATTCATCCTTGTTTCTCCATGGTTTATTATTGCCTCTGGTGTTTTTCTATGTTATCACGCGTATATTTATTATTCATCTACACTATGAAGTGATTTTGGAGGTCCCAAAATATTACTGAAGATTTTGTGGTGTGGACATAAAACAAAGAATTTATGAGATTGCATTTTATAACCTGGTTTTGCAACCACACAAGCGTATAAGCCAACATGTGCAGATCTTGGTCGGGTTCTAGACTTCGAGCAGCCTCTCCCTTTCGGTGCTCGAAAAGTAGGGGCGATAGACTCACTCACAAGAGTTCCGCGCTAACATCGTTTTTGTTTTCGCTTATTTTTTTGACTTGCGCGACAGATTTCGCCGAAAGGGAGGGTTTGTTCGTAATCTGGTCGGATTGTATACTCTGATACTCTGCCATTGAGCCACAGAGGATTTGTTTCAGCACACACTTACGGTGGTTAGCTCGCATTTAATTTGTGCTTGTGCTTGTTGTTCAAGCAACAACATCCGTCAGCATTACAAAATACTAAATAGCCCAATTCATTAGTCAGTTTCCAAGTTGTTCGCACACACTGGCCAATTCAAATCAACATTTTTTCCAGCTACGTGAAGCGTTTTTGGAAGAAGCCGTTGTTTGATTTACTTGACAAACTCAGAACAACACTGGATCGTATTTATGGTGAAGGAAAAGTGACTTTGATTGACGCATCTCTTAGATGGATGTACCATCACTCAAAGATGGACGGTGCTTGTGGAGGTACTATCAGTGTTTTCTCTGATTTTCTAGTACTATGGTAACTCTGGTTCCAATAACATTCTTCCAGCCAGATTCGTTAGTTTCTTGATATGGCCCAAGTAGTGACAGATAATTTTAGATTCGTGTGTTGTAAGTAGGACACTAAAAACGTCTGTGTCCCGATGAACGCTAAACCTGAAATAAGTTAAATCATACACCCGTTTTGTATGTTACTTAAATATGATCTTTAGGGGGACAGAGGCTTAGATGATGTTTTGTGCAGATCTCCTACTTTTGCTGGGAATCGTCTTAATTCTCCTGCATAAACCAGTAAAAAACTAGAAAAGAAAGGGAAAGGAATTTTTGAAATGTTAACCCTCAGATAAGTCCCCCTTAGGCTCCTGACACTGAAGTCTTCCTCCAGTTCGTAAGCTCCCCCATTTAAAGCCTCAGGTTTCTTACGAGCCCTTCCCCCCCTCCCCTTTCCGCCCTAATTAGATACCTTGTTCTATTTCATTTCAGTGCTACTGGTTTTCCCGTTTCAGATGCTGTTATTATTGGAGCCTCGTCTGTGAAACACTTGGAGGAAAATCTTAAAAGTACAAAACACCCACCCTTACATGAAGGTACCAGCAAATTCTGTTTACCATAAAATTATGTGGAGCATAATCGAACGGGTTCCTAAAAAGTACTTATTCGAAGAATCTTAAGCGTAGCGGATATTAGTGGTATTATCGGTACGCTTCTGTCTCCACAAGGAATTATGTCAACACCGTACTTTCTCCATTCTCTGCAGATGTAGTGGGACTTTTTGAAGAGACCTGGGGCGTACTTCAAGGCGACTGTCCATTGTATTTCCGCTGAACCGAATTTTTAGTCACCGAAGGCTCATCTGACCTTTGTCTTCATGTCGTGATGTTTCCTTCACCGAGCAACAGATGTACGCTGTACATCGAAACCAAGAATTAAGATTTATATCAGAAAAGTGAGGAAAAAACAATAAAGTACATGCTATGGACATGAGAAAGAGGTGTGAGGACCTATAGAGACGTTTCTCGACTAAGTTTTACAACCATCTTCGGCTTGTTTGGACAGAAAACTAAGAAAATTACATCTTGGAACAGTGGTAATGAAAGGTTTTTAAACGGTCGGATGACTTGTTCTGGCTTCACTTGTCCGCTTTAGTTATAAAAAATATTATTACGAGGGTGATCAAGAGTATGAAGAGATTTTTATTGCAATAGTTTCAATTTAGGTACCAATTTAACTGCAGGATGTCCCCGATAACTTTTAAGAAATAAGTGGCCTACTTTCTAAAATGATTCGATTGATTACAGCAAAGCATCCTCTAGTACTTTAGTTTTTTGTTATTACGCTGTGATTGGCTGACATTAAGTTCGTACTATTTTCGCCAATTACATGCTTACAATACTAAAGCCGATCGGAAACTTTGTCACACACATTTCCCACGCATGCGTACTTTCTGTGATTTCCTCGGTAGTTTTGATAGTTGTCATTGGTCAATGTTATATTTCTGTCACGTGGAAAGTCACTCTGTTGTTGTAATTTTCTTTCTTTTTGACAGGGGAGGGGTAGGGGATTCACTTTTGTATCAACGACAGGATGTGGGTGGGTATTTATTTTAAAAATTAATCCCCCTCTTGGAAACCAATTATTATCATACTTTGACAGAATAAAAAATTTTCGCAACAGAGTTAGGCTACACTTGAAATTGCTAATATGTCAGAGGTGAATCGATGAAGCATTCGCGGCTAAAATATGAAATCTTTACCCGTCTAGTCCCTTAGTGTCTCTAATAATGGTCAGGAAAACATGATAGGCATCAAGCAGCGTTTTAAATGTCACTTCCCAAATATTCTTAAAGAGCTTAACTTAAATTTTTGCCATTTACGTATGTGAATTGTTATGGTCCTAGTTCGCCTATGTTTACTGTGATGACGCTATATGATTTTCTAATGATACATTCGTTCCCTGAAAATTATCACTCAAGACTGGAAAAGTCAAAAGCACATTCATTAACTGGCTCGCGCTCCACAGCTTCGACTTTTTCCTCTTCAATGAAATCCATAGGGGCACTTTCTTGTACCTTTTCTATTACTGGCACTGTTAGTAGATCCTCCACGGGGATCCCAACCTTCTCGGGTTCATCTTTGGCAATTTCCAGTCCCCTGTGGTAGCGAGGCTTTCTACGTACTTCCAGTACAACTATCTCCTCCTCGAATTCATCATATTCCTCATCTTGTTCTTCTTCACTTTCTTCTTCCTCTTCCTCGTCTTCTGGTGTGGGAGGTGGTTGAGGTGATGGCGGTTTCTCTTCTTTTTTCTCTTTCTCTTTTTCCTTGACCACGTCTTCAAGACTAAGAATATCGATGACAGGCTTGTCCCGTTTCGTGACTTGAGGATGGATCTTGCTCTCGTTAGCAACAGGTTCTGGTTCCTTCTTGGTTGTGAAATTTCTTGGGTAATTTAGGTGAACACTTATGTCTGAAGTTCCATGGCTTCGGCGTGTTGTTTCAGGCGAAGACTTTTCCTCCATCCATCCTGGGACGTGAATACGGGACTCCTTCGTCACAGCTGTTATCGGGTGGTCGTTGCCATGACCGGAACTCTTCGTAGAGTGCTCGACTACTGTCGTGCCTCCTCCGCCTCCAATCGTCTTTGTGAAGACCGACCGATGGTAAGATGTGCTGTTTCCGACATTGTCTCCTCCTGTTGACTCAGTACTGATTGTCGTATGGCCTCTGGTCGTAAACTTGGGGTCGTGGTTTCCAAACGGCTGCCTTTTGATGTCGAAGTTGATCTTACTCACTTCATCCGCTGGAGGCTTGCTGCCAAACTGCAGGAGCACTTCTCCGCTGCTTATCTCTTTAGTGGTGGGTCCGTCGTTGTTGGATGTCGTTCTCTTAGTGGTTGTTGTTGTTACAATCGTCTTCTTAATTATTCGTCGAACTCTCCGGCCATTCTCATCGACGAATTCCCTGACTTCCACATCCTCATCTTTGTCAACTCCTCCATGGTTACCTTCCATTTGTAATATATCCCTCGTAAGGTTTTTACCATCATCACCGTTCTCAGATGTTGTTTTCGTCGAAGTCGTTGTCACCGTTGTCAGCACACGTCGTACGCGCCGTCCGTTTTCGTCCGTGTACCACATAGTATCGTCGTCTTCGTTTTCAATATCTACTTCGTCTTTTTTATCCCCTTCGTCTTTTTTATCTCCTTCGTCTTTTTTATCTCCTTCGTCTTTTTTATCCCCTTCGTCGTCCTTAACTTCTTCGTCGCTATCAGATTTCACCACTGTGCTTCCGTTTTCTTTCACGGTGTCTTCCGGCAACTCTTCGGGTTTTAGTAAGTTAATGTTTTCGTCTGCGTTCGAGTCTTTATCAGCGCCGTACGCGACTTTAACCCGCGGTTTTTCTTCGGGTTCGCCGCGTAAACAGCACGGGCAACACCACCTTAAACAGGCTGTAAGAAAAAAATTACAAACGTCATCACCATTATTATTACTAACATCATCATCATTTATTAGTCACTTCAGAAGTAACATTTATACAAATTCAATAGTATGGTAGAGGGGAGGAGACCCACAAGAAATCTTCAGGCTTCTGGGGGAGGCTAGCTTGGTTTTTAATATGTTTGCAATTAGGTTGTGGATGTGCAGCTTGACCAATTCAGATTCATTTCATTTAAAATTCAATCATCTGTTTTTTTTTATGTAGAAAAGCTAGTCGAACCATTGATTGATATTGGAAGAGAATTCCAAATTTTAGGACCTCAGTGGAGTATTGTAAACTGCTTAAGATTAGAGAAAGATTTTTTTTCGTCTTGTCACGAGCGTAGGACAAAGAAAAAATTCCGAGTCCCCATGAGAAATCGAACTCAGACTTTCGGATTCCGCGCTCCAATGCTCTACCACTGAGCCACAGAGACTTCGCGGTTGAGCATCGGAGCGCGGAATCCGAAGGTCTGAGGTTTGATTCCTCGTAGGGACGAGACGAAGAACATCTTTTTCTATTTCTTTAGCGAGCTCAAAACTTACCATCTCTCTCATTTTACTCAAGATTAGTCTAATAAACGTGAGTGGATAAACAAACAAATATTTTTAGTGGGTGCCAACAATCCATATATCCGCTTCTGAAATTCTATCACGTTTATTTCAATAGTCGTTAATATCAATTGTGTCTTAATTTAAGGTTTTGCTGTGATGTGGTGAAGCTATGGCGAACATTACGTCAATTTATATCGCCTGCGCCAAAGGGTCAGTGCTTAACTGAGACGGCACTTCACCCATCAGATATTGGATCAGGGGAGATTAAAATGAGGCGGAATCATCTTAGATGTAAAGCTAATACAATTTTACACTCTCCGACATGGAAAAAAGTTAACTTTTAGGTTTACAAATTATGCTGTCTCGTATTAAGTTGGACGTTGTTTTAACTTGTAAAATGTTTGATTTTGAGCTGTCGTCAGTGAAGCATAAATCGATCTTGAAAGTTTGAAAAAACACCGCAAACAATGGAGACTAAAAATAAACGTAGTATTCGAAATATCGCTTTCTACTCAAACGTGTGCGTCATTTATCTGTTCTCTCACTCAATTGGTTATGGAAAATTTGGGCTCTATGCAACATTAAAACTTGTGCTTTTGCAGTAACTTTCGAAATAGCGGCATAAAAGGTGTATTTCGCTTACAGATAACTTGATTTCCGCCGGAGGCATCGTGCCATATGGCGAGCGAATACGATCTTGTGGATTTAAATCTTCCTAAAGATTTCCAACGTAATAAAAATGTTCTCTGAAAAATTCTCCTGACTTGCTCCTACCGAGAAAGCAATGGCAAAGAACTAAAGCATATCTAACCCTCCACAAAACCAGCGGGATAAAACGATTTCGACTCTTATAAACACAATTGTACACCAGCGTGAGAATCAAAATAAAGTATCGAAAATTCCTTGATCCGCAAAGATCCTCGCTCCAGAATCTGAAACACTTAAGATTTTAAACTTTGCAACTCTTCTGGTGGCAAAACAATCCACTGTCCAAGGTGCATAACGAATGAGGATCTTAAAACCTACCTTTCATCGTAAATCAAGAGAATATTCCTTATTTACAATCTGACGAAAAGCGTGGAAATAACCGATGTATGGAAAGAAGTGCTTCCTATAATCCAGGGGGTTTTTGGTTAATCCCGTGATCTCGTGATCGTACCGTGATACACGCGAACTTTATATTTCGATTTTCGTCGTACTCTGAACTGAAAAGGCGCGGTTTTGTGAAAGCACAGTGAATAATTTCGATACTTAATTGACAACAGAAGCGACCAATGAAGCGTGTGAAAATCTGCGAATGAGCTAGACGTGGCGGACCACGTGTAAATACCGATAGAATGCTGAATTTACGTGGATTTACGAGGCGTCCACGAACTACCCATATACACGCGATCAGATGCTGTTAAAATTTCGTGGTTATGGTATTAAGAATTCCATTGCGGTGAAATTTTTAGGCACTTTCATTTTGAGTTCCCAGATCTACACGCATCATTGTGCCTTGACGCCCATAATTTTCATGCAAATTTTATTGCTTAACGGTTCTTTGATTGATTTACATGTGAAATCATCCGTGACAGCATTGTGTTCACGCAAGCATCTGAGGAGCAACGGCTTTTAAGAAGTAATCTCATAGTTTGTTTATTTATTTATTTTTTTTGAATGAAGATTAAAATAGTTTTTGGAAATAAATTTTGCTACGCAACTCAGGTAGAAATAGGTAAACCTCATATGCCAAATTCTAATTACATCCTAACTTCAGGTCATGTCGAGGAATCAATTCAGGAATGTTCGCTTAAAAACATACCTTAATCGTTCTTAAATTTAGTTCAGTTGCAGAATTGAAAGTACTGTTTTAGTTAAAGTAAAACGATTCATACGAGGTTACATTTAAAATACAGGACAAAGAAGAACAAGTCTTGCAGTTCTTGCGACTGCCATAGCAGTAATTATAAACCTTGATAATGAAGTGAAAAAAAAATCGTGCATAAATCTTACGCAGTAATGAACTTTACTTAAATACTTATCTCAAAAAGGTTTGATAAATGATTGAAAAGCTCACCGAAAGGAATTCCAAACCACACCGCCGACCTCCTTGCGGCGTACCGAGGTACTCTTGCAGACATGTTGTATATACGACGAGGTCTTCTTTACAACTTTGTTATAATAATAACAAAAGTGGGTTGCTCAATTTATGAATATTTATATGTAATTTAAAAAAAATGGTACGATGTGTCCGCTGCACAATATATTTAATTTTACCAACTAAAAACAAGATAAGTGATTATCTTTACCATTTTGTTTTCTGTAATTCAAATCAAATTTTGAAAAACACTTTTTAGAGCTAAAAAATCAACAACTAACTTTTATTGATTTTATGCATGTCTTTGTTTAGGAAAGGATCGTGAACTTTAGAACAAACCAGAAACAACAGGAAAGTTGGGTAACAAGAAATATAAATTTTTCTCTGAGCTGTTTCCTAGTGTTTAGCGGTTTCTAAAATTCATTAAACCATTTTTTGAAGAACTGAAGATTCTGGAGATAAGAAATGCATTTTTTAAATTTCTTTTGTTTGGTGTATACAACTTGAAAACCATAAATTATCATATAAAATTCTCGAAGATTGTGCGGTCGCCAAAACCAAAAATGTGATCACGTAGGTATGTAAGACATTAAATTGTTTAATGACTCTGGTAGGGAAGTGGACTGGTCTTCAAGCATTTAAATCTGCCATCAAATCTTCGTCTTTTCCATGTTTACAAAACAGAAAATAGTAGAAAAAATGTAAGTTCCAATGAAATAGTTCAACCTCAAGTACTCTTAAGGCTTCTCATCTGTTTCAAAAGCTTTGGTCGAATTTGCTAGATAGTGGAACTCACTGGTTTTCATCGCTTACCTGTTTCCACTGGTCAGCTAAAAGTTGCTGTAAAGCCAGGTTAAGTCGTGATTATCGTGCCTCACCTTAAGTGCTTCTAAGACACGCTTTGATCTTAATCTCGAACAGAAAGGCTTTGAGGTTGAACAATAAAATAACTCAGCCTTGTCTAATCCACTATGATTTACTGCTGAAATGATTTAACTCTGGATTGTTCGATGCATGATTGGATCGACTTTTTTTATTTTCTTTTGTCAGCCTTTTGTGGTCTCTCCCCCTTGTTTGGTGTTAAGCTCCTTAAACCGAAAGCAGGTTGAACCGTTCCCACTAAACAGTATTGAGGCCCAGGATAAATACTGAACCTGGATCAAGGTTAATCAGTGGTTTTAGAAAAACTTCCAAGACTTGCTGAACTCTTTCACTCCCATGATCTCTTTAGTAATTCTCCTTACTGTTCGCCATACATTGCTTGTAATTTTGGTTGAAAGAATTTGTTATTGAATCTAATAACCCACTAATTAATATTTTAATATATTCTTATCACTTGTCTGCTTGATATTGTATTGATATTGTAGGGACAAATTCTGTCTTGGTTACTACTGGGAGTGAAAGGGTTAAAAACCCTTCATTTCGTTTCAACTGACGCCTTGAATTCTCTAATTCTACCAAAAGTACCACGAAGCTTTCGAGAATGGCATGTTGGATATTCAAGGCTAGACCTCTTGAAAAAGTGGGCGGACGTCGCCTATGCTTCACGTTTGTTTCCATTCACAAGCATTCTGCTAGAACATTCCAATCCTTATTTCTTCCTTCTTCGGTGCCGACCGAAGTCACGCAGTTTCATTTGAGGTCTCGCAAGGAACTGGGAGTCGAGGCTCGCTCCAGATCTCCACACGTTTCTCAAGTCACGGATCTATGATTCAGAGAATCCTGGGAATCGAGGGAACCCAACATATAACTTCGTCCCCAACCCTCACGCCCGGACCCCTCGCGAATTAACACGCTTACTCATTCTAAGTTTAAGACAAGGCGAGTGTTGTACTGAGCTCAAACTTACCACTTGAAAATTATTAGTTACAACCCCTTTAACATATTCAGTCAAAGCGGAATCCTATCGTCAGCTTCTACGAGTTCCACAGCAGTCAAATTGCATAGCGAGGGAGTTTATTTTTTCTCAAACAACAATGCTTAATTGATATTCAATTACTAAGTTTTCTGACTCGTAGCAGCACACAGAACAAATGTTTGCCATAAGTCATTTTCCCTTAGAGCTCGGGAGGTATCAATTCTGAGAGTAGATTGAAGTCGTGTCAAATGTTTTGAAAAGTTAATTGCAAATTCTTCACAATAATACTGATAAAAATCCGCTTAACTTCTTTTGAATCCAGCGGAAGTCACTATATTTGAACCATTTGCGAGGCAAAATTTAAAACAGGAGATGAACTTTGTTCGTTTGTCTCACGACAGAGTCTATCGTGAGTCTATCATGAGACAAACTAACAAAGTTCATCTCCTATCTTACACTACGATGAACAATAAGCACATATTTTATTACAAAATTTAAAATGTTTGAACTTTCTTAGGTTCACTTTATCATTTTTTAGACCAGCGCCTTCGAAATTCTTTTTGTCCTCAAACTAATGCTAGGATTAAATTTCGACTGCATTCAAATTAACTTCCCTACCAATGTCAGACTAAGAATAGAACAACAATAGAGGGGGTTAACCTTCCAGACAACAATTCCCTGGTGATTTCAAAATAATATAAGGGCCTTGCTTGTTCATAAAACATATTCCAATCGGCCTCAACGTATAATTCTTGAGCAGGGCTTTAACACGCAAAGACAACCGTTGCAAATTTGCTAGGCTTGGCAAACGAGGACAAAGTGAGTGCTTGCGCTGCAAACAATGTGATCAAATGTTAAATTGTTCGCTTCTAAAACGTGTAATTCCAAACTGATTTGCATGCATCATTCACAGCTCGCTGTCATTACACATTCGTTTTTCTTTTATTAATGTCCTTTCCTTCATTACAGAGGCGTGTTTATCCATGGTCTACAAGCTAGAAGTGTACTCTGGGTATTCCGAAGAAACGCTAGGATTCTAAACAGCGGTGAAAACTCTAACAAACGTAGCAGTTTTTTCGAAATTTCATCAAGCCTGAGCAAAAAGACAGTGCAGATAAATCAAACAAGGTTGAAATTTGCAAACCTAATCAGTGCAGAGACAACAGCGAGTGTAAATCAGAGTAATGGCGAACACAGAACGGCAAGAAAGTCAATCTAGACGAGTGGTGCGAACTTCCATGGTCTCGACCACAACTAGAACAACTTCTGTACGACGTGTGAGCAGTGAACGCAGAGAGGTCAAAATGGAAACTAAAGGCTCGCCTTTTCCGGCGCAAGAAGTTAATTTGTTTACTCGACATGTCTTTGACTCCAGCACGGAATCTATGCGTTGGCAAAGTGGCAGCAACAATAGCATCGACTTCAACTCTTTTGATCGGCGATCACTCCCATTCAACACCTCTGGAGTCGGCAGAACGCAAACTGAAGCCCGAGGTGTGACTGAAAATGGTTCAAAGTCTTCCGGTCGTGACTACGAACCCCCTATGGAGGCAGTCGTCAAAGAAAAATCTGATATTCAGACACCGGAGTGGATGGAAGAGAAGCAATCACCCGAGCCAAAGCGTAAGATCTATGACACCGCACTAATCGATCTTTTGCTGAAATATCCGTTGGATAATTCTCCTAAGGCAAGCATTCTGGACCCGAAGAAGACAAAATACGAGAGTCGAATCCGCCCTGAAGTCGCCAAACGAGAGAAAGCAGCTATTCCTATTCTAAGCCTGGATGATTTTGACAAAAAAGATGACAATGATGACGATGATGATTACGACGAATTCGAGGAGGTGATTGTGGTTATGGATGTGCAAAGAAAACCGATTTGGCGAAAGGGATTGGAAAAACCGAAACCACAGCCTTTTAATGTCGGGACTCGCGTCGAGGATCTTCTTCAGCTCCCCGCTGCCAAGCCAAAAGTGAAGCCATACAACGACACTGACAAGTCGTCTGTTGATGAGAAAATTGAGAGTGTGGAACGCCCGCCAGTGGTTCATGAGGGACTGGACCTGGAAGGTATCCTCGAGAACCTGTGACCTGTACAAAGTGTACTACAGTACAGTGCACGAGAAAAGAGGGATATTTTCAGATTTGAATGATTTACACTTAATTCGATTTGATGAATTAAGCAGCGGCTTTTTTCTAAAAAAAATTTCAATAAGTCCACATGAAACAGTTTTTCGAGACTGCCATTGATTTTATTTTTTGAAGTTTCAGTGCGTCGCCTTTTTAATTTGTCGAACCCTTAACAGAAATATTGTGTCACCTCAAAAAGAAACAGCAACAAAACATAATAATCATAGGTGCAAAATACTGAAACAGGAACCACAAACTGAAACTGAAACTAAGCTCTTTTATTTTGGTCTTTTTTTTATGTTTTTACCATTTGTTAACTGTTATTTTTCATGTTTTCATCTTTATCTTTCTTGTTACATTTTTCATGTTTTCATCTTAATCTTTCTCGTTACATTTTTCATTACAAATCAATATGACACAAGTAACGTTTAGTAACAGTACAGTTTCGTTATGTTATTTATTATTCAGGCAGTGCTAACTTGTCACCATACTGATGAAGTGATAAAAGTGTGAGACAAACATTCGTGCGCATCTTCCATAACTTTGAAACCATTGTTTTACATTTATTTTGCGTCTAGAATTTCTTTGGGGGAATTTCTTTGCGGTGATTGGAGGTAAAATACCCAAACCGAAAGTTAAACGAATTTCTCTCTTTAGATGACCGTTTCATCAGGGAGGGCAGAGCCTATTTTCAACTGGGGGAAGCTTGAAAACGAGCGCTGGCGGCGCGAGTTTGTAGAGAGAGCTGAGGCCATCCTCCCCCAGAAAAATTTTAAATATACTCTACATAAGTACCAAGAGAATGTAGTCTCTTTTCCGCTCCTTATACAAGACAAAGTAAGACGTCGTCCTTGCAAAAAGTGTCCACACCCCCCTCCCCCCTCCCCCCAGCTCCACCGTCCCTGTTCAGTTCGTGGAAACATCATATAGAACCGTCCATCTTAGCAATTTTCCACCCTGATTTGGCTATTCTAGCTTCAGCACCCTGCTAATAATTGTGTAAGAAAATTGGATAAAATTCTTTTTCAAGAGTAAATGATAGTTGTGAGGTGGGGAAGGAGTTTAGGCAACCCACTAAGCGGGAGGGTGTGAAGGAGTATTTTAAAACCTTCTCATTAAAAAGAGCAGACCACAAGAACTTTCTGGAGGGTTGCAGTAATGGAAAGAATGGAAAGCAAACATAGCAGTTGGCTTGTGATGAGCTTGTATTTCTTGAAAGGTAGATCTCCTTCCGACTCGGCCCATCCTCTCTCCTCCGTTTTCTTGCTGTCATTCACCAGTGTCCAGTCTCGCACCACCATAATAACAGAGTACGACTTAGAGCATCAGCTAACCACTAATCTGTTTTATGAACGAGTTAATAATGTAAAATGGTAACCGAAGAGAATTTCTAAAGCTGTTTTTTAGCGCGTTAGCCTTTGTCAGAGCGAATGACAAAGTTAAGACGGTGACATAATGCTCGCATAGTCAGCTTTAGAAACTCTTTACGGTGGCCAATTTACATTATCGACTCAGGCGATAAAACTAATTACCCCCAACCGATGCAGCATGCACTTTCTTTAGAAACTTACCCCTTTATTTATTAGGACTATTGGACGGTTTGAACTCCCACGCTTTCGTTCTCTAGTGTACGAATCAGGCTAGAGTTAAAGCACGCGTATTCATTAATTTTTGTTTGTTATGACTAATTTATTGTCAAAGTTAATTCAGTAACAGCTTAAACGATTCTTACACCGCACAACCTTTAAAATATATATTAAACTACAATGATTGTGTCCATGGTTTGTCATCACGCCGCTGTTTCTCGAAGGCTACCAAAGCTCGCTTCGGTGGAACAAGTGAGTCGGTTACTCCTGATTTTCGTTTCTTCTTCGAAGGTTCCCATCTTTCTTCTCCTTCGTCTGGTTCGTATCTTGTCCCTGCAGTTGAAATAGTTGCAGCTAAACTAGGCTCTCTGGGTTTTTCAGTTCCAGGATTTACAGATCCTGAATCGATGCCATGCAAAAACTTACAGCGGTCTCCCATTCTGCATCGTCCTTTCTGAAACTTGAAACAAATCTTATTCGATTTTTGTTCGTCTTTTTCAGATTTTCCTTCCGAAAGTTGTACATGTTTCTCCAAAACTGATAGTTTCTTTTTCTCTTCAGCAAGAAATGGGTTAAAGAACACCGAAGATGTCTTGTAAGCTCGCTGGTTGAGTTCCTTAGAGACAGATCTAGATGAACAACTATCTGTATTTACATCCAACGATGGTAATGGAAGTGGTATTTGAGCTTCTCCTCCCTTATTGCCGGAATTGTTGTCATTGATACTTGTACTAGATTCGCACTCTCTACTATCTTCCTCATCAGATCCAGAGGAACTGCTAGAATCGCTGCCATAATCCGGAACAAGTCCAAGAAGTGACATACTACTAGTAGACTAATTTTTCCGCCATGTTGGATTGTGCCTTGACGAATGAGTACTGTCTGGGGTGGGCCTAAGAAAAATATGAATTGAAAGAGTTGGCTCCGATTCAAGGGATGTTTTCACACTTGGATATTTGAATTTAAAAAAAAGTACCTCATTGTATTCTATCTTTTGAGCAAAAGAGAAATTTGGTTTGTTTTGCGCCGTGATAAAAACAAGTTTGAATTTATTTCACCCTGGTCAGGCTTTGCTTAGCTCAGACCCAGTCTTCTCAGTCTGCACGTGGTGCATGTTATCAAAATGGCAAGTGAGAACACAGAAGAAACGGACCAAATATTGGCTGAATTTTTGTCCTGGTGTGAGCGAAACGACCTTAAATTAAGTGAAAAGGTTGGTTAAAAAATTAAAACTGGCATTTATTGTACTAAAGTGTCCCTCCTTTGTCTAAAAAAGAGTTGGTAGATATTAACATGTTGGCCAAAATCAGCTGCTTACTCTACTGATAAAACATAAATTTTCACCAACGCATCCACGAAAAATGTTTCTTCTAATCGCATCCAAAATTGTATTGGATGAAAGGAAACAGTGCAGGGAATTAGGGCTGTTATGTCTTAATTTTTTTTGCCTCTAGGTGAAGGTTGGACTGAAGGGATCTTGTCATCGTTATGGCATGACAGCTGTGGAGAACATTGAGGAAGGGGAATCCTTGTTTCAAATTCCACGGTCACTTGTTTTGCAACCGAAGACTTCATCCATCTCCAAACTTTTTGAAGATTTATCTGATGAGGATGAGTTTGAATCAGAAAGAGGGTAAAGATAATTACACCTGATGTTAGTGGAAACGGCGTGTGTTGTTAGTGTTATTTTTTGGGGGAAGTTGGATCATTCTGTGTCTTTAGAGTCAATAGGATCTTGCTGTGCTGAAAGGAGGGAGAGAGAGAATACCAGTTAGAATAAAAGTTTAAATCAGATTGTTGGTGTGACTTAGAGGTATTTTAATCTCTATGTCATAATCATTTGATGTGCAACCCCATTCTAGTAACTTCATTGAAAATGCAACTCCATTACAGTCAATTCAGTTGTGAAAATGCAACCCATCCAGTGGCACATCCCCATAAGCCTTTTACGAGGAAGTATCCCCTCTCCTATACCTAAAACCTTACCTGGAAGGGGGGCAAATTAGTTGTCTGTTTTAAAAATGTGGTGAAGGAGATGAATTTGGGATTACTCAGGAAGAAATTCAAGCTATGGTCAGAGTGGGTATTGAACCCACCATATGCAGATTTCAAGGTTTACACTCTCACCACTCAGCCAGGCTGCTTCTACTGTATAATTAAGTTTCGGCACTGAGTTGATAACACAAATTGACCATTGTAAAGAGTCTCAAAGCTGAAGTTTTGATCGTTAGCCTCTCATTAGAGTGTTCACCCTCATCTTTCATTCTGACAAAGGGCTAACACTCAAAACATCAGCTTTTAAACTCTTTACGGTGGCCAATTTCCTCCATCAACTCAGTTGATAATACTGAATTACCCTGTTATACTCTCCCACTGACACTGCACCACAGTTCCTTCAGAAACTTACCCCCTTTATGCTTTTACTGCAATCACCTATTACTTGAGTTTTGGTAATAACCCAGTAATGTTCTTTAGGTCTGGCTGGGCTCCTCTTCTCCTGACATTGATGTACGAGTACACTAATCCAACATCTCACTGGAAGCCGTATTTAAACCTGGTGCCTGAAGTAACAGTCTTGGACCAACCCATGTTTTGGAACGTAGAGGAGAGACAAAGAGAACTGAAAGGGACTGGGATTGAGGAAGATGTTGAAAATGATGTACAGGGCATTGAGGAGGAATATAATACTACAGTTTTGCCTTTTATTAAGAAGTATCCACAGTATTTCAGGTATCGATCCTAGATTAGGAGTTTTATTTTTAAGAAAACAGATTTAAGAAAGTTGTCAAATTTATTTGGTATGAATAAGTTCAATTAAGAAAATTTTTTTCCGAGTGAAGAATGGAACCAATAGGTGGAAGTTAAGGAAGGAAGTGGGAGGGAGGGGGGTGGGGGGGGTGGGGGGGAGGGTCATTTTATATTTCATTCCTGCTACCCACCCATATGAATCCACCATTTACTTTTCTCTCTTCTCCTATACCTCTCACCTCTCTTTTCTTGGGCTTCATTCCACTCTCTCTCCACCAGAGACCCTATTTGTTATTGGTCTTATGTTCAGCTCATAAGCAAAAGGGAACTTGAGGCCTTTAGACACAATAGAGGTTTTTTTTAAGGCAAGCATCAAGAAGATCAAAAGATTGCTGATTGTGTTGTAAAGGAGAGGGAAAGATGGTGAATTTGAGACCCTGGTGCTAAATTAACCCTTTTACTCTCAGAATTGATTAACATGTAACTTCTCCCCATTATGTCCATACATCATCCAGCAAACAGGTGATGAGAATACTCAAACTAATCAGGTGGAAGTTGTTTTCTTGATCTAAGAGGGAAATGAAATGTTTAGCAGCGAGAGGGGAGAATTAACAATCAGTTCTTGGGAGTTAAAGGGTTAAAGAAAATTGTCGCAATTTAAAGTGGGCATCACTAAAGAATTAATCAATGTAAATTATTTTCTTTTTGGTTGAAGCGAGTCCTGTCACAGTCTTTCTCTGTACAAACACATGGCAGCATTTGTCATGGCCTACAGTTTCACTGAACATAAGTCAAGTCCTGATGATGATGATGATGATGATAGTGAAGATGATGATGATGAAGATGAGAATAATGATGCAGCTCCTGCCATGGTGCCAATGGCAGACATACTTAATCATATCAGTAACAATAATGCTCACTTGGAGTTTGGTGCTCAAACTTTGACAATGGTGGCAACACAAGATATTCCAAAGGTGAAATCAATGTTGGTGAATTTAAACTGGATTTGTCGTATATGTATGATCGAGGATAATTTATGTAATTAGGCTTAAACCCTTAAACCTTAGCATCAGTATGTATATTCTCCATGCTGTTCTCTACATATTTCTTAAGGTGCTGATAAGGAGAATTTGTTTGACAATCACAAGTTTCTTTAGTTGGTGATCATTTCCTTTATTCTTGTGACCTAGGTGTTTGATTCAGGGGTGATATTGTAAGGAGAAATTAGATACTTGTCACTCTTAGGGATCAAAGGGTCAAGGTTCTGAACATTTTTATAGATCCGTTTCATAAGGAAGTACTGGTATTTCCACAGACCTGGAGTCAACCTCCCAGTCACAACCATGTCACAATTACCTTACGTTTCCTTCTGTGTTTTATTTCAGGGACAGGAAATTTTCAATACTTATGGTAACCTTGCCAACTGTCACCTGCTGCAGTCATATGGATTTGTGGAGGAAGAATTACCAAATCCATATGACATGGTGAGACATTCATTTTATATCCACTATACATTGTAAGAGGAATTATTTTGTGACAAATCTGTTTTGTTTTCAGGTAGAATTACCCATCAGTGCATTTATTGAGACAATGAAGGACAATCAGTCACAACAGGAGAAAGGAATATTTCACTCTAAGCTTGAGTTCCTAGAAGAAGCAGTAAGTAACTTAATTAGGACCTGTTTCTCGTGGCAACAATACCTTAACAATGTACACCCTAACATCAGTATGCATACTCTCCAGACTGCTCTCTATACTTTAACTGAGGTGTTGACATGGAGAATTTGTTTTACAATCGAGAGCTCTTTTAGTTGGTGATTATTTCCTTTATTCTTGTGAGGTAAATGTGTGATTTAGGGCTAATATTATGAGGGGAAATTAGATGCTAGTCACTCTTTGGGTTCCAATATATGGATTCCCCCCCTCAGCAGAAAAGTTGTTTTTCTGGAAAGTGTTTTGTCACTTATAACTTAGCCTGCAGAACATGTGTACTGGTAATTTTTTTTTTTGAAATGAAATCTTTTAGCCACTCCTCCCCTCTTTTGTGACCAATCATCTTATCCTTACCCTCAATTTCCCAATAGCATAAAAAAGTTGCACCTGTTCAGCAGGTTATTACAGCTTGGTAGTGTTAGTTAATTCCATTGGTATGATATCCAGCTTGCTGTTTTGGTAGGGTGTGGCTTCCAAGGATGATTTGTTTCTTTTTGGACGTGAGGGATGTTCACACTTTGGTCCAGATTTGTATGCTACTCTGAGAGTAAGTAATGCAAATGCCTAATGTGATCAGTTATCAGGACAACAAATCATTGTTCTGTATATCAGATGCTGTGGCTAATCATGACTGACTTGTGCAACTTGAGTCTCATAGCCAACAACAACACAGCTACACTGACCAAACAGTTTACATGAACCAGATTTATATGCTGGACTTACAACAACTCTTCATTAGACTCTGATGATGACATCTGCTTAGGTTGTTGAATTGTCAGTCACTACTACCAACAACAGTCCTTCTCAGGACTACCCTTACCCAGACAATCACACCACAAGATCAAACACTCTTTTCTTGTTATGTATGTTGCATTATTGTGACTGAACTATCTGTTATAATTTTTGTCAAATTTTGTAACATGTTTGTTTTAAGATCCTTCATTTGTCTGGAGAGAAGTTCAAACAATTATTGGAAGAGCAAGTAAAGAAACAGAGAAGTGAAGAATTTGATGACATTGGACATGTGCTGGATCAAATTGACGATGAAACTAAAAAGGATACATGTTGGAGATTCTTGGAGCTTGTTTATAAGGCTGAATGTAACAAAGGGAAGAAGAAAAGGAAAATCAAGGAAAAGGACTTGCAACTGAAACAGAAGAAAATTAAAACTACTGGCTATGGAAATTCAGACTCCATGGAGAGTCTACTGATCAGCACTAAAGATTGTGGTAACAGACACATACAAACTAACAATGGCAGTTTAGAAAAAAACAAAATTGAAAGTGAAAATGAATTAAATCCCTGGTCCAAAGATGATGCTTGTGCTTGTGTGAAGAGAACTTCAGACCCAGGAAAATGTGTTGCTGAGAGAGATGAAGCTTCAGATGTAAAAAGCACAGGGAAAAAGAAGCTGTGCTGTGATGAGGATGGCAAAGCTGGTGGCAGCAGTGATATCAGTGGGGATCGCATAAGTAATGACAATGAAACCAACAGCAGAAATGACAATTATGATGATGATGATAATGACAACGATGACAATGTCGATGACAACAGTAAGGATGATGAGGATGATGATAGTGAGGATGATAGCCAAGAAGAATCTAAACAATCTCTAAGTTATGGTAAACAACACAAGCTTTGTTAGGGCAAGTTACTTTAAGTAGGGTGTGAATCTTGAAGCCTGTGACTGACATAACAGCTAGTTAGTTCTGTATAACTTGATCCTTTAACTCCTAAGAGTGACCAGCATATAAATTCTTCCTTAAATATCACCCCATATTTGAACACTAAGATCACAAGAATTGAGGAAATGATCACCAACTGAAGATGCTCTTGATTGCTATACAAATTCTCCTTGTTAGCATCTTAGGAAATGTATAGAGAACAGTGTGGAGAATGTGCATACTGATGTTAGTGTGTAAGGGTTAAGCTAAGGGTGTGTGTACTCTTCCTGGTTAGGATGTTAGTCCATCACAAACAACTTCTAGCAGCCTGTTAACCCTTTACACCCTAACATCAGAATCTATATTCTCCATACTGTTCTTTATCCCTTTTCTTAGGAGCTGACAAAGAGAATTTGTTTAAAAATCAAGAGCCTCGTTAGGTGTTGATCATTTCTTTTATTCTCGTGACCTTAATGTGTGATTCAGCAGTCATACTGTAAGGAGAAATTAGATGCTAGTCACTCTCAGAGGTTAAAGGATTAAGTTTCCTTGACACTATGCAGCACCAATTTATACTCCTGGATGGAGAGAGGCATTGAGGCTTTAAGGCATTAACTAGCCTTTTCGTGCATGATATTTCTTTGTCATCAACTCACATATGAAATATTTCTTTTTCATGGACATGACAGAGATGATATCTCAGTGGCCATTGGAATGGAGGAGAACCCTTAAAAGGTACAGGATTTGATTGTTTGATGGAGGGAGGGGGCTGGGGAGGATAGAGAGCATGGTGTCGCTTTGTTTGCCAATTGACTAGTTAAACAATTCACTTTCAAGATTTCTGTGATAATTCTCCATGCTGTTTGCCATACATTGCTCATCATATTAGTTCTGAGAATTCAGTATTGGATCAAATGATAATTGATATGTTTTTTGTTCTCGTCACTTGCCTGCTTGATATTGTATTAATATTGTAGGGAGAAATTCTGTCTTGGTCACTCACAGGGGTTAAAAGTCTAACTGAGCTCGCAAACCAACTTTATTTTCTGTGAGTTGTGCTTCGTCTTTGTCTAATTGTTAGACAACTGATACGTAATTTAACGTTTTTACAGTTCTTATCACTTACACCCTTTCCGTTTTCTTCTCACGCCTATAAATGTACTTCAAAGATTTAATCTCTCTAATCATTACCGTTTGCCTATACAAGTGTTGCAGAGTTTTGTGTAAAACAAAGATACGGAGACAGCATTATGAATGAAGAAAATACAGTCAAGAACTGCAGCAGAAGACATCTGTCTGTACTCAGAATCAAGCAAGGACAGAAATCTATTTTCGGGCGCATTTGTGAACTAGCCACTGACGTTAATGCATAGGAATGGTGGAGGAATATCTTGAAGATTTCAAGGTATTTATCATTTGATGTGGCGATTGTTTCAAACTCGCACCTTCAAGTTCTGGTGTCGTTCACTGAAAAATGTATGAGAAGCAAGGTACACACATTTCACAAATGGTATAAAATGAGTTTTTATTACAATCTTTTTAGCTGGTATTTAAAAATACTAATTCTGTAGACAAACATGCATGCATTTGTGTTCAAAAATAACAAATTAATACGTGCTTTATCTTGTCTCTGGAATCAGCTATTTAAGGTTTTCTGAGTTAGTTTCTACAAATCCATCCAAAGTTAGTGTGATTAAAGTTGTCTGTCTTTTTCTACATCTTCATCGGACATCCTTTAGTAACTGAAAAGAAAAGAAATTACTGTATTTAGTTTGTGTTACGAGGACCATAAAATACACCAAAGCTGAACAGGAATTTGCGTCTAGAAAGGCCACTCATCGAAATTTTTACTAAATGAGCGCTGTATCTTTTTTTACTCGAGCATTAATGAAAATATTGTATTCAAAACGTGTTTTTTTATTCACTTCCTTTTCACGTTGCGTGACAGTCATGTGCAGTTTGTTGTCGCGTGATCTTTCGTAGGTACTTCTCATATTATTGACACAGAACGAATTCGTGACAAAATTGTTGCTTACCAGAAACTATTCGATCGGTGGGCATTTTGTTTCACGACAAGTTTTCTGACATTCTTCAAGGGTTTTAAAGTTGTTTCCATTGTTCATGCATCCACCGAAGGTAAACATCTTGCACTTTTTAGTGACTTTGTCGTAGTAGTAACGTATAAACGCAGCCCTGCAAGGTCCTGTGAACTTCGGGAGACAACAGAAAATTCTTGGCGTCGAGTCTAAAGAGAATGCATTCAAAAAGATTGATATTCAAAGTTAGCTTTATTGTGATGTCTCTATTGAACGTCAAAGATACTGAACCACTACAGCCCTCAATGCTAACATTCTATTTGACACAGCCCATCGCGTTCACAATTTTATTCTCAAAAAGGATGACTACACAACTATAATCGGCTTACAAATTATACTGTTCATGTTCATAGACAAACACGAAAACAGGAAAACTACTATCAAGAGGTTTTTTTTGCTTTCAGTCAAAGAACTATTCATTGCTCTCGCTTATCATGCATGTCAAAGTGACCGGATTTCAGGCTTCTTGTTGAGAATATTTTAATTTTTTTCTTATCATGCTCCGAGACGAATATCTAGCCGTTTTGACCTCATGCAAGTCAAGAGCGCAAATGTACGAGTCCAGTGATTTGTCATCTCCCTTTAAGTTACTTAAAATAACAATAATTGTAATAAGTTGATTAAGACTTTTCGCAGTATTTCGCAGAGTAGAGTTTGCGAGAGAAACTAATGTTATCATCTGTTTAATCTATTTTATTGTTTGAGTATTAACCATTTACGTCTAGCATTAGTTCTTATATTCTCCACACTGTTCTCTTTACATTTCCTGTCGTACCGACAAGGAGAATTTGTTTGACAATCAAGAGCTTATCAAATTGGTGATCATTTTCCTTTTTTTTTATAACCTTTGCTTTTAATTCAAGGGTGATCTATTAGGAGAAATTTGAAGCCAGGCCAGTTTCTCGTAAGGGTTAAAGGGCTTAGACACTGGGACGACGTTTTGTTTATGGCGCCATTCATAACTTCTTCCCTTCTCGCTGAAGCCATAACTAGAGTTGATCCTACACAGACGAAAAATATTATTTGTCTACATTAGTGGTTTAAATACCCTTCTTTTGAAAATATCCAAGCCCTTGAACGTAGTTTCTTTAGTAGATGAGGAAAAAATTTACCGAATAATGAATCTTCACTATTAGCGACGTCAATAATGAAAGAGTTTAAGGAAATTTCCTTAAGCAATGGCGTTTAGCTGCTCTGGGTTAAAAAGCTTGTTAAGAAATGAAAGTAAGTGATTGAATGGTTTTCTTAAAAAAATTTTTACATACCTGGCGAATTGACTTTCTTAGGTCCTGGTTCAGTTGATGTAAGTGATGAACTATCTGTATAATGGACAAGAAATGATATCGGTTGAGCTTATAAAACAGATGACGTGTTGATTTCCTCGTCAATGGCAACAACGGAAAAAGAGATATTAAGCAACTTGCTTACCTTCCGTGGTTGCAGTAACAATTAGAAAAAAACAGATAAAGAGAAGATGTACCAGCATGGTGCAAGAAGGTAGAGGTATATTAACTCAACTCCGAAGTGCGTGCAATCACTATAGTGAAATCGCTACACTCTTTGATACGTTATTTCCTCTTTTCAACTTTTAAAGCCGCAGGATATACTTCCGGCACAATGGCTTCTGGGACGGGTTACGTGATGGCCCGCGTGGGCTGTGATTGGCGCATATTTTCAAAATGAAGTCCAGAACACGGACGTTTACTTCCGTGTGGAGTTGTTCAAGATGACGAAACATTTTATTTTTGAAAGTAAAAATGTTAAAAACCGTCGAATCTGTGTACTTTGAAGAAGCATAATTTATCGTATGTAATTAACAATTATTCAACGAAGAGGAGATGAACAGTACTTGCTACTCATTTCCGAATTTGGCAAATAGTGCGCGCGAAAAGTACTATTCACTTGTGTGGTACATACTGATGAAGAATGTTGTTAGTTCGTCAAAATGAGAAATTTCAAGTATAGCGTTGCAAATTAATGTGAAAATTGCGAACTCTTTGCACTTAACTAAACAGCAAAAGCACAATATTTTATTTACTATTTAAAGAAATAGTCTCACAGCTAGAACAATTAGTTAATACAAAGCAATCATCATAAGCTGTAGACATCTTTATTTCAGGAAACTCTCGGTAAATAATTAAAAGCACTCAAAATGCACTACGGTTATCAGAATTCTTCTCTAGCCCTGAAATAAAGAGGAAACCAGTTAGTAAAAAACATGGTAGACCCACGGCAACATGGAGTTTATTTGTTTTAAATAGTAACGAGGCAAAATGTTGTTAACGATGACGTCACTTATGTGTCTATTCGATAATAGATCATAAGTGATAACCAATTAAAATGCTTGTATAATTCAACTTAGCACTATTAAATCCACCATTTCCATCATTCTTTCTACACTTCTGAAACGCCCTTATGAACCCAATGGACGACAAAGCGTTTTTTAGAGAATCGTACCATACTTAAAAACAAACAGACCGACTAAACGAAACGAAAATTGACGCTTAAGAGTCAATAGCGACTGATCTATGTGATAATATGTGGAACAATGTTATGCTTTGTTGTGAACGTGTTACGTTTACAGCAATGTTTATTGTGTTCAGAAGGACAGCAAATCTTAAAACATGGCTTACCAAGGTAAACTATATTTGCTCAGCAATTCCATCTCTAGCACTGTACATTCCGGCAAGTTTTCTTACACTTCTTCTTAGAGGTGAAGTTGTTTCCGTTTCCAGCGCATCCACCGTAGATAAACTTTTTGCATCTCTTGGTGACTTTGTCGTAGTAGAAGCGATTAAATAAAGCAAAACATGATCCTGTATCTGACGGGAGACAGCAATCTGAAAAAAATCCAACACATGTCCAATTCACCCAATGTGACTCGATTCGGCTACGGTAGTTGACGAATCGACTCACCGGAAGTCGAATCGTGGGTTAACGTACCGGAAGTGGAGGGGCATAAGCACGGGAAAATGACAAAATGAACCTTTCTCGTTCTCAAAGCCTCGGACAAATACACTCAATTTGTGTGTATTGGACAACCCTCAAAAATCCAGATGTAGATTACAGCAGGGTTTAAAGCAACAACCATCAAACAGTACTGAAAAAACAGGACTGCACTGGCTTTGATTTTCTTCGCACTGGAAAACTGTGGCTACCCCATCAACCAATCCGATGCAAAACTGGAAATCAATCGCGCGCGTGATTTGGTTACTCACATTTTTCCGCGTTTCAGGCAGTTTTGCTTGTTTTCACTTTGAATTCTCATTGGCTTATAGCCATACTTTCCTTTGCACGGATTTGCCATTGTAATTACTTTGGTTTGGGCCTCACTATACCAGCAGAAAAGCTCACTATTCTAAGAGAACCAGTCAAAAATTATCACCTGCGGGGAGGGGAGTGAAACTTATAGGGGGAACGGAGGGGGTCACTCGTCGCCAACACAGTATAACGAGGGAACTGTAAAAAATTGACTGCCAATGAAGGGGGAATCATGTCACAGAACCTTATGTAGAGATCAGATAAATTTAATCGTGACACGACTTAAATCCTCCTAACCCCACCCTCTCTCTCTCTCTCTCTCTCTCTCTCTCTCTCTCTCTCTCTCTCGTGGACGATAAATAACGACTGATCCCTTAAACCACGTAATCTTAATCGAGTTCAGCACCAACCAAGTGAGTCAAAAAAAAGGAACTAGAAATTCTCAATTAAAGCTCAGAGTAATTTTCAATTGAGCTTCGTAAAGTAATCCGGGGTTGCCTTGGTTTCACCTCACCACGCTCCGTGATTGGTCCAGAAAAAAACTTGTGCCATCTTCTCAAGCAATCAGATGTAAAACTAAAATCTACTGCAAATTGTTCATCGGCGTTTTCCTTGCCCTTTTATCAATTTGTTTGTTTTCACTTTAAGATCTAATTGGCTAATGATGATGTAAACCTTTCTACTGATTGGTTGATGTGATTAGCAAGGATTTGGTCTTTCGACACTCAATTAAAAACGCTATAAAAGCTACAAGGGATTTATAATAAACACGTAAAAGCTAACAAAAGGGGAACGGACATACATATGTCGACACGATCAACAAAAGAGTTACGTAGATTTGGTTAATTACTTCCCTAAGAAACAAGTAGAAAATTTGAATCTCTTGTCCTGACGTCATCACTATTGTGGTCATCTTTTACTCTGGAGAGTTTAGCCAGAGGAAAAAAAAATTTGCTGACCAACTAGCTTCCAAAGGGGACATATCGCTTACCATTAACTTCTTCCTTTTTACATTCTTTCAAACACGATTCCTTCGTTAGAAAATTGTTTTTGTTTCCTCCACAACCTCCATAAGTAAACTTCTCACACTCTCCAGTCAGGCTGTTGTAGTAGAAACGGGGCATCGCTGCTTTACAGAACCCTATTTCCATCGGAAGACTGCAATGGTTTCCCAAGCCTAAAAGGTTGACAGAAAGGTAAAATTGATCCTGATTTCTCAATATACGAACCTAACGAAATTAATTACGAACGAAATTACATCTTATCACTGTTTAAGAGGGTTAAATTATCTAAAATCAGTATTATAACAAAAACATTTCCATTAAACAATCGTGGTCATTTTTTAAACGAACATGCCAACTTTAGCAATGTATTGCGAAATTTTACGCGCTGTCGCATCAACTGTCTGAGTAATAATAACCCTAAAAGAACGTCTGGATGTTCGTCAAAGTTGAGACCGACCTCGACTTCTTCAGAGTTGTTATGTTGTTATATACAAGTGTGTGTTACTCGGACGAAGCTATTCGAGGTAACTTAAGTATACAAGATACTTTCCGAGACGAGGTATCTCCAAATGATGATTTGTTTGCATAATCTTAAGTATTTAAGTGAAATCTAGCGAAATTCACCACTTTAGTAGATAAATACATTATTTCTGGCGAGAATTTAAGAAAAATCAGTCTCGGATCAAAGTAAACAAATCGTTTTTCTATCCCTGGTAGATAATTTGAACACGGAAATCAAATCAAAACAAAAAAGAAAAGACTAACGGCTAAAAAAGGAAAAATCTAATTTGACTTGAACTTGACGCAGGCTCGAATTGACTAGTGATACGATATAAATCTTGGCTTTTTAGTCATTTAAAATTAGTACACGGGTACTCAGATCGGCAGGAAAAGGAATCGATTGGGAGGGATCTTTACATTTTATTCATGATCTATCTTTGAATCACATCTGTGATATGAATAATTGAAATGCGTTTCAAAATCAATCAATACGACAGAAATTTATCTAATTCGTATAATTATAATCGTCTTTTGCATTATCATACCACTCGAAATACACCGTTACATCACCGAAACCCAAAGTCTTACGGAAAAAATCATACAAACCTTTGCCTATCATTTACTGAATGCTATTACTGGAATAATTAAGAAAAATCCGACGAGAAAATTATAGCAAAATACACCGAACTTATTGCTAATATCTTGTTATCCCTCGTTTTACCGTTTCCTCTCAACAACCTATATTATCGATATCGTCATATCTATCGCAGGGGTTTCAATTAAGGCTGGTTTCAGTCTAACGCTGCCATTAAGACCTCTTAACGCCATCTGTTCAGCTTACGTGTAAGATCGCTTGTTTGGGTTTCGCCTTACGACACAGCTGCCTATTTCAGCCGCTTGGGAAAAAAAAAATTAATGAAACCCCTGCTGTTGTATCTTTTTCCTTTTCATCTCAGAACAAATATCACCCGACAAAAGGGCATATAATTATTCTCCAATATTCTTTGCCCTTTCCATCTCTTTATCGTTGGTACTTATCCTTTCCTTGTTTAAATTTATCCTTCATTATAAATGTATTATCATCACGTTGGAAAATATAATGAAATTAAGGATAGTATAGACAAAAGCACGGAAGCAAGGAAATTGAATTAATGAACGTGTTTGTTCTAGTTAGGATCAAAATACAATTGTTATAATTTTTAAACAAATAGATTTATTGTGACAGAAATAATCCTTTCCACCGTGGCTAAGGCAAAAGTCGGCGCGGAAGAAAGCAAGTGGGCAAAGAGTGAGCGGAGGAGAAGTCGCGAAAGACAGACTCAAGAGAGCATAGCATCACCATGTGCCTCAATTAACGCGATCTCTCGCTGAGCTAACAATTTTCCTGATCAGAGAAATGGGAATGGAAAGGACTGATGGGCAAGATAAACGAAAACTTAGTGTCTGTCCCCATATGGAGAAAAATTCATCGTGTTCTAGTTGCTAGGCTACATAACGGCGATCATTAGAACGCGAAATTTCCATGACGAACTTAACTAGTTTCATGTGATGAAATACGAATAAAGGCGATCCATTTCGGCCAAAAAAATTGGTAGATAACAATTTTCTTGCATTTGGTGTCTTTTAGATCGGAATTTCTTCTTCTGTAATTTAGCGAAAAAATTGTTTATTTAGACAAATTTTCTGTTATCACCAGCACTTTACAAGTGCGGATGATTCGTCGCGACTTAACAAATTTTGGCCGCAGCAAACAAACCTTTAGACGCACCGCCGACAAAAATTTGTCGCGGGTAAAAATTTGGCAAGATCGACTCATTAAACAAAACCGTGATAAACTTGTCAATCATTTGTCGTATAAGCTACGACAAACGTGTAATTGAACTGAAATCAGTTTACGAGAAAGACAAAAATTGCCTTTGCTGCAAAACTCGGGGATTCCAAAAATGTTCAAACAACTTAGAATAAATCCTGGAAATAGGAGGTGGAATTCTTTAGCAACTATGCCGGCCGGTCCTATGAACTGCTCAGGCGCTGATGGAATTTGACGGCTTTGAAATTTTTAATGCGGATGCAACAGACAAAACAAAAATTTGTCATGATAAAGTTTGACTTATGATTTTGTCGGCACAATTCTAGTTTTTTCCGCTAATGCGAAAAGGCCCTTACTCAAATTGCGATAACTGTACTCCTTGTAGGTTTTATGAAAAAATTCACTGAAAGATCTGAAACTGTTGGAAATTTCGGTGTGAATCATTTTTTTTTCCTTTTGTATTTTAAAATAAAAACCTTTAGACAAGATATTTCGTGAGCGCTTAATTTGGCTAACCTTAACAATAGACCCCTTAACCGCGTCTGAAAATAAAAATCAGTACAATAATACTCATTTCTACCTGTAGCTAAACAAGTATCCTAGCTGGAAAATCCTTCAAACTTACCACTAGCGAAGTGATGTTACGGCCGAGAAAATTAAATTATTAAGATGAAACGATGAAAAAAGCTACAGAGATTTACTTTGCTAGGGATATGTTTACACTCAATGTCGTTCAAATTTCAGAAAGTAAGAGCAATTTCAAACAGTTTTTTTCTCGGAGAAAATGAATTACTTGACTTGCAATTCTAGGTATCTTCTTCCTGAAGTACGTGTTTTCTTCTTGAGGATTTATAATTTCCCTGCTGCGCGTTCCCATAATTTGACCGTAACTTTTACGAAGACAGTTTACTTGTACCATTTATTGCCATTATAAAACAGGAAATGCATTCCTCGTTGACCGTATTACAAGATATTACAGTCAAACCGGTATTAAGCAGCACGGTATTAGGCAGTCACTCTGTATTAAACAATCGTTTGTTATTTGCTAGTTATGACATAGTGGTCCAACCGTTAGGTGATGATATATAGTAATTTTACGTTTTTGTTCTTTTTTTCACGCCACGCCACCATTTTGTTGATGTAGTTTATCAACGAAGAGTACAAAAATTTCAGATAGCTACGTGGCATAAAGTGACGTTTTTTTTCGCATTTGACCCCTATTCTGTGGAAACTGTCTTCTGCAGTCAGCTCGCCATATATGCATTCCCGTGGGTGACCTGAATGATTAATTAAAAGCGGTTTAACAACTTACCAGATACAGCGGTGGTGGCGACTAAGGAACAGAAAAGTACATAAACCAACATGTCTCCAGACAACACAAACTCGAACTAAAACAGTCTTTCCTCTTCGGTGTCTTCAGTGATTGTGCTTCGACCTACTTGAACGCGAATCTTTATTTACTCTTAATGCAGGAGACTGAGTACCAACTCTAGCGTACGTGAGCTACTATGATTGGTTGATGATTTCAAAAGGAAGTCAACGACACGGAAGTGATGTTACAACGTGCTTGTGATTCCGCTGGATGATTGACCTTCTAAGAGGAGGACAGGAAGTCATGTAACGCGGCGACTTAACAAACGCGGATAGGATAGAAAAGCACTTTGCTACGAAAAAAAAAATGACGTGAATAATCTTTAAGAATTTTGAAATCAAGTTAACCTAGATGAAAATACAACAGGAACTTTTGTTTTAAATCTCTGTTAAAAATTCACAGCGCAAACAGTCTTTGTGGAGCAGGCCCTAAGCTTTCGGCTCAATGAAAGGAATCGCCATTCAAATGTTTCAAAAGTCTTTGATACCACTAGATCGACACCCTGATAGGTAATCCGTTCCCTAAATTGTTTTCTAGTGGTCAGATGATTCTCGGAGTTCATTGACAATTCAGGGCTAAAACAATGAAATTTCAGGTTAAGAAATTGAGCGAGGTCGAAATTTTCAGACAACAGTTAGGTTTGAGCTCTACAGGAATAATTGAGAGATTGAACTCGTATGAGGAGGACAGGACGCTGTCGTGATCAAGAGATAATTACAAAAGACGGGAAACTCTAACCATGCAGCTCTGTTTCCTTAAAAAATAATCAAGAGCCACTGACATCAAATGCAAAATGTTCCTCACGGCTCGGGTGACATTTACCTCATTAGTAACTGTCTTTGCTCTTATCTTACACAGAGAGACTCGAGCAAAGTTGTGGCCTGATGCCAAATTTCGTAATTGACCAAAATTTGGAAAGAAGAACACCTAAAATATAGATATCCCATCGAAAAATAAAAGAAAAATTAGAACCGAAATATGTCGAAAGAATAATCTACGTCCTACAATATCTTGTTTCACCGAGCGTGATCTGGGTGGAAAGCTTTGAAGAAAAATCTCGAGGTGCGCATCTTACAAAACCAAGTTCATATGTTTCACCGAACATTCATTTTGTTATAATTAATTAACAACTTTAACGCGCACGCTGGTTATGTTTACTGTTACGCGCGTTCTCCGTTTGAATTTATATATCGCAATGTTTGTCGCCTAATACGTTTAATTTAAGACGCGTAATCTAGTTGTTCAGTTCAGTTTCAACCAAGGTAACCAGTTATTGTGATAACGGAGGCAGTCTAGAAGTAAGTTTTCAGTTTATTTCCAGGTTAAAGCTTGCGTTTGGGAAATCTCTAAACACCATTGAGAAGGAAGCTATCATCAAAGACGACAATTGGCAAGAAGTATTTTAACATGTAGCTGGTCTAATTGAGGATGACGATAAACCTTTGTTAAAAATGCTAACCAACCTCTTCTTGCGGTAATTTTTGTGGACAAAAAAGCTGACGGTATTGGGAGAAAGAGGAGGGGGTGCGGTTAAGTGCGGACAACGTGTTTGAACAGCAGATGCCAGGCAGCCAAATTCATAAGTGGTCACGATATGTTCAGGTCATGCAGGACTGGAGCAGACAACTTCAAAAAGAGCCATAACTGACACGCAACGGGCCTCAAAGTGCATGCATCACTACGCATGCCCAAATCAATGATTAAAAAGACAAAATACTAGCTTACTTAATTTACTTTCTGACCAAGAAGTAACACTTTTGTAACAATACTGTAACACTCAAGTTATTTACAACAATAATAAATACTACTAAGCGATTTAGACCGTAGTCTCATGCGGAGCCTCATTTGGGTCGTCACGCAGTGTTCGGATATGAATCCAAAGTGTTGCGAGTTGCGTGACAGATCTCTTAAGGATCTGTAGACGTCATGGATCTCTACAAGTCACGGAACGGATCTGAGAATAATATATAACTCATGAGTTGAATAAAGTGACGTCGTGCAAACTCCTAATTAAAGGAATACGAGGGATTTTGAGGCGCTCCACACCAGTTTCCCAGAAAACGCAGCACATCTTGACATTCAGGGCTGTGAGAAACCTAAAGAAGAGCGAAAAGAAAAACAGAGCAATTCATTACAGATATCTCAAAGATTACTTTTCTCAAGTAATGTAGCATTAAACCAATGTTTGACCATTTAACCCTAATATCAGTATGTACACTCTCCATACTGCTCTTTATACATTTCCTTGGGTGCTGACAAGAACACTTTGTTTAGCAGTTGAGAGCTTTTTAGTTGGTAATCATTTCCTTTATTTTTAGTGGCCTTACTGCGTAATTCAGGGCTGATATTGTAAGGAGAAATTAGATGCTAGTCACTCTCAGGCGTCAAAGGGTTAAAGAGCGCTGTACCGAATCTTAGAGGGTAAAAGATATGAAACATGAAGAATAAAGTTATCCAAAGAGAAAGAGTGGATTGGCGGTGAACTAATAGGACAGAAGCGTCTTGTAATGTAAAATATTTTTATAAGTAAGTGAACCTTACCACTGTAAGTATTGTTTTGAGCGTAGTGTTGGTATTTGTAATTTTATATTGTCAGTGTTGTGATTGAAATATATATTAACAACTAAATAAATCAGTAAAAAATAAAAAACCAAGCGAGTTGTGTCCCATTTTCGCCGTGTAAGATGCTGTGGCAAATGTGACAAATACAACTCCTGCATCTCATCTCCACTGTCCAGTTATTAAAACCGCAACCTCCATTTTCAAGAAGGATAGGCACCTAGCCTTCATCTATGAAATATTGTCTGCACCGCTAATAGTGTTTCTTGATAACTTCTCACGAGAAGTTTGTGCTCTCTGATTAGACAATTTCAGTCCAAAATTGCAATAGGCTCACCTTGGTAGCCATGATAAACTTATTCCAGTCTTCTTTGTTCGCAGCCTTGCCCGGTCGTTTAAATTCAATCTTGTTTCGCAGAACAGGATATCCTAAGAAGGGAACGTTTCGTAGTTTAGTGTTCTGTTACACATCCCCATAATGAGTTCACGGTCATCTTTTGTTTTCATTACATCATACAAAAACTACCTCCACCTCAAAGGAGACTACAAAATATAAGTTCAGTGAGATAGGAAATAGCGAAAGGAGGAAAAATAAAGCTAGAAGAAAAGAAGATGGGTAATGATGGATAAGATTGATACGGATCACAGATCACCTAAAAAAAAAACCCTCGCCGTTTAGTGTCCTTTGATGAGGTGGCGGTTGTTTTTTTTGTATCATGCAAACCTGCCTTTATCTCAATGGAAAATACAAAATAGAACTTCAGTAAAATAGAAAATGACAAAAGAGGCCATAATAAACCAAGAAGGAACAAGAGTGGTTCAGGATTAGGATGATTAACCCTTTACACCCTCACATCAATATGCACATTCTCCATACTCTTCTCCATACTCTAAGGTGCCAACAGGGAGAATTTATTGAACAATCAGGAGCTTCTTTTGTTGGTGATCGTTTTCTTTATTCTTGTTACCATAATGTGTGATTCAGGAGTGATATCGTATGGAGAATTTGGATTCTAGTCACTCTTAGGGGTTAAAGGGTTAAAACAGATTGTTAGACAATCGACTGGAAAGCCTTACCTGTGATGACACACGGCGGAGACGTTATACCAGTGTTCACTGCCACAAGGCAAGCTTCATAAGTATCACGCTCATCTGTTGGCAAAACTTGCTCCACCTGGGTAAAAAAATCACGTGTTAGAAAGAGTTATCTTTTAACTTAACAGTGCGACTTTCTAGTAGAAAATGATTCTTTTTTTTTTTGCTCTGGTAAAGCCAAACTGATCAAAGCGAGTAACCCTCGTCTGCTAACTAAGAGGAATTGATGTCAAAGCGAAGGGGCTTCCACAAGAAATCGTAGACTGTTTGATTTTTTTCTTCCATTTAACATGAAAAGAATTTCAAAACAGACCTTTTGATCCATTGAGACAGCTAGCACCCATTCCTTCACTTCCTCGCGTTTCTCTTCCTGAAAAGTTCACGTCATGAAAAGTAAACATTGTTGGAAAATTTAAACTTTTAAGCCGCGTTTAAAACAACAAACGCTTCCTTCTTTAGCCTAACTTTCTTCCAACTCACCGGTAAGTGTTGTTTTTCTGGAACCGGTACCTCGAACGGAATATCAGTGTCCGCAAAATCGCTGTTATCCAACATATCAAGACTGCCCTCTTCAATACCCTGCCAAGAGGCAATTGATCACATTAGGCGAAAATTCCGGCTTCATGAAAAAGCGAGGAAAAAAAAGGGAATTACCTCGCTGAGATCCAAATAGCGGTTCAAGAAAACAAAAGCCATATTGTCCCAGCCAACGCCCTGTTAGAGAGAAAGGTGTTTCGTTAAATATAAATGATTCAGCAATCATATCGCAAAGTTATTTAGTATTATCAACTAGGTTGATATCGGAAATTGGCCACGTAAAGAGTTTCAGGGCTGGCGTTTCGAGCTAACCCTTCGTCATTCGCTCTGACGAAGGGCCAACGCTCAAAACGTCAGCTTTGAAACTTTTTACGGTGGCCAATTTACGTTATCAACTCAGTTGATACTACTTAAGTACCCTGTTATACTCTTCCACCGACGCAGTACCATAGTTTCTTTCCATTCTTTAGAAACTTACCCCCTTTATTCAATAACATCGCAGAAACGACTTAAAGGGTATTTATTAAATTGTAGGAAAGGTACAAAGAAATGGATTCAAATCTTCAAAATTTAGAGAATGGTCTCAGTGACAGACAGTTGTACTTTTTTATGGCAGGCACTACATATTGAGGCATTTTAAAAATCTTGTTTGGCGACAAATATCAGCTGAGAAGTGTTTTTAAATTAGTAATTTCACGCATTCAATGCATTAAAGATTACAGATACGTGGGAAATTGTATGTCTTACCTTAGCTGCAACTCCAGCTTCATAAAAAGCTTTATCACAAGGAATAATATCGGAATGTCGTAGAAGGGAGGTCGACAATTTGGCGGCTAAGGTATCCTGTAAAAAGACAAATGTAATTACAACAAAATCATGACCCGGAAAATGCCTAAGTTGGACGATAGCTTGCGAAGTCGAACAATAGCATCCGAAACGAAACGGTAATATCTATAAATCAAACGACAGCATCCGAAGTCGAACGATAGCGTCCGAAATCAGACGGAAGCCTTACTTACCAGTGACTTGTGCTGCATGCAGGCGCATCTAGTACTGTAGTAATGGGCGACTTCTAACATGACCCCGAACTCCTGAGCTTGAGGCGAGTTGGATCCTTTACTTAAGCCTTCAACCTTATGTGATTCAGAAGAATGTATGAGACATTTGTCAAAATTCTTAAGAACGTTCAAAATTGCAACTTGATTTAAAGTATCAAGAAAATGTCAAAATCCCAAAACAATAAGATTACGAGAGCCAATCAGAGCAAACGTAAACAACAACCCAACCCAATCAAAATTAGAAGAAAATACACGTCACTACGCCAAGCGCGGGAAAATGCGTTTGACCAAGTCGCGGTTGGTAGAGCTTTGGAATCTGATTGGATGAGCGGATGAGTATTTGTTTCTTTTTAAACCAATCACGTGGGGAAGGAAATGAGAGGAGAAAGCAACACTCTGAAAACTGTTCAAGTATAGTCGCACTTACAATTTCAAACAGCACATCTCTGAGGTCTGCCCATGTGCGATAACTGTCAGCAGACCTGAGCCCTGGCATTGATATAACGTCCATAACGATCCGCTTGTAAATGTTAAAATTCTGTCGACAAGAACAGCGATTAACCAAGTGATTAAAATGTGTCTTCTCCTTGCAATATAAATACAAAAAAAAAAAGCGGAAAGGTAAAGGGCAAAGTGAAAGTACTGGTGAGAGGAGGTTATCTCAATTATATCACCAAATAAATAACACGTGTCGTAAGTCAAAGAGAACGTTTAGTTCACCTGAGGATTAGCCGGTGCTCCGTATTTGCAGAATAAGTCCAAAGCCTTCAATGTGTTTCCGTCTTTGATAACATTAGCAGCGTATAGGGCCACATATTTACTAAGAACCTCGTAGCCCTTAAGGAAAAAAGACGGTGCTACTAAATGTCACGCAATAGATACCTTTTTCGGAAAAAAGGTGGTAGTCTACTGGGGCACTATGCGACATAGCCAATCAGATTTCAGTATTATGTACTAGGAGGTACAAATAAACCAATCATATAGCCGGATTGGCATCTAAGATGGCGATTTGATCGAATGCTAATGTAGTCATAACACTGAAATCTGATTGACTATGTCCTTTAGAGCTCCAGTACACAGCTATCACTAACATTAACTTAACATATAATGGACTTTTCTGCATAAGTTAAAAGGAATGTTATTACACAAGCGTGAGGCATGACAAGGTCACACACAAAAACCTACAACGCCAGGTGTAATTCAACTTGTCACATAAGAAATCTCGTAACGCCATGTCACGCACCTGTTGCTCGGCAGTTTCAATGGCTTTATCCCACTGCCCACGTTGTATCATCATATCCAGACCAGCTATGACATCTACGTCGACCAACTAAAACATCAATTGAGAACTGCTCAGGACTGAATTTTTCCACTACAACATACAAGGTAGGAGCGTATAGCACACACAAGTATTCTTGAACTTGGGAAACTGCCTTGTGCACTATCAACCTCCCCACTCATTTTCGGTGGGTTATAACCTCCTCCCCCCCCCCCAAAAAAAAAAATATTAAAAAAAGGAACAAAGGAACAATTTAGGTCTCTTTTCCTTCAGCTTGGAATCAGAGAGAAATTACAATCTAGACAGGGAATAATCCACGAATGAAATTAGGACAAAACATGGAAAACCCAGCTACGCCGGAAAATTTGAGCTTTACGTAAAGAAGCTCAGTCAGCGTATTTTGCAGAACCAGCGCTTCCTAATCTTAAGAAAACCTGACCATATTAGTTTTTCTAAACTACAAAAAGAGGCTAAGAGGCAAAAAAGAACCAAGCATACAGAGAGAGACACCTTAAAAACTTGAAGCTACATTTTTTGAGCCTGAGCTCTTTGCATTTTATCAAAACATAAAGAAAACTGGAAAGTGACCCACAAAAAACTTTCCTTAAACTGCCTAAGAAGGTTATTTAATTCAGTTCATCATTGTTCATAATTGACTCCAGTCTAACCTGTTCAGCCTGGCCTTTCTGTTTCAAGAACGCAACGTATGCATCTTCCACGTACTGTTCATACCTGCATGACAGGGAGAGAAGATACTTAACCCCAAATTCACTGAGACTCGGATGGAAAAAACTTTGGAAAATCGTACACGAGAAAGCAAATAACTTAAATTATCAGAAAAGGCGACTTTCCTTTCTAGCACCTATTGTATCATACCAAAAAAGGTTCGCCATTTGCAATCCGGTCCAGCTCCACCATTCTTTTGTATTTTAACTTTTTCTCGTTAAATTTACCTATGGTGTCTACCATTAAATAATTGTTCGATTGTTTAGATAGGTACCCTTTTGTGACATTAGAACTGACTTTTCAAAGTGTTAATTGAACATTCACGTACTTGGGTGCCATTTCTGCTGCACATCTCTTCGCCTTTGGCCAAAGCTCTCCCTGAATATACACATCAATGGCTTCCTTGACCATCTCCACGCCCAGATACAACTCACCTGCCTGGTGAAAAAGACAAATTAAATGTTTAAACACCTTTCCACATTTCTTTTGTATCTCCATCAGCCCACCCCGCTAGGATTACTCTTACATGCACAAGTGCATACAGCCTGATTGCTAACGGTCAGCAGTCAGCCAATTTTTTTTCTTTTAGCAAAAACATTTTAAAACCGATTTTTTGAGACGTTTTTATTGTATTTTCGTAGGGGTGGGGGGGAAGAGTGGGTAGCAACAACAACTCTGTTATCCGTGGATTTAGCAGAGAAAAGCCTACTTTATACTTCGAAGCAATTTAATCCACACTAAAAGCTTCTATAAATCACACACAAACTGCTAACACACTCAACCAAAGTTCCCTAATCCAATTTTCAACCATTCCTTTTGGAAACTTCCATACAGATAAAGAATCTGTAAACATTTTTTTTCCGATTCTGTAACAAAAAAGTTTTGTGGGAAAACGCCAAAATAAAAGCGTGTTCCTAAGTCGAATGGCACCTTGTTAGCTCACTGATTGGCTAAGAAGAAAATAAGACCTCAAAAAGACTTTTCGGGAGAGTGCACGGCTAGAGATAACTGCGTAATTTGCTAGGTAGAGACTTCTTGACAACTTCGTAAGAATTTAAGAGTAACAGAATTGTAGAACAATACTGAGACTGTCCTGAACAAACCTGTTCATAGCACTTTATCTCTGCCAGCCTGGGGCAAGCAGCTTTTGCCACATCATAAGCACGGTCACCTACGAATTTCATAGCAAGTTCAACGGCCTGAAATATAAAAAAAAAAAATTAAAAAACACTGAAAAAATACTTAATGGTAACTTTCCTTTGCGGGTTGTGTCAACTATAAAATACTAGTGTTATTCTTTACTCCAGCAGTAGTAAACTATATACCCAGTTTTCTAGCATTTTGTACACCGAAGCTCTAGGATGAGAAAGAGAAATCAAAATCTAAACACAGAAATGATTGAAAGCGCGGGAAAACGAGAGTAATCAAGTCGCTCTTAGTGGAGGTTTCGCACTGATTTGATTGAGTGACAGAGCGCAGATTTTCTACACCAATCATATGGCTCGGTGCAGAAAACCTTTGCAATCCCAGAGTGCTTTGCACACTCGATTGAAAACTGCTCTATCGCTTGTATCTTCATTTCTGAACAACTCCACAATGGATTGATACATCGCGCAGAATGCCACGACAAATCCGGGACTTTTTATGACTGACCAGCGGTAAATGTGAAACTGAATTAGCGAAACGCGCGCCATACAATAGAGAAAATGGCTTGAAAATCACCAGAGGGGTGCATGTTTTTCTTATTTTCAATAAAAACACTTTGTATGAACCACTTTTAGCCTATGGATTTTGAAGAAGAGATATGTGATTTTTTCTACCAATAGCGTAAACAATAACTTTCTAAGCTAGTGTTTCTTAGCTCTGTCTAAACAGTTAATGAGCTAAAGCGATATTTCCTGAGGAGGAAAGCCTGTGTAATCAATGACCAATCAAAGCTCTCCAGATTACGCTTCGCAGCTAATATTACAGATCTATATTTTTTTCGCGACTGTAAGTAAATGTTGTGAGAACAATGGCATTCTGCGCGATGATCTGCATAAACCACCAGGATACGCGCTGCTAGGCAACACTCCATGTCACGCGCCTCTTACCTTGACCATAGCGTCTTCTACCAGTTCATGGTCAGTGGTCATATTTGGTGTAATCTTCAAGTACATGTCAATAGCTCTGTTGTATTCAGCTTTCTTTTCCCATTCTTTTCCTTGACTCAGCAACGACTCTGCACCTCTGAAAAAAGCAACATCAACCAGACAGTTAACTTCGATGAAATTACTGCCATCCTGAGAGTCTTCAAATTAATTGTAAAATAAAACCCACAGTAATTAGGAAATATTCAAATCTTAGTTCGTGATTAAAAGCCTTAGTGGCGTGTATCCTTCAGTGATCACTATTGACTCTTATTGTTAAACAGTATGAGGAATTTCAAACGGTTACGTTTATGGGCGAACACCGGCATGTTTATGGTGGGTATTTTTGCTGTAGTAATATTCTTTAGTCTTTCAATGTCAGTATTAGTCAACTGGTAACGAGTTACGATAAATCTTGGGTTAGGGGAGGGGGAGGTGCGCAGTTGCTTAGATACTGACACTGATCTGTTTTTTATTTCTAGTTGTAGTTCCATTCTTATCATGTGGAACTGAGCACCTTTTTTGGTGAGGTGCTGCTACAGGTCTTAACGTTATAGGGGAGTACCTGTTTCCTTTGGACATGACTTCTCTATCGTACTCGTCCTGCCATTGCTCCAGCTGTTGGCAAAGAAAATCAGCGTACAATGATTATGTATCTCACTGTACTTAGTTTTGTCAGAGAATACAGCCTTGAATTCAGTATGTGCATACCTTGTGAGGCAAGTATTCCTTCACCACGCGCAAAGCATCTGTCCACATACCAGCCTCCTGGAGTCAAACAAACGATAAAGACTATCAGGCTACATATGTATTTGTTCATTAGGATGAACACCTAAGAATAATGGCTAGCAATATTTCTTTTAAATATTGTGTATCAACTAACTGTTCCTGCAAACTTACTTTGTAATAACGAGCCGCAAGTTCGGGTCTTTGAGCTCGGAGAAGGTACGTCTCAGCTTTTTGATATTCTTTTTTGTCGAATGCAACACGGGCCTGCAATAAAAGTAAAATTAATAGGTTAAAACCCCTTTAATGAAAAATAAATCTCAGAGTTTTGCTGATCATTCCTTTAGCTTCGACTCTATAAACTATGAATAAACGGGGGCTTAATGGAGAGGTATACTCCACAAACCATACAACTCAGTAACCTGGCCTCACACGTATGACGTCACAGAGTTTAAGCCAAATGGTGGAAGCGACAATGCACACTCCAAAAACTGCTGCTTTGCGTCTTCAAAAGTTAAAAAAGAAAAGAATTCTTTGTCTTAACATTGTCTCTTTGTGCAGCTCCTAACTGTTCGAACAGATCACCAAACAATGGAAAAAGAGGGGTAAGATTCGGTTGCATTACAGGTTTAGCAGCCTTGTTGGGCAAGATTCAAATGGCAATGCACGAAGCGCATTTCTGCCACTTGACTAAGCCTGGATGAAAAATATCTTACCTGGCCTACTAATACATCAGTTACACTTTCAGGATCATTCTCCTCCGCCACTCTCTGAGCACTGTCCCAATCCTGGTTGTGAACATACCTGAAACACGATTGAATAGGACACATCTCTTTAACTTCTAAGAGAGAACGTCTTATTTGAAAAGGCGTGCAATGTTCTCTCATAAATTTTAAAAGGTGCGCGAAAAATTGCAGTTGAGAGACTTCGGCACGATTTCTTTTCACCAACTACAACAAAAATTGGCTAGGATTTTTCTTTGTGACAAAAATTACAGCCAATCAGAACAAGCGTAACAGACATGATGAACCAATGAAAATGCAAAGAAAAATACAGGTGACCAGTCCAAGCGCGGGAAAACGCCAGTGTCAAAGTCGATGTTGGTTTTGGCGCGAGTCCTTTTTTTTCTTTTACACAATCACTGTATTAACATAATTTACAAGTAACATTCTAAGCTAAATTAAAACTTTATCTTCTAATGTGTCTTATTACACGGCCAATAAATTTCAGTTCTTAATTCCTTATTTCGATGAAAATATTGCGACTTACATAAGTACAGCTTCCTTTGATTTCCCAGCTTTAATAAATTCTTTTTCAGCATCAGCAAACTTTCCCTCGTCCTCCAAGAACATGGCATACTTTAGGTGAATGTCTGGTAACTTGGACTTCATCGCCGTTCGAGACAAGTCAAACGCGAATTCAAAAGCACTGAAAACAAACAATGTAAGACTATTTGAACACTTTACGGCATAAAGTGTATTACATAAAAAAAAAAAAAAAAAAACTTCAACCAAACAGTTCCTGGATCAATATCAGTATCTGGGCAACTGCCCACCTACCCCTCCCCTAACCCAACATTAACCCTAACTTGTTATCAATAGACTGTTGTTGGGTTAGGGGAGGGGTAGGTGGGCAGTTGCCCAGATACTGATATTGATCCCAGTTCCTTAATACTGAATTGCAATCAGTTTAAAGATACACATTTCCCTATCTGGACTCAAAATACTTCGCACTGTCTAGGTTCACAAGAATCGACTCGAACCATTCTCTTCTTTACGTTGTGGTGTTCAATAGTTCACGCATATCATGCATTTCAACTCGACTGTAGAAACTAAAACTATCTATGTAAGTCAGATGTGACGAGTGAAGACACTTGCAGTATTGAATTGAATCTTACCAGTTTTCTGCAGCGTAGTCTATCGCTGATTCCAGCAGACCAAACTTAGTCAGTAACTTGACAGCGGAGTCCCCTCCTAAGAGAGATCAGGATTGAAAGAGCGATTAATCAGTGCTGATCGACATCAGTGCGAGGCAACTCAAAGTTTGTCAAACGATAGAAGGAAGTTCATCTCCTTCTCACTCGCAGTGATAACAAAAAAGGAATTTCTCTCGAGTCAACAAGATCGACACATTTCCGAGCAGAAAGGCCATAAAAGGAAAGAAAACCATCAACTACGGTGGATATTCTTTGATTTATAATGGTAATTGAACTGAGTGGAGTGCAATTTGGGCTGAAATCATACGCGTGATTCCAAAATTGAACGAGCACGCAGCGCGAGTTCGATTTGAAATCACAAGTATGATTTCAGACCAAAATTGCACAACACGAGGTTCAATTACCACTTTATTACATCCATTTTGAAATCGCCCAAATACAGGACTTGGTCAATTCAAATATTTTATTAATACAATACTGAGCTGGTTTAAAATTAAATTCATCCATTTTTTGGGAGGAAAAAATAAGAGTTTTGGAAACAAAAGTTTCAAAATTTGCCTCATGATACTCCATGTCTTTCATCTTCCTGCAATATGATCGGTTACTTTAAACAAGCCTTGAAGTCTGATTGGTTGTTTTGTTTTTAGTGTAGCCTCCTCACTGGCTGGGGAAAAGATGCGATTTAAAGCAAAAAATGGTGCAATTTGTGAATAAATCGCACCAATTAGAGCCAATCAGATTACAGGGACCATCAGTGATTTCAAAATGGGTGTAATAAAATACAAAATTCTCAGAGATAAAATTAAGAGAAATGCACAAGACATAGCGAACAGAGACGGAGGAGAATTCTTTTTACATCTTAGAATGAAATGGTTGAGGAGTTCCAACAAAGCACGTATATTTTAGAAACATCGACCTAAATTTCTAAAGTTCATAATTTACACTACAGGTTCATCTTTCCCATCTTCAGCCATCTTTGCTCATTTTTGGTAAACTACAATTTTTAAGGTTTCATTTTATCATAAAGCAATCTTCTATGTTGGAAAATCTACCATAATTTTCGTTGCGAAGATTCTCTGATAAAACAGAACCGATGATACTCTCAAAAAGAAAAAAAAACTAACTTTCACAAACTTACCTAAGTTCTTGGCCCACAAGTAAGCCACTTGTTTAGAGGCATTTTGACTTCCGTGTTGCTTGGCAACCTACAGTAAAAAGTGTCCATTGAGTCTCACACTGACCCTTATGTTGCAGACTCAAGTTATCATTTATCTTCTCTAGTCCTTGTCCCCATATTGGGACTACCTAACCCATGCAGGGCCCTCACAAAACCTGTCTTGTGCCCACGCCTGAAAATATCTCCCCAGCCCCTCCCCCCTCCATAACTCACCCTGTAAGCCTCCTCCCACATGTCTTGGTTCCTGTACATGTTCACGGCTGCTTTCCAGTCTCTCGCTTCTAAGAAATGATGCTCAGCTTGGCGGAGTTGACCTTCGGCCTCCAGTTCCTGTAAAAAGAGAATAAAGTGTTCATGGGCTGCAATAGAAGTAGGTTAAAAGTTTAAGAACATCCTTTACTAAATACTTAATCAGGTTTTCACACCCACTGTGAGAAATAGAAGTGAAGGAACCATCATTAACGGCGCTTTACTCAGATTTCTGTGGTACTCTTCTGTCCAGGCAAATTAACTCGTCTATATTTGAAGTAACTATCCTCTGGGCCGTTTACGTCAAAATCCATAAATTCCCGCTTATTAAAGGCGTTGCCACCAATTTAAAAGAGTAAGAGGAGCCAGTGATTTCCCACGTCTCCAACATTTAAAGACTAGTCTAACAGAGACAAAAGAACGAACCGTTCCCCAAACCCCACCCCACCCCGCCGGCCGATTTAGTTCACTTGAGGCCAGTTCCCCCACGGCTCTTCAACCTGGAGTCTGTTCACATGCTAACCAAACTATACCTTTGCCAGGTGAATGTGGGTGTCGGCGAGAAGATCCTCATGGTGGATAGCCACTAGTCTGATCATGTTGTCAAACTACAAACGTAAAGAATCATTCATTAGCACCTGTCTATCTACCGAATAACGTGGAGCTAAACAGACAAAAGTCTCATATGCACCTCTGTGATGTGACGGGATGTGAAATTTTCGGTCTTAAGACTGAAAGAAGTCTTCATAAACTTACCTGACGATGTTTCTTATACATATTAATGGCCAAGTCTGGTTCATCAACTGTGCAGTATAACCTAGGAAATGTTTTAAAGCAAACTATGAGACTGCAAAAACAAAAAACAAAAAAAAAGCGCTGCTCATTTACAATTCAAAGCATCAAAGTGGTTAGAATCACCTCTCTGCTTCTTTGTATTTCCCTTGAGCTTCAAGCTCCTGAGCTTGCGATATGTAGATGACAGCGACTTCTTCTTGTGTCATGCACTGAACTGCAAGCTGTGGAAACATGACAAAAAAAAGAGCCTCAGGAATAAAGGCAAATATCAGTTGAATGTGGACAATAATCTTGAATCTCATAACTTTTCCTTTATTTTTCTGTGATTGATCAAGACAAATCGTGCCACTCTCTTAACCAATCAGATGCAAGATTAGGGTCAATCGCGACTTGGTTACCGTCGTTTTCCCGCGCTTCAGGCAGCACTGTTGTTTTTACTTTGAGTTTTCCCTGGCTCCGTGAGGTATATTCCTTAAATATGATCAGCCGTTGTACCTGTGCTAGTTTTGGTTTAACGCCACCGACGACTCAAAATGCGCTCTTTGCAGAACTCATGCAACACGACTTCCCACGTTCCTAGCTTAGGGATATTGTTATTTCTTTTTTTAACTCTGTTTACTCTTAAATTCTTCGTATCATAACACCTTCTCTTTTGTTTAATTTAAGAAACCTTACCTTGTGAGCAGCTTCATACATATTAGCTTTGGTATACATCTCAATAGCAGCCCGTGGGTCCCCTCCCTTGACAAAGTATTTCTCCGCAAGCTAAAAACAAAACAAAACAAAAACAATCTTTGAGTATGGAATCCTGCGGACAAACAAGTTGAGAAATTACTGCAAAGTACTCGTAAAATACCTTGTATTCTTGAACTTGAGAATAGTGTTGAGCAATCTGATGGTAGTACCTAGAATATGAAGGAAAATCATGGTTAATAACAGTTGTGAATCTTTAAATGCCACCATGTACCCCTATTTGCCAGACAGCGGAAAACCCCTGTTGGCATAAAGGAGTTAACTTACCTTTCTGCCACATTATCGTCTTGTAATTCCACAATCTGAACGGCTTTGTTCCACTGACGGGCTTGTATGGCCGCCTCGATCGCCTTAATTGAACACCTGACAAGGAGAATAATCAAATTCATTCAAAAAAATTTCAATCGAGTGTCTAAAATAATCCGGGACTGAGCCTTTTTGGCTTTTCTTCGCCCTGTGACTGGTTTAAATATTCGCGCCAATCTCAAAACCAATCAACAATCCCCATCTCCCAAAAGCGTTGCGTGACATTCCAAAGAATGGCTACAAGACAGACTGGGGAAGGGTGGGACAGAATGTCGATCTACTCACCCAGCCTCGATGTAGTGATTAATAGCGGCATCCAATTGCTTCTGGGAAACCAGATAATCACCCCAGGCCTCCTCTAGTTTCACAACCTCTCTCGGGAAAGCCGCTCGGGACAGTTCAACCGCTGAACAGCGAAAGGGGAAGGAAAAAAGGTATGGCAAATTAGTACTAAATATTTCCATAGTGAAACAGGAAGAACAAATAAAAAGCAACTTGCATATCTTACCCCTTCTATATGCATGTCCTTTGCGATAGGAATCCATCGCCTTGTCGTTTTTGCCAACTTTCTCGTAAAGTTCTCCAGCCTATATCATGAGAGAAAAACATTTAATACAATTCATTACGCGCGTTTTCCCATATCTGGCTAATGTCGTATGTTACTGTAAAGATCTCGTTAGGTGGTTGTGTTGTGCAGAGTGCATTTCTCGTTTGATTGTAATAAATCCATCACTAAAGTAAGTAAAACTTCGCCGAAAAAGGAAAATATCACAAGAAGCCAACAAGAACTCGAACTAAAATCAAGCAAACTGCTAGGAGAGCGTGAAAATGCAAGGAACCAAGTCGCAGTTGGTTTTAGTTTTGCTTCTGTTTGGTTTAGGGATTGGCGCGAGTTTTCTAGATCAATCACAGAGCGCAGTAGATAATAAGCAAAGTAGCCCCGGTCTACTTTCTACACTCAGTGAAAAATTGCTCTACCTTGTTTTGAATAAGCCTTATAATTGGTTTGGTTCTGGTGTTTTAGCAATTTCATTTGAAAACCGCGCCATCATTTCAGAACATGCACCAATCGCGAGTTCGTGACACGCGTTTTTTCGCGCTTTGAGCAATCTGCTCATTCTCAATTCTCATTAGGTCGTTGTGACATTTTCCTCTTCTCTGATTGGCTGTTGTGATTACTTTGCTTTTGGTTTTAACGACACTCAATCGAAAGGCACTCTTGTTCGAGGTTTAACTGATTATATAAGAATTTCAGACACCAACCTGCTCGTACAATCCGCCCTTAAGAAGAGCTCCCGCAATTCTCTCCGGTAACTCCGATGAGTGAATTAGCTCCTAATGACCAAAAACAACATTCACGTTCACAAAGTTAACGAAAAGAAAACTCTTAACTAAGTTCTTTCCGTAAATTCTTACAAACCCAATGCTGTTGAACTCAAAATCCTTTCCACGCCTCTTTACAGATAAATTCTAATTTAACCTAAAAAAGTACCAACAAAAAATCCTTACCTCTTTACTCAAAGCCAGCCTTGCAGCCTTCGCAGGCAAACCAGCTTTGAGATACAAGTTAATGGCCTCCATGTAATTTCCTTCTCTCTCTTTCACCTGAACAGAGAACCAAACAAACAAACTCAGGTCAATAATGGTTAAAATTTAGCATTGAGAACAGCTTGATTGAATGTTGCAGTGCCGCATGCCCATGCTATATCTAAAGTTTTGTTCATCACTTCCTTGTTAGCTAGTGACTTCGATCTTACCTCCCCAGCCTTCTCCTCCTGAGCCGTCTCCGAGAGCCATTGGTAATGAGCTGTGCGCAAATTTTCCAGCTCGGGGTGACCCTGAGGTTAACGATAAATAATGAACTTAATATGAGGACCTGGCGATCATAGCTTTTCAGTCAGTCAGTCAGTCAGTCAGCCAGTCAGATAGTCAGTTACTCCAATAGCCGTCTCGCATACCTTAGCCTGCCCCACAGCTATAGCCTCGTCCCACTTATGCAGCTCCTGATACATCTCAATGGCTTCATCCACGTATCCCTGCTCTAGAAGAATAGTCTCAGCCAGCTTGAAGTTTTTGTCTAAAACTGCCAGCTTTGCTCGGACACGAACATGGTTTGTACCATCGCCACCCTAAAAAATATCAAAACGTTTAAGCCTACATAATCTTACCAGCCCAAAACCACTCTGAACTGGTTTTTGTGGCTATTTCAGTCTAAAGTACATGCAATTTGTCGAAGATTTTCTCTCTAGGTCAAGTGTCTTCCATTGAATTTAGCGCGTTCATTCTAGAGTCTTAAGTATTCACGAACCAATTTTAAAGGAGGCAGTACAAATCCCAGCTTAAGTCGAAAAGCCTTTAAGTCTCAACTGCTCCTAGCAAAATAGATGGCCAACATTAGCAGATTCCATCTGGAAAATGACAAAGTAACTTAAAACACGAAAACATGAAATAAAGCCTTTTTAGACTTCGACTGGAATCTTCGTTCTTTGTAAAGAAAAAAAGGGAAAAGGAAAAAAAAAAGGGAAAAGGAAAAAAGTGATGCCAACCATTTCTTCTGCACATTGTTCAGCGGTCTTGTTTATCTGCCGCAATGCCTTGGCTTTGGAAACATCACCCAGAGCAGCAAAACATCGCTCGGCAATGTGCAGCTGCCTCGCCTCCAGAGCGAGGCGGCTCAGCGTTTTCCACATGGCTTCTGTTTCTAAGGACATCTCAAGACTCTCGAGGAACGCAACAGCTCTGAAAAAACAACATAATTTTCAGTTCCCTTGCAGGTAAGTCTTTTTCTTCGTCTTCCTTCACTGAGCAAAGAATTCTTTCCCAATCACTTAGGGGATTTTAAGATCACATAGTTTTCAGGGGGAATGGGGGGTGGAGGGATCAGTCGTCTCTAACAGAATTTGAAAAGGGGGCCATACAAATTGACGGTTAATGAGGGAGGGGGATCATTAGAATGCTACAGAGCCTCAGGGGGATCATGTAAATTTTATCGTGACCCCCCCCCCCCAATATATAACGGCCAGTCCTTAACTTAATAAAATTTCCCCACCTGAAATCTGAGAGGCAGTTTTTTTTGTACGATGACTCTCATCGCGCACCTTTTGACAGTGTTTCAATGGTTATATGCACGCTTACGTGAGATAATGAGAAGAAACTGCGCGCTAAGCCCTACTGACATTGGTGTAGAGGAGACGTTTCTAAAATCGACCGAAGGGTGGTCACAGCACAGATAGCCACTAACTATTAGGAATCAGCACCTTGGGAAATCTCCATCGTCAATGGCTGTACCAAACTCAATCAATCCTTCATCCAGAGTATAGGAGATGGTTGTGACTCCTTCATTCACAAGAACCTCTGTCTTGCCATCAGCTCTCTCCAGATCGACTATGTCTCCCTTAAGAGAAAGAATGGATAAGTCAGCAAAGCATAATATTCTCCTGGGTGCAGAGAGGCACTATGATAGTAATACGTTTTGTCCAAGAACACAACACAATGATCCGGCAAAGTGTCTCACGCAAGTGTCACAATAGGGATCTTGTTCATTTTATGACATGCGTGGGAGTATCTGGTAAGGAATCAAGCCCCTGACCTTGAATTTCGCGCTTCATGCTACGAGCTAAGATTGCAGCAGCACACACCCACAATAGTGCACTGTAAGAATTTTTAAAGAGTACCACGAAGGCGCCCAGCAATACTTACCTTTATTGGGAACATGGTGACTCTCTGAGGTGAGTCAATATTGTACCACACGCATAAGTTCCCTCTGTTTTGGGCCACTACCACGTCACTGAGAGGCACCCACTGGACATACGTGCAGTAGTTTAGGATCGTCGAACGCGTTTGTGTTTCTACATCCAGTAGGTGGAGCTAACATGCAACAAAGAAAACAGGTAAATTACGACCGTTAGGCCTAAAATATTCTGATGGAAAGAAGGTGGAGAAATGCATTAAAGAGGAACAGACACATTCTTCGAGATTTGCAATTTATGGCGTTACCAACAGTTGCTTTTTGAGCTGATACATTACACAAAACTTACCTTTAGTTTCTTGTCTCGAAAAAGCAGGGTCCTTCCGGTCTCATTGAGCTGAAATAAAAAGAAAAAAATTAACAGTTTCATCTTCTGGGTACAGGAACACAAAATGGTAGAAGATTATCAAAAATTTCTTATGAATAGTTTCTAACCTCCAGCCAGTCAATTCTTGAGTCATGATTCACGCTTGCAACGTTAAATCCGCTGATCATATCAACTAGATAGGTAAAATTACACACATAAAGATTATGGTCATTAGCTCACATTAGTTGAAATTTCTGGGTGGGAAGAGTGGTGCTGAGTGTCACTCTAGTTGCCATATTGGATTGGGAAGATTGAGGAGGCCTGAAGGAACTAGGAAAGTGTTAGCGAAAAAATTGCACTGTTAAGCGGGGAGGGGGGAGGGATGAGGTGCAAAAATAAACTATTTCTTAAGCATGAACACTGTAACCTTAGAAAAAAACATGGCAGTGAATTATTGTAAGAATGGTAAGGGGTTTCCGCACGCCGCGTGATTAAGGAAAGGCCAGCGTGATTCGTCGTGACGCGTGACGCGTGACGCGTGATTTGTCTTTTGAAATATACGTAAACCTCAATATTTCCCCAAACCCTTGTAAAAAAGACGAGTTAAATTTTTCCTTTTACACAAGTGACGCGTGAAGTTTTCTAAAAATTTGTGCGAGAAACGGGATCAGGACCCGTCTTTGCTACCCTCTATGGTGTACACTGAACTCCTTCCCATGCCCCCATAGGACACTCGTACTTCTGGACTGTGCCTTTTTCACTTACCAACATTAATAGTCTTTAAGTCTACAAGGTATGCCATCTTTTTGTTGTTTTCAACACCTCTCTGTTTTCTTTCATTCAGGCGGACGCTGAAAAGGTAATGAAAACCAAAATCACTAAGAGCAAATTCTCAAAACAAACATGTTAAGAGGGAGAAGATTTACAGAAGGTGCCACAACTCTACCTGATTAAATGAGGGTTCATGAATTCAGTTCTCACTGTTCCAAGTATTTCGTTGTTTCCATATTCAACCAAAGAAAGCTCACCAGCATTGAACACCATACAGACCTGAAAACACAAATAAATAGTAAACAGAACAGCTCAAGTATACTTTTCAATTAACTTACGAGTTACATTTAATTAAAACTGTTTTTTTCTAGTGAAAGAGTTGCAAGAACCTCCTGTGAACCTGTGAATATTGAAAATCAGAGTACAGTTGTAGTAACTGGAATCATAAGGCTTGAGGAATGAAACTTGGAAAATCAGGACATTCTCCGTTCCTTCCCATTTTTTCTTTGACCCTTCACCACCTTTGCTCTTATAAAATGTAAACTTTTTCAGAATCATGCAGAGAAGCTGATGAACCAACCAATCACTATACTAGTTCCAGGGCTTTCCATGAACAGTCTGGTACCATTCATCAACTGAACCGAATTTTAAGTAACAATACCATTTGATATTTATTCTGCTTAAATTCTGTTGAATGTCTTTTGTCTACACTACATCAATCTGGCTTTCTAATTATCAATCCAAATTTTCCTCCATCTTTGGTAAAAACCAGATATAACCAACACAATTATAATTCTGTATTACGTTGACAAGGATAAACTTTTATGAACCAGGACATTTGCCACTCATGGTGACAATGAGTCTTGAGTTCTGTTTCATTATCATACATACATTTTCATTTTCAAAGAAGAACTTTTCATTTCCACCTGTTCCTTGCCAAGGGACCTAAAAAATAAGAACAGGATACAAAGAAAAATAATTCAATTCATACACTGCAAGGCCAGTTTGTTCAAAATGCTAACATAGGCTTTGCATAAATTTTTGGCAGGTTTGCAGACACTTATTGTTACATGTTGTTGCCTTCCTTTAGTTTTCCATAACAGTGAAATAGAAAACTCTATCAAATTAGCCCTAATGTACACTCTTATACCAGCAAAACAGACCAAGTTGAAATTGCAATCCTGGATTAGTGATAAACCTTCTTTTTTAACCCTTTACACCCTAACATCAGTATGCATATTCTCCTTTTTGTTCTCTATACATTTCCTATGATTCTTACAAGGAGAATTTGTCTAATAATCAAGAGCTTCTTGAGTTTCCAATCATTTCCTTTATAGCTATAATTATAGTTGAAGTTATTACGTAAATAAATGTCTACATTCTTGCCATTGGATTTTATTGAAAGTGACATGCGAAGGTGAAATGTCTTATCAGTATCAATTAGTATACCTTTTAAATCGATGTTTCTCACTTATAATTATTGTGCGAAATGACTACTAAGAATCGTGCAAACGGTCCAAAACTTGTGCTAAAAGACTTGTGAGAAAAGTCTTTTGTGCGAAATGTCCTGTATTCCAGGGTTGATATTGTAAGAAAAAAAATGAATGCTTATCACTGCTAGGGGTAAATAGTTTAACAACTGTCCCCTGAATCACACTGAAATTTGAGACATTAGAAACTTGTTTGTTTTAAGCTTAGCAGTAGAAAAGATGAATCAAAGAAATAAGAGCTGAATAAAATAATGTTAACACACACCTCACTTAGCTTGTTGTTTTGAAGGTCCCCAACAAGAAGAGTATCTGTGGTGTAAGCCACGAGGTATCTGTCCTTGCCCATGATGCTCACTTTATCAATCTACAAATGAAGTCAACTCACTCATCAGTCTAGTATCACCAAAGTTAGAGGTATCTTAGGGAGGAAGAGGTCCAAGCTCTTAAGACAGGAAAAAATTAAGCCTAGAGTTTGACAACCCTCGTCAAAATCATAAGTTTTGGTAATGGGGAGATTGGACTGAAGGGGGGAAATCTGGACAGGCAACATTATAGAATTCATAGAATTGTCCTTGATTACTCATTTTGTGGGTTCATGGAGGTTCCCCCCCATTGCAAGTTCTTCCCCCACCACCTTTGTGGGTTCACTTCCTGAAGAAATACAAGAATGCCCCCCACCTTAGTCAGTTGGCCCCCAAATGTTGCAACTTGTTTCCTTATAGCATAACATATTCCTCTTCTACCTAAACCTCCCTTTACCATGAAAAACTGGTAATACCTATTTATCATACACCACTGACAGTTGATAATTTTTTTTTTGCAATAGTGTTTAGTGTTACTATCTGATCAACGGGTGCAGTACCTCATATCCGTAGTGGGACTTAAGGACGACTCGAGTTCCTGATGACAAATTCTTCACAATGACCTGCAGTAAAGAGAACAATTCAGACATGAACTTCACTCATGTACAATAGTACCAACTGTGTGCAGAATAGTGAGGATAATGATATAAGTGTTTGCCCGTCAATCAAATGACAAACTAAACGAGATTCCCTCTTTTCATGATGATTTGTGACTGTTCAGCATATCAACACAATCTGACATGCTCAATCCAAAGGCAGAAAAGAAAGAAAAGAAGGAGAGGACATATTGTGACCATTCCTCTCCAGTTGCAGACTACAAACATAAATGAAGATATATTTGAGTGAGTTCCAAAAAAAGAATTGCAAAGAAAATATACTCAAATAATTACCTGACTGAGACCAACATAGGTCATCTCAAACTTGTTCTTGTAAACTGATCTTCTCAAGCAACAGTCAAAGAGTTCAACACCTCCACACAAAGTACCCTATTAACAAAAAATGTTATCAAACATAATACTTTGAAAGTTAAATACAGCAATATACTTGACAGCCTTTATTATATTGAGCACAAAGACTGAAAATTTAGGAATATTTTCTGCCTATATTATTGTTTCTGGGAACTTGGAAATTCAGAGATCCTTCAGAAATATCTGCTGGTTGTATCCTCCTAGCAATGCGCATACATGTGTAAAACAAATTGACAGCATGCTCATGGCTTGGAGCTTTTTCATTCACACATTACAATAATTCCTCTGGCAAAATAATTGAAGAAAACTTGGTATTCTAGCAGTTACCAAATACAGGTTTAAGAGTGCACTAAATAGAGATACCATGAAATTGAACCACTATTGGAGCAATTAAGACTGTTCTTAGGACAACTAAAGAAATCATGCTTTTAAAAGAGCAAACCACTTACAGCCACAAGTCTTGATCCATCCCTTTTCCAAGCCATTGAAGTGATTGTGTAGAGATAAGGAATGTCCTTAGGCTTTGATTCATCCCATGAACCTTTCCTTGGACTCCAGTTAAACACTCTCAGCCTAGAGAAAAGAACAATACAACTGATGAATTATTCCCCTTTTTTCTCTCAAAACAGCATTGATGAAAGATAAGGTAGCTGAGTGGTTAGTGTTTCAGCTGCATTTCATCAGGCCTCCCTGACACTTGGCCTTAATACCCATTTACACTCCTGGGTGGAGAGGGACAGTACCCATTTACACTCCTGGGTGGAGAGGGACAGTACCCATTTACACTCCTGGGTGGAGAGAAACAGTACCCATTTACACTCCTGGGTGGAGAGGGACAGTACCCATTTACACTCCTGGATGGAGAGGGATAGTATTCATTTGCATTCCTGGGTGGAGAGGGACAGTACCCATTTGCACTCCTAGGTGGAGAGGGACAGTACCCATTTACACTCCTGGGACAGTACCCATTTACACTCCTAGGTGGAGAGGGACAGCACCCATTTACACTCCTGTGAGAGTAAACCATTTTGCTTAAGAACACAACACAATGACCCCGCCCAGGTCCAGGGCTCAGTTTTTCAAACACCAATAAGCACTAAATCAAGGTTAAATTTTAATGAAGGTCTTTTCTATTCCTTTAAATAAAAGCTGTTTTGGGATAATTTTTTCTATTCTTTTTAGTAGATCCAATCATCAAACCATAGATCAAGGGAGTTATACTGAATTTTCTTTCAAAAACTTTCAGATCTGATACCAGATTTCACACTAACCAAAGGTTATCTTAACCCAGCTTTGAACAATCCAGCCCCAGAGTCCAGTGAAATTATTATTAGGTCACTACATCTCTAGCTCTCTGGAAGAATTACCTGTCATAGCTTCCAACCACTACTGACTGTCCACTGGGGCTGCAAATTGCTACAGTAAACTCTTTTTCATCATCATCTCTGGTGTAATCAAAGTTTTGAAGAACCCTTCCTAAGAGTAGATAGAGAATGGATAATTTTGTGAGGAACAATTACATGTTTCTTTTTAAACAAAAATTACAGTAAAGCTTTCATGAAAAAAGGGGTCAGCAAGTAAAACTGAAATTTTCTGAAGGAAGAAAAGCTGGTTTTAAACTAACTACTGTAGTCTTAGTGGTTGGGGAATGACACAATAAAATAAAATGTAAGAGAAAAATTCCTTGCTATGGATCACATACATAGTTCAATTTTTCTCAAACTTATTACCTTCTTTTCCATATGCAACAATTCTTTTGTCACAACCAGCAGCAACAATTGATGAGCCCCAACACAGGGCATATGGGGAACAAGAATGCTTACACAACTGACCCTACAAAAATCAAACAAAGGGTGAATGAAGGAAACAGGGCTGGTTGCTCAATTGACTTCTATCTTACACAGTTCTCTAATAGACAATCAATGGATCTGAATATTTCTGCATAAAAAATATTTAGCTGAGATCATTGGTTGGTAGCAATTGCAGAAAGAAGCCTGAGTAAATTCAGCTTTGGCAAGTGGGTTGTTTGAAAAAATCAATGCTGCTTTCATTGTAGGACTATTTGACACTGTTTACTAAAAATTAATGTTTAGATTAAACATTTGGCAAAGTTAAAGATGGTGTAGAAAGTAGTTTTGTGAAACAAAAGCTGAAGAAAATTTAATGGAACAGCCAGTCCTTTGTTTCTCAAAACCTTATGGCAGGGATAGCCAGTAAAAGATTACAGATATTTGACTTAAAAATACCACTCATTACAAAGTATCTGAGACGATGACCACACTCTACAGAACTCACCTGTGATAAGCCTGTTCCTTCATCATCGAAAAAGTACCTTACAATAGCACCATCCATGTGACCAGAGAGAATTCCTTTTCCTGAGACACTGTAAGGTAAAATAATAAAAATAATAAACACAGATGCTGTAGTAAACTACTAACAGTGCTGGAAAATTAACTTCTATATCACTCATCATTCCTGAGAGTAAATCTCAGGTTACACTCACCAATTCTTCTTCCTTATTTGCCTAAAATAATCATCTCTCTCTTAACATAGGATACACTATTTTTTTAAAACTATTTCCCTAATATATAATCATTAACGTTTTTTACTTTAAGTTAGTACATACACTAAGATCACGAAACTTACTTTGCAGTCAGAGACACAACATAATTGTCAGTTCCATAGAGTGTGGTTGATTTGTTTGTTTTGAGGTTAGCAATACGGACCTGTGAAGTTTAAGAAGGAAAACATTGTGTACCATTTTTTGACTGAATCCTTACACGTTAATGACAAATACAAACATTATTTTCTTGTTATTTGGGCAAGCTCAAGTTTGTCAATGCATAGTTACATACCAAATATTACAATGCAGATACTATAATTATTAAACAAGTAGCTTAATAAGTGTCTACCAATTTATCTTGTTTATTAACACTTATCAACTTACCTTTCCATCTGCTAAGCCGAAGACAATGTTCTGTTGCTCAGGTGGCCATATCAAACAGGTAACAGGACTCTACCAAGAAAAAATAAATAAAGTCAGGTTGCTTGATTGGAGGCTCACCTCGACAAAGCTTATCCAACTCTCTCTAGCATGAGAGGACTGGCAACATTGCCTCCTTCCTCCCTCCCTGGATGGGATGCTACTCCACAGCAGGTGATTACCTCCCAGTAGGATGCTTGTCCTCAGCAAGTTACACTCCCTGGACAAGATGTTAGTTTACAGAAGGTTGCCTTCCCCATTCCTCCCTCTCCACCCTGCAGCATTTTATCAGGTTTCCTGACAGTTCACTGGAACCCAATTATAACCTTGAGTGGAGAGGGGCACTAGGTGAGAGTTAAGTTTCCAGCCCAATGGAACCTGGACCTCAGCCAATGTACCCCCCCTCCCCACCACCCATGTCTCTATAAAGCCCACAGAAAATTGGCAGCTGGTCTAAAAAATATCATATCACACAGAGTCACCATTTTCACTGAAACAAAATACCAAAGCAAGTTTCTTTAAGGTACAAAACTGAAAATGAAATATCAACAAACCTGTTGAACAAACTTGTTACAGATAACTTTTTTTTCACCCCTAAAAATGTCAGAGAAAAGAATCAATATAAAAATCAAAAGTTCTTTGATGCACTATCTCTTTTTACATGTCACCTTTACTTATTGTCTTTATTACAGGAGGTTTATAAGACCTTATTTCATTAATGTAGATCTTATTTGTAATTAGGACTTGAATATGGCAGTATGTCTGAGTATTTGTTAGTCCATACCATTCTTCTCCAATTTTGTACACATAGATAATGTTGTCAGTTTGGCCCACAGCAATCTTTGTAGAGTCTGGAGAGAAGGCAAGTCCTTTTACAATGTAGCTCTTCTTTCCTGCCTGAGAGGGAAGGCAAAATAACTTATTAATAATAATCTATTATGTGATGCCAAATTGATCAATGGTGATATCCACATTAGAAGTGACTACATTTCAAGACAAACAGTAATACTTCATTTCAAGTCTACTCACCATTGAAAATAGCAATAAAATTTTTCATAATATCAGGGTTAACCCTTAACACCCTAACATCAGCATGTATATTCTCCATACTGTTCTCTATAAGTTTCCTAAGGTGTTGAAATTGAGACTTTTTGTCACAATCAAGAGCTTCTTCAGTTGCTGATCATTTGCTTTACGTGACTTTAATGTGCAATTCAAGGGTGATATAGTAAGGAGAGAATTTAGATGCTAGTCACTCTAGGGTTGAATACTAAAACTAACACACAATACCTGTGAATTTGCTGGTTTTGTTGAAAACTTATCTCTTCTCTCTCCTAGCTCATCATAAAGTATAACTACTCTGTCCATGGTGACTACGGCCATTTTGGTGTTGTTTGGTGACCATGCCATAGCTGTAACCTTACAGGCTCCATCCTTTAATTTAAATAATAAAGTTATTGATTCACTCTTATTGTAATCAATATAACAACGATCAAAATCCTAATATAAGTTATTTTATCATATCTCTCCGTTAGAACATCAACATGCGATATGCAATTTAGCAGGTCATATTTCATTTTACAGCCCTCTAAATTCAAAAGTTTAAATTCAGTCAGTACTGTCAGTACTGTCAGTTACTGAACCTTGCTTTCCCACTCACCTTTATAAACCAAGTGTGAAGCACTTGGGTTTCAAATTTCAGCTGAAAGAACCTGGTCCATAACTTACAGTACAGACCTTGAACACAGTTAATAAGAGGTGTGTAATACATTTCTTAGATCTGTCCCAGGTTGGTTTTTTTTAAATGGGAAAAGATCCTTTCCATCACATTAACAAGTTTTCTATTCCACTCTATTCTATTCATTTCTTCGGTAAACAATACACCTTGCAACTTGTATCGAGAAAGAACAACAAACTAAAAGTAAGAGGAGGACTGCAAGAAAAATTGCCTCTGGACATTTTAAAACATCTCTCTTTTCTATATGCAGCAGTTGTTATTGTCGATCAACGTAAGAACATTAACTGAAAAAGATCTAACAACTTTTGTATGACGGTGTCCAACTTTTCACCAAAACATTTTCTCAGGAACAAACCAACTAGGGTATGAGCACTAAGCTTAATTTGGGTCCAATAAAAGGAATCAACCTTGTTTACATAATATTTTTTTTGAAAACCTAGCGAAACGCAAAAAAACTTCATTAAAATATAGCAATATTTTTTTCCTGTGAGTTTATTACATACACCATAACTATCTATAGGCAACAAAAGATCGAAGTCGGAGCTGCAACTAGATAACTTCTCGTTCACGATGCATATGGTAACATAATAATAATTGTCATTCTAAAACAAAATTAGAAAAGGTAGCTTCTTTACCTGCGGGTTCAGAAGAGTCTTCATATAACGTAGCTGCATTTTTACAGTTTATATTTCTAAGGTCTCCCAGTAAAGGTCTGATTCAATTTATATTTTCATGACAGTGCAGCCGCCATGTTTTTACCGCTTGAGGTATCTGGTGTATTGTGTATCCTAGATACTGGCTTGATTAGTCAGCGGGTGACCCCATGGTAGCAGATCACATGATTTTCAGAGGATTCTCAAAACACGAGACGGTTCTGTTTCCCTCTGTAGGTTTTAATATTTTAAGTATGTTTCTAAATCTTCGCCGATTTTTCTCAGGCTGTTTACTTTTCTATTTTTTATCTATTGTAAATACGAGCTTCGGTAGTTTTCAAGGGCAATGGTCACACGATTCAAAAAAATTTGAGATTTGTAAGTTGAGGTCTTGTTTCGATGGAGGCCACAATGTCACAGCATCCTGTAAGGTAAATGAAACAACCATATGGCGATGTTGTGTGAGTAATGGAACAGGAATCATTGGGTAAGTTCTTTTGTATTATACTCTTTATTTATTCTTACGTTTTGAACATCTCTATCAGTTTTGTACATCGAGCTTTGCAATTTTTGCAGTGTACCGGCTTCAATATCATTTAATAGATGATTCAATAAATGGATTACTTTGTAAACTTAGAATTAACTTTCCTAAATTAAACCCTGTATTCAAAACAGCCCAGGAAGTCCTGCGTAGAAAAGTGCCTTAACAATCTAACTATTGAAAAAGTACGTCTGTCCAAATTAGTCAATTCAGAGATGCCTTGATCGAGTAAAGTTGGTGTGACTTCTCAAGACTCTCTCCTGTCTCATAGTAAATTTTGCTAAGATACAATTTTTTTCGGATGGAGGAAAATCTGGCTCTCAAAATTATAATTTATAGAAAGACAAGGTAAGTTTTTATTGTGGACTCCAGTAGATTTAAGAGCTACACTTCTGATTACCCTGTCAGTTTAAGGATAGGGGCATACATTAGGCATCACTAACTAGAAAATTGGCTGAAAAATCATGGATTGTAATCTTCTTTATTCCATAAACAATAAAATTACTACTCTTACACATTTGCCTTGATGGGTAACTCATGCTCAATCTGATTCAATCTGATTCCAGAAACTGTAAAAATAGATCAGAGAACAAAAGTCAGTCACTTAAAACTGAAAAGTTTTGAAGAGTGTTGGTCTAAAATTAGGTGGAAATTCAAAATGATAGTGCAACACCATGAACCCAATCCTATGCTCTCCTAGAGATCCATTTTAAATATATCTAACAGAAACATGTTATCTCTTGTTTTCAGGCTTGATCTCACTAACTGCTCTTTGAAAACTCTACCAAGTTTACAATCAGTGAATATGTCATTAAATTGGTTGTAAGTACAGAAAGTTCTTTATGTACTTAATTTAAACTATTACCTCTTCCAATCAGAAAGTAAAAATGCTCTTATTAGAACAATACTGTACATCTGTATACTTTACATAGTACAGCATAATTTTCAATCTCTTTTCTTTCATAAAGGAGGCAGGTTTCTTAAGAAACTTTGTTGCTAGGTCAGTGGATGAGTGTAACAAGATGATATGGTTTTATCAACTGAGTTGGTAAATTGGCCACTGTAAAGAGTTTCTAAACTTTTCTTTCAAGTAGAGAAAAAGACATTTTCAAAGAGCTGAATCACAACTATTATTTTTAGTTCTTCTTTGGTTTTTAAAATTGTTGTGAATCAGAATGAACCCTTTGACCTCTAAGAGTGATTGGCTTATAAATTCTCCTTTCAGTATCACTGCTGAATCAAACATTAAGGTTATGAGAATAAAGGAAAGGACAGTCAACTCGAGATGCTCTTGATAATCGAACTAATTCTCCATGCCAGCTACATAGGAAATGAATAAAGCACAGTATGGAGAATATTGATACCCATGTTAGGGTGCAAAGAGTTAACAGTTTTCTAAAGTAGACAGACACCAAACATATTAGAGACAAAAAATGTAAACATGGATTTGTTAAGGACTGTAAATGGTGAGAGTGTTGGAGATTGGTTAAGATTTCCTAACCATGATGCAGCTTTAACCAATATATTGTTGATTATTTCCTGATCAGTATTATTATGTTAGGGCAGGAATGTTACCTCATCCTCTCTGCAAAGAAGGGAGGCACATAAAACTGAAGGGGTGTGTGAAATAAAGCCTTGAGTAATATATGACACAACGCTTACTTCTTTTTCTTTTGCAAAAGGGAATATGAGACAATTTGGAAGGAGAATCTAGTGGTTGATCAGAAGTCTCTTAGGCCTCTCTTTCCATGCACCACTTTATCTGAAATGAAGTTGACTGTTTTTCTCCTTTTTCAGATATTTACAGAACAATCCTGCTCTTGAATGTAACAGCTCAACATTTCATGGTCATTTTAAGGGTTTTGCAAACTTGACAAAGCTGTAAGTACAGAATTTATAGCCCTCTAATCCTTAACCTTTTCACTCCCAAGATCTAATTAGTAATTCTCCTTACTATCTGCCATACAATTCTTATGATGCTAGTTCAGAGAATTTGGTATTGGATCAACTAATAACCCCATAATTGATATTCTTCTCTATTCTCATCACCTACCTGCTTGATATTGTATTGATATTGTAAGGAGAAATTCTGTCTTGGTCACTTGTGGGAGTAAAAAGGTTAAGTGACTAGTATCAAATTTCTTGTTATAGCATCACCTCTGAGTCAAACATTAGGGTCATGAGAATAAAGAAAATGATCACTCACTTAAACAGCTCTGACTTGATTATTAAACAAATTCTCTCTGTGAGTACCTCAGGAACTGTGCATAGGCCAGTATTGAGAATATAGGAAGTGAACGGTTAGTAAAAGATGTGGGGCCTCAAGCTATTTATATCAATATTAATCCTATCTGGGTTTCTCAACAGAATTCATTTTAATGATTGAATGTCAAATGTTTAGGATTTTGCCAAGGAGATGTAATTGTACAGGAGGAGACAGTGTTTGGAAACAACACATTATCAATGGCTCAGTAAGATGGTGCTATGGGCAGAGAAATTCCTGCAAAGTCCTAAATGGTTAGCAGATTATGTTTAAAAGCAAACAGGCTTTGTTTTTGAATTTGCATTTTAAGAGAAACTTCTCCTAGAGATCATGATAGCAGGAAACTAAGAGTACAAAGTAATTTGGTTTAATCAACAGAGTTTGTGATGTAAAGAATTTCTAAAGCTGAAGAATTGAGTGTTAGCCTTTCGTCAGAGGGATGTTAAGGTCAGGGATAGGGTTAGTGGGCCCTTTGCTCTGACAAAAGATTTTCAGCATATTTAAGTTGGATGCTTGTTTCAAATTTCATCAGTTACTGCCTGTGTAATTTTCCAGTCATTGTTCACCACTTGGAAAGTTTATTTGGATCCAACATTGTGACCAGCTTCCAGTTGGCTTGTTAGCTCAGTTGGTAGAGGTCATTGGTTCAAATCTGGTATGGGTCTGAATTTTTTTTCAGCTCTCATTTCAACTACTAGTTCAGTAGTGTTCATAGCTGCAAGGATCGCTTATATCTCATGGTGACAGGTAACAGCATATTTTACTATTGATTCATTTTGACTTTGTTCATGACATTCTTTTCCAGTGACCTGCCCTGGGAATTCTGCTTGTTCTTCAAATGGTCCAGGTACTTATTGCCGAAAATTTTTTAACTTGAATTTGAACATGCTAAAGATATCTTTAAGTTACATGTTCCCTTCTGTGTAGATTCTGTATCTTATTTTTCCTTAACATGACTTTATTTTTTTATTAGGATTCTCACAATGTCTTTGTAAACCAGGTTGGCATGGTTATAAATGCTTAGTTAAGGTATGTTGTTAAACATTGAGGTTGAAATTTGAAATCTTACAACAGACTCGTATAGGTTTTGGTACAAGCCAGTTACCGGCAGTCTACTGAGGACCACCCCCTGTTTAGCCAGCCAGCAGCTTCTAGTGTTTGGGTGTAGCCTTGCTGCCCCTTTTTGGGCACAGCTTGTTACACCTTTGGCAGCCACTTTTGAAAATAGTTATTAAAACCACTGGCTTAGCACCATGATATGTACTTATTGACTGGGTGGGAGGGCCAGACAATTAATCATTTAATGATGTACTGACCCTGCACAGCGAGGTCTGTTTTCCTGTCCAGCCCAACCAAACTCAGTCAATAAGCATTTTATCGTATGACTACTAAGCACTGAAAATTTTGAAAATGTTGTTTCGACCTAAATAGTCCATGATAGATGGGCAAGTGGGGGACAACTACCTAAAGAAGTTCTGCAGTAAAGACTTATCCTTTGTTTTTTGGGGGAGTCAGAACAAGAGACTCACAATCCATCTATATGGGTTATTCTTCTCTTTTTCTTTTTTCTGTTAAGTTTTTGCAACCAAGCAGTATGAGTGCAGTGCTGGTCAACTTTTTCTGCACTGAGTCACTTCAACCTGTCTGGCCCTAGACATGTCAGCTTTCACTGTGGTTTTCTTTGGGATTGCTTGTGCAGGGCTGAATGGGTCATATAATGATAGTTTCATTTACAGTATACTATTTAGTATTAGAGATAGAAATGATCCATTCTGGAATGAAATTTTTCTTTAATTATGTCAGCATGTTTGGTTTGAACCAGCTCACATCAGGATAAATGGTCTGATCAGTAAGCACAAAAATTGATGGTACACACTTTTTAAAGATAGCTTTAAAAGGATCAGTCAAAAGGATTTGCTGCAGAGGGTGTTTGTTTGGTTTTCTCTATCTAGTTTAGTTTTTCAGTATTGCGTGGATGAAGAGTGTTTTTACTGTGGATAGACTTGATTAACATGATTGTTAGACTTCATTAACATGAATATTCAACTTCCAGAGTGGATTTCCTTGGCTGTTAATTTTTGCTCCAGTTGGTGGATCAACAGTGGTTTTAATAGTTATTATTCTGCTCATCCAGCGAAAAAGGTAATTTTGTTGCAGTTCAATATCTGTTTTCCATGGGTAAACACCCCTGACATTTGTGGACTCTGATTTAATGGTCTTGGTTACACTGATTCCTTATGTCGCCTTGCTCTGAAAACACTTTTAATGGGAATTTTCTAGACGTAAAGTGTTTCTATGCACAAGACTTTTTGCGAAAAAAAGCAGCATAGCAGCCAAGGCTGGCAATAATAAAATGAATTAAACTGACTCTTTGACTCTTTCATGTACACCATTTTCTAAAATTAACCCTTTCACCCCTAAGAGTGCCTGACATGAATGATTAGCATCTAATTTCTCCCTTCAGTGTCACCCCTGAATCACACATTAAGGTCACCAGAATGAAGGAAATGATCACTGACGGAAAAAGCTCCTGATTGTTGAACAAATTCTCCTTTTCTGCACCTTAGAAAATGTGTAGAGAGGAGTAGGGAGAATATACATACTGCTGCAAGGGTGTAAATGGTTAAAATTCTTTCCTGCCTCTGCTTTTGTTTGTAGGCGTGGACAAAGGCCAACACATTATTCAGTACTCCACTGACCTAACTGACTGTTACTTAAGGCCAAGCCTTGCTGAAAAAACAGCCAATCACTGATCTGTCCTTGGGAGGAAATTATCAGTACTGCTTCTCTACATCATATGTGCTGTCATGTAATCCATTACAAAGCACTTCAGGAAATTCTCTATTAGATGAAGTAAAAAGTTAGGATTCTGATTTGACATTGTCATCAATTATTCCTACTATACAATAGTTTTTTATTTATTTATTTCGAGATCAATTTTTTTTAGTTATTTCTCAGGGTACAGTTACTTTGAAAATAAAGTCAATAAAGGTTTGTTCAAAACTGTTGAGGGGGGAGGAGAGGGGGTGGAGAGGGGGTTATTTTGCTGAACAAATCATGCTTGTACAAGTCTTCCACGTGCAATTTTTTGTTAGAATTTACAATGTGACTAAATGAGGAGAATAGTAGAGTATTAAATTAATTTTTAAGTAATTTTTGTTTTTGCTTTACCTTGTTTTGAAAATTTTTAATAAGGTTCAGTTTGTAAGTATGACTTACTTCATAAACTGAAGTGTAAGTCCATTTTTCATGTTTTGGACAGAAAAATTTCTTAATACATCCACCTCAGCCCAACTTTGCAAAAAGAGAAAAAAAAGATTAAAAAGTTCATTCATTGCTAATCTCATGTGACATTAAATTAATATCCTGCAGCTTTCTCCCACTGAATTTTTCTCAAAAAATAGTAAAGTTATGGTTTTTCAAAACACAAATCGAATTTATTAATTTTTTTAATTCTTTTACTTGTTTTTTAAGTCCAAACCTTTTTTTAATCTGTCATTGTAGCTGTTACATAAATCTTATTCTCAACTTTAGTTTCTCCATATATGTATTATACTCTTAATCTTAAAGAATTATCTTGTAGATTGACTTGTGTAATTGGAAATTTTTGCGAATAAATAAATTCTTAATGAAAATTTCCTCGATTGCATTTTTGTATGGTGTTATTCACCTCTAACTGCATAGAGTGACGGGTATTAGATTTCTCTTTTCAGTATCACCCTTAAATCAAATGTGAAGGTGATAAGAAAAACGAAAATATTAACCAATTTAAGAAGCTCCTGATTGTCAAACAAATTTTCCTTGTCAGAGTCACTGAAAATGTAAGAAAATTGCGAAGAACGTGAATTCTTAAAGCAAGGGTGTAAAAGGTTTCTGCGATATATTCACTGATTTAACGAGGTGTATGTAGTTATTGCGTCCAACACAGCTCAGAAAGTTTTAAAAAGAGGAACTTTAAAAGCTGCATGTGTAGCATGAACAAAACTAAAGGATCGATAAGAAGCCGACGTGAGTTAAAAAAAATATATAGTTAGGACGCCACCAATGATCGATAAGGGAGCAGAACAGAATTTATCCCGCATATCCCCGCGACGTGATCGTCATGTATGCACATAAATTGATTTCAGCTTGATTTAATTCATGTGCATAAATCAATTTGAGCAGGTGTATTTTGACGAGGCAACCCATTGGGATATTCATATGTTAATATCTTCTACTTACTGTTGATTTCTGTAATGTTGACACAACAAAACAGCTTACTGTGTACTCAAAAAAAAGTACCGTGTCGTTTTAGTGCCAATGTATAAAATGCCTCTCAAAGTGCCGCGCTTCCATCTGCAAGAGTCCTTGGCTTAGAGCTCAGTGGCAATTTCACACCGCAATTTTGAGTCATTTAATTGAGGAATAGAATCATCTTTGGCCTATAGCTTTCATATCAACGAAGTAGAATGAAATTGCCATCATGTTGTGTGGGAAGATCAGGTGAAAGTCTTTACAATATTCAGTAGCTCCAGATATAACGAGAGGTAAGGTAAGGTAAGGTAAGGCCTGAAATTGGCCGATTGTGTGTAACATTAAAAAAAATAAATCGCATTAAGACTGCTTTACGACGAAAATTAATCTAAATGAGATGAACCAGAGTAAATTTTTAAACCCTAGGTAGATTTTTTGTTATTTATATCACTGAAATAGAATACGTAAAATTTGCATTTTTGAGTAAATTTATTTTTATTTATACACCAACGTTTCATTACTCGTATTTTATTAATTGCGATGTGTCCAGAAGCAACACCACGTTAACAAATAAACTGGCTGACCTCCAACCAGCATTCAAAAACAAATATCTCGATGGAGGTAATACGATAAATAAGAGAGCAAGGTGCATAAATTTAAGTATGGAAAAAGAAGGAAATTGTGGCGTGAATTTCATTTTCTGTTTCGAAATTTGTTTACGATTGATTTTAAAGATGCCTTCGGCACGGCTTTTCAAACAAAGCAACTTTTGCATTAAAAGTAACAGCGATGCCTTACCTCGTGTATTAAAGCAGTTATTACTTTTCAATTAAGCTAAGTTATTACCAAAGATCAGTACTTGAACTTAAGTTGAGACGTTTTACCTAATCTAATATCTTCCGGGATAAAAGAGAATTTTGAGCTGCTTTGTTAGATTCGCATGCGTAAAGAATTTTGACCATCCTGGTCTATAAAAAATGCGTATATTTTATTCTTGTACTTAAAAGAAGGATTTCCATAGAATACAGCGCGTGGATAAAAATTTTTAAGATACAAGGTTTTTCAATCGAGTGTTCTCGAATCCGGAAAAAACGTCGGACTGACTGACTGTCAGACTGAGAGAGTGACTGACTGAGTAGGGGTTGGTTGATTACTATGACGCCTACCGCACTAACTACCAGAACACTGGAAGATTGTAATGAAAAGGTGAACTCTCCGATTGGTATTGCTACCAAAGCCAACCGCTATGATGAACTTAACGAAGGACAAACAGCACGCAAACCTAGGTGTATTTAGCCTTAGAAAAAAGCCTTGAATATTGAAACTTTATCTTTCTTATCCTAAGTTCTGTGGTAACGTCACGTATGACGGATTTACACGAGGCCGCTGCTGTTGGTGATGCTCAGGCCGTGGAATACTTGCTGCTTAGCGGTGAGTCAGATCCGGACGGGGAGGACTGGGACTGGGGCAAAAGGACACCCCTTCACGTAGCAGCCGCAGCAGGTATGGTGAAAATCACAGGACAAAATATTCGTGACTGTTTGAATCGTTAGCATGTGCAACCCGTGAGCTGTGTTTTCGGTGCCTGACGAGAGATTCTGAAAACATAAGATTTGACTCGGGAACTCTCCAAATTATGACGACACACTTATGTATTAACGCATAGACAGATCTGACAGCTATGATCGTCAAAAAAGATCTTAGGGCTTCTCACTTCTTTGCCGAAAAACGGCGATTTCTTCTCCCGCCTACTCATGCAACTACAACGTTTAGTAACATAATTTTAACATTATGATAACCTAAGCAGTTCGCAAGGGAGGGGTCAAGGTCAAGAATTTAGCAAGGGACTGTTCAATCCAGTGGGACCCATTACTAAATCAAACGACTTCCGACGGGTTGTAAACGTCTTCAGGCATCCCTATTAATTGATCGGTCAGGCTGGCTTTCACTATGACATTAGCGTAAGCTTACACTGCTGTTCGCAATCTTCGTAACGCACTGATCATAAGTTGTTTTGGTTCAAATGAGAGGCACAGATAATCATCACACCTTAGATTGAGTCACCATGAAAACTATTATTCCGGACGCCAAACATTCTCTATTTAACTCAACGGAAAATTGCAACGAAACCGTTCCGTTTTCTCCGAATCTGCGTCTCACGCGTTTTTTTCCTGTGATGTACATTAAGGTCATTTGGGGTGCGTCGAGAAGCTCCTGGAACATGGAGCTGATGGTGAGATGCGCATGGCAGGAGGATGGACGCCAGCTCACTGTGCTGCTGAACATGGCAGCGTGGCAATATTGCAGGCTCTTGCTGAAAATGGGATTAGTGTAACAAAAAAGGACAACACTGGAGACACACCGAAACGAGTCGCACAGATCTATGGGCACAAGGGCTGTGTAAAATTTTTTGAAAGGTGAGAATAGTTTTTTTTTTTGGTTATTTTGACTAAGATTGGTCCGCTATTGCGTGAAACTTAAGGATCCTGGTTTGACAAACGATATTTCCCACTTAAATAGAAACTCGAGAAAAAACAAAATATGCCAACGAAAGTGGAAAAAAAAAGAGGTCCCAGCCGACAAAAACGCCACTTTAGTTCTGTCCTTGATCTACACGTAGCGTATTTTCTGCGATGTACGCCATTTCGTGAGCCGCAGTGAAGAAAACTGCAAGAGTGTAAATGTGAACGAATTATTGTTTCCAGTGAAAATCAATACTTTCTTTGAACTCAATCTGTGGGTGATTGATGGCTTTGACGGCAACCAATTGATGCTTCAAAAGCTTGAGTTAAATGTCAAATTTCGGGGGCTACGGTTCACAAGGTTATTATCTCTTGGGTTCACGCAGGACACTAACAATATTAATGACAGTTAATACTTCTATGCCTCGAAACAACAAAAATACGAGAGGTGAACATAATTGTTTTTCTCTAGACTGAAAAGTTTTACGGTACCTGAAATGGTGTGTATACGTATAAGTTCACGACACAAGAATTAAAGCCTCATTAATTTACCAACATACTTAGCACATCCTCAACTTGGCGAAAAACTGATTTTATGCATCTCTTGTTCAATTTTTGGACAACGAAAAAGAATAAACAGATGGTTTTCGTTCCAGATTAGAAAATAAATTTAAAGAAGAAAAAACAAATGGGTCGGAAACTGAGGATGAAAGCAGGACGACCACGCCCATCTTCAACCTTGATATGATGAAGAGGCTCGAGACAGAAGCAGATTCCCAAAAAGGACAGTTAGCAATGGAAGAAGAAACAAGTGAGAAGGAAATTGAAAACAATCACAACTCAAGGGTCACATTTTTATTGACATGAAACAGAAGTGTGATACAATCTTCGTGCATGGTAATTCTGGGGACTATAGTTTTGAAACCTCTCCTCAAGAAAACTCAATTTGGAAACTTGGAAGAGAGAAAAATACACACACGAATGAGAGATGTAGTCTCTAATGAGAATGACAGCCATTGAATATTACAGCAGTGTTCACTTTCACAATACTTTCTTAGAATCCTAGTGATACTTGGAAAATTGTTTTCAGAATTTCTGGAGGGAAATGTGAGTGATTTCAAGTCTTATCTGTGAAAAAGCCTTCTGGCAGTTGTCTTGATACTCTACACCAGAATGAATCCTACATGTTTCTCATTTCTTATTGGTGATATAGCTAGCAGTAGTTTTGTGTTCATGAGATGAGGCAAGTTTTACAAAGACCTTCACTTCTTTACAAAGCAACACTTCAGTACACCCAAAAATCAAATTTAGCTGTTCCCCAACAATCCATCTTGCGGTGAAAGCTAATATTCTGAGGTAGAACTTCTCATCTGGACACTGTGAATTTAGATAGGAGCTCAACAATGTCATCAAGTCCTAAATCTTCAGCTAAGCTCATGGGTGTCACAGTCGCAGGGATGCCCATCTTAACATCCAGATCACATTTTGCCTCTAACATCACTGAGACCATTTCAGCATTACCTGCGAAAAGGGAACAATTTACTCAAATAGAGGAAATAAATATTTTAATAAATTTACTTTCTACTGCCTGCAGAACAGCCATGACTTTTTTTATGGCAGTAGGGGGGGGGAGGGGTAAATAGTTTTTATAGTGCTGCTTTTTAGGTGTCACTGCAGCACAGGGCTTGAAATAATGGCCAGTCAACACAACAGATAATCAATGTCCAGTCAACTATGAGTTTTGTCTGGTCCTCTCTTCTGATGGCCACACATTTTTTTCAATAGTTCATGTATGGGGGGGAGGGATTTATAGAGATATGAGGTAAAGGATGTTTGTCAGGCCAAAAATGGGTTATGGCTGAGCAAAAATAGGAAAAAAAGGTTTAACCAGACAACTTGACTGGTGCCCCCAAGAAATTATTTCAAGCATTGCAGCACATGTTACTGACTCATGCCCCTCCCTCAGCTCAACTTCTGCCATCTTCTTGGGTGTGGTCTTCAATTTTATTTTTTGGAGAGGGGAGCTCATGTCCTGAACAGCAGTTGGTAATTGAGCCTCACTCTCCCCTTCTTCGTAGCCTTCTTGAGCATTTAGGTCTCAGTCTCTGCAACTGGCTAATTTTTGCATTCTTCTGACAATATACCACTCTTTACTAACACTACTTACCACTCATTATGGCAAGATGAAGTGGTGTTGCTCCTTCACATTCAGGATTCCAAGCATTGACATCTGCTCCAGCATTAATCAACACCTTCACCAGGGTGATATTACCTGTATTCACTGCTGCATGAAGGGGAGTGTTCCCAGAAGGTGCCTTTTCATTGATATCCACTCTTGGATTCAGCTTTGAATACAAAACATAAAAAGTAAAATGTGTAATCCAAGATTAGAGAGACAAACCGGTGAATTTTTAATCCCTAGCCTGACTTCTATATCCTTATGTTCAGGGTGAAGTCTTGCAGTTTCGACACCACAGGACAAGATGACCAATCAGGCCTAGGTTTTCTCTCCTCCCCTCCCCTCCCCTCCCCTCCCCTCCCCCCAGTTCCTTTAAATTCTACCATAACAACCCTCCTCACTTTGAAAAAATGCATGTTCCTTCCACTTTTTTCAACATTGTCTCATCGACAGCCCTCATTTGATCTGGCCGTACAACTCATCCTCTCTTGCAACCTTAATAATCTGAAAAAGCTGGCTACAACAACACGCACATCTGCTTCCTAACATGCTTCTCTCCAGCTTGCTTGCCTGATGATCAATGACATAATAGCCACAACAACAATAGCAACAGTAGCAATACACCTAACATTTCACTACCTTCAATAGAGAACTCAGGATGTTTTCTTTGCTGCTGAGAACAGATACAAAAACAAGGCTTTTACCACTGCTGTCCTTAAGGGTGTTATGCTGTAAACCATAATTCTGCAGGAAATAACCAAGGACATCTGGAAGGTTTTTCCGTACAGCTTGAAATGCAAATTCAGTTGCTATAGTAGTAAGAGTTTTACTAACAAGAAAATTTTCTTTAAGGTCTTTGTAGCTACTTCTGTTGAATGCCTGCTTGTAAAATTCCAGTACCCCTGAGCATATATTCACAACTGCAAATGCTCTTGTCGCTAATATAAGTTGCACATACTGCTTGTTTGATGTTGAACACTGAACATCTGAGAGAAGGGCACGGTAAGTGTTTTTCTTTCCAGAACACAAACACAGTAAAATTTTGAGGAAGAAATCTTTAGTTTCAGAGTTATGAAACTTTTCCGGGTATTCCCAAAACACAGATCTAGCAAAGGCATCAATATCTTGACTCGAAACAGATCCTCCGTTCAAGCCAGCTCCAAAAGCAAATTTGATTTCCTCCATTGAAATTGTGAACTCCATTTCTATAAGCTCTCTTTGTTTTGATCTTGGCATTTCAGACAGCCAAAAGTGGGCAAATTGAATAAAATTGTCACTAAAATGCAACCACGAGGTCAGTTGTTGAATTGAAGTATTCGCTCTTGTTAGCCAATCACTAACGACAGTCGCGTCCATGTAAAGAAGAACAGAATCAAAATTAGGTTTCTGTCGTTTAGTATCCTTCCTTCGGGCCCCATAGTCGTTTGCATTTTGGGAGCGAACTGTTGGTGAATTCCTACCAGAAGAAGATGGGCTAGATATAGCACTTGATGAGGCACCAATCGGCGGTAATGGTGACCCTCTGTCTGAAGATCCAGGGCTTAATGGAGGACTCTCAGGCTTTCCCTTCATAGGTAAAGGTTCTAAGTCCTTATTACGTCTCTTTGGTAGAGCAGGCTGCGAGACTTCAAGTGGAATGTCATCAAAATCTTGCAATGATTCTGGACTACTACTATGATACAGTTCCTCTTCCTCATCGTCATCACGATATGACAATCTGGAGACGTTGATAAGTTCTCGCAAATCTTTCACACTCCGAGTCATCTTCTACGAAATCACCGCAATGAATATGGTAACATAACTGTTATGTTGCACGTAGCAACCACCGAAGCTTTTCCGCCATTTTGAGTTGTAAATTAAACTGAGAGGTACTGGGTTAAATACCCAGAATGCCTGGCGGGCCATTGATATATATTAACACCACGTGTCTCCTTTCTTTCTCTCTCGCCGCCATTTTGTTACAGAGATCTGGCTCACCGCTGTTCATTAAAGAATAAGTCGGCCAATTTTAAGCATGGTAGGTTACCAGCATTTTTTAAAGAGAAGTTAAGGTTAAAGCTATACCGAAGAAAACAATAAATGGTTGATAATTCGTCAGATCGTTCATTTTAGACGAGAACGCTTTAGTTCTTACCGGATGTTATCTCCCTTTAAACGTAATTTCGTGTTCAACCTACTGATTGTTTGGAATTGAAGCCTTCCTTTCCTTATGGAAACGGCATTAATTCATCAAACATTAGATGTTCCTCTTGTAGCTTGGTGTATCTTGCTTGGAAATCATTCCATTGTTTTAAAGTGTCACCTTACGAGATCTGCTCACGAAATGAGAATGTTAACCCTTTAACTCCAATGAGTGACCATGACAGAATTTCTCCCTATAATATCAATACAATATCAAGCAGTCAAGTGATGAGAATAAAGAAAATATCAGTTGGGGAATTAGCTGATCCAATACCAAATTCTCTGAACTAACATCACTAGAACTGTAAGGGAGACAGTAAGGAGAATTATCAATGAGATCTTGGGAGTTAGAGGGTTAATTAAAACCGTCAATTATATGATGTACACAATCATATCAGCTGAAAAAAACTGGTGATTTTTGATGTTGATGTATTCTAAACGTTTGCTTGAATTAAGATGACAGCCTATGAACAAAATCATAATTTTTCAAACCTGTGAGGAAATTATCATGAAAGTTTCATAAAATAAATGTCTTGATAAATTGAATCTTCTGCTGAAATTTTCCATTATTTAAACCAAAATTAACTTCCCTTTGCTGGTGGAACATTTTAATACCAACCCTTGACTTTTCAATCTTTAAATTTTCTTTGAACCAATTTCTTTTTCCTCAGAAAGATCACAGAATATTGGAATGCACCCAATTCAGTGATAATATAGTTGATGTTTAACCCCTAACATTAAACTTTCTGAAATTATCAACCTAGAATTTCATGTTTTTATTTCAACATGTCATCCTAGAAACAGGTCATCAGTGCTGACAAGCTTTTCTCTAGAGGTTCTAATTTACAATGATATGTTAGGAAGGCCTAATGTCAAACCACAAATTGGATCTGATAAGCTAGAGATTTGATATTTTTTTTGCTTTTTAGTCTCACTATAAGGAAAAAAGTGCTGTGCCAGAAGAAGAGGCTCAGATCCACAGGATCCGTATCACTCTCACCAGCCGGAATGTGAAAAGTTTGGAAAAGGGTCAGTGCTAGTGTTAACTCTTTCTTGTAGTGTATTGGGGGAGGGAAGGTGGCTTTGGTATTTTCTGGTATTCTAGTCAACATTTTTGAAAACCTCTTGGGAAGGGGGTTTATGAAGATTTTACTAAGAGTCAAAATACTGGTCATTACTTTTTTTTTTAACTGTGGCCCTTTTTATTATAAAATGTATATAGTATGCATTTCAATTTTTGGTGAAAATCCAATGATGTTCAAAACTGAAACTAATGTAGCCTTTCACATATAAGTGTTGGAACAAACTAGGGCTTACAAAAGTATTCGTGGTACCCAACTATCATTTGTTTCAGAAGCCTTTTTAAAATTTCTCTTGTTCTATCCATCACCACACTTCTCATCTGCTAATTTTGGGGAAAGTAAAAAGAACATATCAGACATAAACAGTGAGATCCATCTTAACTCCTCCTAGTTAACCTTCTATTACCAGCCACACACAAGTTGTCACTATTTTGCTTGTTAGCTTCTTTTCTAAACCTTCTCTTCTATTCCTAAGTGTGTGCTGATCTGATCCGTGGAGCTAAGGACAAGAAGCTTAGAGTTAAGGGTCCAGTCCGAATGCCAACAAAATACCTGAAGATTACCACACGTAAGACTCCCTGTGGAGAGGGCTCCAAGACTTGGGACAGGTTCGAAATGAGGATCCATAAGCGTCTGATTGATCTTCACAGTCCATCGGAGATTGTCAAGCAAATTGTATCCTTTGCTTTTATCTTTGAAGATGTGGTTGATACAATTTTCGTTTTGTTTGTTGGATTATTAGTTTAAAAAAATGGCTTTGATAATCTTTTTTACTGTGTAAGGGCTGGTTTATACATAAAATGCAGCCACAGCAGATGTATCACAGTCAAACTGTGATTATCTGGAACTGGATTATCCTGAGTTTTGGATTATTTGGACTTTTCTTTTCTGGTACCATTATCTACATTATTAATATTCATACTTTTGATTATTTGAAGTCTTGATTATCCAGACTGTGAAGCCCAGTCCCTTGAGTCCAAATATTTGAGGTTCAACCATATTGTGCTAGTGGTTAGTTTGGGCATATCTACCTATCCTTGGGTTGTATGCATTTTGGAAATACAGCTATCTGTTTGTGTGTCTTTGTCTTCACTAACCACCTTGAGTGTTACATGTGAATTATTAACTGATGGTACTGCTCAGGGGTTTAATGAAGCTTTTTTCATAAGCCGCTGCTGTGAGTGTTATAGCAAAAGCAAACACTAAACAGGAGAGCCTGCTTGAAAGCCAAACAGACAGTGGTAAGAACTTCTGTATGCAGCACTGGAATGATGGTAACTTGCTATTAATGGAACTCCTGTTACTACCTTAAGTTTTTGTCAATAAAAAGTTTGCTCAAGTTTTTATTTTTTTCCCTTGACCCATCATTATTCAGACATCCATTAGTATTGAGCCTGGTGTTGAGGTTGAAGTGACCATTGCTGATGTCTAAATGGTGTAACAAATAAAACAACAACCAATAAAATGTTGACAAAACTGAAACTTAATTCTTAATTTTTTCTTTGATGCATGGAGTTTCATCAAGGATCTGAGATCTGCAAGATCTGGGGGTATTTTCACTGAAGGGGGTGTGCAGAGTATAGCCTAAGTTGCCTTTGATGCAACACTAACTACTTATGTTTGCAGTGAAATGCTATGAAATGCCAAACAACCTCCAAACTAACCCCTCAAACCCTGACATCAGTATGCATATTCTCCATACTGTTCTCTATACATTCCCTGTGGTGCTGACAAGGAGAATTTTTGTTTTCACATTCTGGCTTCTTTACTTGATTATCATTTCCCATATTCTCGTGACAGTCATGGTTGATTCAGGGGTGATACAGTAAGGAGAAATAAAATGTTAGTCACTTTTAGGAGTTTAAGTGCTAAGTAGCGTGTACTAACTAAAACACTATGAGAGGAAGCAAAGTTAACGGCGTTCTTTGATGATTGTGATGGAAACTAATAATTTTGCCTCCACTAATCAACCTGGCACACAAAGAGTTGATATCTGGGCACATTGGCCAGACAAGCCACCATGTATTTAATGCAAAATCGATATGCTTAGACAGGTCTTTTAGGATTGAAGTGAATTAAATACACCAAAGCCGGACACGAAAACCCCTAAAAATCAGCAGGTGGAAAAAACGGGGAACGTGTACCCCCAACCAGGGCAGTGAAGCCACCCTTGGGGTTTTAGGGTATCCTATGAATGATATGTTGTACACAGTCACTTAAGGTACAAAAGATACGAAAACGAAAACGAACAATTAAACACGGCGAAGGCTGACCGTAGAATGCCTTGCCCCACAAACCACGATCCCATAACTCTCCACGCTCTGATAAGTGCCGGCAAAAATTGATGTACGCTAATTAGGATTGCCACAAATTTACAAGCATTATTATAGTACAACACGAAATTATAGGCTATCCTTTTAATGAATATCTCAAGCCAGATAGCGTATGTCATTCAGCAAACAAGGGAGGTCTTGAAACTTCAAATGGATTTTTTTTTTACTGTTTTCAAGTGACTTGAAAGAGTTGTCATCAGTAATGAAAGAAATACTATGCGAGAACAGATTCTGCCTTTGAGTACGGGAAATGCCTTCCTTGAATAGACACCGCATTGGAAAATTCCTTAAAAACCGCAAAGTTCATTCGAGAAGATCCGCTAATCTTGGTTACCTGTATTTTTTTGAAAAAGGGAAAAAAACGAAGTTTAGGCATTGTTACTATAAGGCGGGAGTAACGAGCTCCTACATAAAGCCATGATATCTTGATTTCTCATTCGTTGCATAAATTAGATGGAAAACTTACCTCTTCTTTGCAAAATTTATTTGCACCTTGAAATGTACACGTTCAATAACTCTTCAAATCAAGAGGGGCTCAAATTTTTATTTGCATTAAAACCATGCCACATGAACGCAGTGCAAATTGGCAATATCTCTAAGATCTCGGAAAACATTTCTGACAACAGGTGAAACACTTAAAATTCTTTGTTAATTCTATTTGATCGTTTTCTTTTTTACCGACATTATTTGACAAGCTGTTGATTGGATAAGAAAAGGACCTAATAAAAGAGTACAATAACGCTCCAATAAAGCTTTATTGTAACTTCGAGGAAATTAATTTTATCTTCGTTTAATCCCAGTGGGTGAACCGGAAGTTTGGTCGAATTTGTATCATTTGAACTCAGGTTCCGCGCACACTCACTTATATCATGGCACAATTTTTTTCGAAAAGCGAGTAGTGTGAAATGTATGCAACTTTTACGCAAGCTAACCGACGAGGCATCAGTGATCGCCACGTTAGTTTTTCCCTCCTGACGCAAAGTTTAGAATCTACTCGTGAAAACGGAAATACAGTCAGCACTTTTGCCGTGGTAGGGTATGTCACATGACTTTTTTTCACCCAATAGGATTTAGCCGCGTCCAGGCCGCGTGGATGTTCAACCGAAGCACATGAGTCTTGAACAAAATGCGGTGAAATCCTCACGACAGTTTTGAAGCTTTAGAGAAAATTCTCATCAGAATGCACCACATTTAAACTTTGAACTGGAAAAAAAACACTCGCAGTTTCAAGTTTTTATTCTAAAGGGAAAGAAATAGCTGAATTCGCATAGTATCCTCGTTGAACAAAATGGAACTAGCGCACACATTACCGGCGTCGGAAGTCTTAGATCACTTTTCTGTTGACGAAACGAAGGGTCTGAGCTTAGAGGAGTTATCTAGTGCGCAGAAAAAATATGGACCAAACGGTAAGAAATATTTTGTTCAGCTGTAACAATTTAACCACTTTTGCTGCACCTTTGATGATATTTATCCAGATATATGATAGCTTTTGTATGATTTATATTCTATCATGCACTACCATCTGAGGGCTATATGTTGTAATCTTTGGTTAATTTTGAACATCAGTGAGTGGGTTCTAATGTATATTTTTATTGTTTCTTTTTTGGTTCAATACGACAGAACTCCCAGCCGAAGAAGGTAAGAATGCTTTTTGAACACACGGTCGTGATCATTTGTCCCTTTGCTTTGAGTTTGGGGTCGCTTTTGCGTTTGCGTTACGAGATCAGCTGTTCTCAACACATGGTGCTTTTAATTCTTAGGCAAGCCCTTATGGAAGCTGGTATTAGAACAGTTCGATGATTTACTCGTAAAAATTCTTCTTGGAGCCGCAGTGATTTCTTTTGTAAGTTTATTTGCTCGGTACAAACACTCATGTGCTTGTTACAATAATTTGATGAGCTTCACATCATAGTTCACGTTAATTTTGTTTTTTCGTTTTCCAGACTTTGGCTTTATTCGAAGAAGGAGAGGACAGAACTACAGCATTTGTAGAACCATTTGTTATCCTTGTTATTTTGATTTTAAACGCAATTATAGGAGTATGGCAAGTAAGTATAGATTCTAAATTCTTGCTTTCGACATCTCGGTGGGAAACCATTTTACATGTATGCAACTGACAAAAAATTGATGGCGGTGATTTTTTTTTTTTCAGGAAAGAAACGCCGAAAGCGCAATCGAAGCCTTAAAAGAGTATGAACCTGAAGTAGCCAAAGTTTTAAGGCAAAACAAACCAGGAATTCAAAGAATAAAAGCTCGGGATTTGGTTCCGGGAGACATAGTAGAGGTTGCAGGTGAGTTAAAACCAGGGGGGATTATGGAAGTCTCAAGTTATTTTACGCTCGCTTGGAGATAACCGTGACTTCCAGCAGAAAAATTGAATGAGGGGTTACCTTTATAAATGTTTACGTCCACTCCCAAGAAAATCGGATTGTAATTTCTCGCCCTTAGCAAACAGTAGTTAAATTGGCTTGAAATAAGAAGGGAAATGTCTAGTTTCGACTTGTTTGCATTCTCATCTCCAAACAGTAAGGCAACGTAATCAAAAAACTACCAAAGTTTTAAATCCAGGAAAAAATTAGTCGCTAAATGGATATTGTATTCTTGTGTTGTGATTCTTGAAGCATAAGATTCCTAAAAGCCTTTTATCGTTGAGTGGGATCATGCATTTTGTAACAACATGCAAAATTAATGTAGTTTTATTCTGGGTTTAAGAGTTAAAAATATCCTTTATTGTATGCAGTTCAGGGACTAGGAAATTTTCAGGAAATTGTGGAAATGTGGGCAGTTAATGGCAATTTTGAAAGCTGAAATTGTCGTGGTTGTTTTGTGCTTGGTGACTGTGGATTTCAAAGCGATTGGTTTTGCAATCTAGCTCTGTTTGACAACAAAATTCCTTGGTTGACAAATTCTGTTTGAAGTATTTAAAAGAGAGTCTGCTGTCATTATTGATTAATGCTTTGATTTGAAATCATAAGGAATAGTTTGGAAGCTGTCTCCCTTTTAGACTGTTTTTTAAAGATCTTATTAATTTTCTGCATAGAGGGTTTTATTATGTGTGAAAAAGCAATTAAAGTTGTGCATTACTAGATTTCAACTTGTTTCCTTTTTTTTCTGCTGAATGAAAAGTGCTGGTTTTAAGCACTAGGAAAGCTCTGAAAAGGTCTCTTTCTAGTTTCACTGTCAACCAAGAAAAATCACTAATGTTTCTTTTTATTATATGATACATGTAAAAATCTCACCAGGATTTAACAAGCTCTTTGTAAGCAGAAGTCTCTGGAGGCCCTTGTCTTGTTTAGTAGTGAATTTTCATTCAGCTAATGAAGCAAACCACTAGTTTTTCCAAGCCAGCTATACTAGAAAGTTAACGAACACATTGACAAAAGTCTTATTTTTCAAATTTCTGGTCTTACAGGGAAATCCATTATGGTTTTTGTTGATCATCTGTAGGAAGTTCTTTGTGGTAATTTAAATTTTTCATGAATGCCTAAAATATGCTGGGCAGTTATCATTTTAGAACACCCTCAAGGAGTCTGTGGGACTGTCTTTAAATGTTAAGGATCAAAATATCACACCAGTGAATTGATGATTCATTAGTGTTTGTCATGTTTGAACAATGTTTTGAGCCAGCTGGGTTTTATGCATGTGTGCCTCTGTTAGTTTGGGCCTCAAATTTTCATTTAAGAAAAAAAACAAAAAACACAGGAACTATAGCCTTTGTTGTTCGATTGGATATGGTCTAATTGGTTAATAAGAAGCTAGTTTTGGTCGAAGAAGGGTACTTGATGTTGCATTTAAGCCAGTAAATGTATATGACTCAATTAACAGCTCTCAGGCTCAGAAAACATTCTAAGTCCTGCTTGCTCCTTTGAATGGGATCAGAATCTTCTATCCTGAGCTCTGTTTATCATGATATATTTATGGAAAAACTAGTACTTTCTATTGAAGATTTTTTGTCCTTTTATACAATGCACAAAGGCAAGATTTTCCTTGGAGATGGAATGTGAGGAAGTAGGAAATTAACCCTTTTTTTAATCACTTTTTTCATGATGTTATCCTATGAAATGATGCTCATAGTAGAATGATCAGACACCATTTTTTACATCCAACCTAATTTAAGAAGTTTTGTGGAAACTGTGCTGGATAATTTTTCATTTTTGGGGGGAAGTGCTTTTTGTCTTTGAAATCTTTCTTCTGTCAGATTTATTTTTTTCCAAAAAATAATAATCTAAGGGCATGTAAATGATGTTGGATCATTTTTAAAGTATACTACATAAGCTTTTGAAACATCAAAAGAAAACTTGAAGCAAGGTTGTAAATGAACATATATGATAAAACTGTTACAAAGATTATTAGTATTATAAGATCATTTTACTACAATCAGCTGAAAGTTGGATTAGTTGTTTTTCATATTGCCATATGCTTCAGGATACATCAAGGGGTTTCACTGCTGTGTATGTTTTTAACTTGTTGAAACTTTTGTGTATTAATAGAGATGTTTGTATCATGACTTATTTTGAGTTCAATCTTTTTGTACCAGTTGGCGACAAAGTTCCTGCTGATATAAGGATAACTACAATAAAATCTACAACACTAAGAGTAGATCAATCAATTCTTACAGGTAATGTCTTTGAAAAAGTTGTTGATGATTTGATGCTAATTCTGGGTGAGGGGGTATTATTCTTCAGTGGAAGTTCAACATTGAAGTTAGAAATGGACAATTATAGACCTGATTATGTTTTTTCTTTGCCACATCTCCTTTAAAAGTTGAATGGCTTTGGCAGGTTAAAAGGCAATTTAAGATAATCTAGATGCAAATCAAAGTGTATCTAGGCAGTTCAAGGGGTGAAATCTAAGCACCTTCATGGTATGATTTTTACACTTAACCCTTTAACTCACAAGATCTGATTGTTAATTCTGCCCTCTAACTGGTACACATTTCCTTTTAAATAAGTTCTGAGAGTTTGGTGTTAGATCAAGGTAACAACTTTCTTATAAGTCTCAGTATTTTCATTACCTGTTGGCTGGATAATGTACAGATATATGGGGAGAAGTTACAAGTAAATCACTTCTGAGAGTTACAGGGTTAAGTCATAGATTAATTTCACATACATGTGAAAGGCATTTGAATAGCATTTGGAAAGCTTATGAAAAATATTATCCCTTTCTTACAGTGTTTTTACATGGTTTTGAATTAGTTAAAATTTTTAATAATTGGTCATGGTTGTTTTGTTCATATGTGTGAGTGACTCCTCAATATTTTTCTCATCAGGTGAAAGTATTAGTGTGATAAAACACACAGATCCCATTCCTGATCCAAAAGCTGTTAATCAAGACAAGACAAATATGTTGTTTTCAGTAAGCACATTTTTACCTCTTACTACTGAGTTAGAGATCCGTACAGTAAGTTATGGATCAGGAAGTTTTTTCTACTTGGATTTTTGGCATGAAGCCATAAATCCAAGTGGAAAAACAAGTTTCTGTAACTTACAGTATGGATGGAGAAAATTAGGTTTGTAAGTTATTACTTAAGTCTCTGGGTTTAAATTAAGGGGGAAGATTCAATTCAAACAAACTTTTAAATTTAGTGGTACTGCAAAGTGAAATAAAACCCACTAAATTGATCAAGCATAGTGCACATATTAACAGAGAGATAAAATAATCTAAGTAACAACCCTTATGCATGGAAAAAATCAGGTAAAACTCTTGCTCTTGCTCTTGCCCTTGCACACAAGTAGATGTAAGGCATGCAATTAATGGTACCCTTTCACCTTTCAGCATATTGTGGTTAGTTATCTTCTACAACTTTGTTCCACTATTTCAGTATTTTAGAGAGGTCCCATAAAATTAAGCAATAGACTATGTACACTTTTTATCAGTTTACCTGTGTAATAATCAATGCAGGATGTAGGACAAATGCTCAAAAATTTTGTTTATCACTGGCCTCCTGTTCATGAAACTTTTTAAATGTTTTTCCAACATCCCATGTGGGTTATAACACAGGTTAACTGATAGAAAGTGCAATTTGTTGGTTTATATAAATTAGTATTCAATTATCTATGGGTTTATCATTGAAATAAAGTATAGGGTTTTGACCAATCAGGTTGCTCATAGTATCATAAATATAGTATAATTTATTTTGTGTTATGTAAAGTCAAGTAAACCTTTAACTTGTATGACTTATTACCTGGATGTTATTTTGTTTAGGGTACAAACATTGCTGCTGGAAAAGCATCAGGCGTAGTCATTGGAACAGGGCTGAACACGCAAATAGGTAAATACTTCATACTTATGCTAAATGTTGAGAAGTGTTTTACTTTTACTAACAAATGACATTGTTTTTCTTTAATTTTTAGGCAAGATCAGAGATGAAATGGTTGATACAGATGAAGAGAGAACTCCACTTCAACAGAAACTTGATGAATTTGCTCAACAGTTATCCAAGGTATGATGTCCATGACTGTTTTTCCATCTCTTAAATTTTTTAGGTTAGATTAAAGTAAACCTTTTAAAAATTTCTTATTTTCAACACTGAATTTCAATAGTTCCAGAAGTGGACCAAGCAGTTGATTATCTCATAACACCAGTGTTTTCTCCTTTTCTCTCCCATCCATTTAAGGTAATCACAGTTATTTGTATTGCAGTATGGGCCATTAATATTGGCCACTTCAATGATCCAGTCCATGGGGGATCCTGGCTAAAAGTGAGTAGTCTTTTGAAATACAATTTGGAGTCAGAGGGGTGTAGTTATTAGTAGGGTTTGCAAATGTACATTGTTCACATTTTCAGGCTGTAACTAGTAAAATTTACTGCCTGTAATACCTCTTATTGCTGCCTAAAATTGCTTGGAATTCTAGAAAATTCAACAAGAAAAAGGATTGCTCTACTGGTTTTGAAAATTTCTTTTACTTATTCAACTTAAAATAAGGGAGGACATTGCATGTATGCGCAGTACTTTAGGGATTAAAAATTGCAGAGTGTTTGTACCTTGGGGAGATGAATTATATTTTATGCTAGTATTTGCAACTTTTTCTCAGCAATTTGATTATCTAAACTGTCCTTCAAATTGAGTCATAAGCTGCATTTTGGTTATAAGGCTAAGATGTTTCATCTGATGTATTGCATATTGTAGATTAAGTTTTTTGCCTTTATATAAATTCTTTTAGTTTGATTGATAACTTGATGAACTGTGATGAAAGATAGTACACTGTAATTGCTGACCAACTTGTATCTATATTTTTGTTGTTTTTGTTTTATTAGGGAGCCATATATTACTTCAAGATTGCAGTTGCCTTAGCTGTTGCAGCAATCCCAGAGGGGCTTCCAGCTGTTATAACCACTTGCTTAGCCCTTGGTGAGGACATTTATATAAGATTACTGATATTGTCCTTTCTGTCTCTAGTACCATTCTTAAAATGTTGGTTTGGAGAATTTGGTTTTGGATCAACTAATAATCCCCCTATTGATATTTTTCTTTATTCTCATCACTTGTCCACTTGATATTGTATTTCTATTGTAAGGAGATGTTCTGTCTTTGTCACTCATCAGAGTTAAAGGGTTCAGCAACTTTTAATATAATGTAGTGGGCAACCTTGAATTTTGAATAGAAATAATTCAACATGCACAGCAGTAAATTCATGTCTTGTGGTTGTAATGTTACATTCTATTTGGTTCAGGTACACACAGAATGGCCAAGAAAAATGCCATAGTTCGTAGTCTTCCCTCTGTTGAAACACTTGGCTGTACATCAGTCATTTGTTCAGACAAAACAGGAACACTGACCACAAATCAAATGTCTGTCCACAAGGTAATGAAAAAAGTAATTTTTTTATTGGCTATGGTGATAAATGGAGACTGTTTCTTTTTGTGAATTGGCATGAATTGGAGCTGAACTGTTCATTATGATGAATTATTCTTTGTGTGAATCTATGAATCTTTTGTTTTTGATGCAGCTTACAATGTTTTTTTTTTGTTTAGTTTTTTGTTTTGAGTGACGTAAGGAGGGATCATGCAACATTCCATGAATTTGAAGTTGAAGGAACTACCTATACACCCAGTGGAGATATGTAAGTTTTTTCCTTTTTGTTGTTAGGTGCATGTACCTTTGGGTCATTGTAAGGAAGTCGAGCAGCTTAGACCTTTTATTCTAACTCAACCATAGTTTTCAGCAGCCAAGAAACAAAAGAGGTATAGCATCAGAACATGTCTTTCAACATCTTTTAGAAAGGTTTCATCCGCAGTCGTTCAGCATGCAACAGTACTTGACATTTCAAGTTAACCTGACAACATCTAGTATATAATTTCTCCTTACAATACCACCCCTAATTCACTCATCAAAGGTCATGAGAATAAAGGAAATGATCACTTGATTTGCCTTGTCAGTGCCTTAGGAAATTTGTAGAGAAACAGTATGGAGAATGTGCACACTGTTGTAAGTGCAAAGGGTTAATCAAAAGCAAAGTGGTTGTAGTGTAATTTTATTATGTTGTAATAATTTAATATGCTATATCAATGTTCAGGGCTTGAACATACTTAATTTATTTCTTAACTCATTTTTCCAGAACTCTGAATGGAAAGAAAGTAGATCCTCAAAACTATGAAGTACTTCCAGAGTTTGCCACTATTTGTGCCATGTGCAATGATTCCAGTGTAGATTACAATTCAGTAAGTGCATGACAATTTCAGCAAGGTTTTTATTATAATTTTACTCTTTGGACCCTTTATAGTGACTAGCTCCTGGTTTCTCCTCATTATATCAACTCAAAATCACTCATTAAGGTCACAAGAATATTGGAAATATTCACCAACTAAAGAAGCTCTTGATTGTTCAACAAATTCTCCTTGTCAGCACCTTAGGAAATGTATAGAGAACGGTATGAAGAGGATGCATACTGATGCTAGGGTGTAGAGGATTAAAGCAACACTGGAAATGATGTTATTCCGTGTTTCACCTGAGATCATCTCATTGATTACAACTTTTTATCAACTGATCCAGTGCTTCCTAATTTCAAACTTTTTTCAATCACCAGTAAAACCAACTCAAAGGATAGCCTTAAACCTCTGTGCTGTCACCCAATTATCTTATTACATGTTTATTAAACAGTAACTCAACTTGTTTTATTATTTGTTCTTAGGTGAAAAATGCCTATGAGAAAGTTGGCGAATCTACAGAAACTGCTTTAACAGTTTTAGTGGAGAAACTCAATGTGTTTGGTACAAATCTGGCTGGAAAATCCAAAGCTGAACTGGCTAATGCCTGTAATGATGTGATCAAGTCTCATTTTAATAAGGTAATACAGTCCTCGATTGCTTGTGGAAGACCTGAATTAAGTCAACAGTTAAGTTTCCTTTGTCATGTTCAAGACTACACTGGATATACAGGAAGCTTCCAGTTGTAATGAATTGAGTTTTATACTGATAGTGGCCTCTGTTTCCACCTTGAAAACTGACATTAAAATTGATGACGAACTCGTTTATAGTCATTACATGGCTGCCTGCTGCAAATTTTTTGAACTGAGTGTTAGGATCTTGGAAATTAAAGTCTACAGAAGTTTGAATTGTTGATTACTTTTGCAGGAATTTACCTTGGAATTCTCTCGCGACAGAAAGTCAATGAGTGTGTATTGCACTCCAAGAGTTGATGGACCAAACTCTGTACATGATAAGAACCCAAAGATGTTTGTCAAGGTAAAAACAAATTAAACCCTGCTCGATTTTGTCAGTTTGCTTCACATTTCCCTAGATATTAAGGTTAACTTTGTCATGTTTTATTTCTAAAATAGGGAGCACCTGAAAGCATAATTGACAGATGCAGCTTCATCAGAGTTGGTGACAAGAAACAACCACTGACACCAAAAACTAAACAGCAAATTCTGGACTTGGTGAAAAGTTATGGAACAGGTTAGTTTTATAAACCAGCAAAGGGAAGGGTTATCTTGTTATCTAAGCAATTCTGTACATCCAGTGCAGCCTTTACTGGATTGTCAAATTCCCCAGATCCAAATATCATTTCTCTGCACTTCCTTACATACATCTCTATTAATTTCAGCTTGGTGTGAAATCAGTCAATAATCATTTACTGATCTGTTTTCTCTTACTATCACCTTTTTGCTTGAAAATGTAGCTAAAGGACTTGCCATTGAATCTCTGTTTATAAATCTGTGCTTGGACAAATGTTAGTCAAAACTAGCTCAATTATTTATTGTCACTTTTCATTGATAACATTCCTTCAGGTGTAGACACCCTCCGCTGCCTTGCGCTGGCTACAGTTGATGAGCCGCTTTCACCCAGCCAAATGGAACTAGAAAAAGCTGAAAAGTTTGCGGATTATGAGGTTATTTTTTTTATTGTGAATCTTGGAAAACCATGAATGTGTGAAATACTCTTAAGTATGAATGCATGAATCAGCTAAGACAACTAAGTTTGTCTGTTTGTTTGTTTGTTTCACTTACACATCCCGATCTCCTATTTGATTGATTGTAGAATGAAAACATTTCCTGGACATATTTGTATTTTCCAAGTTTGATGTATTACCTCAGTTTGCATTCATCTATTTATTTATTTATCTGAAAGCAATATTTGATTAGGTAGCCCAGTTCAGCTGCAAGCTGGTTTAAATTGGGGCCTGCAACACATTGGACATTGGCAGAGTCAGTGATGATTGTGTGATTCCCCTTCACTTGTCTTAAATAAGTGAAACACCCACCCACCATTCTGAATACTACTGCCAGACTCTGAAATAGTGGGATTGCTTCAATGGAATTTTGATGGTTTTGTATCATTTATCACAAACCTTTCTTGTTTTCAGAGCAACATGACATTTGTGGGTGTGGCAGGCATGTTAGATCCACCAAGAACAGAGGTGAAAGACTCCATCAAGAAATGTGGTGCTGCAGGAATCAGAGTTATTGTCATTACTGGTGATAACAAGGTATGTAAAGGGTCCATCAGTTTTGTCTTGTAGAGAGAGTAAAAATGGTTATTTAGTAACAGTGCACTGTTTTATTGTGCAGGCAACTGCAGAAGCTATCTGTAGACGTATTGGAGTTTTTGAGCCCAATGAAGACACAACAGGTATTACACTGTTTATCAACAGCTATGCATTTTTACTCATTAATTCTTTGCAAATTTAGTTGCATTGAGAAAAATATCTCATATTCTTTGCAACAGGCTTGTCTTACTCTGGTCGTGAATTTGATGAGCTGACTCCAGAAGAGCAGAGAGAGGCTTGTTTAAATGCTAGGTGGGTTCCACTCCAAATACAGCTTGATGATAGTGTTTTGTGTACCATGACATGTATATAATTAATCTGTGTATGTTGTTCAATTATGATTAATATTTGTATATTCTGTTTTTAGATTGTTTTCACGAGTTGAACCAGCACATAAGAGCAAGATTGTCGAGTACCTCCAGGCGGAAGGTGAAATTTCTGCCATGACTGGGGACGGAGTGAATGATGCTCCTGCCTTAAAGAAAGCTGAGATTGGAGTTGCCATGGGATCTGGAACTGCTGTGGCTAAATCTGCATCTGGTATCCTTTCATATGTTTGTCACCAAACTTCAAAACTTTGATAGACATCCACAACATATGCACTTTTTTTAAGTAGGGCAAAATGATGTAAAAGTCTATCCATTCTCAGAGTCCTAATGGTGGGCTTTGTCATTAGCATTTTGCTCTGCAATTTTCAGAGAGGTTTTCTCTTTGATTCTTGTCAGACTAAATGCAAGACTCTGTTTCACTTTACTACAAGGAAGAATGAGACACTCTGATTGCTCTGATTTAATTTTGATTTAGTTCTATCAACTCTTTTTGGCCATTCTTTGATCTACTGTCTTTTATCTTTAAGACGAGCTTATGACTTGGGTTCCACAGGGTAACCTATTAAATAAGATCTTTTGACAGGGAGCCCACGTCACAAAGTGTGGTTTTCAGTGAGGCCCTGCATAAATCTAACGTAAGGATAACAGAAAATATAAATATGGTTATCAAGAATAGGACAAAAGGGTATAATCAATAGAAGAGACTACATGTTCTTAACAAGACATCTAAAAACTGAAAAATCGGAAATGTTCCTAATGCCGTCTGGGAGAGCGTTCCAGTCATCTACTGCATGACAAACAAACCGATGCTGACCCCATGTACGCTTTGATTGTGGTTTACAAATGTTGTTATTAAAATGAGTGTTATAATCATGTATATCTTTAAAATGATTAAAATTAAAATTCCAATCAATTAGTCCATTCAAGGACTTAAAACCAAAAAAATAGACGATGTGATCTTCTTTTTTCCAATGTATCCCAACCAAGTAGATCAAGAGCTTCTGTTGCTGATGAATGCTTTGGCATATCTAAAATTAATTTAGCTGCTTTATTCTTTGGATCTTGTTCATCAGAGTGGTGTTGGATTTATCCCCCAAGTCACATCTGCATAATCAAGGATTGGCAGCACCATGGTTTTTACAAAAATTTTTGGCAGAAGATGTTTTATTCTCTGTAAAACGCCAAGCCTCTGAGACCTTTGACATGATCAGTCCAAGACAGTTCATTGATAATTACGCCCAGATACTTGAACGAATTGACTCTGTCTAACTCCTTCTCCTTGATTATTAATGTGAATTCTTCTAAGGTGTTAAGTTTCCTTGGACCGCCAATGAGCATGAATTTAGACTTCGAGATATTTAGTGTAAGTTTATGCTCGTAGAGCCACTGAGCTAGCCTGTCTAGATCCTGATCATCTCGTTCTCACACAAAGACATTGATTGATTACAGTTTTCAAGTGGTCACTCTCACTTGTTTACTTAAAAATTTATGAATTTGTACCCCTTAACCTGATGTTAGAAATGGTATTAGCTGACGACAACTTTTCAACAATTGTGGCTGCTGTGGAAGAAGGGAGATCCATTTATGATAACACAAAACAGTTTATCAGATATTTGATCTCCTCAAATATTGGAGAAGTTGTGAGGTTAGTTGTCATATTTGCAGTGTTCTTGGTACATGCATATACTTACTACCAATCAGTAGCAAAGACAGTAAAAAAGATGCATGTGTTTCATGTGACTACAAATGAAATAAAATTTATTCCATTGATGGAAATCTTTAAGAGCGTGCTAAGTGTTATTTTGTATGATTGATACTGTTTATCTGAGCCATCTAGGACTCATTTGTAAAGATTTAAATATTTTCTCTTTTGGCACACATTTTGTTCATTTACTGTCTTCATTCAAAAGATAATAGCAAATTTCTAGAAGTTAGTTTGTCAGCTAGATTTGCATGAACAAACTTCATTATTTAGAAGGAAGAGCTTTATTCTGATGAGATCTTTTTGCAATCACAAGTGGAAAGCATACCAAATAAGGCTCTATAACTTTGTCTCACCTGGAAGGTTTTTTTTTTTTTTAAGTTGTTATACTAATCAGATTCTTTTTGTATGTGCAGTATTTTCTTGACTGCTGCACTGGGTATGCCAGAAGCCCTCATCCCGGTTCAGCTTCTGTGGGTAAACCTTATGACAGATGGCCCCCCTGCTACAGCCCTCAGCTTCAACCCCCCTGATGTAGACATTATGATGAAGCCACCCCGCAAGGCTAAGGAGGCTCTCATCAGCGGCTGGCTATTCTTTAGATACATGGCTATAGGAGTCTATGTCGGAGTTGCCACTGTTGGAGCTTCAGCTTGGTGGTTTATGGTTTATGAGAATGGTCCTAAAGTTTCCTATTATCAGTTGGTTAGTAGATGTATTTATATGATGATGATGAGCTGAATTGCACACACACTTTGATTGGTTCTTATGATCTATTGGTTCTTACTTATGATCTATTGGAAGACAGACATAAACGACATCACTATTAACATCTTTTTTTATTTTTGATCATATAAAACAGATAAAATTTATGTTGCTGTTCATCTGTTTAGTAATAGATCACAGAAGACTTAAAATGTGATAAGAACACGCTCAACTGTGCCTTGTGTACCACATTTTTTTCCTTACCACATTTTTATGTAATCTGTGATATAATAATGAACAGATGCACTGCATAGAATCTGTTTTAAATGGATTTACGCAAAAGTTAGTGACATCTTAAATGCATATTGAAAGTACCTTTAAAAATTGACTATCATAATTCAGATTTATCAATTACACCCTAAACAAATACTAAAGATGTACATAGTCCATACACCATTTCCTTCGCAGTTATCAGAGATCAGAGAATTCTTTGGCTAATTTTTATTTCTATTTTTTATGATTTATTTTTTTACCTAAATTGTCTCTGATTCAGACTTGCAGAATTGTTTTGTGGTATGTAATTTCTTAAATCTGGTATCAAATTCAGTTCAAAACTGCTCTTGACCACTTTTGTCCATATTCTTTGCAAGGTCTTGTCAGAGATAATTACCAACCTTAGTTTTGGTTTGAACTAAAAATATCCTTGGTTTTGTTCTTGTTTAGACACACCACATGCAGTGCACGACAGATCCATCAAACTTTGTTGGTGTTGAGTGTCAGGTGTTTAGTGACCTTCACCCAATGACCATGGCCCTGTCAGTACTTGTCACAATAGAAATGTTTAATGCTCTTAATAGGTAAGTCTACAGTGTGGGTTTCCTGTGGTCACTCGTCAACATCTGTTTCTCCTTCTAGCCATATGAATACATTATTGTGCAGAACAGTTATGAGAAATAACCACATAAGATGATGAGAAATATCAGTTGCCTGAAATAACTCCTGCTATTGTTTGGCAAATGGAAATAAATATATTCAGTTGTTTTCTTTTTGTTTTTTGAATGGTGAAACCTCCCAAAGAAGATAATAGTTGCGCTGAAAGAAGTGACCAAAGTTAGGAGAAATTTTTGTCTTTTGCATACGTGAATGACAATTACTTTCACTTTCTGTTTGCAGCTTGAGTGAAAATCAGAGCCTTTTTGTAATGCCACCATGGAGGAATCCTTCCCTTATCACTGCAATCATAGCATCATTTGTCATGCATTTCGTCATTCTTTACTTCAAGATTACAAATGTAAGTGTTTGTGACATAAATTTATTGCAACAGAGAAGACTCCCATGTACTCCAATCTAATCAGTGTTTTTTTTTTCTGCTTTGTGACTCTCAAATTCAAAGCTCATGGGAACTACTAAGATGTGCATCAACTAGAGAAAGCTGTGATACGATCAGCCAGATCAGTCCTAATTATTTGAATGCATTGTTCATTTTGACTAAGAAAAATGAGAAAGTACTTCTGTTCTAATGGAGATCTCTTCCCAGGAATTTTTTTAATATTTCAAAGCTTGCACATAACTGCAAATGATGGTGATATCCAAGCAATAACTTTTTAACAGTGTATTTTTTCTTATTGATTACTTTTTGCATCCTTAACTGAGTTGTTTTTGTTGCAGACAATCTTCCGTATCACTCCTTTGAACTGTGATGAGTGGGTTGCAGTTCTTTACTTCTCCTTCCCGGTCATTATACTGGATGAGATTCTCAAGTTTGTTTCAAGACAGCTAGGTATTTACTCCTTATTCTACTGTATGTGGTAGATATTTTATCTAGATAATATAACTCCCCAGGGGAACTCTTTAATTGTTTATTTTTACAAAATGTAAATGAACCAGCCAAACTGAGTTTGGAGAGTGATCTTCCCACCACTCAAAGGTTTTCAACTACAGTAGCAGTGTACTTGTTACGGTGTTGAAAAAGAGAAACAAGTATTTACTATAGTCTGCATAGCAGCTGTATTTCCAAACCAGTAAATGCCTAATATTTCCATCCATGTTGAAGCTGTCATTTCGGATTCAAGGAAAGCCTGGAGTTTAAAAAAAAAACCAGGAGGGGTGACAAAGGACTTCGATCAAAGCTGGTTGCCAGCAGTCAACCACTGCCTGTAAGAACCCTTACCTCATCTTTTTAGCATGCCCCCAGCCCCCCAGCCCCCAACCCCCCCACCCCCCCATCCTCATCCTTGCTGCCCCTTTTCTGTGCACAGCCAGCTGCTTGTGGAAAAAGTTAGCTAAAACCTTGGGGGATGGTGTCAGGAAGTAAAAACATTTTGTTTAAAATTATACAATACCTAAGCAGAAAAGAAGCTAGGAATTTACTGGTACAAGAATCTGTGTTGAGGAGATGATGTGTATGCATCAGATATTGTCATGTCTCTAAGACATGTTCATCAAAATTTGCCATTGAATGAAACTTAATGTACTTATCAATGTGTTTGTCTTCATCTTCAGCTGAATCATCCCACCCAAGTTCACCAGGCAAAGCAAAGTCTGAATGATTTTCGCCTGCATGCTGGTCATGCTTGCAACTTGTGTAGCAACTGATTTTATGATGCAGATGTGCAGAGAATTTAATTGTGTGGGTATATTACTCAATAGAACTAAAAATACTTTGGAAGAAGCAGCTCCCTCCAGACATAGCATTTGTGGTTATCTTCATGCAGGTTGCTGATCCAGCATGGCAAACGATTATAATTACAGTCCAAACTTCTTAATATATTTGTCCTGCAAATGGTGAGCTAGTTAGAATCAGGAAAAGAAAAAGAACTGCAAAACCAAGTCTGTTAACTCAAATGATCATCTCCAAATTTAAAGAAAAAGAAACGGGAAAAAAAAAGGCAACATAAAAAATTTCTCATTGTGATGCATATAATATAAAAGTGTTTTCAACTTGTTCTAAGGGTTCCTAATTTATATATTTATATCTGCCTTTCCTTGATAATTGAGGATCTTGGCAGATTTTTATCAAAGCATTAATCTTTGTGTAATCTTGCAGTAAACATTCAGAGGGTTTTTTCCTCTCCTCTGAAGAAATTAAGCAGTTTGCTGGTAGTAAATGTGGTATTTTTTGTGTGTGTGGATTGAGTGTGGAGGTATAGAAGAAAGTTGTACAGGAGCACAGAGTGATGGTTAATTGGAGGGAAGGAGGGAACGAAAAGTAGATTATGCTATAACTTGTTGTTGGTGTTGCTTTTTCTTGATGATGAATAGCAAATTCCTCATTTATTAAATTGGTGTCGTTGGCCACTAACAAAGCTTGTTATCGTATCATACTCATACTTTTAATTGTTACACTGCTTGTTACGTTGGTCAGGACACTTTCGCACGCACCAAGCATCACTGATTAGGAAATATCGTAAGAACGGGGATCATAACAACCCCTTTTTTGGGTTTTCAAATCGCAGCTACTTCAGACCTGTGATTATATTGCAAATGCATGTACATGTCTGCTAGACTATATAAAATATTAGGTCGGCACTGAGCTATGCATTTGGGCTGTCAAAAAAAAAAAGTTTAGTTCATAGGTCTTGGTATTCATCCTTTAATGCAAGATGAACCCACACAACTGAATTGTGGAGATGTTCACCTTAGAGAGGCTTGTTTAGGATATTGAAAAGATAAAACGTAGCCTTGTAGTTGTTTTTCACGTGTATCTGTGTTACTGTAACCATGTTATGGTTTATGAAGATTTACACCGTGAAACCGGTATTATCAACTTTTTAAAATTGTAAACATGCCTTGCTTACTGCACTTTTCATCCACGAGACTTTTCTTTTTCCAATAAAAAAATTATTGACAAATCTGCTACGTTTTGGTCATTGATTGCTTTATCCAGTTCTTGAAAACTTCGCAGCCGAGGTGTCACGGCACACATCTAACATTTCTTTTGTTATAAAGCGCATTAGGAATGGGTGTCGGAGAACTAAAACCAAAGTACTCACAACTTCCAATCAGAACAAAGTTAAATATCACGAGCCAATAGGAATTAAAAAACCGAGTAAACTGTTTGAAGCGCGGGAAAACGTTTGGTTTAGGAAGTGGCGCAAGTTTTCTAGACCAATCATAGAACAAAGTAGTGCAGAACTGATAATAAATCCCAAATCTCTTTCGACACAACTGGAAATTGCCCTAATCTTGCACCTATTCGGTTGTTCAGCGATCAAATGTTTATAGCTTAGCTTGACCAAAGCTGTACTCCAAGAGGAGTCACCGGGCGCCTGTAGACTCTGGACCGGTAGATCTCAAAAGGACAAGTATAGAAATAAGGTGACCTCTAATCCTCTCCTCTGTTGTATTGTTGGTCTTGCCACCCTCCCCTCCCCCCCCTCTCCTCCCCCCCCCCAAAAAAAAGAAGATTAGAAGGACAAGTATAGAAATAACGTGACTTTTAATCCTCTTCTGTTGTATCGTTGGTCCTGCCATTAGCTCGTGTACTAATAAATAATTTAATAATCATGTGCTAAGATTTTTCAGCTTTTATAGAAATAGCTTACAGTAGTCTGCAATCGTTACTTCCGTAAGATTTTGGCGCTATATCCGGACAATGTCCCACACGTGATACCTTCTCATCATCTTTATGTATAATTTACTGTGTGTCTATATTATAAAAGAATTCTCATCCAACGATAATCAAAGCGTTAATCCTGTAAAAGTATTGCATGGAAAATTATTTATTCAGTCAAATTTAAGTACTTATCAAGGAAACATATTTTTCTACGATGTGGAACTGGTTGGGGGATGAATTTTTCATCCATGCATTTGAAGAGATTTTACTTTCAAGTAACCGACATTTCGAAGTAGTAAACTGCTCCAAGCAATTTGTGAGAACTCTTATTTTAACGACACAAAGTAAAGTGAAAGCTCCTTTGCCCTACTAAAGGCATTTGAGTGTATTTTCTATTTGCATAATTAGGTTTAAGATTTCACGAATGCAATTCATTGGATATCTACAATATGTACAATTACAGAAATCCGGATACCGTTCACCAGGAACAAACAAAGACCCACCGTCAATTCCTAAAACATGTTTACAGTGCTTGATGAAAACCAATAATATTAGGCAGTTTGACCACGTGATCAGGTTCACTGTTCTCGAGTGGACTGCGGGAATTCGGAGCGATTATGAGTGGAACATCCACGCTTGTTGAGCAGGTATACACAGCAAATGATTTCTACACTGCCGGCGATGAACATTTAGAAGTTTGTAAGTTTAACGTTGATAGAAGTCCATTCGGTGAATTGTTTGGTGAACTGTTATTCATGCAGGTAGACAATTCGAGTGGATCGGCGCACCGGAATGCTAGCTTTCTCACCAGAGCTGGTTTGTCAGCTGCTAAATCGAAGTCTTGATTGGGTGTTCTATCACTCTCCTGCGAAGAATCCGTGGATTGATTTACGTCCGTCTCCACATCTTCTTCACTCTCAGGAGTGTCTAGTCTTGGGATTTTGTTCCGCGGCTCGTCAGGTTCTGTCTCGTCAAAATGCACAACTATTACACTGGTGTTATCTGCACGAAGTTCTCGCTCACGCCATCTTTGCAAGGCCCGGCTTATTAACCTGTCGGGATTTAACAAAATCGAAAGCTTAAATTATTTCTTCTTCATCGATATTTTGATAGAGTTAGCTTACGGGGAAACCTACGTCACCCTTTCGCCCAATCAGATGCCAGTAAAGGCTAACCAATCAAGTTGTAAAGTTTTGGCCAGACCACCCATTTTTCATATTCGTTAATTTCTCACTGATTCATGAACTTTAGTGATGGGTCATTACGATTCCTTTGTTATGAATAAATTCATTCGTTGTTTAAAATTTCGAGAGAAGAAACTCAAATAAACATAGCTTTGTAAAGGAAGTTGATATGGAGACGTATTTGAACGATTATTCTCTCGAAAACAGTTACCATTCAAAGCTTTACTCTTACCTGTGCGATACATCTCCTCCTTTGAACTGGTCATGTTTGTCAAAATTGTGGACTATTTTTACCGCTTCTTCAACTCTCATCACCCCCCATAGGCCATCCGATGCAATGATCAGAAACTTGTCGATACCAGGCGTGATCTTGTAAACTCGAACGTCAGGAACTGGGGAGACTATGAATTCACTCCGATAGTAGTCGAAACTCCAAAGATCTCCTGTACAAGTAAACAATAGAATAAGAATAATTTGTTTCTTAGGTCAGCAAATATGCCATGCTTCGAAACGCGCTGAGAAGAGCCGCTGATGATCTAATTTGTCCACTTTTAAATTATTTTCAGTTTATTCTGGCGCATCAACAATCAACCACAGGCGTAAAATATTCGTAGGAGTCAAATGAAGGCGGTTGGTAGCGGTCTATCGCCACTTCAAAGATCTTTTAATGTCGTCTGTTTAAACTGCAAGCTCTTTTGTTGCCCAGAATGCTGGAAACTACATCTCCGAGCTTCTAGATTTAAACTCTTTTTCTAGGGGAGCATGCCTCCAGACCCCCCTAGGAAAAAGGGGTCTTACGGTCCCTTTTGCAGGAACAGCCGTCATTTACACAATCGACAACCGCTTATCTAAATAGTTATTGACATCTCTGCGCTTATTGCTCCGGAGATTTATTTCAACATAAAGGTCGCCTGTTACAGACGTCGTGACAATGTGTCACAATTTAAGAGCGCAATGCATTGTGGAATTGTAGGAGCACGAGCCACCTCCTCAAGATGCGGGCAATGTGGCTGTTCACACGTGATTTAAGTTGATTGTAATCCATCGAGTTTGAGCCAATTCTTGAGTCGAACCGCGGAAATAGGAGCCTTTTGAGCCTACTTTAACTTGCCATAATGTTGGATATTCAACATGGTCCTTCGAGCCGGATGAAAACGGATTGCGATCAACGATCATACGGAAACTGAGAAACACGAGTGAGTCCTTTGAAGCCGTGATCTGAGTCTTGTGGTAAATTAACTGCGATAATCCTGATGTCTGGAAAGTTTGCGAGAAAATGGAAGCTCCGAGCGGGTCACAAGAAAAATTGTTTCGTCTGCAGAGGAAATTTTGGAAACGTTTAATGAAGATAATCTACTGTCACCCCTCAAAAGTACATTATTGAGACTGCAGAAACTCCTATTACAAGAGAAGCTCGACACGATACGAAATTTAGATCAAGAAATCCTTGCAGTCTTCACCGATACTCAGCTAGATGAGGGAGTTTGTGAAGTGGACGAATTCACCTAATTTACGCAGCTTGCTATAATGAGAATCGATGCTGCCTCGACTGCAAGCTAACAGACCCCTTCGACGAAACTTGGAATCGTCGAGACCCTCCCAGGAACAAAACTGGAAACTGAAACACATCCTACTCCTTCATCATCGCCTGGAATTGTTGTGACATCCTTTGAAATACATCTAACTCTCTCAGCCCTTGAAACACATCTATCTATTTCAATATCGCCTGAAGTTGTTTTTGCGGTTTCAGGAGGTGTGGCGCGAGTTGTTTGCGAACATTTGATTTTGGGAGGAATACAAGCTGTCCGATTTTCGTCGGATTTCGCCAAAACATCCCAGGAATAATGACAAACGAAAATTTGTCGGGAAATTTCGTTATTTAAAATATTTATCCCGTGGCGTTCATTTACGCAACACGCCTCTCATATTTTTAGCTAATCCAACTTTAGATGCCGGTATCTAGACAACCAATCAGAATATAGGGAGCAGTTGTGCGTCCTGGACAAAACGAAGCACAGTGCAGAAGTATTCTACATTCTGGATGTTCCAGAACTCAATTCGCTCTCCAACAAGGTATTTTTGGGGACATTTGAGCGCTATCTGCGAAAAACTCTGTCAAATTTGATTAACACACCGAAATTACGTGCAAACGTCTCAAACATGATTGCTAATCACAGGTATTTTTACTTACCAAGTGCTCTCGAAATCGCCAAAAACGGTACAGATTCTGTTTGGGTGCTTCTTCTGACAGGGCCTTTGTGTCCATGATGGACGGGCCTTTCCCAAGCCACTCGCGGGACACCATTACGAGAGAGGACCTTTCCGCCGAGTGACTCTATCCGATTCTTTTCCGAAGGAACGTCGGGCTTGTGGTCGGCAGTGAGAGGGACCGCTTGTAGTTTCTTTTCTTTACTCAATCGGCCGAGAGCAGCGCCTGAATCGCCCACGTGAGCTATGTACAGTGTTCTACCTTTAAAAATAACCACAGTTGCAGTGGTTCCGGATGTGCTTGGCAGTCCATGTCTTGTACGAGGCCAAGAATCTAGCAGGAAAAAAAACGTTAAAAATAATTTTATGTTAAATTTTCTTGAATTGTTTTAAATGAACCCTGAGGCAAACTGTTTTTAAAATAGGCATTATTTTCCTTTCTTTTCTGATATAAAGCTTATAAGCAATGGTAACATTGCAGGAAACGTAGAAAAGTGGGGATGAGGGTTGGGTGCACCGGAAAAGCCGAAGTACCGTAACATCTGCGAAAGGAGAATGATTAGAATCTTTCCGCCCTTCTCGGTACAAGGTACAAAGGAACAAAATTCGACCAAAACGAAATCGAAAAAAAGGAAATAAGATACAGTGTCTAGACTATCACGGAAAAAAAAAATTCGCTTCTTTCCCTTTCTTTGTCACTTCAACTCAAATGACCTTGGGTAACATTTGCTGGTGTTATGTGAGCCGATTGATCACCTGTTCCTCAAGTGATCACAGACATCTGACAGACCACGGACTTGTCAATGTGAAGTGTGGGAAGCAAAGGGAAAACATAGGCATGCGTAGCATGCAAAGAGTTATTTTCATGCTGGGTGGGTTGAGATGGGACACTGTGTACTTAATGTTTTCATTTTTGTACCAGAAAAGAGCATAACTTTTAAAAGAACGAACGTGATGGAATGTACGCTGTTTGACGTGTACTTTGTGAGTAAAGGAGAGGAAAACAACGTCTTGACTTAAAATTTAAATGCGAACTTTCATATCCCGATAAATCTCGACCTTGATCGACGAGGCTCTCGCGAAGACCCAAACTTTCTGGCTAATGTCATTCTTTGTGCACAGCCCCTGATCCAGGACATCATTTACAAGAAAACAATACCCAAACGCTGTGATTGGTGCAAGACATCCAAATATTGTGATATGACAGGTGTAAGATACATACCCTAATGCGGCAATCTGATTGGTGCGAACAACATACCACTCTAAACACTAAGTTAGAGTGATTTATTTTTTTAGAAAAAAAAACTCGTAAAGGCAGCGTTCGGAGCAAAATTAGCGAATGAGAAGTTCACATCCACACTCAGTCAAATTAATTTGGTATTAATAACTTAGTTGATAACGTAAATTTACCACCGTTGATAGCTTGGAAGCTGACATTTCGAGCGTTAGCCCTTCGCCGCAGCGACTGACAAACTACCTTGTTCTGCTTCCACCGACGCAGCACCGCAGTTTCTTTAGAAACTTCCTCCCTTCATTCATTTGACCAAATTGGCCCGTCTGAATTAAATGTTAATATGGGTAGGTAATTGTAAAGACAATTTTTATTAATTTTGTCTACACAAAATTGTTTGGGTGTGTGCGTGTGTTTTTTAACTAAATATTTGCCCTCTGGGCAGGGCTTCTGTAAACCAAATTTCCCTCCTTAGCTTTCGGAGGTTAAAATTTTACGACAAGCGCATTGACGAGAGCGAATGAGGATGTTCAGGAAAATTAGGCGAAATGAAAGGAAAACAATGTTCAAGTGCCGAGCATTGATTTCGTAAATTGCTTCGTTTTGTCGATGCGTGTTTTTTTTTTCTTTTAGGGAGATAGTGCGTGACCGATTGTTTTATAATCGAAGTTGATCGACAGGTGTCAGCCACAAGTCTATTTTTCAGAATATTCAAAACAGTATGATGTATTTCACTTCCGGTGTAAAACCAAAATCTAATCGTTTCCAAACTTTTTCCTTCCGGCAATATATCAAATATTCCGTTTAAGCCTTGTGTACATCCATGTAAACTCAATATCAAAAATACCATGACGTAGCAATCATGCAAAACATTTTACTAATTTAATCAAAATATTTCAGTTGTGTAGCTTCCAAACAGTTTCTATCGTCTCAACGTATATGATGGCCTGGGGGATCGGACACTAAAACATCGCAAATCTTTGTATTTTCATGATAAAGGTCATTTTTGAGTGCTTTGTAAGTTTGTATTCGCAAAGTAAAATTGCTCTCCTTCAAGGCTTTTAAGCGGCGAAAGAAGCATGTTTATTTTGCATATGAAAAGCGAACAACGGGATATAAAATTACTCTCGTCTCTGCGAAGCGCGTCACGAATTATTAATCGGACCCATAATTTTGGCGGAAAAAATACGAAGTGTTGACTTATCCTCGATTTTACATCGCTAACGGGGAGAACAAGATAGAATGGGGTCGATCGCGAAAGCTTTTCACGCGGGAATATAAATCGCTTCAACGAGAAGGAAATACAGATCGAAAGTAATCCATACTCACCGAGTTGTTTCCACATCGCGCAATGTGTAGCCATGAATCCATCCTTGATAGCTTTAATAACACGTGATGTTTCACCCGAGTAAAATCCCTTCTGTCCCTTAATCATGTCCCATAAATGTTCCCGGGCAAAGTGTGCAGCGTCCCTTCCACCGTGGCCGTCGAAAACCGCGAAAAATGCCTGTTCTGGATCGCGATCGAACTGCACGCGTTTAAAATCTTCCATTTCTTTCCGACCACCTTGGTTAGCTTGGCCATTTACTCGCACAATAATCTTCCTGGTTTTCGTTTTTTTGGACATTTTCGTTGTGTTGTTCGGTTATACTGCGTTTGCCTTGCAAAACTTCGGCGAGTAATTTGTAATTTGCCCGCTCTCATGAATTATTCATATCTTTGTCTGAAATAGACAGCTGTTCATTAATTTGTCAGCTTATTTTCAAATCTGGCCAATCACGGCACGGATCACTCGGGGTATAAATAATGAATTTCTGATAGCAGCCAATGAACGCGCATGTTGGTGGAATGGCCTCAGGTCACACAAACATTGTACGCGCTCAAACTTGCCCCGAAACAACGACTAAACGTCAAACCGTGCCGTGATGTCATAACCCACAATTTCTACGAATGTACGAGCAAGTCTGCACTTGCCTGGATTTCGATTTAGACAAAAAAAAGGTTCTCAACATGCCCGAATATCTGGAATTGCATGGTTTTTTTAAAATTGGCTAGATATCTAATTGCAAACTTTATTCAATCTTTGTTCAAACTCGGTTTTTGGGGCCGAATCGTAAATTCTTCGCATTCAAAAAGTGTATTACTAAATAACAAAAATATTTCTTTTTCAAAAAATCGATTGACCGTGACTATCTTGCATGTGAAACTTGATATACTTCTGAGTTGCCTTTCCAAAAAAGAGGTTCTTGCTTGTTATGACGATTCCCCTCGTAAGTCAAACCCCGGAGATTTATCAATTGCGAACTCTCAATCGTAGGAAATATATTCAGACGGTGCGGCTGATCGCTGGCATTTTGCGGCATCATGTTTTGGTTTCGTCATGGTTTGGTGATGTAAAACAAGACGCCCGCATTGAATAAACGGGAAAGAGATGGAGTGGTTATATTCTAAGCCAGATACGAAAGGGTGAATAATTGGTCAAAAAAGGAACAATACACACAAGTAGATGTGTCTGGCCTAGTTCTTTGAATGATGAATAACGCTAACCATTGAATAATTGTCTGTTCGGTGGATAGTGCAACGATTTGTTATCAATTATCCAATGGTCCAATGGATAGCGAATTATCTGTTGGATAGTGCTTTGTGCCTCAAAACAACTGGGCCCTAGACTAAGGGCGAAGCACTCCTTGCGAAAAAAAAAATCTGCCCCTTCTCCCCCCTAGGGAATAGACCCATAGGAGGAAACTAAAAACAGCTGACCAAGCATAAAGCGGACTTGTAAGTCGATATCAAGACAATACGTGATCAGGCATGCCTTTCTCTGGCAGCAAGCAAAACGGAAATGCCTCCCAATGAAGCCTAAGAGAGGGCCTTCTTCACCAACTTAGCTTGTGGCGCGAATTGAAGGAAATCAGCAACAAACAAAAAAACAAACAAACAAAAAAAAAACAGTCAGCGATTCCTGTCGCTCCATGAGTTCTCTTTGCACTACTTAATTTTTTCTCTGACTTCTTCTCGCAACTTCGGACATCCCATGTACGTCTCGGTAGCGCGAAAGAGTATATATTATGGGCGGTGCGTAAAGCCTTTGTAACTTCCTTAATACTGCCACCAGGCTTCCCGCAACCCGCACAACCCGTTGCCACTGAGCTTTTATGTCGCACTTGAAGGTCGCGAATTATAGGTTTAACAATTATAGAGATGACATGATCCCATTGTCTTTTAGGGCCAGTCAATGTCTCCCTGAGCTTTTTAAGATTTGCATCATGGGATAATTGTTTGAGTTGTTAAAAAGAGTTTCTGTCCCATAATCAAAATCACGCTTTCGTCAGGAGACCAGATATTGCCTCGGGTAACCTTTTTCGCTGTACAAATTTAATCATAAAACCTTTTCATGTGATTTGAAACTTACCGGATGGGAGGGGAGGGAAAGGTAGTAAGAATCCTGGAGGTTGAAGATCGTTTTGCATAGAGATGAAAAAATTGGAAAGTTCTCGGAATTATACTTTTGCTTTTAAAGTTCTTTCCTTAGCTGAAGCACGTGCTTGCTGCAGAACGGGGGAAGGGATATCAAGTTCAGTGCTTTTTAGCTTCAGGTCCCCTACCCTATTCTGTGAGCAGCGCCTCCCACCCCTCGAAATAAAACACGATTTTTTTGCGGGAGGGGCTGGCTGCGCATAGGGTCACAGGCAAACTGAACCCCCACTGACCCACTCAGGGACTGCTTCAATGCGTCCTCTCTTCCCACTAGTTCCTAGTCCTTCTCATCTCAACTTTCACTGGTGATTTTCCATTCGATTTGTCACATTAAAATTATTCGCTACAACAATGTTTCTTCGACAAGCATACGGCCGACTATCCAATGCATTATCTCCCAACGTCACAGGTAAAGACACTTTTTAATTCTAGTATAAAATTATGCATGCGAAAGTTTGTTGTGATCTGGAAAGGATTCGTCACAAAAGCTTCCACAAGTACCAGCTATGTTTGTATTTTTTCTTGAAGGATTGAACTATCTTAAGACTTTTTGAAGCCTAGCATTTAAATTCCAAGACTTAGGGGGGTAATTGTGGGTGTATTATGTAAAATTTTACATCTTTTTTTGAATTCGAAAATGGTTTGGCTTTTGTTTTGCCAATTTCCCAAAATGTTCAAGCGTTACTTTCGCAATCGTGCGCGTGATCTTCCATATTCCCTGATTTAATTATCATCACTTGAATTATCCTATTGTTCTACCAGTAAAGTAGTTTTCTTCTGTTTCGATCGACCGTTATCTAAAACTACTCAGAGCACGTCTGTTCTGCTTTGTCGGTGTAACATTCCAGGGTAACTCTCAAGGGATTTTTTACTAGTAATATTTTTGCCAGATACAGGATAGCATGTAAATAAAACACGTGGTTACTGAATTTGACACCTGATCACGTCTTACACCATAAATAAATTTTTAACCTCTCAGGAAGAGAAAAACTTCAATAATTGCATGACTCAATGATTCCAGTCCTAGTATAATTGATATATCTCTCAACTTCAGATAACAGACAGGAAATCTTTCCCCCTCCTGCCACTCCCATAGAAAACCGTCTGTCAGTTGTTGATGGCAACATGATTTTGTATGAAGAATTCTTCACTCAAAGCTGTGTACATCCAAACAAAAGAAATCTTGGTTTTGAAATAAATTTTCCAGAACAATGATTAAAATTTTTGTCTAGCTTTAATGTAGAATCTACTCCACAAGTTCTTTTGTCTTCCTTTAAACTAGAATTTTTCATAACTTTCAGTTTACCAGCATATCCTTACAACATTACTCTGTATTAAAGAAGATAATCCCATGAAATGTGGTTAGCTTAGTGAAGCTCATGATTATGGAGTCTAGGATAACTATAAACCCATATCAAACTTGACCATAAACATAGGGTCTAATGAAAATGGTAAGTTTGAGTAAAATTCAATTCGTCAAAAGTTTTTTTCTGCTTCTGCCAAGCATCTAGATATTATTACTATGGATAAACATACTAGTGGCAGAGGAAGAACTGCATTTGAATTCAATGGCCATGATGATGTCTAACTTCTCTCTAGTCATCTATTATTCATTCTTTAAAAAAAAAAAAAACAGAAGGGAAAAAACCAAACAAATGGAAAAATTCAGTATTAGAGAAGATTGGTTGGAAGAGGGATTCCCTCCTCCATTTTCTTGATATCATGTTTGTCTTCTGTGTTTTGTGTTAACCAAGTACTAATTTTGTGTTTCCCTCGGTCAAACATGAACTTTAGACGCTTTTAATATTAAGTTATTAAGATGGGTGAATTTTTATGTTTCAACTAATGAAGGATTGTCAAAAACTATTTTACAGAAAAACTTGTTGCCCGGTTTAGTTCATCAACTTCAGCCTCCAAACCCAAGGTAATAAATAGTAAGAGTAACAATTCTGTAACTCCTTGAAGTAATTAACATGTAACTTCTCCCTAAAAATATCCGCATGTTATTCAGCAAACAGGTATTGAGAAAACTTGAACTTATCAGCTAATAGTTGTTATCATGACATGACACCAAATTCTCGTAACTGATTTACAAGGAATGTGTAGCAACTAGAGTTGAGAATTAACAATCAGGTCTTGGTAGTCAAAGGGTTAACATTAACAACCAAAGAGTTTATGGAGTAGTGCTCAATATGACACCTGTTACAAAAGTGTGAAGGAAACACAAATATTTAAACATTGGTTTGCTTTTTGTTTTTAGAAAACAACCCAGTTGAGAAAGATGTTGGAATCACCAGAACTAGAATTCATCATGGAAGCACATAATGGATTGAGTGCTAAAATTGTACAAGAGGCTGGTAGGTTGGTAATACTTAATATGATCACCCACAGTTGTCCCTAGGCACTGGCTACTGGCAATATTCACCAATTGAAAAATGGGCAAATTGGTGGCTAGACTTTTGGGTAGTGATTGCTATGTGAAGCACTTGAAATTTCAGCCAGTAGCCTAATTTCTTAGCTACAACCCTGATAATTTGATCAAAAAATTAGATATATAATTAGCATGGCTCTACATGGCAAGCCTATGTAGTCACTTAGGATGATTATTTTAAGGAAATAAATTCACAAGGGAATGAATCCTTTCACTTCCCTGACCAATTAATCATTTCTCCTCTATGTTATAACCTCAGTCAGGTATTTCAATAAGAGCTGGTAATGGGCAATGTCCTCCATCAATATCAAGCAAAATTGCCGCTTATTTTCTCTAAAATTAATAACATTAGAATAAAGATTGAACTTCTATTAGCACTGTCAGTGGCTTTAATATCTTTGGTTTGGTTTTTTTTCACCACAATAATCCTTGTCTTATTTCTAAGGAAATGACACTACAGTGATACCATTTTGCAGGTTTTAAAGGTGTCTGGGGTAGTGGTTTGTCAATCTCTGCCCAGCTGGGAGTACGCGATAGTAACGAAGCATCTTGGACTCAAGTCATGGAAGTGATGGAATTCATGAGTGATGCCACAGACATCCCAATATTACTAGATGCTGATACTGGTTATGGTAACTTCAATAATGCTCGACGTTTGGTGAATAAACTTGAACAGAGAGGTATTGCTGGAGCATGTATTGAGGACAAGCTTTTCCCCAAGACGAACTCTTTATTAGATGGCAGAGCACAGCCACTGGCTGATATTGATGAGTTCTGTGCAAAGATCAAAGCTTGCAAAGGTAATATTTTCTGGTGACAACTTGAGTAACCCCTTACTCCCTAACATCAATAAACTGCTAAATTTTTTTCATTGGATCTTTTATTAGATACACAGACAGACCCAGATTTTAGTATTGTTGCAAGAGTTGAAGCTTTTATTGCTGGGTGGGGCCTTGATGAAGCTCTCAGAAGATCAGAAGCCTACCGCAATGCTGGGGCTGATGCCATCTTGATGCACAGCAAGAAATCTGATCCTTCAGACATTGAGGCTTTCATGAAAGCTTGGAAAAACCAGGTGCATCAATGACTGTTGACAAAAGTTTAATATTTAAAGGAAACTTTATTTCAAGCTGAATAACTACCCAATCTCACATCTACCCCTGTACCAAAATGTTTTCAAGTGATCTAGTAAAGTAACACATACCAGGGCGGTTGAAAGATACCCATGACCCTTCTTTATGAGATAATTGTTCTCAATCCACAAAATACAAACTTCATAATTCTGGGGATGGAGGCTCATGAATCGCAAGAATCTGTGTGCCTGGCAGAAATCTTTTCCATTACCTAATACTCCATTTAATGGTCCTTCTCATCATGTGGATGTAAGCCCTCTAACACAGATGGTAGAACAAAGCTGTCAGCTACCTCACCAAGGGTGCGCAGATATTCATAACTATGACCTTCCCCCTATTTTTGTTTGAAAAGTCGTAGCTATGCTTGTTGATATTAAGAAGAAGCAATTTCTAATTGGGGTTTCATGTAGTTCCAAGGGTTGCTCTTTGAATAAACCTCAGTGATAACTCAAATTTTTTAAAGATCAGTTATAACCAAGTTATCTCACGATCTTTATTAACAGGGTCCAGTAGTAATTGTACCAACCAAGTATTACACTGTGCCAACAGACCAGTTCAGAGACTGGGGTGTGTCTCTTGTGATCTGGGCCAATCACAATTTGAGGGCATCAATAACAGCAATGCAGAACACCACACAGCAAATCTACAAAGACCAGTCACTTGTTAATGTTGAAAAGAAGGTGAGGTGTTAACCAACCCTTTACACCCCAACATCTGTATGCAAATTCTCCATACTGTTTTCTATACATTTCCCAAGGTTTTAACAAAGAGAATTTGTTAAACAGTCAAGAGCTTCCTTAGTTGGCAATCATTTCCTTGATTTCATGACCTAAATGCATGATTCAGGGGTGATATTGTAAAGAGATATCAGATGCTTGCCACTCTGAGGGGTTAAGACAGGTGTTTGGAAAGTGAAAAATGGTGAGCTAGTCAGGGAGGGGAGATTGAGTGGACAATAATTAAGAGTGGGGTTACATGAGGTGACTTGGAGTTTCTTATCCCTTTAACCCTTTAACTCCCATGAGTGACCAAGACAGAATTTCTCCTTACAATATCAATACAATATCACGCAGACAGGTGATGAGAATAAAAAAATATATATATTAAGTCGGGGATTATTAGTTTATCCAATATCAAATTCTCCAAACTAACATTGCAAGAACTATATAGCAGATAGTAAGGAGAATTACTGATGAGATCTTGGGAGTTGAAGGGTTAACTCCCATGAGTGACCAAGAGAGATTTCTCTTAATAATAATATATTAATACAATATCAAGCAGACAGTTGATGAGAATAAAGAAAAATATAAATCAGGGGATTATTAGTTGATCCAATACAAAATTTTTTGAATCAACACCATAAAAATTGTATGGCAGACAGAAAGGAGAATTACTGAGGAGATCTTGGAGAACACAACACAATGACCTTTAAACTATCGAGCCAGTTGAAGGAATTTCTGGTTACAAATCTTAAATTTTAGTGATTGGTAAATAATCTTTTTTCAATACAGATTGCTGCAGTAAAGGAGGTTTTCCGTCTTCAAAAGGATGATGAATTGAAGGAGGCTGAGAAGAAATATCTGCCTGAGAAATAATAGAAAAATAAATCCTGGAGTGAGAAACAGATTGTAGCTAGTATGGTCCATGATTTTCAAATTGCACAACCAGATATGTCAAAATTCTACTTCATCACTTTTCTCAAGGGGCTTCCTGAGAGTTTCCAGCCCCCACCCCCTCCCCCTCACCCTGGAGAGGTGTGAAAGAAGGCTGGTAGGCTAAATAGCCAGCTGCCTTCATTTTTAGTCTGCTCTCCAGGCATTGTTTAGCTTTGGCTCAAAACATGTTCTTGATGGGGTATGGGGTCATGCAACCAGACAATGGTATGAATGCAGTCATTGGTGGATAAAAACTCTATGTCTGGAAACCATGTGGATGCACTCACTGTTTATCATATTTCCATGACTTGATATTGATCTTGAAGGCCAGTAATAGTATTTTAATATATCTTTATGTGCTTAGAAACCAGCTGTTTTGAATTCTTTGAATGCCTCAATAAAGGGATGATTGAAATAGAGTTTGTACCCTGTATTTTGTTTATTCAATTGCAATATGGTTCATATTCTCTTCATCTTCTTTATAAATTTCACTTACTACAGACAAAACAACTTAACAGTGGGCCTTTTTCAAAACCACTTGGAGGAAGCTATTATAGCCTGCCCTTTCTCACAACAGGGAAGGGACTCTCGTGTAACAGTGATTTAAGGTGATCATGAAAATATTGGAAACCTATGTAGTGGGAGTGTCTTAAGTTTATTTTGACCTCTAAATGATTGTTAACTCTTCATGATGAAAGCAATTGCTTCAAGTCTTTTTTTCCTGGCTTAATACCCAATGGTCTATTGGCAGCTTTTGCCTGTTCTTGTCACTCAATGTGTTCTATCCTTCACCTGTTCTGACAAGACCAAGGAATAGCTGCAAAGGGGATCAACTTCATTCAGGCCCAGTCAGCACCGATAGATGATTTTATAAAAAAAAAAATTTTTAAAAAACTTTTATGCCATATTGGGTATCATTCATGGCTAAGAATGCTGCCAAAAATTATGACTCCTCATTGCCTTTCTGCTGAGTGATATAATATTATTAATCCTGGCAGAAAAGGGTTTTCATAGTCTCTGACTTGACAAAAGAGGTTCCAATAAGTAAAACAGACAAACTGTGTCATGACTGTACACTGCAGAGACAACATTTGTTTGGTAAAATTTCTTAGGTGATAGCTTATTGGAATATTATAAAGTTAAATTTGAGAGAAATTTTCAATATATTAAGTAATTTTAAAGGGGGTAAGTTTCTAATGAAACTGTGGTGATGGATGGGCAGGGGATATAACAAGATAATTTGGTTTTATCAACTGAGTTGATAATGTAAATTGGCCACAGTAAACAAGTTTCTTAAGCTGACATTTCAATTATGAACCCTTTGTCAGAGCAAGGATTCTTATAGTTCAGGAATAAATACACACAAAAAGCAACTGTTTCTAGCCTTCTTCCACTTCTTTTTGCAGAAGATGCTTCCAAAATATCCCAAAATCAAAACAGGGATAAACTAGTTTTGGTATTTTAAAAAAAATCAAAATAATTTATTTCAAAACTTCAAATATAACATAGTTAATGTCAGTGATAGCTCCTTTACATGGTTCAGTCCCTTTCCTTGAATTACGACTAGAGAGCCACTAACAATCTTAAGCTAACACTCTGATCTAAACTGATCAGAAATGTTAAGAAATGCTACAGAAATGTTAAATTGATAATCTGAGAATCTTAACCCTTTGACTCCCAAGATGATTGCCAATTCTCCCCTGTAACTGCTGCACATTTCCTTGTAAATAAGTTATGAGAATTTGGTGTTAGATCAAGATAACTTCTATCTGATAAATTTGAGTATTCCCATAACCTCTTTGCAGGATAATGTTTAGGCATTACAGGGAGAAGTCACATGTTAATCTCTCCTGGGAGTTAAATAGTTAAGCTCCATAAAAAAAATTTCAAGAGTAAATAAATGTGCAAGTTTGAAATCAATTGTAAGTTTTCTATATTCTGAAATCTTGTGTTTCCTGTTGTTCACCATTCACCTAAAGGGTGAGGCTAAAACATGTTGAAGAGTATTTTAAATTTTAAAATACTTGGGTTGACTTAAGAGATGTTGTTTACGATCAAAAAAGGAGATTTTAGTCCTAAATTGATTCCTTCCCCAAGGATCCAACCTCTTCTTACACAAAACTACCTTCTCCTCAGTCCTCTGTTTTAACCACAACACAGATGCTAATCTCTGAAAAGTTGATATCTCGAGATGTTCTATTGGAAGAATCATGTGTTTATTCCATATCCCCACCCCCTACCCCAGGTTTGTTTTCTTGACCACTCCTTCCCATCCCTCCCCATCAACTGTTGCTCAACAAATGGATGCACTTCAGCCAAAATCAATAAAAATCCAGAAATATCAAACCATCCTTGAACAAAAAACTCAAAATTTATTTCTAGATTTCATCGCTTCAGAGGAAAAGATTCCATAATTTCCTTTTATATGGGAGATTAAGCAAACTCTGCAAGAGACAGGGAGACTGATTCTGTCTCTGAGAGACTTCAGGATAATCTGGGAGCATTTGCAAATGTGCCAAAATGAACTTTGGAGCACCCTTGGTGGAATGGTGAACATCACTCACACTTCATGCAGATGTCTCAGTAAAATCTTTGCCTACCAATTCAAATTAAGTTTACAACACACACACACTGACAAACAAGTTTAATAGGACTCAGAAATTTTAATGCTATAGTATCACAAGAATAATTTAATTTAAATTTGAAAATTTAGAACAGCTGCAAACCCAACGAACGAAGAAAATTTAAGCGTATAGGAATAAAAGGGATATGTGAATAAATCTAGGGCATCTGACAAAATTAGACCAGGAATGAAAAAAAATAATGAGAATACAAAAAATATTTTGCTCTCTGGGATAATACTATTTCCCTTCTACTGTAAATGTTTACTTTAGTTTTTTGCTTTAAGGTGGCTGTTCAATGATTACAAGCTGTGTTAAGCCTTTACTTCAGATTACACTTACTAGCTGAAATTATTTACAATCTAACTTTAAAATGTAATCTGTGGTTCCCTCCATTCATCCATTAACTTGTTGCTTTATCAAGCCCCATGTATCTGTTTCATTACATATCCATATTGAAGATATTTAAACCATATAAAAACAAATAATTATGTTACGAAATCTGGAAAAGAGAAACAAAAGCAGAGAAGGTTAGTAAATCAAGATCAAAGGAAATGATCAAGCCCCAGTATTTTGTGGGAGAGGGAGTGACAGAAAAAAAAGCTGTGCATTTTCATGCTGACAAACAGGATTAGAATATCATGACAACCTTACAAGATTGGAGCTAACCATCCATGGCTGGGTTTCTTACATATGACTCAGTCTCTCAGAGTACCAATGAATAAGTGTACCATTGTGAGTGCCATGGAAATTAGGGGGTAAGTTGGGACAATCAGGGGTTAAAGGTCATGTGTAAAGTGTCACGGCCATTATTTAAATCATAAGCAGCTTTGTGAAAATGCAAAAATTCTCTAGCTGCACATCACACCAGCTTGAAATCTTACCTATTAAGTATATATGGAAATAAGTACTATACCAACGATTACCGCCAGTAAAATAAACAAACAGATGACTATCATGATCTTTTTCTGTTGGAAAACAAAAGTATTTGACAGTTAGTATACATAATGACTTCACCCTTTAATTCCCCAAGATCAGATTGTTAATTCTCCCCTCTAGCTGCTACACATTTCCTTGTAAATAAAATAAAATAATTTGATGTTAGATCAGGATATAAACTTCTATCTAATATGTTTTAGTAATCTCATTACCTGTTTGCTGGACAATGTATGAATATTATAGGGAGAAGTTACATGTTAATCACTTCTGGGAGTTAAAGACCAACAGCTGATTATCTTTAATGTACCACAAAAAATTATGTGCCATAATTGAACAATTGACTAATAATGATTACAGAAATTCTCAACTGGATGTCAAAAGTGAGTCAGGCTTGTATTGGTGTTACTTTCCTTTACTTTGTGATTGGTTTAGAAAACTCACATCACCCTCTAAATCAGTCTATTTTAAAGCTTAAACTCATTGATATTTGATCGCTTGAATTTTCCAGTGCTTCACATGATTTGCAAGTTTTTACAGAGCACTCTCATTTGCTCCATGTGACCTCTTCTTATTTTGAGACTGGTCTCTCTAATGACTTTGGTGTTGAGGTTTATGATACTGAAATAAAATGTGTTCTATGCTGAAAAAAAAATTCAATGATGAAGCTGGAAAACTGTGTGTTTTGAAGAAAACTTTGTTCAGACACTCTTGCTTCTGGTAAAAGAAGAAGACAGGCTAGAGAATCTATACCCAGATTGCTAACAACTCCTGATCTGATGTTATGTTCACTGTGTAGGAGACAAAACTAAAGGCAAAACTAGAAATAATACCCACCCGCCTTGCTTTACTTTGATACTTGACAGCTTTTTTGGTGTCACTTTTGGCTGATTGAACAAAGTCAACGGCTTGGTCCACATTGTACTCAATTCTGTCGATCATCTCCCCCTATCAAGGAAATGGTATCAAAGCATGATACAGGCAAATAAATGCACTACAATGGAAGGGTGCATCTTAAGCAAGAAGCTGTAGGACAACCCTTTGCATCCTAACACCAGTATGCATATTCTCCGTACTGTTCTCCATACATTTTAAAAGAGGCTGACAGGGAGAATTTGCTTAACAATCATAAGCTTGTTAATTTGGTGATCATTCTCTTCACTCTCATGACCTTAATGAGTAATCCAGGGGTGATATTGCAAGGGGAAAATGGATTTTAATCACTCTTAGGGATCAAAGAGTTAGTAGCAATCACACTCACTTTCTCTATTAACCCTTTCACTGCCTAGATCCCATTTGAATTTTATCGACTAAGCAGTTCTTCTTTCTGTCTGCCATACAATTGGAGAATTTGGTATTGGATCAACTTATAATGTCCTGATTAATCTCTCTCTTTATTCTCAAAACTCGTCTACTTAATACTGGATTGATACTGTAATGAGAAATTCTGTCTTGGTCACCCGAGGGAGTTAAAGGGTTAACATCAATAAATACTTGATTGGTCACTGATGCAACAAGGTGTGAACGTTAGCATGCAAGGCTACGAACAAGAAAATCTTAATTGAAGACCTAGCCTAATATTGCACTGTGTTTGTGAACAAGAGGCTTTGCTCTCATAGTGCAATTCTCCTTCCAGAAGCACACACAAGTACCAACAAACTGTTGAAGACACCTGCTTAGAAGTAACCATGTACTGAACTGACATCCCATACTCCTAAAGGGAGTAATTTTCTAAAGAAACTGTCAGTGGTGCTGCATTGGTTAGAGAGTATAACATGGTAATTGAGTATAATCAAGTGAGTTGATAATGTAAATTGGCCATCGTAAAGAGTTCAAAGTTGACATTTTGAGTGTCAGTTCTTCGGCAGCCCTTCCATTCACTCTGATAAAGGGCTAACACTTGAAACCTCACCTTTGGAACTCTTTACGGTGGCCAATTTATGTCAGTTGATAATACTAAATTACCCCAGCAATACTCCTAGCTGCTTTCTCTCACTGAATCAGAAAAAAAACTGTGTTCAAAATAGCCTTCTGGCTCATAAGCTGACTTAACCTTTCTTAACAATTTGATCATGTCAACTGTTGTTGAGCTTGCAACTTACCTGGTTTTCAACCAACATGGCCATGTCAACAAACATTTCATGAAGTTCCTTGAAAGAAAAACAAATAATATAATTACTTCACAATTAAGTGGTATAAACATAAAGTTCAAAACAAACAAGTGTTAATCATACTGCATGAAGTACTCTGATGATGTTGATGATCTTGAGTGCAACAATGATGATGATGATGATATCAACCAACAAATCTACATATATGTGTATCAGCCTCCACAGTCACTGGTTTAAAGGTGTTTTTCACAAAGCCATTTAACCTTTTTCTTTTCTTGATCTTAATGTTTGTTTCATCAGTGATAGCAAAAGGAAAAATCAGTTGCCAGTTACCCTCAGGGTTTAACGGATTAAAGTACCTGAATACTTTTTTCTAAGTTGATAATATCTCTGTGCCTAGCTTCTATATCTCCCAAGGCTTGTCTTGCTTGTTGAGTCTCTATCACAATCTATATAAGAATAGAAAAAAATGCTTATTGGTGACTGTAAGTTATTGTAACATTTGGAGAGCATTTTGGTCGAGTGTCCTGACACCAAAACCAATGAAAGTATTCAAAGGAAAATGTCACAAAGGGCCAATGAGAACTCTAAGAAAAAACAAGCCAATTGCATAAAGTGCTGGGAAAATGTGAGTGGCCAAGCCTTAAACTTTGAAACCCTTACATTAAAATGCATATTCTCCATACTGCTTTCCATATATGCCCTAAGGTGCTGACAAGGAGAATTGGTTTAACAATCAAGAGATTCTTAAAATTACGATCATTTTCTTTATTCTCTTGGCCTAAATGCGTGATTCAAGGGTGATAATGTAAGGAGAAATTAGATGCTGGTCACTCTTGGGGATCAAAGGGTTAAAGTTTTGATTAATTCTGATGCTCAATTGAAAATTGATAAAAGACTGTAATAAATCATTTTTGGGGAAACTTTATTTTACAGTAATTGCTGTGACAAAGATACAATTAAAGAGCTCAGCGTTCTTGAAACTTACATCTGAGGTAAAAATCGCTGGATCTCTACCTTCCAACATTTCCTCCACTTCCTCGTATGTCTTTGTTTTACCAGCTAATCATCAGATTAAAAAAATACTGATATCAGTTTACACTTAAAACAGATTTCATGTAAATGCTTCAAAATCTCAAAGCTTTCCATAACAGCTAACGTTATGTCTGAACCTATGCCAGGAAAAATGGGGTCTTGTACCCAAAATCAGGGCTCACTGGGAAAACTTTCCAAGAGAAAAATTGTAAAATGACATTCTTGTCTTGTTTAAATAGCCCAGAACAATTGAAAGCAAGGGAAGAGACTTCATTACAGGGATTGAGACCAACCTGCAAAATGCACAAAAAAATCTGCAAAAATTAAAATTTTGCATCTTGAACAATTTTGTGTTTCCTTTGAGGATTCAAGATTCTACGGCAACAAGTAATACTAGCAAATTAAAAGATTTTAACTCGTAATATCATATCGACTCACTTATTTCCAACTGCCGCTGGATCCTAGCTTTGCACTTCTCTCTGTAGTCAGACTGGGTTGTGTTATAGTCACTCATCACTTCTACAAATTTTCTTGCTAATGTAGAATGCTACAAAAAAAATAATAAATAAAAAATACTCACTTCAATAAGTAGAGTGGATTTGAACTGTGGGTCATGCAAATGAAGGTCATGCAAATGAAGCAGTGAGCATAAGAACTTGAAAGAATTTTCAACCAGAGTTGCCATTTTCTCCTCTGTAATTCTGTATGTTAAAATCTCCTCATCATTACCACTTTGGTGAGTATTTTGGTGCATTTTTAGGCCAAGGTGGAGAATTTGGCCATCTAAAATATATTTTAGGTCAGTGAAATTTTGAGCTACTCAAACTGTAAATACTTGTGGAATTGTTACGATTGCTTTGCTCTCACTTTTTTCAGTTTTTAGTCTTTTTTGCTCCCTCCAAGGTAATAATAACAGTAATGCAGTTTATATTCTGGGGTATAGATATATGTTTTGGACCCTTCTGAGAGTCATTTTAACCCTTACCTAACATCTCGGGATAAAGTGATTCCAGCCCAAAATAATATTTATCCCCATGAACTTAAACTCTATTGTTTTATTACTGTTAACAAATAGGTCTAAAGGTAATATGAATTCAGGAAAGACTTATTAAATACAGAGCACAATATCAATATATAATGAGATTTGTTAACCTGGCATCTTCGTATCCTGGCCTCAGCATAGTTATTATAAGCTGCATCCTGGTCTTGCTGGTTTATACTATGTTCCATTTCTTAACCAAAACACAAAAACACTTAATGAGTGATGATAAATAATGCAAGTAGTAACCAGTCTTTGGAAAAAAAAAATGTCTAATTATGATAATAATTGTTTCCTTATGACACTTATTTCTAAAATTGTACAGGAAATTCTTGCAATTGTATGTCACATTCTCCATTCCTAAACTAATTTTACTTGAACCCTATCAGTGCATCTTGAATCTTAAGGGTTAGAAGTCCTAAAGAACATGTTGTGTTATGTCAGCAGGCAAGTGTAACTATAGGTTGGTTATCGACTGTAATTTGATAATTGTAGTTAGGTCACTTTAACAAATTTTGAAAAGGTGATGTTTGAGCACAAGCCCTTCCTCTGGTGACAAAGGGGAATAGAGGAGACATGTGTGTTCATGTATAAGGAAGAATGAAGTTATGCTTTTGATATTAACTTGGCAAAGTATGTTATCATGTTTCCCTCAACAGCATGGCTCTAATCTCTGTTGCATTGATGGATAGAAACAGCAATAGATCAATAGATGGATTTTATTTTGCCAGAAAATATTTACAACATTCAGAAATTACTAAAATGTAATTATTTTTTCCTAGCAAGGGAACTAGTTTGGAAACCATGGGGCTTATGACTATGAGATTACTCCCTTAACTTTTGCACCCCTAAGAGTGACTAACATCTTATTTCTCCCTGCAGCAACTCCCCTAAATCAAACATTAAGGTCATGAGAATAAAGGAAATGATCACCAACTGAAGAAGCTGTTGATTGCTGAACAAATTCTCCTTATTAGAACCTGTGGAAATGTCTAAGGAGAGGTATAGAGAATATGCATACTGATGATAGGGAGAAAGGGTTAACTAAAAATCATGAGTGGGGCATTATCAATGGAACATAGTCAAGATAAAAAAGAAAAAAAAATAGAAATAAATAATAATTTAAAAAATAAACAAAAATACTCATACACGGACTCAAAACGCACACAAGTGGTCTTAAATCTCACCCGACAGTCACCTAGACTGGGTAGGAAGGTGTAAAAATGAGGGGAGGAGGAGAATGTCTTATGGTGGACAATATCCACATTCTTATACTCTTTAGGAATGATTATTTACAACTTCACCACCTTAATCACAATCCTAACACCAAAGAAGTGCAACTGAAACTTTACCTTTCAATTTCATTCTCACTAGATTACTAGTCTTCTTGACATCTAACATCAGTCTTTCAAGTTCCTCTTTTACCTCTAAAATGCAAGATAAAAAGAGAAGTTAGTGTTTACAAATCCATTAATTATGTGCTAGGGGTTTTTTCACATTTAACATTTCTCAACCTGTCAGAATTATTTAGTTTAAAATATTTTAGAACTTTAATTCATTTTTCATTATTTGTTAGTTTAAACATGCATATGGAATAAGTTTTATTAAGTTGGTATAAAATAGTGTTAAAAGAGTTACAATTTTAACTGTTTCACTCCCGAGTACTGAATACCATTTGCCAGACATATCTAGTAATTTTAGCTCCAAGAGTTGGTTATTGAATCCTATAGCATCCCCTATTGACATTTTCTTTGTCTTCTCATCGCTGAGTTTTTTTTTCTAAAAATTGCATTCAAATTGTCAGGAAAATTCCCTTTTGGTCACTCCTTGGAGAAAAGGGTTAAATAAAATCTAGGTAATTTTCACAATACCCAACATCATTTTAACCCATCACACCCCAACATCACTATACATATTCTCCATAATATGTACATTTCCTAGGGTGCTTACAAGGGGAATTTGTCTCACAATCAAGAGCTTTGTGAGTTTGTTTTCATTTCCTTTACTCTCATCAACTTCAAGTTTAATTCAGGGGTGATATTGTTGGGAGAAATTAGACTTTTATCACTCTCATGGTGTAAAAGATTGACAGCATAAAAATAGGAACTACTCTTGCATCCTTATTCCTGAGCCTTTAGCCCCTACGAATCTAATTTCGCCTTATTGACAGTTACACTGCTGAATCATTCATAATGAGCATCAGAGTAAAGGAAATGGTCACCAGCCCATGAAGTTTGATCGTTGAACAAATTCTCCTTGTCAATACCAAAGGAAATGTATAGAGAGAAGTAGAGAGAATATTGATGCTGATGTAAGGGGGTAAAGGGTTAAAAGCAGAACAAAATAGTGCAATAAACATCATAATCTGGTGGTGGATATTCTGCATTTGCTCCAAAAAACAACAATTGACTAATATTTCATCAGGTTTCAACAACAGAGATTTTCAAGAAAGGTACACAGAACTAAAAATAGTTTTAAAATGCTAACATGGCAATTTTGATGATACTGTCTTTTGACTATCAGATGATACTTTGAGAGCAACTTTCTCGGACATATGAAGGTTCAATCCAACAATACTTGTTAAAACAAATGTTTTTCAATTGAATAGCAAATGGCATACATTAATTACAAAGTAGACAAAACTACATTTTTCTGAATATTCATAAGTACAGGTACACCCTTGAGTTCTGACCATAGATTAAAGTACAAACATGACGGTCTGTATTATCATACTATTAATAACATACCATATAAATAGGAAACTTCCTGTTACAACTTTCAACGTGCCATTGTACTGAGATAAACTCAATATTTGATCTTATTCTACATAACATGAATTGCACGGTCTCTCAATATATATAGGTTGTGTTATCTTACTGAATAAAAAGTCGAATGACTTCCCATTTATACACATGTTCGTGGATTAGCAATGATAAGTTGACTACATGTTTTTTTTTTAGATACCTTGATCTTGTACTGCAGCAGACAGCATAGCACTGTGCATTTTTTTGACTTGTTCCACATCTTGTGCCATTTTATCGATGTTCGTTCGTACTGTAGTAACCTTCAAGAGAAAGAATAAGATTATTTAAAGCGAGAGAGCAATACCAACAATTCTTCTAAGCAAACCTTGAAAGTGCAAGCTAAATCTTAGACATTAGTCGAGTAAAACTTACGTTTTGGAAAAAATTATCCATAAAAGTATTTTCCACATTAACAATTGTCGAAGGCTCATCGTCATCTTGCGGATCCTCATCGTCAGCATTTCCCTGTGAACAACACAGTGTTGATAGTATAAATTGATCAAATCTCCAATATGTTACGATCGCTAAATCGATGAATTGAATCGAAAGACGCTTGCACTCTGCCTGAAATAACTAAAAGAAACAGACTTATTTGAAAATTTCCGGCTCTTTGGGACTAGAATATAGACTCACAGTGGTTTTTAACGCCTGTAGTCTGTCCCTCATTTTGAAAACTCGTGTAAATACAAAGTAAATCTAGTACAATCTCCACAACCACCTCCCCAAGATTGACTGCGGGCTTACTTTTGTCAGCAGTCTGTCTAAAAAAAAAATAGATTTCGCGCAGGGGAGGGGACGGTTAACACAGCACGGTGTCGAGGCTCAAGTCTTAATTTTCTCTCCAATGAGAAACTGAGTGAGCAGATGAAAGCATGAAACGTAAAAGAAAAAAAGCTATTTCAGATACAAACGCCTTTGTCCTAATATTATCCAAGGTCAAATCGTTCATAATAACAGTTTTGAAATAACCTTTTATCTGTACCTGGGTGCATATTTCAACATAGTCCCTTTCATGAACATATGAAATTAGTACAAATATATTTATATCATGTCGTTAATAAATTTTTTTTTGATCTTCAATCCGTGGAGGTGAGAGATGAAACAAAAACTTGCCTTCTCTCGGGAAAAGATTACACGTGAGCACAAAACAGCATTGATTTCTCTATAGAGCAAAGTAAAAAAAAAAACAGCTCCTCAGGATAACGTTCATATTTGGGATACTTGTCATAACCTATTAAAAAAAGGCGGGCTTGATGTGTACGGTTATTTCCATGTGTAGCATTCATTCAGCCACTTCACCGGTTAAACCCTTTTTCTGGAAACGATATGTCGATGATGTTATTTCTGTGGTGTCCGGAAATGAAGCGGAGTGCCTCCTGAATTCAGTAGAACCGTCGATCCAATCACCCTTGAGCGTGAAAAGGATAGACATTTGCCCTTTCTTGATTTAAATGTATCCAGAGGGGTTCAGGGTAATTTAGAGACAAGTGTCTACTGTAAACCTACCCACACCGACAAATACCTCGCTTTCGATTCTCACCACCCTATTTGCCATAAAAAGTCTGTAGCCAAAACTTTACTTAGGAGGGCTGACTGTCTACCATCTTCACTCGATTCGAAGGCTGAGGAGAGGAAATATGTTTCTAATGTCCTAAAGGCAAATGGCTATACAAAAACCTTTCTCCGTAACTGCCAAAAACCAGTTACAACTAGTAACGCTCTTGATGAAAGGGAACCAGCGGCTGGTTTTGCTGTTATTCCTTACATTCAAGGTGTTACAGAACCCATCAAGAGAATTTTGAATAGCCACAACGTTAAAGTTGCTTAAAAACCTTTTCGGACTTTGGGGCATATTTTCGCCAAACCTAAGGATTCTGTCACGAAAGAACAACGAACCGACGTCATTCATTCTATTTCTTGCAATGACTGTGATAACGAATACATCGGACAGACCAAACGTCAGTTTTGTACACGTTTAAAAGAGCATCAAAAGCGGTTTTCTTTTGCAAAAAGGAAAATTCAGCCTTATCGGAGCACACATGCCCAACTAACCATACAATTGGGTGGGATAATTCTAAAATTATCACCACTAATCGGCGTTACCACCAGCGCCTTTGTTTGGAGGCTTGGCATATCAACTCCGCCCACGCTCCTCTAAATCGTGACGATGGTGGTTTTCTTCCTGACGCCTATTTACACCTCGTCAGAAAAAAGGCCGCTAATTAGTGATCATACAAAAGGACCTCTTGTTGCAGTGCTTAGATCATCCCTGATGAAGGCACTAGACAGGAGTGTCGAAACGTTGGGTCTATGAATTGTAACTTCTTCGTTTACATTCATTAAATCTGTAAACCAGAGTAGCATCAAATCATGTCTGATTGTCCACCTGGTTGCCGTGTGAACCTTAATATATATATGACTAATTACCAGCCCTCAGGGGTCCAAGTATAAGCTTTGATAACAAGAGCGTTTTAGTATTTCGTTCAAGGCAAAGACCAGTGCCGGTGTGTTTATGGATTCCCCCCCTCCCCACCCCTAGATTCGGACCCTCGGCCAATTTCCAGTCCAAATCCTATGGGGTCCAGATCTGGCATCGCAAAAACTTAACGCTAACTTTGCTTACATCTCCTTTGATCCTTAGATTATCACTCCGGGAAATTTGGAGAAAACATCATGTCCACTGATAATTCAATTATTTTCACTTTGCGAAAAATGGTTTTAACTAGGGAGTAACATTTGATCAAGCAGTCTGATTGTTAAAGTTAGAGTAGTCCTGGGAACGACTATTGTTGATGTTTAGACAATTTTATGCACAGACAAATTTTGCATAAGCCATTTTCAGAGTCGATCCTCCCGCTAAGGTCGTCGAAAAGAGTTTAAGTTAGGCATTACTTACGACGATAGTTCTTCTCTTCGTTACTTAAACCCGGACGATCAGACTACACGATCAGATATTTTCACCATGCAAACGACCGAAAGCAGACAATAATTTCTTGATCTTTGCCGTTTGCCGTGGACGGCGAGCTTAATCTTGGTACCATAGAATATGATAAGGATCTTATTAATGTGTTTGCATTTCTCGAGGGGACTAATTGGGAGATCTAATCCATAATGAATCTACAGGACTTAAAGCAATTAAAACGAATAGAAACGTCTACAAAATAACAATTGTAATAAAAAATGCATAAAAATTTCGATGAATTTGAAAATTATCAAACGAAAGAAGCTTAATGAACGCGAAACAGTATGCGACATTTTTGTTCAATTTCTCGCCCCGTCTAGAAAAAAAAGTCCAACTTAGAATCTTCGCGCCTTTTGAACAGAAGTTTGCAAAAATATGAATGGCTATTTGCTAAGGCAAGGAGTAGATCACAGCCGCTTAATAGAGCTCGCATTTGACGGCAGATGTTTTTGTAGCGATTAGCCAGCAATTATTTTTCCGAGACTCTTCAAAACGCATTGAACCACAAAACCAAAAAACATTCCCAACCACTAATTGCTTCATCAGAACGGCTGATCTCTGCGTGTCATAAGCAAAGTACAAACGACTCGTTCAAAGTTTTCCTTTGATTAATCCTTTACCTTTATAGCTTTGTAAAGTGGAGTATTTTTGTTACAAATTTAGCCGGCGCACACCCCTCTCTATGATTATTACAACACCCGTTTCCTGTTTTAGATTCTCTCAGGCCTGCTGCCCGAAATGCAAGGGCTGACAGGAGACTGGGTTAAAGCGACACTTGGTGACTGGTTTTGACCGGTTAGAAGTGAGACCACGAGTGTTTCAAAAGGAAACTTTTTCAAGCTGTTGGGTGAAGAGGTCTTCTAAAGGTTCAGATTATCTGGGAAAATGGCACAGCAAAAGCCTGAACCAGTAGCCAAGTTCAAAGTAGGTTTTCTCTTCATTTCAGTGTTTCAACTAAAATTTGGCATTTCTGCACAATGTCTTGAGTTTAGTACACGAGGGTACCTCTATATCATTTGGTAGTACTGAACATTCATATTTTATATTTCTGTTTAGCTCGTTCTTGTCGGTGATGGTGGTACTGGAAAGACAACCTTTGTCAAACGTCACTTGACTGGAGAATTTGAAAAAAAATATGTTGGTGAGTAACCTACGTGATCATAACTTCATTTCGCAATTTTCGTATCAGGGACACCGTTTGCCTAAATTTAACCCAAAACCACGTTTCTACAGATATCTCATTCATTTTTACGTTAAGGAGTATTAACTGCAAACCTATCAGTACAATTTGATACTATATTTTTTTCTGCTTAAGCTAGGAATTTAGTCTTGAATTAGTTCCTAAACATCACACACGTAAAATATTTGAACTGTTGAGAGTTCGCGCGCTTTTTTTGATTAATTCTGCAAATCAATTACTCACGCTTTCCATTAACTTTCCAATTTGGAAGCGGTAAAAAGCTACTCTGAGTACAAACACAAGGGACATTTTCCCCGGAAGACATTTTTTGAAGTTTATGTGCTTCTTAAAGTATGAAAATTAAACAGAATTTTGCCCAAGCCTGAGAGATTAAGGAAAAAAAAAACATATTTTAGTATTTGCCTAAATTATGCTAAATTATTTTTGGATAAAGGCTCTGCTGGACACAGCACAATTTCAAGATGACTGCCCATGTGTTGCCAGTGTTACCGTGGAAGTGATTAACACGATAACGAAAATTCAATTCTGCAGAGCACCAATGGTGCTGTGAACTTTGGAGTAACATTTTTTGAAGAAAGATATGAATTTGTTGCTGATTGAATTAAATGTACCTATCAAATTATAGCAGAAACTGGCTCCTTATCTGGATGCAGATAATCAAGACAATTAAAACAGAATGGTTTCTATGTCAGAACAATTATATATGACAGAATTCGAAAGCACCTAAGCTATTATCATAAATTTGTCTCTGGGATTATTCAACAATGTTCACTTTTCCTTCAGCAAATAATTGTTTAATATACTATACAGGTGAATAGTACCTTTGCAGGCACTGATTGGCTAGTTTGAAAGGGATTAGCAAGTACTATTCACCTCCCAGCAGCAGAATAGACGAAATCGTGGCAAGAGTTTCATTTCTGATCATTTTTTCGGCAGAAATGAATATTTTAGTAAAGGGTATGTGCTAAAACAATAATTTACCCTACTGTCGATGAAAGTGGTGGATATGTAACTCTGCAATTTGCAGTTTGGTAAATATCCACCATTTATCACCTCCACCTTGGCAAGTAACTGTTAATTATTAATGCAGGAATGTTCATGATTTCCTTGTAAAATTATTCATGTGTGGGTATCATTGGAATGTTTGGTTGCTCATTGGTAAATGTTCCACTGAAATGGGACTTAATAATCCTTCTTCAGTGGAAGTCAAAGGTATGGTGCAAGCTGACGGTAAAGGAAGAATCTTTTTGACAGGGACATGTTGTAGATAAGTTAGAATTTTTCAGAAGCTGCCACAAGTGGAAGTTTATTACACTGCATTTCATTCTGAAAACAGCTTTGACCAAAATGCAAATGCCATAGGGGATCTGAATTGATAAAATTTACATATTTTAAAAAAATGTCTAATGGTTGATTGAAAAATTCTAGTGCAACTTTCCTTTGACCTGAGGAATCGTTTTGTGATAACCTATTAACAATGATGTCCATGGCAGCTTGAAAGTGAATTAGAACCAAAATGGGGGGTTTGAGGGGTTAATTGTTCTCACAGTTAGTTTGTTTCTGTATCCAGCAACACTAGGAGTTGAGGTACATCCACTGGTGTTCTACACAAACCGAGGAGCTATCCAGTTTAATTGCTGGGATACTGCTGGTCAAGAAAAGTTCGGTGGTCTCCGTGACGGCTACTATATCCAGGGCCAGTGTGCAATCATCATGTTTGACGTTACATCACGAGTAACATACAAGAATGTGCCAAGCTGGCACAGAGATCTTGTTAGAGTGTGTGAAAACATCCCTATTGTGCTTTGTGGAAACAAAGTTGACATAAAAGATCGTAAAGTCAAGGCCAAGTCAATAACATTTCACAGAAAGAAGAACTTACAGGTACTGTTACCTGCAAACTTTCTAAGAAATAATCATATTTTAAGAAACAAGGAAGCAAAAAAGAGTAGCATTTTGTCTGAAAAAAAAATGTTATAAGTTTGTTTTCAGTTCAATCCAAAAAGCAGAAAAGAATGCAAAATTAACAATTTTTGAATCCTTTGAAATATCTTCAAAGCATGGTTACCTTAATGTGCAACTGATCAAACATAGGAAACAAGCATTGCAAACATTTTGCAAGCAAAATTAGTCTAGTAAGAAAATGAAAAGGGCCAACCATTAGTCTTGGTCAGCCTTATTTCCAGTCCATTTGGCAAAAACAGAGATTTATAGAATTATATCTCCTCATGTTTAAGACCAAACTAAAGTTATTATGGAGTAAAAGTCCTTGTATTCTTCCAGCCATGCTCAGTAGGGTGAAGTCAGTAGTTTGAAATGACCTCTGCCCTACATTAAATCGAACTGAGAAAGAATTGTGGGGGGCCTAAATAGCATGATTCTTATTTAACAGTTCAGTTGAGCCTAAAGGCTTTTCTGAACGATATCACCATGTTACACAGATAATATACTATTATTTAAAATCTGCAAACTCTTAAAGCAGGATTTTGTGATTAAGAGTCTTACACCAGTCTGTGTAGAATGCTTTGTCAGCAATATTATCTTATCTTTATTTCCTTACAGTACTATGATATAAGCGCCAAGAGTAACTACAACTTTGAGAAGCCATTCTTGTGGTTAGCACGAAAACTTGTAGGTGATCCAAATCTAGAGTTTGTGGAGATGCCTGCTCTTGAACCACCAGAGGTCCAAGTTGATGTAACACTAATGCAACACTATGAGCAGGAGCTTGCTGATGCCCAACAAACAGCTTTGCCAGAAGATGATGATAATGATATATAATCTGAATATTCTTCTGGGAATGTGTGCACTTTTGTCTTTCCTCTTGACTTCAAATCAACATCAGCCTCAGATGACATGATGTAATTCCTTTTTTTGTAAATTTTGCAATTTTTGTTGACTAGATTTAGGGTAAAATCAGGGAGATGGAAGTATGTAACACCTTATAAGATATAGCAAAAAATTTGAAATACCCCCAAGTTCATTTCATAGGTAAGTATATAAGGTTATAGCTTAAGTTTACCAATTCAGCTGAGATATATACAAAAGGCTACTTGCAGAGCAGAAGCTCTAGTTTTGAAAACATTTCAAAATACCCTCCTTTGGATCTTTAAGTCAATTTGTAACTGTGGGTGTTTTAATTACGTATTACTCGTGAGAAACAAATCTTCACTATGTGTACTTTTTTTGCATGTGGATAATTAGTTAGCGAAGAAGCATGGAGAAAAATTTATGGAAAGTGGCCTGCTGCAGATAACTCACCGGTTACATTAAACAGAAATTATTTATATAACTTTGTTAAAATATCTCAAGAAACTTTTTTATCTTGTGTTGCTGCAACAGTTATATGAAGACATGTCTAGATAACTCACAGCTGTTAACAGGGAAAGTTCAGAGAAAGATGTAACTATGACACAGTCACCCCTAAAAGCTCCTAAAGCATGAAGAATAAATTTGCTAATCTTTTGTTTGTAACACTCTTATTTATGTCTGAGCAAAAATAACATCAGATCAAACTTTGCTGTTGGGGAGAGTGATTGAAATTGGGGTGCAGACAGTTCACTGATGTCTTTTAGTCTAGGTGAAGTGTCTTCCATTGCATTGGTGGGTTGGGAAATTGTGGTCCTCTTCGAAACTCTGCTTTTTTTTTTTAACACCTCACTCACCAAAGAATAAAGAAAACCAAAGAAAACCTTGAGTTGATGAACTTTGCAAAGTTTCTGGATCCCTGCCAAACAAATTTAAATATTGGCTATTGCAGTTTAAACTTTGCAAGATAGACCCAAACTTGGAGTTGAAGTTTCCTTACCAATTTATTTTACATGAAAATGTATTCAGAGGATGCCCTATCCACTACACACACAATTCACTGTTACAAGCACTACTGGAGGACATTGGAACCAAGTGAATGTTACATGTTGTGCATTTTCAAGTTGTCGACTTTGAAAGACAAGAATTGGAGCATTGAATACAGTGAAAATGATGAAAAAAAAAAGGCCTGCATTGAAAAACAATCTGTTACAAATTATGAAAGGAAGGGAGCTTAAAGAAGCCTCTGGTTCACTCCTTCCTTCCTTCTCACTGGTAGGAGGTAAATAGTGAGAATAGCACTGATTTCTAAAGTATCTCCAATGATTTCTAGGCCAAACGAAAATGATTTGAAATTACGGCATGTTCACTGTTTTACATACACACTTGCAAAGCTAGGTTGCCACATCCCTAGAAGAAGCATTATCTTTTGTTGTTTTTACTAGGCTCTTGTTTCTGCAAGTAGCGTTTGTAATCTTGAAAAGTCAACAGATCTGCTTCTACACCAGTGTTACTTTTCTTTTCAAGAAACAGTCCAAGTGATTCCCTGTGCAGGAGAGAGATGCTACGGTTCCAATAAGGTTCCTCTATTCCTAACGCTTCTCGAACTTTTTTTGCTATTACCTGAAAAAAGTAAGAAGTCTAAAAATTCTGGATTCAGTTTGCCCTTAAGTTGGGACATCAGGACGGCTAGCATAAAACTCGGGTAAGACAGTAAACAAAAGCTTTTTAACGGGAGAACAATTGAACCGCAACTGGTGCGAATGTAATGTCAAATAACACAGTCCAGGTTGTTGCATGTTCTTGGGAAAATCGTATGTTAAAGCATTACATTCTTGTTCACGCAAAAACATCGTTTTACTGATGGAAGCATTTGTAGCTGCAAGATGCTGCATTGTACATACAATACACGCTGATTTGCCTTTAAATTTAGAATTAAAGGAATTAGGTGACTTCTTGTCAACAGTCTCTTTTTTCACTGTCAACAGAACACCTCTGAAAACAGGTGACATGTTAGACAAGCCAGGTTGATAGACGAAAAAAAAAAGGGATTTTCTCTTAGAGATACTTTGTATACAAACCTTTATGTGTTCAAAGTCTGTGACACCCATCCTTGGTAAAGATGAAGCATCGACTGTTATAAGTTTCCTTCCATTTATGAGGTTTTCTTTGAAACAGGCCTATGGACAATCGATGAAACAATTTCAATTCTTAATCTGATCAACACTAACACTGTAGAGGTTACTTAAATCAGCTTTTTAATTGTAGGACTGATATGCTGGCCTGTTTTATCTTTTTAAATTAGTGTTCTATGTACATCATAAAAGCTACTCAAATAAGTCGGAATTTTTCAATGTTTTAGATTGAAATGAGTCTTGAAGAATGATAAATCCGAGAAAAAAGAGACAAACACGTTTCTGCAAGAACTCTTTCAGCACTCAAATGTAATTTTTGTCTCACCCGATACTGCGGGAACCCTAAAAATTCCAACCAGTCAGCTACATCTTCGATTTTCCAGCTTAGACAGGTAGGAGTGCCATCGGAGTTAAAACTCGGTTCATATCCATTGTCAAACTTTGTAGGTGTCTTTCGAGAACTTTTGATCAGTCCGTCCGCCATCTTTGTTTACCGTGGTAACAAACCGCAATCCCATAGGTCTCCACGATGGAAACCATGCTACTTAGGAGGGGTCGGAGGGGTGGCAGATGTCGTTTTCCGGCACTTCTTTAAAAATTGTTGAATTCCTGCTTTTGGGCCAATAAGAAGAAACGGGGCAAATTTTATTATTCCAGAAAACAAAAGCAGTTAATTAAATCACATCCAACTAAAAAATAAATTCTGTGAGGTATAGGCAAAAAGAAGTTTCTTAATTCTTCAGCAACGTTTTTTGTTTGTCTGCGAAATTACTTTGTCCCCTAATGCAAAAATTATTTTGCGAGTCTATTGCTTAACACAATTATTTTATGGGAACCATAATTCTCATAAATCTTTTTTTCAAGTAAAGATGTCAGTACTGCTGTTAAACCATTTGTTATGCCTCATTGCTTGTTGATTGTCATTACAGGAGCCAAACAGAACGCAGAACAATAATATTGACTCTCAGAGGTCTCTTCTGAGAATATCCTCAATAATGAAAAAACAAATGAAAAAGTGAAATCCTTCTTATAATTAAACCTTAGCAGATTAAAAAAGCCCAACCTTGCGTCTAAAGAATGAACATTACATAAAGCTTTCAAAGACAAAAACAACAACAACTCTCCAAGCAATGACCTAAGAAAGTAATGGAAACCCCGATAAACTTTCTACCCGAGCAGCCAATAAGCGGTCAGTTTCAGTTCATGTGATTGGTGGTTCAAGTGACCCAGGCTGTTTTAAAAGTTTTCTTCCTGGACTGAGAAGCCTACATACGATAACAACCCCTTATTAGGACACATTTTCCAAGCACAAAAAGGGACTACAGAGCATTCCTTCAGGATATTATTGGATCTGGGAGGATTTCATGTAGACCCCTGTTTAACCAGTTTTTATCCCATACAATTTGACTTAATAATGTGGCATTTGTGATTTCCATTCCCCCCCCCCTGAAAAAAATTTCACCTAAGAAACAATGAATGTACCAATTTAATACATGCCAATCTAATCAGTACCCCAAGGCTTGATGTTCCATCTGAGAATGGATTACAAATGAAAAAAAAAAAAAAAATATATATATATATATATATATATATGTTGCGATCAGTGGAAAAAGCAGAGAGACTATACTTTCATCCCTACAAGCCTGTTCCGTGATTGCTCACTCATCAGGGGATTTTATTATATATGTATGAAATTAACAGTTCAACTGAAGAAAGCACTCCTGAAGAAATCAATGACGAAACGAAAAGTATCTGAAGATCCGAGGGATTTGGAACCCCCCACCCCCAATCACTTGCTACTTTTGAAATCTGGATCAGTTTTGCCCCCAGGGACCTTTAGAAAGGAAGACATCTTAAGTTGTAGAAGATGGCATTAAGTTCAGTACATGGCTGACCAGTTCTGGGGGCGATGGTCTAAGGAATACCTACCCCTCTTGTAGCAACGACAAAAGTGGCATTATCCATGCAGGAACGTGGTTGTTGGTGATATTGTGCTGATGGTGGACGATACCTCTCCGAGGAATTGTTTGCCAATGGCTAGAGTGGTTGAAACAATACCAGGTAGAGATGGACGCGTTCGCCGTGTTAAGTTAAAAACAAGAACATCATTGTTAGACTGACCTGTTGACAAGTGCGTTCTTCTCCAAGCCGCTGAAGACAGTTAAAACCATTAAAAGCCCATTGAGAACTTTGTTTTAACTTTAAGTCCAGCCGAAAGTTGAGATTTTTTCTATTTTTATTAGAAACTTCGTTGTATTATCGTTGGTTCCGAATTTGCTATTTTGCAAATGCTTTTCAGCATGTAGCAGTTCTCTTCATACACACGTGTAATGTATTACATTGTTACTCCATGGCTTTAGATCCGTTAAATTAAGCCGTTTAGATCTATTATAGTAATGTATTTATTTAGTGTTTCGCACGTGTCAACACTTAGTGGGGAAGGGGGGGGACAGGGGGGTCAGAGTCTCCCGCTTCCCGTACCACGTTCTCCCGCCTCTAGTACTTTTGTGCCCCTTTGCCTCCCGACTCCCACCCTTCATTGTGTTGCTCCCGTCTTCCCTTGAAACAGGTTTGCACCTGCACTACACTGGTTTGCACTGAAATTTGGGATATGCAGTCGCACGGAGCGAACTCCCAAGAAGGTCTTCCATAAACGAATTTTTCGTTGCCACACCGAAAAATACTAAGGCCGATTAATATAGTCTTTGACGACATTTGACCTGAATGACCCTGAATGGCTTTCTTTGCTGAAGATTTTCGACAGCTACAACTCACCAGACACTGACATCTGTAAGAAGCTCTCGGTTTTCTCCCCTAGCTACTCGATGGAAGGACGTTTCGCATCAGCAAAGCATAAAATTTCGACACTAGGTCGGCCCTAATTTCGCCCGTCGATTCTGAATTAGACTTTAAGATCTCCCTGAGATCTTTTGATTTAAGTTTCTGTATGTCATCTAACGACGAAATTTCCATATCGTTGTATTTAAGAACCATTTTGAAGGGAGAAATCGCATAGAAAAGTGTATTAGAACATGAAATGTCAGTAAATCAGCTGTTTGAAAGATCAGCTGTAAATCACATTATTCTTGAGGAACAAACAGAAACAACATGGCGGTAATTTTAAGCGCGAACCTTTGATTAACGGTAGAGATGCGGATAAATTTGGATACGTCAATTCTGTTGATGAGGCGTGTAAACTTATTGCGGAGTTTGAAACAGGATCGACGACGAAGTTTTCTTGCTTTAAAGCTGACAAAGGTTTCGGAAACACTGGTATGTATATTATATATATTTGAAAGCGTTACGTCGCGCTGGCTTGTAGCACTTTCGTCCTTGATCTACTGAGCCTGTCTTCCATTACAATTTAACAACAGACCACTCGAACAAAAGTCACGAAATACTCTGGGAAGATCCACGAGATATTAAAGGAGCAAAAATTCGTTTTACTGGTGTGCCTTTCATCATTTTTGGAAGGAAAGTGTTCAATTGCTAGCACGGCATAGATAGAACAGCTGGAGAGAAAAGGACACGAAAAGATGCAGAAGAGGTACTGAACATACATATTTTCTTTTTATCTGCGACATTGGTGTTACTACTGTCACCTATGGCTTGCTAATCCAAAAGGTCAAACACACATATGGATGGGTCATATAACATTGACCTCAGAATACTTTTATGACAAACGCGATAACAGTTCAATCTTGGCTAAATTGAAGATGGTTTAAAAGTTAACGATTATAAAAGCTTTTCACTAACGTATGCTGCTGACAAAAGAGCAATATACGCAATTCTGCGTTTTTTGCTTTCTATCAAGCTATGATATGTCGGCTCCTTATTTTTGAAGGCATCACGTTATGACACTTCCGTTTCGTAACATTCCAAAAAATAACTTGAGAAATACACTATCACTCACTATATTTACCTTTTACAGAAGGCTAGAAAAAAAGATTTCGTTTTCAAAAAGAGAAAATTTCTTGTTCAAGACACACGCGAGTTTGTTGCAAAGCACAGATAAAATGCGAGAAATATTATATTTTCAGAGAACAAGGTAGTTCTACTCATAAATAAATAGAACGAATCCGGTTTAACAAATCAGATATGCGGTATGACTGTCCAAAATTCCTACTACATAGTCACCTTTTTTATTTGAATGATGATTCACTGCATCAGTAGCATTCAATTTACCGTTACAATGTACAATCTTTCATCCTTCAGATTCTAAAAGATAGCAAAAAGAGATGGGAAACTACATCTAAAAATATTGCAAAAAGCTTTAGAAGAAGGGATCACTAAGTAAAAAAAGGAAGGATTTACATTGAGCTACCTCTCATTACAGACCATCAGTATCACTTTGTTGGCGAGGTAACTCAGTGTTTAACACAAACCAGTGCCACAGTCAATGAAAAATAGAAGACCTTGTGTTGACCTTATGTTAAAATAAATGATACTGATTCAATCATGGGGACTTTGAGGCAGTGTTGGCAGGCAAGCCTGTCAAAATGGGACATAAAAGTTCCTGTGGTTTTTTTGCCTTGATTTTGTTTTCCTTGTTGTTGTCATAGTACAATTTCAAACATTCACACAGTATAAAAATAAAATGACAAAGAAGTAAATAATGTATAGGTGTGCATTAATAGGGCATTCCCACTTGAAATAGTGAGCATTTTCCCAGCTTGTCTTTTTTATTTCTATAGTTCGCTAGAATATCTCAACCCCTTGATGAGAAGATCATCAAGAGGATCCATGAGTTCATTGCAGAGGAGTTAAAGAAATATACGAATTGAGATGGCATTTGAAAATCTTCATGAAAGAGGTCTTGTTTTGAGATGATCAGCAACCACAAGACACAAACCAATGATACTTCCCTTTGACACCTGACATGTGCATACACATGTATCAAGCTACAGTTAAAAACTGCATTTCAAGAATTGACCAGGCAAATGTCCAGATGAAGACAGATGAGAGGAGAAAAGTTTATGAAGCCGATTCCTTTTTTACTGTCCCCACTCAAAACAAGAAACACACCTATGGAGGTTCCAGTCTGATCTGAAAATGAAAAGGAGGAAGGTGATCACTACAAAATTAAGCATTAGGGTTCTTATTTATTGTTACGAGTGTCAATGTAGAGCAGGGTTGTTCCTAGACAACTCAGGATCGTCAGTAACACCAACAAACTGATTTATTTCCACTTGGTTGACTTCTCAACTATACAGCACTGAGCTTCTTCACAATTCTCTCTATTTTTCAATGAAACTCTCGCTCTTATATACATAAAGTAAAAGGATCTAGAAACTTCTCTAAAGAACTAAATTTAGTGGATAAGCACAGTTTCTAAATTTGAATAATTACATAAGAAATGGAATGTTCCAGAATGTTCTTTTACAAGAAGGTCACGTCTGGATGACTTCGGGTTCTAGACTGTTCTATAGAATGTTCTAGGACTTAACTTAGACAATTTTTCATAACATTTATAACATATTGATTATTGTATACTG